CCCTATCGGATGGTTTTCATCTCCCATTTTTATCCCTCAAGAGGCCTCCCTTGATGAAAGGACACCGTGTCTAAGCGGAGGCAGTAAACACGGTCGTGATGGTGTTGGTGGCATGGCGATACCACGCTCAACGCTTGCGACCTGCACGCGTAATGCGTGCGTCTCTTTCATCGCCACTGCACTTAGCCATCGATAGAGAACTCTTCCCCATCAATGTTTCCACCCGCGGCGACGTGGACGCGTGCAGTTGGACTTCGCGGGCGGAATCAACATATTAAACATAAGTTAAGGCAGAAAATTCTACCTTGAAAATTGCTCGCTTCCAAAACCTTTGAGTATGTCCTGGCCGAGCCACCGTGGCCACTTATAGAGAGACCTCCATCGCAATACGCAACTGCTTCTGGAGAGGCTCAGGAAAGATGGACGCATGGTAGATCTACATTTGCTAACTGAAGGGCAAGTCAAAATAAAATGCGCAAGGCTTCGACTGTGCAGCTCATATGGTATGCAATCATAGTAAAAGAAACTACTATGATGAAGACTAACAAGGGCAGCCTGGAGCCAATGATCTCTGCCGAGTACGACGGGGACAATGTTGGTCTCGGATGACTTGTTACAGGCAGTGCTGGAGACAACCAATGCTTGGACCTGGCTAAAGAATGGTTCCACCGATGTACTCGCTCGCACGGCAAAGCATGTGCGTTGATCGAAGACGAGCAGTCCCGCGAGACTCGTTCATATCCCACCAGACGAAGCCGAACCCTTGAGAGTATGTCTTATCCAAGGCTTGAGAGGGCAGTATGCGGCTTTGTCGTACGTTTGGGGAGAGGGCTCCAGATTACAGACAACAACAGCTACGCTCAATGACAGAATGTCAGGCTTCCGAGCGAGCATACTCCCAAAGACGCTTCGAGATGCGGTCCATGTGGCCCGAAAATTTGGTCTAGAATGGATCTGGGTCGACGCTCTGTGCATCATCCAAGGAGATACCACTGATTGGAACTGGGAATCCTCCAAGATGGCTTCGATATATGAGAACTCAGCGTTGACCATATGCGCTGATCTTGCCTCGGACACAGACACTGGTATTCTGCTACCGCGAGACCTGAAAGTTTCGAACCGATTCGGAGCGAATGAAGAACTTTTGTCTTCAACACATCTCTCAAGACTGGATGCACATGTGCCACCAGCCGCTCTATTTACGCGGTTGGGCGTTTCAGGAACGCATCCTGGCCTCACGTACTCTTCATTTTCTGGACGACCAGATCGCTTGGGAGTCCAATACCACGCTATATCGAGAAGGTTTCCGTGGACGCCAGGCTTACGCCCCGGATCATTTCGCGAAACACCAACTTGCCGCATACTCCCATCAAGGACGATGCCCAGAACCCCCAAAGAGTAGCCATGGGCAAGACATCGATCTGCGAGTACGCATCTCCAAGTGGAATGACGTGATCCAAGAAATGGCCATGCGTTATTCCACTGTGGATACGGACACGCTGCCTTCGGTGTCTGGCCTCGTCTCTGCGATCCAGACACTAGAGCTAAGTCAGTACTTTGCCGGCGTGTGGTATGGGGATCCGTTTTCGTCTATGACATGGTACGCCCGCTTTCCTCAGTCCTCTCCAGCATCGTATAAGGCACCTTCTTGGAGCTGGGTATGGACGGCGGGCCGGTTGATGCGGCGTCGGCATGCTCTGATGGCCGACAGGTAACCAAAGCAAATCGCGAAGTAGAGAAACTGGAACGAACAATACGGGCCACGCCTTCTTGGATACGATACGGTACTCAAGAACACGGATCCCCATGGCGAAGTCATGGAAGAAACTCATCTTGTAATGAGCGGCTTGTGCAGAAACGTCTATGTCGCTGAGCATCCAGGTACCGTGTATGATGAGTGGACATGGTGTTACGAAGAGCCCAATGAGGAGGGAATGTATGTCCATATGGGCCAAAGGCAGAACGATCACGCCTTCGCATCGTGCTTTACCGAATATCTTGCGGAAATGTTTCCAGATATTTGTGAAGAATCCGTCGTGTGCTATCTATGTGTGCAGCTTGCTCAGGAGCGAATGCCGGAACAGGACTTTCCGAAGAATATCGCTCTAATTCTTGAACTGGTCGATAACGATGGGGAGGAGGGATTCCAGCGGGTTGGAATCCTTTTGTTTGACTTTAGTGAGCAAGATGGTAATTATTGGAAGCGGAGGACGTTGAAACTATTCTAAATCAACTCGGGCTCTTACTCTATTAGCCCCTAAACTCTAGTTAGGTTGAGCCCCCATCTATTTTCTATAGTCGTTAGCGACATTAGAGAGATTCGAAGCGCACCCTTAGGAATGCATATGATAACTACACCCGGTATAGCGGCGGAAGACGTGCACAGCAGCATAGTAGGCATTAATGATGGATGCTTCCGACAGGTAGCAGTTGTTCGTCGTCTCTTCTCGTCGTCTTGTCGTCGGCGAGGTGCAGGCCTGTCAGTTGGCTCTGTTAGGAAATCGGCGAACGGGTTTTACAAACCCTCCCTACGGAGTACTCCCCAGTAATAATTAAAAACAAAACAAAACAAACCGCAATGAGCCCCACTCACTCTGCCCGACTGGCTTACATTGACGTCTTTCTTCAGCGCTAACATCGACTCAGTTGTCCGTCGCCAATTTGATGCAGGCTCAGGTGTCCACCAGCGATTTTGTTGTTCAACCCCGAGCAGCCTACCCATCACCATCCCGTCACTACGGGGGCAGCGGTGTTCCCGATATCAGCAAAGCTCAAAACGTCGCCTTTCGTCATCCCGGATAACCTGATGGAGCTAATATCCTGCTCGTACTATCCGCGCACGACGGCCCTAACGGAGGTATTCACCACGACTTTGCGTGGGCCGCTTGTGCTGTTGTTGCGAACTGTGCATGGGGGGGTTCTTGTCCGGGACGCGAGATGGGCAAAGAGTTGATGTGGGAAAAGACGGCCTCTTGATGGGGAGTGACTATTACCTTCGATTAACGGATGATGAGGTTCAAGGGGCATAGTAGAAGCGAGAAAATGCATTAGGTGCTGATGGCCCGCTATATAGACATTGAGAAGTACCCTATCGTCGTATCCTTCGCCCATTTCAAGTTCCCGCACCGCAACCTTCCGCCATACTGGACCTCCGAAGCTCTTCGAATTCCTAGATCGAACCATCAGTTCCGTCAGACCGACCTCTCAGATACACTTCTGATGCGCGATAGATCCTGTCGAGTTACCGACCACTACGAAGGAGGAAGGTACTGAAGCCGCGCATCTCATCCCGCGAGTCGAAGAACGTTGGTTCAGATCAAACGAAATGTTGAAATACACTTCTCGCCCGCTTCCATCGGTCACTTCGACTGACGACCCTCGCAACGCTCCACTGCTGCGCTCCGATCTACACTCTACCTTCGACGCGAAACGCTGGGTCGTGGTCCCGAAGGCAGGAACCTGGGTAGTCCACGTGCTGGATCCTGGCCCATCAAGGCAGTTTCTAAGCTTATACTACAACGTGACGTTGTAGCCGCTCGAGGACGTGTCAGTTGAATATTTGTTCGCACGATTTGCTTGGACGATCTTAAATCGGCTCACATTGACTGGTTTTGCTGGACGACGGAAACCAGTTATTGTAGGCACGGAAGACCAATCGAGTAATATCAAGGAGCTCACGGGCGAACAGTGGACAAGGCTCTTCCCTCTTCGAACGAAGAGCAGGAGCCAGAGTCCGACAAAAGGACACTGGCAGGAAGCAGCTGAAGAGGATCTTAACGAAGAAGAAGAAGAGCCCGAGCCCCGGGGTCGAATGAGAAGGAGGAGTTTGAACCTTTCTACTCCCACTTGGTCATCTAGAGAGGATGTTTCCTTGACGGAAGACGGAGATAGTCGAAGCAGTACAGGGACAAGTGTGGAAGAATTTGGTCTCTCAAAAAGAAGACAACTCTTACAGCAAGAGCCTAGAACGATTGGGACACCCGGCGAGAGTGTGGATATGGAGTTCTTAGATACATAGCGGAAATAACGGTCAGTGGAATGAGTACTTTGAGTGAACGTGTATATCTGCCGAAGATGGTAGCATCAGATTAAATTTCGAAGATCGAACAGTCAACTTCGCAAAGCAAATGACAATATGCCCGCTCATCCGTACTAAATGTCTCGTGGAGCTACGTATGATCTTCTGTCGTAATAAGAATGAAAAGGAACGGAAGGAAGGAGTAAAATAAAAACTCCTTCGTGCAGCTTCGAGGACCCTAGTCAACCCCCAAAAGGAGGCGTATAGGACAAGTCCTGAGAACTATAGAGAAAAGCTTACACATGTTGGGGTTCACGATCAGTGAAGATTCTGAACCCTAGAGACGTTATCGAATTGCTAGAGAAAAGATGAAGAAGAGGAAAAGGCCTCTCCTTCCGGAGCTCTAAATACACGGGCGTCGCATGGGCGCGATGCGGTTTGCTCATTCACTGCACCATGTGTAGGCTGCGAACAAATCTCTGACTGAGAGCGACACTGGAAAACTAGGGAGAAACGACAACTTTACAATCCTTTCGGCGGTATTGACCCTCGGATTTCGTTTCGACCTCTTTTATACTGCGGGAAGAGTCATGGGGAACGCATCCACCGTAGTACCATCCAACATGACTGCCATTGGCCGGGCTAGAACTGACTATTGCTATACGAACTTAGTCAAGGAGCGGTTAGAGGGGGATAGCGGAGCTGATCAGGTTTCCTTCACCCAACGCTCCGCCCCCGCCTTGCCTACTCCCCCGCACAATTTAGATCCACTCCCCCACTATGTAATGATGAATAAAACCAATTGATTGGCTAGATTAGCTTAATACCCCTTTTGTAAATAGCCCCGGTTCGAATCTTGCACTAATTAGTCTTTTTTTCCGCCCTTTTCTCTTTTTTACTACACGGTCTTAATGCCTAAGGCACCTGAGGCATTACATCCACAGATTGGAACATGAACTCCTTGGTCAAGGTCACGTTGAGGTGCCTTACCAACATATATAATTATTAGCGGGACGGGGAGGAGGACGGGGGATAGAGTAGGTATCTACTATGTAGTACACCGCTGTATAGTCTACAAGCGACTGGGATAGCATAATGAAATCTAATCCAATCTAATCCAACACAACCCAATATATCCTAAACACCCATGTCAATCGACAGGACACCTTACTACTTCACCTGGATCTAATCCTAAGCGGGGACATATTCCTGCATTCAACGCCTAGCTCTGCCTGAATTTCAGGCCAAGGCTCACTAATTAAAAGAAAATGTCCCAACGATGGATGAGCCGAGGAAACTGCTGTAGGGAGGAGGACGACTCGTTATCCAAAAGGACATGCTGCAGCACATACAATAAAAGATAGCATCTTTACCTCCTCTCGTTCTTCGAACCTCCCGATACGATTACGACAACATCACAAATGTCGGACTTCAGTCAAAATCAAAGGGTCGCGCCGACCAAAGGCGCGACTACAACCAAAGAGCTCGAATTCGTCGAGACCATGTCGAATAGTGCAGTCGACCAGCCTCATGTACACGCCAAGGTTTGTCTCATCTTCTCGCTGAGGATGCCACTGATCCCGACTGTATAGATGAACCCGAAACTCTTCGTCGCACTCCTCACAATGTCGTTCCTCTGGATTGGATCTCAGATTCCCCTTTATCTGTTCGGCAGCGTGTTACCCCTGATCTATAGCGATCTTGGCGGTGTCGATCGCTACGTGTGGTTCATCATTGGGTACCTCATTCCCTGTGCTGCACTCTGTCCTTTCGTCGGGGCTCTGTCCGATATCTTTGGCAGAAAGATGGTGGCAATTGTGGGACAGGTCCTGCTCATTCTTGGGCCGGTCGTCACGTCCACCGCGAACACCATGAACATCGCGATTGGTATGTCTCCCCTCATTCCGTCATCCTCACTCGATAACGTTCGCTTTACTGAATTGGTCGTAGCGGGACAAGTCTTCTCCGGTCTAGGTGCCGGTCTGAACGAACTGATCGCCCTTGCCGGAACCGCGGATCTGGTCCCCGTTAACAAACGAGGCCAATATGTGGGAGCCGTGGTCTTGACCATCCTACCCTTCTGCGCATCGACACTCTACGCACAACTCATCGCGAGAGATAGCGACTGGCGCTATGTTGGAATTTTCGTCGGCGCCTGGAACTTCCTCGGCCTCGTACTCTGCATCTTCAGCTACTCCGATCCGCCCCGGATCTCGACCGAGTACACTCGCAGTGACGTGATGAAAAACGTCGACTACATCGGAGGCATTCTCAGCACCGTGGGTGTTGTGCTGTTCATGATGGGCATGCAATGGGGAGCCGAACAGGTGACACAGGATCTCCACTGTCTCGATCACGACTAACGTCCGCAGTACGAATGGCAATCAGTGCAGGTCCTCGTCCCCTTCCTCCTGGGCGTTGTCATCCTCGTCGCTTTTTTCGTCTACGAGTTCAAATTCGCCAAGTACCCCATGTGTCCGGCCGGGATATTTAGCAAAGACAGACGCACCATGATCTGCATTCTTCTTATCACCTTCCTGTCGGGAGCCAACTTCTTTGTCATGCTCCTCTTCTACCCAACCCAAGTGTTCCACGTCTGGGGCCACGAGCCAGTCAGCATCGGCTTGAGGACGTTGCCAATGGGCTTCGGCATCGTGATCGGCGCCGCTATTTCCCTCATCCTCATCCCCGTCACCAGAGGCAGAATCAAACACCTCATGATCTTTTTCACCGCCATGATGACCGCTGGCACAGGAGCTATGGCCGCCGCACGCACCGACAATCTTCCTGCGGTCCTCGGCATGGTCACTGTGGCAAGTCTGGGTGTTGGAGGCGTCATCATTCCATGCTCCATCATCGCCCAGCTCATCTGCCCACATGACCTTCTCGGAACAATTACAGCCATCACTCTCTCGATTCGCTACGTGGGTGGTGCGATCGGGTATACAGCATACTACAACGTGTTCTACGACCACTTTACACCCGATGCCACCCGGCTCGTGGCCATCGGCACCATTGTGCTCAAGGGCATCGTCAACCTCGGCTCCAACCAAGAAAACCTCGGACTCATCGAGGAGTTGACAACACTGGCGGCAAAGGCGCAGTTCGCTCAACTCCACGACGTGATTGCGACGGATTCACGAGTGAATCACAAAGATATCGCATTCGATCTCATCGTCGACGCCACAGAAGAAGCCATGGCACTGGCGTATCGGTGGCCGTACTGGATGTCCATTGCATTCGGTGGTATTTGTGTCATTCTCGCATTCTTTGTGCGAGATATCAGGGCGGTTTTGGATGAAGAAAAGGAAAAGGTGCCGGTTGAGGAGATCCACCACGGCGCACTTCGGTGAAATCAACAGGGCCTATTCAACAGGAATCATAGCTGGTGGGGATATCGAACGGAGAATCATGTCCGCTTCTAAGATTTGCGAGGCTTTTCGGGGTCCTCTTCATTCGAATGTTCATGTCTTCTAATCTATAAAGTATAAGGGAGCCGTCTTGAACTGATCGCCATCACTATTTGCCGTCCCGCCAGTCCCTTCCGAATGGGCTCCTCTCTGGCGCGTTTCCTCTACATCATGCGCGTTCATGTTAACTGTCAGGACAAGCCTCACACGGACGACTCGAAGACGGGTCGTCCAAGGGCTATCCGTGTCCGACCCAGGATACCGATCATCTTCCCTTTTGACCCTACCCGCATCGTATATAGGATAGGAGGCTCCGGCATACCGGCCACTTCGTAGCATCGATACTATATTCTATAAAATTGGTTAGAGCTAAGCTCGACGAATGGTCGAACCTCCAGTCCCGGGTCCCAAGGGAGAAATAGCGCTTTAACATTTTAAAGATTCGGGCGGTATAAGTCTGCTATAATTTGTATAATGGTTCATCGGTCTAAGGAAGCGTATGCGACGCAATGGCGAAGCGACATACCCCTTCTTTGGAACCCCGGGTCTTATATCAACTGTCTACCATTACTGTAAGTTTGCGTGAGTGTGTGTTCCATTAGTGTTACGGCACGGTAGCTGGATGCACACAACATACACATAGCCAAAGATACTCTAGATTGAGATAAAGAGTAAAGGTATCAGTGACAGAGGAATCTTGACGAGGTTCCATCTCGATGCTACTAGGCTTGATTAGGCTTAGGCTCTCAGCCTATGCCAACTAGGGGTGTGTAATGTAAGATGTTGTATAATAGAGGGCGGTGAGATTTTCCCCCCGCGCTAGTAATGATGGAAATCAATCGCTGAACTAGGCTTAGCGCAAATGATTCTATATCTTCTTCAACAGACAACTTCAATGTTTCAATCTATTCCTTATGAAGCCTATCTTCTACTAACGTCGCTGTCTCTTGCGCGGGCTAAGTCCTTTCCAAGCATTTGAAGCCGTCTCTGCTGCAGCACGCTTAGGACGCTGTCTATGCACATCCCCAGATCCAAAAAGAGGATTTTGAGCAGCGACTTGTGCAAATTTTTCAGCATAGAAAGCTTCCATATCTCCAAAGTGATAATTCCATGCCATTGTTGGAGTACAGGAAGCAAACGCCCCTCTTGTCGCGAGAGCCATATCCCATGCTTCAACTAGTTCTGTAGGGTCGTTTTCCTGCCCTGTCTCTGCCAAAAAATTCATCACTGTGCCAATGTCACTGCAGTTACATAGAACAGGCTGGAGTCGTCGACGCTCGAAGTCAGCAAAGAACTCTTCCAACGACGGGGGTTGCCAAGCAGGCTGTAGAGGGGATTGAGCCGTAGTAACAGACGCAGTAACAGAGACAGGTGAAGACAAATGAGATGGAGTAGGGGAAGATATAGGAGTAGGTGAAGGGATCGATATAGATGGAGAAGTAGTTGTAGAATTCGTAGCTGTGCAGATGTAGGAACTGATACGGTAACAGCTGTGTTTGTGTGTCGCAAGACCTCAGGAAGTGTTTGACCCTGGGGGTGAGGAGGAGGAGGCTGAAATTGAGGGATAGAAGGTGGCACACGTCGTTCAAAGCCTGAAAGATCTCGACGAGTTATAGCATTCGTAGGTAGTGCAGATGTAGGAATTGACACAGCGACAGAGGTGTTTGTATGTCGTAAGACCTCAGCAAGTGTTTGACCTTGGGGTTGTGGTAGAGAGGGCGGTACACGTCGTTCAAAAGCTGATGGATCTCGACGAGTTGATGCCTTGTTCTTCCTCGGCGCTCCTCTTGTTTAAGCAGGAAGCGGCTCTAGGATAGATTGATATGGCCTTGGAGAGAGGCTTATTGACCGTCCTTGCTCACGTTGATAGCGCCAATGATCGTCGTAAAAGTGATTTGGTCGTAATATCGATCCAGAACTTATTACATCTCGCAGCGTATGATGACATGGAAGACCGTTTATCTTCTCAAAGAGGCCAGTACAAGGACCCCCGCTACGACGTTGTCTCTGCTCCTTCTAACAACACGCAGCAAGTCGCCTGTTGAAGCCATAAGGTAGTCCTTCAATACCTTATGCATTCCTTCACCAGGAGAGGTTGTGATTATATTATAGTGTCGATGCTGAGACGTCCAAGCAGCTGCCCACTCGGTACGTGTATGCCATTGATTGCCACGTAAGTATTGGCAAAGTTCTCGCTGGTCGGCATAGTCTTTGAGTAACTCGTTCCACTTTAGCTTAAATATATGTGGACTCTTTGCGTAGACAAGCTGCTCCAGTCAGTTCTGTAAAAGAATTATAAGAGGCATTCCCGGAAGCCTTCTAGAAACGCCTCTTAGGCCATTGGCAGGGAGCATACCTGACTCTAACGTTTCATAAATTGAGCCCGGTGCTCAGCAATTCTCTGCTTCTCTTCTTTTGTTACGCCATTAGCGTCTCGCCAGGGCTTTTGAGCCTTTGTCTACACATTCTTGTTGATATGCCATACGCACAGGAGTTATGGAACACCCGGAAATAGAGTGCGAGCTGCTAGTTTTACCGCATCCTCCTGATCGCTGATAAACACGCGTGGCTGCGGTGTCCCTGTCTTAAGGAGGAAGTTTGAGATTGCCTAATGGTAATCTGCTTCTTTCTCGCTGTGGAGGAAGCAGAACCCTGCAGAGAAGAAGGTCTGCAGATTGGTGCAGCCGAGTATGTGCAACAGTGGGAGTTTATACTTGTTGGTTCGGTACGTACAGTCCATCAACAGGGTATCGGGATTCGCAAGCAGTAGCTTAATCTGCTTCTGGTGGGCAAAGAAGAGACTTTGTACGTGATTATCCGCATCCTTCTTAACAGTAAAAACCCATTCCGGCGTAGACAGGTCATCTAATAATGTCTCAATCGGACTCCTCCCATTTAAGTACTTCTCTCTGATTGCCTTCCTCTCGCCGCGAATATCGGTGGCAGATACTAGCGTGTTCGGATCCTCCTTTTGAATAGCAGCCATTATCTGCATCGGCCGTACCCTAGCATGTGTCATTGATTTAATTGTATCTTCCTGTGCTAATGTACGCTTGCGATAAACATTATGCGCACTGGGGTTAAGCGACCGGGGATGGTTGTGATGCTTGTGTAGAACCTCCAGCTTCTACTGGTCGTCGCTTTTGTTCTTGAATATAATAAGCCTAAAATGACACCCTATTAAGCGTGTGCTTGTACTCAGAGTCCTTGCTCTTGACTGATAGTTTCCGGATCGATTACAGTGGTAGTAATATCGTGTCTTGACATTAGAATTGTGAGGTTTACTCCGCTTGAGTAGGAAGCCGTAGCCATGCCGTGCCATGCTGCATGCCATGGTCCCTAAGAGAATTGTAGGCTTCTTTATAGGACGTGTAAAGACAATCTGGAGGAGGGGCGATATCCTCCATGCTAAGATCTGTAAGAGAAGGAATGTGAGAAAACAGCGGTTCCTGATATCAGGTGGTCTGCAAGACAGGTCACAGCGGGAGCTCTGTGTTTGACTAAGAATTGAGACATTGATTGATCTTGCTCCTATACGCCCATATCTAAGTTCTATATGCAAATTGATGGCTACCGAGACCCTGGTTTCCTCAAAACGAGCGAAAAAGCAAAGAATGAGGGGTTGGTAACATCGCGGGATGTGTGATACACTGTCATGGTTGGGAACACGGGATCGATACCACCTAAATACGAGCAAGAAATGGTGATCACGGGTAGGAAACCGGAAAGCGCTAAAAAACAGAGGTATCTCGAAAACCTGATCTCTAACAAGGAACACCTCCATGCTGGGATTATAAGAGAAAGAACGGATTGAACATTGACGCTGTCCCTGGGCGAAGAGGAGGCAAAATGCGAGCTAGGCTCAGTTGAGCGATTAATTTTCATCATCACTAGCGCGGGGGCAAAATCTCAAAAGCGGGGGGGAAATCTCACCAGCCCTATTTTAATGTATTATAATTTAAGTAATACCTCGTATTATTAATGCCAACTATCAATGGTCTCCTCCTTAAACATCAAGGCGAAATCTAGTTGCTTGGCCGCTTCGAACAGAGGATCCATGACATTCTCTGGGAAATTGCAACCATCTATACAGCCTTCGCGGCGGCCGTCGTACACGATCTGGATCCGTTGCAACGGCGACTGCCGCTGCCTCGCGATCTCCATGAATTCCCCCATCCATTGGTCCAATTCCGTCCCGTGCGTGCCCCCAGGACAGGCCCCGGACCGTGCGAACCAGTCGAACGTCTCCATGACCAGCGTGAAGTTCCGTAGTTTCGGAGCCAGCAGCGCGTTCGCGGCGTCGGTGGCGTCGAGATCATCGATCCGGTAGCGGGGATTTGCGGTGAAGGTCGGCCAGCGGATTGTCAGGGTTTCTAGTGCAGGCAGGCCCATGACGTCGAGGGGACGACCGGGCAGCCGGTGGAAACTTCCGATGGCGAGGGAACGCACGGTCGAACGGTGGCGGGCAAGAAGCCAGTTAAAGAAGGTCTGGTCATCGTCTGGTGGGAAGGCGACCTCCTCGATGTTATTGTACTCTTTGTACGCGAAGTGCTCGATGGTTTTACACCAGTTAACGATCGTCGAGAGGATCAACTCGTCGTGGGAGAAATCGCCGATATCTACCGTAGTAAACGGCGCGGTGCCCTCCTAATAGGCGGAGTTATTAGCGAGAGAGCAATTACATCGACAGCGGAGGGTTAAATAGGGGTTTGAATAGGAAGAAGAGGGGGTGTGGACATCGATCTTAACTAACTTTGAGAAGGGCGACGTCGGATCTCGATATTGGTACGAAGCCGTAGATTTGGAGCGCTCGGTCACAGAGGCTCGATCTAGAGCGCATTATATTATAGCAAAGGCTGTATCCCTCCCTTTCATGCTCAACATCAATCAGCATGACATGATTGATAGACCCAAGCCGCTTCCAAATACCGGCGAGTGGACCAGCACCGTCCGTAACGCCTGGAGGACGGATGTCCAGGGGAAAGCTTACAAGCTTAAGACATCGGAGGTTCGCTGTCAACGACAAAATTTCACAGAAGACTTCGATATATTGTTCGGGCTCCAATGTCTCCATGCAGTACTGTTCAATCATTAAGGTGTGGCAGCGTTGAGCAAGCGCTGGGTTACCTCGGAGCGTGGCATGTAAACTGGCGAGCCGATCCGAGCGCCGCGGGAATGAGATGCCCAACCAGATCTCGATGTGGCGGTAAAACAGAGGTTGAAAGATCGAACGAAAGCGACGGCAAACTAAGGGTAGCCAGAAGGCTTCATGGGACGGTCGAACGTTCGGGTGCGGGCATCTTTGTAGACCATCGTCACTCTTCTGCTTCATTTCCTCGCCCGTGCTGGAATGGATCTCCTTAGTATCTGGTACAGAGAATGTCGACGCGCCATATCCAATAGAAGCGTAGTCGAGGATTAACTCGAGGAGCTCGTCCGACAGACGTAAGATAGGAGACTGCTCGTTCAGCTCTCTGTTACCGGTGGGTGCAGCCGACATGCTAGAGCTGACCGGAAGGCGGAAGAGATCGTCTTACTAGAGCATCAGTTAATAGACAGTAAAACTGCGTCCAGTAAGTGTTTTCTACTATTTCCTAACAAATACGAATGGAGATGAATTAGATGATAGTTAAGAGCTTAAGAGCAGCCATAGAGACGTGAGGATTGATCTGGTGGCGCTATTAAACTATAAATAGAGCTACTAACTTGGCAAAGATGATAGCGTACAGAAGCTAGCTTAAATTACATCTCAGCTGGTAACTTATACAGCACGTAGCGGCTGATACAATACTGCGGTGTACGGATCACTAAGAATCAATGTGTATAGTTTACGCCAAGAGCTCCAAGGTGGCTGTGCATTCAGAAATTCTGGAGTGCACCAAGGCGGAAGGTGATTTCGCTAGTGACTGTATCAGGATGATGGTCTTATTATCTTGGAATCCCTTCGAAGTTTAGCAGCGGGAGCCTTCGCCCGATTGCTGCATGAAAATTTTCAGCCTCTCGCTCGTTATATTCCGCCCCTGGCGCGGCGGTGCTTCGCAGCCAGTGATCCCATCCGACAAGCCGATTTCCCTCAGGAATGTGCGAATGCCATGCAATTATGGGCCATATCTACTGAATCGACTGGACCAATCACAGTCTCTTCAATGCGTATTCACCAGGCAACGTTAGTGCGCGGTCGGAGTGCGGGAGGGTTTGAAAATGTCGGTCCTTTGGTCTATGCCTGCCCATCAGAGCTTGTCACTTTGAATGCCTCCTTGAATTGGGTACCAGATATACCGCGTAGCTTGATGTACATTATTCACACCTCTGCTGTTCTAGGGAATGGAACCCTTATGGTCTTCATCGGGCATGAAGAGGCCAAAAGAGTCGCCCCACCATCCTTCGAGCAGAAGGAAGCGCTGAGTGTGTCAATGTGATATTTAGGATGCGTAGTAGTTAAAGAAGGAAGGAGATGTACAATCTCCCTCTCGAAAAATTTATTGTTTGCCCCTATCGCAATTCACCTCTGATATTGACAAATCTACTTGTTCTAGCTAGCTTTTCTTCCCATAGCATATGATGTTTTCAAATGAATCGGAACCTGAATATGGCCATGGAACTGATTGGCATGGGCGACGGCGTTCTAACACGATACACTGCAGCAGTGGATTTAGGAATAAAAGAGGAGAACTGTGCATGGTGTAAGGTAAAGTAATTAATGGACGCTAACAAATGACACGGTCTGGATGCGCAAGGTCTGCGATTACCAAGTTCCATTAATCTAAACTGAAGAGAGAGAGAGAGAGAAATCTCCCGGCACCTTTTGTGCGCGAGATAGCGACTCTCCTCTCCAATGCCCTAATGCTGTGTTACCATGTTTGTTTGCTTCTCTGATATAATCCACCAGCCACCTCTTCAGCCACAACCAAGGGAACAGGCCGGAGGCCTGGGACCATAACAGCTAGATTGATATTGTGAAAAGCTTCACCTACAACTACATACGGCCACATCAACCTGAATATAGGGCATCCCGTCCGCTCTGCCGTACTCAAGCAGGTTAGAGATGGAATAGTACTACGGTGGGTGACCACGTGGGAACTCCCATTGCTGTATGTTTTTGTTTTTGTTTGGTTGAATTTTGCAGATTGCTAGGTTGATATTGTGAAAAGTTTCAATTACTACTACATACGGCCATATCAACCTGAATATAGGGCATCCCGTCCGCTCTGCCGTACTCAAGCAGGTTAGAGATGGAATAGTACTACGGTGGGTGACCACGTGGGAACTCCCATTGCTGTATGTTTTTGTTTTTGTTTGGTTGAATTTTGTAGATCGTTGGTGGCTGGATAGTGGATAGAAGCAAGGACTTATGAAGCGTTTTAGCGATGAGGGTGGGGTCCAAACGGGACGAGTTTCGGTTATTTAGTCGATTCTATCTTGTCCACTCTCCGATTTCAAATTTCAATAACTATGGGTACATAAGTCGTGATTTCGCAAGCCATTCCCTATCTCCTCTTCTCCTCCAGGTGGCGCAGTGGCCTGACATGAGATGAGTGAGTGGTTTCATCGCGGCGTCCTTGGTCCTCGTCGATCATAGCGGCACTGCCTTCCAAGCGATGGGTTTTGGCGCCGTACATGTCGCGGGAATGCTTTCCCTGGTTGCGTCCATGGCCCGCACCGAAGTAATCCTGATCTGGTTCGAGGAGAGAATGTTAGCCAGCGCCACGAACGCTTCTGCGACCCATATATTAGAGGTCGAGGGTGACCGGTCCAGAACTTACTCTTTCTAAGAGGAGAGATCTTGGATTCCTCGATGTCGTGATCGGTGCCGACGGATTCCTCCGGCATCTCGAGGCAGTGACCCTCTTTGAGAGGGGAGCCGAGAGGGTCGATCTTTGACTCGGCGATCTCGGGATCGTAACCTCTTTCGTGTCTGGATCGTTGTTCAGTACCGAAGTCGCATCGTAGATCATTTCATGGTAGGGACATACTGTGAAGACATGGCTGTATTTGGATGTAACTGTGTTGTGATTGTTGTCTGGGTGTTGGTTCGTTTGGATCAGTGCCGCCATGCTGCAGCGAAGACGGCTTTTAAATACGCATCCAGCATCAAAGATCCGACGCGGTAGCAGGTGGCTTCTAGAAGACTTGACGTAGAACATGACGCCGATATTCAGGGTCTGCGGGGTTCTGGATGTGGTAATTTCCTATTCGGGATATCTCATGACTTCGAGTCTGGGTCAAGATGCCAGTTGCCCCCGTCGCACCACCCATGTGCGATGACATCTGGAGAAAAAGACCCAGTGCCAGACCTCCGATATCCTAAGTATAGAATACCCCGTGTGGGTATTCTGGATTTCTTGGATTGTAGTAGGGTCCAAGTTGTCCCTTTCTTGCCCCAATTCCTCAGAGTTTATCGCCAAGCATCATCTTGGAACGGGCGGACTTTTGCAGCGTTTGGACTCGACTTCAAGTCAGGTCAAGATAGGTGCGAAGTGCGCCTGGAATCCTTGATTGACGAACAGCTTCTTCTATTTCCATCCCTTCGATACCAAACACTTTGCAACTGGAATGAAACAGAAGACGAGATAATAAACCTTACCGGCAAATGAAATTGAGAGCCCCGGATACCAACCGGAAGTCCTGAAATGCTCACCTTGTGGCGTTGCCAACTTCTTGTGTAATTTTTCTGATGATTCTAGAAACCGAGAAGTTACCCACCCGCTTACGCGATATACATTGTAGTTATGTCTACTCCGTAGTTCCAAGTGGATTGCATTATAAATTTATAATAGACGAAGAAGCCATGCCTATCCCAGTCTCGGAAAGAGGCTGCGAGAAAAGAGTGAGATCCAATATGCAGCTCATTGTGACAATGAGGGATAGCAGCTTTGATCTTTTGTATGAGGGAGATAGAGCCATGACCGAACAGTCTCTTGGATCGCTGTGCATCGGACTGAAAGTACATATCAAGACCTCCGTCGAAGTGACTCCACCGACGTCGACGTTAAAACCGACGATCAAGCACGTGGCTGAGCTATATCATGTTCCAACTTCCAGCCGACGGTTTCCGGGAATCCCTGCGATATCCTCCCAAAATGGTCGGGGCAAAAGGAATTTCGCAATTAATATCGCAAATATGAGGTCGGGGTTCAGCAGCGTCAGCACTTAGGTGTGCAATATCGCAAAATTGACTCGCCAATGCAACGTCGCCGGCCAGCTCAAGATCTCTGGCGAAGGGTAACAGTTGGAGCTTTCCTGCCTGAAAAGTTGGCGATTTCTTCTGTGAGGTGATAGAGGAGCGAACTTCGAGGAGGATTGGCTGGTACAGCACGGACCGAAGCTCAGCGTTTCAGGATTCGAGCCGTCGCGGTCCAAATCCTCCCAAGTTGGGATCATCGCACAAGGTTTGACATCTGCACCAGGATCCGGGATGATTGGACCGAAATTAGAATTCGATAATGGGAGCGTGGCGGAGTTGGAGTGGATGGAACATGGCGTTGGCACGGATTCGAGAGATGATCCTCGATAATACGATCAGGGCCCCAGCTACGTCGAAATTCGAATTACCAAGTGGATCCAAGAAAGATATTGCAGACTGGGTTCTATGATGATTCATAAGGAATTGTATTTTGAAGGGCGTTTCTAATAATTAGCGAGAGCTGTATCTGTAGACCGGTTGGCTATGTGTGAGGAGTGAGGAGTAAGGACAGAAGTGAGGGCATTTGGACATGGGTCCGGGAGGGTCCGGAATTCCGGATGGCGGATGAACAACAAGTATCTTGGTGAGCATGTGGAGGCTGGAGACGTTGTGGTGGTGAGATAGAGCCTGCCTGCCTGCCTGCTTGCCTGCCTGACCGCCGGGCTGTCTTGGTCTGCCAGTCTCTGCCTTTGGAAAAACAGAACCCGATGTCAGACCGGCACCAAACTTTGAACTTGCCCAAGGACTCGAGGAGATGTCTGAATGACTGATGAGGGCGGCACTGGCCCAAGCGCCCAACCTGTTTGATGTGATCCAATAGGAAATCAAAGGTGCCTGGCAACGGAAATTACGTCCCGTGCATTAGCCCACTAGCGCGCTAACCCCGGCCCGTCGCCAACCTAGCGATCCAATCACCATTCATTCCCCCATCGTTTCATTTGAAGCCATGAAGCTCTGAAGCTGCAGAGACGGTTCGCCAGTCGCCTGTTCGGCTTCCTCCTTCATTCCTCAAGGAGACCAGGACCCCATCAGGCTCAGGGCTATCACCAATCGGCCACAGAGGCACAGACAGGCACAGGCTTCCTGCCCACAGCCGCCGTCCTCCATCACGAAGTCTCACGTCTTTCCTCCTGTCCTTCGGTTCTCTTCCTCCCTCCTTCCTTTGCTTTCGCCCTTTTCCGCCATTCCGCACCAGGTCGTGAGAATTCATTCCTTCAGAACTGTTATGAGTCCCCCTCACTCTCCCTTTTAACCAATTCTTCCATTTTGCGACCAGGCTGTCGCCGCCCTTCTTTTATCGGCCGCGCCTCTGTCTAGCGAAACAGTCTTCAATCGTTTCATCATTATTCTGTCCGTCAGGATTTCCATTCGTTTCCCATACATAATTCAACCGCTCCTACGGGGTTGCCAACCATAGCAAAATCCCAAGATTTGGCTGGTCAAGATCCAGAACGGCGCTGCACGGCAAGGAGGCTATATCCGCCAGCCCCGACTGCATTCCTCGAATCCCTTCGACTCTATCTACTTATTGCCGACACCGATAGACTTCCACGTCTTTAATCGCAATCATGCATATTCCAGACGACACATTTTATGTGCACCACCACCATGCGCGTCACCTGCACGCTGCTGTAGAGCGTGAGGCAGAACCGGAGACGGAGGCGGTGGTGGTGGTCGAGCGTGAGGCAGAACCGGAGGCGGAGGCGGTGGAGGTGGTCGAGCTTGAAGCAAGGGGTCCGGAACCGCAAAATGGTAATGGCATCATCTCCAATTTGCTGGGCGATCTTGGTCTCCTTCCCGAAGGCAATAGCAACAGCAACGGCAACGGGAACGGACAAGGGAGCAATAGTAATGCAAATGGCGATAGAACAATCATGAGATAGGAAATGCTAACAGGAATTCAGGCCGAACCCTGGTATCGGTCATCTATGTCACGGCGCCGAAAACCTTCGAAGGACCTGCCGTCTATATTACCCAGGGTGATCCTGCACCGAGTTCAACGAAGAACACGAAGGCTACGACAACCAAGAAGGAAAACCCGAAGACCACCTCAACCGAGGATGCGAAGCCCACCTCAACCAAGGAGAAGGTTACTTCGAAGTCAACCGAAAGTAGCAGTGTCGCCATGACGACCAGTGCTGCGGTGCTGTCGTCCACTGCACTATCGTCGTCCCAGAGCACTTCCTCGACTTTCTCGACCGCTCAGCGAAGCATCGCACAGGCCTCTGCGACCTCAACCCCATCCGCTGCACCTGTGTCAGGTGGGATGTCGGGTGGAGCCAAGGCCGGTCTCGCGATTGGTATCATCGCATTGGTTGCCCTGATCGGCGCGGCAGCCTTCTTCTTCATCCGAAAGAAGAAGAGGGATCAAGATAATTCGAGCATCAACGAAAAGAGCGGCAATGGGCATAACCCATTCGCCGATCCTCCGGCTACCGCTGCGGCTGCACCGCCCGTAGCTCCGCAACTGAGTCTTCGCCCCGTCACTCAGTTCCAACCCAACCTTGCCGGTGCCCGTGGCAGCAATGTTCCCCCGATGGACATGGCTCCCGCTCCCCCTGCGAAGACAACCGATGCTCAGGGTTTCCTGGCTCCCAATGGCCAACCGGCCGGCGGATTGGAGCGATCTGGCGAGCCAAGCTATGCGAACGGTCCCGGCGACGCTCAAAATCCGTTCGGCAGCCACGCTGAGATGACGGATGCGCCGAAGCCCATGAGCGGTGCCAGCTTCAACCTTCCAATCCAAAGTCCAGATGGAACCGCGCTTGCCGCCGGTGCTGCCGGTGCTATTGCTGTTGGTGCCGTTGGTGCCGCAGCTATTGGTGCCTCTCACCACAACCAAGGATCCTCGAATACTCCTAAGCCGTCCAGCGTCCGGTCTGTCGATGGCGCTCTCCAGGCCCCTCCGACGCCCGGTACGCCCGGCGCTGACAGCGATTCTTCTTCCGCCGCTGGTGTTCCTGCTGTTGCGACTACCGCTGCTGCTATTCCCCTTGGTGCCCTGGCCGCAAATGGACAGAAGCCACGACCGATCGGAACCGTTCACCGCGTGCAATTGGACTTCAAGCCTTCGATGGAAGATGAGCTCGGGCTCAATGCCGGGCAACTGGTTCGTGTCCTGCACGAGTACGATGATGGTTGGGTAAGTTTTTGATCCTTTGACGTTTGGTTTTGACTGCTTTCTAACTTTTCCAGGCACTTTGCCTCCTGATGAACGGCTCAAAACAAGGTGTCGTTCCTCGATCCTGCTTGTCTAAGACTCCTGTGAAGCCTCGTGCTGGTCCCCCGCCGAACGGCCCTCCTCGAGGACCGCCACCGCAGAACATGCGTCCTGGTCCTGGTCCCATTCCCGGTCCCGGTGCATTCCCGCATCCCCCATCCGGTCGCAACTCACCAGGTCGCAACTCTCCAGGGCCATTCCCTGGCAGCCCGGGTGTCCCACGCCCGTTGACCCCTGGTAGCGGTCGTAATTCCCCAGGACCTGCGCCTTCTCACCGTCCCATGACGCCCCCAGGCGGCCGCCCCCGCGGTCGACCCCAGTCCCCTGGCCTCCAGCACATGAACCAGCACGGCCCCCGACCCCGCGCGAACAGCAACGCGGCCCCCTTCAACGCCTACCAGCCTCGCTCCATGTCCCCCGGCCCATACGGTGGCGGCCCTGCGCAGCAACGTCCGCAGATGCAGACAGACAACCGGCGACGCAGCAACTCCACGAGCCAGCTGGCGGGCGCCGCTCCGGCTCCCGGTGGACCCGGCCCGAGCCCGATGAACCCGATTAGCATCGCCCCTCCGACTGCCGCGGCCGTGCCGCAGCGGAAGCCGGTGCCTGGCGTGGCGATGTAGGGACGCTCTAACACGCGACGACGCGTCCTGCAGTCCGCGGTTCGGGGCGTGTTTTAGACATGACGGTGCCATGGTGGGGTCGACGGCTGGATTTCCCTTGCTTGTGTCGATAATGATGGGCGTTTTTTGCCGATTGCTTCGTTTCGTTGACTGGGGCGACGTGGGTGCCTTTCAACATTACCTCCGCTTGCTCTCGCGACGCGGGGGTGCACTCCTCGTTCCCGGTCATCAACTCTTTGAGTGTGGATATTTCTGTGGTGTATGGAAGCCTTCTGCTTTGGCTAGAACCAGTCCGGCTCCATCGCCGCCTCTTCTTTATCTGTATAATGTCTTTTTCAGGTCCCTCGACATTCTTTGCTTCATCCCAATATCCACCCCGCACTGAATGCTCGTCGATTCTTTCACGCCCTCTGCCCGTGCGGCGATGGCGATTATTCTTTCGACTTCATTCTTACGCCTGTTGAGTTGTGTACGCGGCTCGGAGGTCGATGATGATCTCGTGGGAATTTGGATGCTTGATTTGTATTGTATGTCACGGAGGCATCGATGATGGAACGGAGGAGACGACGCGTGCGAGCCGTAGGCTGTCGCACGGGAGGTCGGGATGCACCATTTGTGTAGCTACGTCCCTTATAGATAGGAATGGAGACGCTTTCTAAGGTATCTTTTTGCCGCCACTTGACGGTTTACAGCTGTGATATCGAGTAAAATATGGATTGAATCAACTCGACGGGGGAGAGTAGGGTGGCCCCCCGAGAAGAAAGCTACTGTACACGTCAGATATTCGGTTGAGTATTCCCAGTCCCGGTCCAGCCGCCTCTCACTTCCAATGTTCACTCAATCGTTTTTGCGGCTCGATGTGTCATCCCATGCATAATTAATGCCTTTCTAGAAATATCGATATTTCTTCCAATACTCCAAAGATAGCAAGGACCATGCCGGTGGCGTTCTAGGATCTAAGTCCAATAGGCAATAAAGCAAGTCTTGGTATCTCTGGAGTCTAGGCTCGTCCAGCCTCACCAGTAACCTCCACGAGGCGTGCATAGCTTGACCATTTTGGACTTCCTCGACGTTTCTATTGACTGACCACCTCCTTTCGGGCGCAGTTGATATTCTCCCATGTATCCTGCTTTTCTTACAATGCTTTGAAAAGGGTTTGATGATCTTCCTTTCTCATGTCTAATGTTTTTGGCCTTTCATACTCTTGTCATTGTCCGCATCGCCCTGCTCTCTGTACTGGGACGCGTCAGATCGTCAGATCGTCGCCCGTTCCTTATTTTTGATCTGGAAGAGGGTCGAACGTTGTCAAAAAGTCTATGTGTTTCATCTGCGCGGTGGAAAGTATTTATACTGTGTTGTTTGATATTGGCCTCAAAGGGCCCTTCATCGAGGTTGGTGTACGGTTAATTTCGACCCCTTCGCCCTACCATCTACCGCATATCCTTGGTTTTGTACTCATCTAGTCCACCATGCTATTCTTCGCTTCAGCAACCACCATCCTCGCCTTCCTCACCTCTACCACCCTCGCCACCAAACGCGGCCTCATCTACATCCCCCCCGCCTCCGGCCCCTCTGACGACCGTATCTGGACCCAACCCCCCAGCCCCCTCACCTGGTACTACAACTACCAATCCGAACCCACTCCCTCCCTCCACAGCAACCCCCTTCACTTCGTCCCCATGCTCTGGGGCGCGCCCCCACCCCACCAACCCACCGCCTTCCTCGACGCTGTCACCGCGCAGCTAGCCCGCGGCGCCAACATCACCCATGTTCTCGGCTTCAACGAGCCGGACGGACCCCCGTCGACAGGCGGGTCGGCGCTCACGGTGGAAGTGGCCGCGGAGGCGTGGATGGCGAATATGGAGCCGCTGCGGCGGCGGGGGGTGAAGGTCGGGTTGCCGGCGACGACGGGGGCGCCGGGCGGGCGGGCGTGGTTGGAGAGGTGGTTGGCGGCGTGCGAGGGGAGATGTGGGTATGATTTTCTGACGGCGCATTGGTATGATAATATAGAGGGGCTGGCGAGCCATGTAGGGGAAAAGCGGCAGGTGTTCGGGGCGGGGATGGCGGTGTGGGTGACGGAATTTGCGTATGCGCATCAGGGGTTGGCAGCGACGCAGGAGGTTTTTAATAAAAGTTTGGAGTACCTGGATGGGTCGGAGTGAGTGAGGCGCTTCTACTTGCGGTGGTGGGATTTCGGCGACTGACTTGCGGCGTCTAGTTTCATCGAGCGTTACGCATATTTCGGCGCCTTCAGGAGCGGTGTCTCCAACGTCGGGCCGAATGGGGCGATGTTGACGGAGAGCGGAAAGCTTACTGACATTGGCTCCTGGTATCTTGGGGGTTCCGCGACGGGCAATGTGCCGACAAGTTCGGGAGCAAGGGCCAATGTCTTCGCCGGCTGGTCTGTCGTCGTTGTCCTTGTGTCTGCTTGGGGGCTTCCCTGATGTGGTCTGTGATCTGATATTGGGATATATTAGTACGACTGGATACCAATTTGAGCGATTTTTCTGGAGGAGTCTCGGACTGGCTTAAGGTTCTTAGTTGCCTTTGGAGGAGTGCGAATTAGAGGTATATGGGACGGACGCCACAGGTCTGCTTGGCTGGGCACCTATGATCCTGCAGTCGGTTTTGTAGCCGAATTCATACTCGCATAATCATAATCTAATCCATGACTCATGACGCTGATCCAAAGGTGTATCCGAAAACCCAAAATGGACTCAAAAGCATCCGAAAAGTCTACTTGATCAGAGCTGCTTGCGGTTCCACCGCTGCTTCTCCCGCCAAATGCAGCATACGCTCCGCTCTTCGCACCATTTCTGCACCATCCACGCCTTCAACTTCACCTCCTTTAGTTTCGCCGCTTGTCTCTGGGAACCATATGGCCCCGTTTGGGCCTCAGCTGGCATCTCGGCCTTGGCAAGTCCCTCGTCACGAAGCCAATCTGCAAGATCCTCGATGATAATCGGCTCATACATCATGATGCGTTCATGCCACGAGAATGGCCGAGGATCATCTTCTGTGTCCCTCTCCGGTGCTGTCGAAGCTTTCACTCTCCTCGTGATCTCCGGGAACAGCGTCGCTCGGAGATGATCTACCCACTTCAAGAAAGCCGCGTCTGTCCCCTCTGTCGTAGTAAGAACAAATTCACCCACAGCTTCCACATCGGCTGGTTGGAGATAGCCAGTTTGCCGACCGGCCGCGCTGCCAGAGACGAGTTGCAGCTCCGCTCCCTTCTTAGGAGGGGGATTCCTCCGCGGCGGTGACGGGGTAGAGCCTTCTTCGGAGTCGCAAATATCCTCAATGGGCAAAAATACATCTTCGTCATTAACGATTGTGGCCTCCGTGGTATTATTTAGACGACCTCTTCCTTTCTTGGCAGGAGAGGTAGAGAGCAGGCGTGCCTGACTCAAGTGAGCATCAGGTCGTGGGTATGTTGGCCGGACTGATGAATGTCTTGACGGAAAGGCAAACGGCCCTTCGCTGCTGATCGATGACCTTGGAGGTGTCGTACCATCGGAGGATATTGTGATAGCGCTCGACTTTAACCCGATATTAGATGACCCGGCGCCAGCAAGGCTTTCCCGTAGAGAAGTGTCTGTTTTTGAATCCATTGAGGTTGTCTGGGGCTCGTCGCGCATCAGCCGGTCGATATCGACCCACTCGTCCTCTCCAGACTTCGGCAATGAGGTCTGTGTGTTCTGCTTTAGATCCGCTTCGGAAGAGCCGCGTCTGGGTCCGGACAGACCTAGTGACTCTGACCAGCTCGGGAAGCCAGACACCTTGGTAGAAACAGGCTCTTCCTCGAGCGACATGTCAGCGTCATATTCATTTTCCCGTGCCCCCGCTGCCCATAGGTTCCTGCTTGGGCCGGAGACTGATCTCCGGAAGCGACTTTTAGGCGGAGACGTCCGGCGAACGGGGGGTGCATCACGCTCCGACTCTCGCATTGCCTGGATGATTTGCCGTGTAAAGGTAGGCGATTCATCGGCAGCCAACTGACTCGCCGTTCCGAAGAGGATATTTTGTTGGTGAAGCCGTTCCGCGACAGTTTTGGGTGATACGAGCTTCGGCTTCGCGACCTTTGTGGCCTTTTTCTTTGGTTCGGTATTCTTCTTCCGCTTCGAAGTGATGGTAGCATTGGTCTTAGGCAGCTTGCCGGTTTTCTTCCTTTTTGTTGCTTTGGAGGGCGGTTTGGGCTCTGGATTTTGGCCGGCTTGAAGTACGTTGCAGATAGACTGCATGGCCGCTTGTTCAATCGGTGGTTGCTCAGGCTCCAATCGGTAATGTGCTGTTGCAATCTCCGTGATTGTCCGAACGCCTTTCTTTTTCTTTGCAGGTGCTACCTGTGGCGGTTTAGGTTCGGGGATAGGCACTGGAACAGGCGCTGGGGGAGACTCGCTGACTGGAGTGTTTAAGGGTTGCACCAGCTATGAAGTAGTTAGTATGCAAACTCTCATCTTGGATTGTGGGATAAATACCTCTATCCGTCGTCGCTTCGTTAGAGCTTCACCGCCAACGTCGGACTTACTCAAGACCGTGGCATCTGCTTCGGCATATGCGAATCTGTCCAAAAAGCTGGAGATGTCCGTTGCAGGGCGTGGAGAAACACTGCCACTCAGAATATCCCGATCTACATCACCCTGAAGTTCTGAGTGCTTTGGAGGGGTCCAGTTTGATTTCCGGGAGACAGCCCGTGATAAATCTGCCGTATTAATATTTTCTGGCGACGTTCGCCGTGAATGGGCCTGTATTGCGGCCGGTGAAAAGTATTCTGAACGCTCCCTCGAGCTCTTGCGCCGCCTCTCCTTCCTGGGCCTAGAAGACGGCTTCATCTTGTTGTCATTGGCATCTCGAGGCGGCAGATCTGGTCTCTCTAGCGGGTCGTGATCCTCGATTGTTCCTAACGGCGTGGCGGTCTTGTCCAGTTCAGTGCCGAGTGAAAGTTCTACTCCCTTGAGAACAGAATCATTACATTCGTCGCTCTTCCTCTTTGGCACCCGCTTTGGACGGGGGTGATATTCCCCATTAGGGTTTGCCTCCTGAACCTTCAAGTTCTGCTTCTTGGTCCGTTTTTGAGATCGATCCGGCTTTCTCTTGGTGTTTGTGTTTTCCGTATCGGATGGAACCTCCCAGACATCCACCTCCTTCGGCTTAAGAGTATAAACTCCATCCTTGACAAGTTTTGCGACGCTGGTGAAGCCGGTGATCGCATCGTCCGGTATCTGTGCAGCTTGCGATCCGCTTCTAAGCGGGGTTTTCTTCGGCTTCGTCTGATGAATCACCTCAAAGAGTGAAGGAAGGTCGTCTGATGATGGCTCGCCATATTTCGGCCGGTTCGCTTTGCGACTGTCTGTTGGATCTCTTGGGGAAGAGGACAGGATTACGAGGTCGAAGGCAGACATTCGGGTTGAAAATTGCGAGCAACGTACAACCGCCCGCGAGGAGAAGAGTCAAGGAATCATTGTTGGGAATCTTTTGGTTCCAATACTCCAGTACTCCTACTGTGAACGCATACACGCATCAATATCGGCTATGGTAGAGTTTAAGGAGCTGGGGCTGCATATGGCGCGCGACTTCGCGATTTGGTCAATGAAGGAAAACGCGATCCAACACGGGGTCACGTGACAGCGCTATCGGGCGTCACTTTCTGCTGGAAGCTCAACAGCTTCGAAAATTTCTCTTGGGAAGCACGATAGCTCCCACGTATGAAAATCATGGTAAACATTCTATGTCCAATTTCTCATTGAAAGCCTTGATAGACCCCTTCTTCAGTACCGACATTACTTGGAAAGCTCCTACTTAACTACAGGTCGGATACAACTGCGAAAATGGCAAACACCAAACCTTCCGACGACACCCCACTCACATACGCCGCCTCTGGTGTTTCAATCTCATCGGGGAACGACCTTGTTCGCCTCATCAAACCAATTGTTGCGTCCACTGCTCAGCCTGGAACGACCTCGTCAATTGGTGGCTTTGGCGGTGTCTTTTCTCTACACGATGCAGGCTTTCCTGGCGCACCAACCCTCGTTTCCGGCATCGATGGCATCGGCACCAAAGTCAAGATTGCGTTTGCATTGGGGAAGCACGATACTGTGGGCATTGACTTGGTAGCGATGAACGTCAATGACCTGGTGGTTCAAGGCGCGAGGCCTCTGTTCTTCCTCGATTACTATGCGTGTGGAGAACTGAAGGTTCAAGATACCGTGGAATTCGTCCGAGGTGTCGCTGAGGGATGTCGTCAGTCAGGAGCGTCATTGGTAGGAGGTGAGACGGCCGAAATGCCGGGCGTTTACACCAAGGGTGAATATGATGCTGCTGGCTGTGCCGTTGGTGCTCTGCCGCATGGCGCTAAGGTCCTTCCCGACATCAACTCCATGAGATCTGAGGATGTGCTACTCGGTCTGGGTAGCAGCGGCTTGCACAGCAATGGGTTCAGCTTGGTTCGCAAGATTGTCGAAAGAGCTGGCTTGAATTATTCCGACCCCGCTCCCTGGGACCAAAGCACGACCGTGGGTGCGAGTCTACTAACGCCGACCAAAATCTATGTGAAAAGTCTACTGAAGGCCGTCGATGCCGGGGCCATCAAAGGCATGGCGCATATCACCGGGGGCGGGCTTGTTGAAAACATTCCGAGGATGTTGCCAAAGACGCTGGAAGCAGTGGTCGATGCCGCGTCGTACCCTGTCCCACCGGAGATGCAATGGCTGAAGAAGACTGGTCAGATCGAGGATACCGAGTTCGCAAGAGTCTGGAACACTGGCATTGGCATGGTACTCGTTGTGGACTCGAGCGATGCCAAGAAGACGATCAAAATCTTGGAGGCCGAAGGCGAAAAGGTATACACGGTCGGCCGCCTCGCAGACAGGACGTCACCCGACGGCTGTGTTGTCCAGAATATGTCAGCCTGGAGTTGAGCGCTGCCACCTGGCGTGCGTGGCCAATACAATATGGCCCATATTACTGCAGATGATTTAATTCATGAGCTAGCATGTACGTATCATCCTTTTCCGCTTGAGTGCGCTTTTGTCGATGCAACGAACCGCAACATCCTGTATACTGCCGCTTGCCTAAATCAAGCTTCCTCACAGAACAGCGCGCTCCAGGTACGTCTTGTGCTTTGGACGTTGCTGGTGGCAGTCATGGTGCAGATATTAGTTTATCTCTTGTTGCAAGATTGGACAACGGACGGTCATAGTGCGCAAGCTTTCCGGTCATCACTGATCTAGAAGTTTGAGCCTCCAAGAGTCCTACATTTTCAACAAACTTCCTCCCACTTTGCTTAGTAACAATTTGTTATCTTGCTTCCTTTCTCTTCCTTGGGACAAGTCTGAGACCTTTCTGACTTTTGGATAGGGCGAGACGCCGTTCTATTTGGCTAAGCGGCCGGATGCTGCAATACCTAACTCCCCTCTGGCTCTTGAATCCGCTTCATTAGGATCAACGAACTTCAACGAACGATAACGCGCATCCCACATCTGCTCACGAATCCACTCTTCAAGCTCGTCATCGCTCTCCGGAATGTTCTCCACTTGGGCCAGCCCCTCCTTAACAGCCGCTTTGATGACTGCTCTTGCGATTTGGACACTGATCTCCCTAACATCTGTGACATCAGGCAATAGGGCAGCTTTGGGGTTCTTTAAAGCCGGCGCTTGTGCTGCCAATGCCTTGGTTGCTGCAACAAGTAAAGACGGCGGCATCAGTTTCGTCCGGCACAACACGGCACCGAGTCCGATTCCTGGGAATACCGTGGAATTGTTACATTCCGCTGTAGCCGTTAGCTAGGGACAGCTTGGTATTGCAAACGACGTACCGATTTCCAACTTCTCCCCATCATACTCCACTGGCGGGAATGGGCTGCCTGTGGCGACGAGGGCTTTCCCATCCGTCCATTTATAGAGATCCTCTGGCCGTGCTTCGTGAAGTTTCGTCGGGTTGCTAAGCGGGAAAATGATGGGCCGTTCCACATGCTTCGCCATTGTCCGAATGACTTTCTCGGTGAACGCCCTGGGGTTCGTTGAGGTTCCAATTAACACATGCGGCTTCACCTCGTCGACCAAGGATGCGAGGTCTTTCCTCTCCTTGTTTTCCCATTCCTTGTCGTCCCGTGCATATGTCAGTTGCGCCTCTGTGAGATGCTTTTTATCGGATGTGAGCAGAAGTCCGGGCTTATCGACACACCAGATGTGTTGCGATGCCTCTTCACGAGAAATGGAGCCTTCTTGGGCAATTACATCCCGGAGTTGGTCCGAGATTCCCATTCCAGCACTTCCAGCCCCAAATATCATTATTCGAAGATCGGCCAACTTTATGTCGCTGACATGTGCTGCGGCCATGATTGCGGCTAACGTGACGCATCCTGTGCCTTGAACATCGTCGTTGAAACACGCAATCCGAGGCTGGTACTTGTCCAAGATTCTCCGCGCGTTCGCAAGACCGAAGTCTTCGAAGTGGATATATGCCTTTGGATATCGGTTTCGAACCGCTTGCACAAACTGGTCCACGAACGAGTCATATCTCTCCCCCCGAATTCGAGACTTCCGCAAACCGAGGTATAAGTCATCCTCTAGAAGCGTCTTGTTATCCGTGCCGCAGTCCAATACTACCGGCAATGTTCGGGACGGGTGGATGCCAGCACAGAGTGTGTATAGGACAAGTTTCGCGATGGATATCAGAATGGCTCCGGAGCCCTGGTCGCCGACCCCCAGAATCTGCTCTCCATCACTGACAACCACGACATCGATGTCGTCCGGATCGCCCCACTGCTTGATGTTATCATCAATCCGATCTTGGTCGTCGATGTTCAGAAAGCAGCCTTGCGGTCGGCGAAACAGCCTCGAGTAGTTCTCAATCGCCTCGCCTTCTGTAGGCGTATAGATCACCGAGAACATCTCTTTTAGATTGTCATGGAGAAGCCTGTAGTACAGCACTTCACTCTGCTCTTTCATACTGGTCATGAAGGTGTTTTTGGCAATATCGGATGGACGGCTCGAATATTGCTCATAAGCACGCGCGACCTGCTGCTCGAGGGTTTGGACATTCTGAGGCAGGAGACCGTACAGCTTGAATTCCTTCCTCTCGTCAGGGGGGAATGCCGAGCCTTTGTTGAAGTATGGCGATTTGAGCAGAGCCGCACCCTAGCAGCATGGAATTAGCGACTACAAATCCGACTTGAATAAACAATAGAACGACATCTTCGTTGGGAAATTGCAGATATACGTGAATACAGGACACCATCACGTCCGCATTGAATTTCAAGCCAGGAACACTTACCGTCAAGGCACAGTTCAGAGGCCCAGATGTCGAGAGCGGCAAGTAGCCGAACTTGGGATTCTTTTCGGTCTTGTGAGGGGCATCCATAATTGATTATATTTAGTTATGCACTCTTGAGGGAACGAATTGGAATTTGCGTTTGTGATTGTCGTCACAACAGAAACCTTGAATTACCAGTGTAGGCGTAGGGAGTAGCATCTACCTCATCCTGAGCATAAACAATACGATACGTCATCAGTAGCTTCACGTTGTCAACAGAAGGCACCAACAAGGCAAATATTCCTTACGGTAGAGAGGACTGCATGTGGACTGGATAGGCAGCATAGACAATATTATTTCTCAAGTTCTACAATTAATACCTAATATTAACCTTAATTCATTGATGGATCAATAGTTCGACACATCGATGTGTCGAGTTCTGATGTCAGCTTCCAGTTCAGTGCTAGCTCCCCACATCGGTGATGTCGTGATATTCGTCTCGTTATCAACCGAGATCTGCGAGCTTGGTTTCACTGATTGCGTTTAATCCAAGGCAAGGCTCCTCAGGAATGGAGCTACGGGAAGAATACAATATACCGGTTTTGTCATATAGTGTACCGGTAGTTGTTTCGATTTAGTTTGGGATTATGGGACAGCCTCACATCATGTCGTCCGACTCCCCCCCGAATGAGCAAACCCCGCTCATCACCATCGTTCACGTTGCTCCTCTTCGAAGACGATACCCTCACCAGCGACTTCGCCAGTTCTGCACCGGCCTGCTTTCTCTTGTCCTCATACTCTTCGTGGTCGCTTTCTTCTTGCTAGCGTTCGTCTTCGAGGATTGCAAGTCACCGAGGAGGTTGACGTTGAATGGGAAGCATCACCTACCATGTATCCCACATCATCCATTCCGAGAAGGTAACGATATATTCCGCGTCGATGGCACCCAGAGTCTGCAAGACGGTCCTTCGACTTCGAGCATCAGCCAGACTGTCCTGTTCGATATCCTGAGCGAAACGCCAGACGAGCAGAAGGTGCGAGAGTGGAGCCAATATTACACCGCTGGACCGCACTTGGCAGGGAAGAATCTATCACAAGCAGAGTGGACGAAGGATCGCTGGGTAGAGTTCGGAATACCACAAACCGAGATCGTGTCATACGATATCTACGTCAATTACCCGCGCGACCATCGTCTAGCGCTTCTCGAAAAAACCAAGTCCGGCAGCGATGAGGCAGCCGAATGGGGCGTCAAATACGAGGCCAGTTTGGAAGAAGATGTCCTAGACGAGGATGGAACTAGTGGGCTGAAGGATAGAATCCCCACGTTCCATGGATATAGCGCGAGCGGGAATGTGACGGGACAATACGTTTTCGCGAACTACGGCACGTACTCGGATTTCGAGGAGCTGCAGAACGCAAACGTCAGCCTGGAAGGAAAAATCGCATTGATCAAGTATGGAGGAATATTCCGGGGGTTGACGGTGAAACGGGGCCAAGAATTGGGCATGATCGGTGCTGTCCTATACAGCGACCCTGGTGACGATGGAGCGGTCACCGAGGAGAACGGCGAAGAGGCGTATCCGAATGGTCCGGCAAGAGAACCGAGCAGTGTTCAGCGGGGCAGCGTTCAATTCCTCAGTGAGTTTCGGACTACGACGCCCAAGGTCTGACTAACTAATTGACAAAGGTATAGCTCCCGGCGATCCGACGACGCCTGGCTACCCTTCGAAGCCAGGAGTACCACGCCTCCCAGCGAATGCTTCGACGCCCTCGATTCCCTCCATACCAATATCATATCAGGATGCCCTCCCCCTCCTCAAAGCGCTCAACGGCCATGGCCCGAACGCGACCTCGTTCTCCGAACGCTGGCAACGTGGAGGGCTTGGCTACAAAGGCGTGGAATACAACGTCGGTCCCTCGCCGGCCCATCTGCAGCTCAACCTCGTCAATGATCAAGAATACGTTATTACGCCGATGTGGAACGTCATCGGAATCATCAACGGCACGCTTCAAGACGAGGTGGTCATCCTCGGGAACCACCGTGATGCTTGGGTCGCTGGAGGTGCCGGCGATCCAAACAGCGGCTCCGCTGCCATGATCGAGGTCGTACGATCTTTTGGCAAAGCACTGGAGGCGGGCTGGAAGCCTCTCCGAACCATAGTTCTGGCGAGCTGGGACGGCGAAGAATATGGTCTCCTCGGCAGCACCGAGTGGGTCGAGGAATATCTTCCTTGGCTCAACAGCAGTGCAGTGGCGTATCTCAACGTGGATGTTGGGTCCTCTGGTCCGCATTTTAAGGCTGCTGCGGCGCCCCTGCTGAACCAAATCTTGGTCGAGGTGATAGAATCGGTTCAATCGCCAAACCAGACCGTCAAAGGGCAAACGGTTGCAGACGTTTGGAATAAGAAGATCGCTACAATGGGCTCTGGAAGCGACTTCACAGCATTTCAAGATTTTGCTGGCATCCCTTCGATCGATATCGGGTTCAGTGCAGAACCCGGTTCGGCAATATATCATTACCAGTACGCAATTGTCCTCCATTTTTGTCTCAAACTATGGTGTACTAACCCGAATAGCTCCAATTACGATAGCTTCGACTGGATGGACCGCCTTGGAGACCCTGGCTGGCATTATCACGTCACAATTGCGAAAGTCTGGGCACTCCTTGCCGCTCGTATTGTTGAGAAGCCTGTGGTGGCCTTCAATGCCAAAGACTATGCCGAAGCACTGATCGGCTACCTCGACGGTGTCAAAAACCAAGTGTCGAATAGTACAGCACTTCAACTCGCCTTGTCGGAGGAAGGGTTTGAGGCCGAGCCGGCAACTCTCTTCCCTCGACTGACCGCAGCTTTGGATGTGTTGCTCACGGCGTCCGAGAGTCTCGATGCCAAAGCTGCAGTCCTAAAGGAGAAGCTCGGCCACGACATCCCCTGGTGGAAATGGTGGAAGAAGATCAAGCTTTACCACGCTATCCGGAAAGTGAACACAAAGTACAAGCTCCTGGAGCGAAAGTTTCTCTACCAGGAGGGATTGGATGGCCGCCCTTGGTACAAGCACACGGTGTTTGCGCCGGGCTTGTGGACGGGATATTCCGGCGCCACCTTCCCAGGACTTGTTGAATCTATCGAGCAGGGTGATACTGAAAATCTCAGGAAGTGGGAGGGAATTTTGGCCGATGTCGTCAAGAAGGCAATCGGGTGGCTGGAGAAGTAGTCGGCGGTGAAGGCCAGCGGACGCAATATATGGAATATGGTTGATGATGGAATGTAGCAGGTAGGGATGCTTAGATTTCGTAACCGCAGTAATAGGTCCCTCGGGGTGTCATAAATGCTTCCAGTGTCGAACTCCCAGACTCCTCCCTTTCGTGCAACTTTCCGTGCCTTCCGAATGCCCATAAGGTTAGCCAACCGTATACCTTGTTTCGTAAGACTAGATTCCAAAGACATTATAATCATGAACCGGTTTCCAATGCGCTCCTCAGCCTCTGGAATCCTACTTCACGGGAGCTTTCTAGCCCGCCTGTTTCTTGGCGAAGATTCCATACACCCCCCCCTGAGCCTTCACCTCCTCTTTCAAGCCCGCAAAACGCGCTTCCGGCAACCTCTTTCCGGCCTTCAAGCTCTCGATGACCCATTCAACGGTCACGAATTTCACCAGTCCGACGCCTCGTGACCGTTTCATATCATGTTCGATCTTTGTGGCCGCCAACCCTCCACCGCATCCGCGTTCTCGTGATGGGCGGCCAAGGATTACATGAGTGACCGATCGTCTCGCGAGTCCCATGGTCAGGTTTGCTCCATGCTGGACCAGGAGTTGTTTTAGCTTGTGGTCGGAGATTGTCGGGTACGTTGAGCCGTTGATGTAGATTTTGAGGGAGGAGAAAATTTGGGGATGCTGGTGTTCGCTGTTTGACTTCGGTGGTAACTTGATAGTGCTGCCGAGACCAGTCTCTTTGCTTTTTCCAACTCCCGTCGGTGGCTCTTTTGAAGCATGCTTTTTCATCCGCCCTCCCATCGAATCAAGGATGCTGACTTGTCTCTTCCCCTTCGACGTCCCCGCAACATCATGATCTCGAACCTCATCTTTGCGATGGACGCCTCGGAGCCCATCCAGCCTCCGGTCCGAGCCAGAGAATTGCAGGCCCAACTTCGCATCTCGGAGATCCCTCCAGTGAATAGAGTGTCCTACCTGATTCTCGGCCGTTTGGTACCCACTCGAGCCTGAGTTCCAGGGTTCAAACACCTCCCGCGATGGTTGCGCAGCTCTCAAAGGCTGGAGAGATGAGAACTTTGGCTTTGAAGTCGGCAAGTAGTCGGATTGACTGCCTTCACCTGCGGTTCACTGCATCCCGTTTGTACACAGTACATATCTTGCATGTAGCTGTGGGGATCTGCGGTGGTGGCGTTCTGGGAAGCGGGGACAGCGGGAGGACCGAGTCACCAAGAGCGCGAACGGATGTCTGCAGTGGTGTCGTTTTGCAAGCAATTTCCCCTCAGAGAATGAATGTCATTTGTCAAAGGAAGGAACTGTTATGAAGACGAGGATTCGTCCTGATGTGCAACGTCGTCATAACGGTTGAGAATCGAAATTAGATCGTGATGTTGTCCAGTTGGCCTTGCATCAACCTGCAACGTCTACGGGTGTCGCGCATCGCGTCGGCGTGGAGCAGAGAGGATCCGCCACGATTGAGACACGCTATCACGTGATCCGATTAACGGTCTACCTGAACCTCACTTCATCTTCATCAGTACTTTGGACAAGCATACAACTAGAGATTATTTCTCAGACCCTGGGGGTAATTATCACAATCAGACGACGGCATAGTCTCATGGTTTAGGACTGGCAGGTGGGGATCGTAGCACTTGATGCTTACTAACATTTACTCATGCGGAGTCCTTCAGCTGGAGCCGGAAACAGTTTCGAAAGCACCCACTTATACTGATCTTTCTTATATCGGGACGTTGCTCCTCACAGTCCACAGATACAACATTAATAAGCTGGTCCTGTTCCCCTCCAACTATTTGCGAATGATCGTAGGCCTAGTCGATGCGTTTATTGATCCAGCCTATCCTACCCAAACTCAAAGGAGGCAATCGTTCCTTCAACAATCTTCGAAATCATCTATCTAGATCTTGTTCGACCATGTCTCGGGCACCGTATGATGCGGTCATCATCGGCTCTGGGCAGTCAGGGAATCCATTGGCAAAGGCCTTCGCGGATACCGGACGAAAGACGGCCTTGATTGAGAAGGCGGACATAGGAGGAACATGTGTGAACTGGGGCTGCACCCCAACGAAGACCATGATTGCATCAGGAAGAGCAGCATACTTGGCCAGGCGAGGAGCGAACTACGGTGTCAATGCCGGCAAGAATGTCAATTCTGACGTCTTGGTCGACATGGAAAGAGTCCGGGAACGCAAGAGAGATATCGTAGCGAGCTTCAGCGGAGGGAATGAAAGTCGATTGCTGGAAGCAGGAGTGGATGTTTTAAAAGGAGAAGCTAGGTTCACGGGGCCGAAGTCGCTCACTGTGAGGATGAACGATGGTGGCGACAAGGAGGTCACAAGCGATCTGATCTTCATCAACGTGGGAGAGCGGCCGTCGAGACCAGATCTGTCAGGTATTGATAGCATTCCGCCTGAGCGAGTGCTAGATTCGACAACCATCATGGAGCTTGGCTCGGTACCAGAGCATCTGATCGTACTTGGCGGCGGCTACATTGGATTGGAATTCGGACAATTATTCCGTCGATTTGGTTCGAAGATTACGATCATCCAACGGGCGGAACGTCTTATACCTCGAGAAGACCCGGATGTCTCGAAGTGCATGTTGGATATCCTGGAAGAAGATGGAACCTGTGTCTACCTATCGAGCCAGCCCAACTCCATATCGCGTACAAAGAATGAGGCTTTGCCAGTTTCATTGAGCATCAAATTTACTGACGGCAGGACGAAAACCATCGAAGGTTCGCATTTGCTCCTTGCTGCGGGTCGAACTCCCAACACGGACACGCTCAACTTGACTGCTGCCGGGGTCACTACTTCTCCCCGCGGCCATGTTCTCGTCCACGATGACCTTTCTACCCATGTTCCAGGCATATTTGCAATCGGCGACGCCAAGGGTGGCCCTGCCTTCACTCACATATCCTACGACGACTTCCGCATCATTCGCTCCAACCATATTCCATCCGCCATGTCACCAACGGCGCGGAGGCTGTCGACAACGAAGGTGTCATCGTCGCGAAGGCTGACCCCGTACGTGATCTATACCGATCCACAAGTGGGACACGTTGGCATTCATGCGTCGGATGCTACGACTGCGCCGTATCAGAATCGGAAGGTCAAGACGGCTTCAATGCCGGCGGAATACGTTGCTCGTGGGCTGGAGACGGATGAGACTCGCGGCATGCTGAAGGCGACTGTGGATGCGGATACAGGGGAGATCTTGGGATTCACGGCCGTATGCACGGAAGGGGGGGAACTGATGGCCGTTGTCCAGACCGCAATGATGGGCGGACTAAAGTATTGGGACTTGCAGGAAGCGGTCTGGGCTCATCCGAGCTGGGCCGAAAGTTTGAACAACCTCTGGGCATCCTTGGAGTGAACATATTGACCAACAAGAAGGGTTGAATTCTAAGTCAAGCGTGATCTTGTCCGTGGTATCCCGTGAAAAGGAAAAAAGCGCCTAGATAATGCCGCAATCTACCCAGAAACGCCGAAAGATATGCGAGTCTCGTCAGTCATGCAGATTACTCCTCCGTCGCCAAAACCATCTTCTCTCTCTCGCTCCGTCTCTTCGTCTTCGATTTCATCCGCGAACTTCTCCTCTCGTTTTCTTCCCGGCGCTTGATCGAGCCTAGCTCCTCCCGCTTGATCGTCTCCGCCCGCTTCACCTGCTTGGGCAGGTGACGATGCCGTGCGATTCTTCGAATCTCGGGCATGTGCTTGTACCGCTCCTTCAGCGCGTCGTCATATTCGAGCTTCTCTCGCTCACGGGCCGACTTGACGCCCTGTCGCGCAGATGCCTTGGCCCGCCACAGTCGTACGTTGCCGTCGTCACTGCCAGAGAGGACATAGGCATTGTCCGGAACATAGGCCACGCTGAATACGCGCTGCATGCGCTTCGTGTGGTACATATCTCGGCTGTGGCCCTTACTACGATCCCAGAGGCGGACGCTTCGATCATAGCTCCCAGACACGAGCTCCTCGCCTGTAGGCGAGAATGCCACACTCATAGCTGCGGCAACATGGCCCTTGAGTACGTTGAGGGCCCGACTCATTTTTCGCATGTCGAAGATGTAGATGTTGTGGTCTTCGGAGGCGGTGGCGAAGTTGAAAGCCTCCATCGGGTTCCATGCAATGCTGTTGCTTGCGAAACTTAGAACGGTTCGGTGTAGCGGAGAACCCGTGCGAAGGTCGTAGAGGATTATGGATCGATCGGTGCCAGCGCTGGCGAGAATGGATGTTTCGGTTTGATTGAAGGCGCAGGTGGTGATCGTGTCCACCGTCGAGGGCCAGACCAGGGTTTGACTCGGGGAAGAGCTTTCTCTGCTGTAATCGTAGATGGAGATCTGTCCCGACGAAACAGCCACAGCAGGGAGGCTTCTATGATGTGATATGGAAGTAAAGGCGCCTTGTCCTTGGTAGATCGCAGTCGGCCCTGGGCGACCCTCCGAGCCGTAGGGGTCGAACATCTTGACCGTTCGATCCGTTCCACAAGTGAGCATTTTGCGATCGCGAGTCCACGCGATTCCCTTCACGATGTTATCGTGTGCCTTGCATTGCCATATCTCCTCCCTGCTAGGAAGATCCCAGACTTTCACCACGCCATCGCCGCTCCCACTGGCAAGACGTTCCAAAGAGCCCGGGTCTTGCGCCATGCTGTAGACGCCATCGACATGGCCTTTTCCCAGCTGGCCCAAGAAGGGCGCAGCGAACATGCGCTCTAACTTGGTCGCATTGAGAGCGCGGGTATACTCTCTTGCCCGCTCAAATGGGTGCAGAGAAGGATCGAGGTTTCTGAGGAGTCGGGGAGTGGAGGAGCCGGGAGGCTGTAGCGCCTCTGTTGAGCGCGAGAGCGCCTTTATCTTCTGTGGTATCAAATAGGTAAGTACTGCGCATGTTATCCAATGTCAATAATTACGTACCATGCCTTAAATTCTGGGTGCATTAGGATACACGTATGTTGAGACTGCATTCACTGATGCATTTTTGGACATGCATGGAATTTTTTGGAGGGGACGTCGAAATCTTGGCATCTGGAGGTCAAGGGGCTTGGCATTGACAATTTTGACAAGACGGAGAAGGTCACGGGATAAGAATCAAAATACCCACGTGAGTAGTCACGTGATTGTACCTTAAGGATCAGGTGACCTCCAAGCATCACCGTAGCAACGGCCGTGCGTCACAACAGACGTCGTCACCATCAACTCCACCCACTGACACGCGACGAGAAGGATGAGACTGTTGACAACCCTGCTCTCCCATATCACCACCTCCGCCTCGACCTACTCTAGCTTCACTTCATATTAAGACACAAATCTCCAACGCTGCTTGATCCCTTTCCCTTTCTCCATTTCGAACCTCATCTCAACCATAAACATACCCTCGATCAAACTATGACAACATAATCGCCCCCCTGTCCACCGATATCGAAAACACGCATTCCGGCCGCTGTCACTGGGCGACGAGCCTACATTCTCCAAAATCACTTTTCGAACTGACGAATTGAATACCATGCCTGCTGAAAGCAGGGAACCATCTCGCGATCGAGACCAGGTGGTGAAATACCATCACCAGCATTCCTATTCCGAGTCGGGCCGCGCCTCAGTCCCAATGTGAGTCCCTTCGCAGCTCATCTCAATCGTCAGCACTTTTCACGCGCAGTAAACGCACATCGCATATCTCCTGGGCCCATGCCGCTAACGAGTTTTCTGAAAATTTCAGGTGGGATAGTAGCGATCCAGACCGAGCTCCACCTCCGCTCCCACTCAACCCATCATCCCCTCAGCTTCCGAACCCGCGCATCAACCCAGCATCCCATATCGCAGCAGCAACTGCTGCACTTCAAGAGAAGGCCCGAGAAGGCCTCGCGCCAATGACGTCCAACTACATCACAAATGGCGCCCCGTCCGATGGGAGCAAATCCCCCGAGCGCTCTCTGGTCAAAGGCGCCCAGCACCGAAGACTCCAATCCTTGCAAACCCCGAGCGTAAAGGATCTCCGGAGTTACTTGGATGGTAGCCGTTCGCCTGAGCGATCTCCCGACCGTGCGACCGGTCGGGCGGGTACGCCGTCTTTTAGTCGCGATGACAGAGACCTTTCGTCTCCGGACAAGAGTCGAGAGAGCACTCCAACTCCAACGAGCCGGGAACTATTGAGGGATTCGATCCCGAACTTACGACCGACGTCGCGGAGCCCGCCTAAAGCCATACTTGGCGAGCACACTCCTCCTAGCGCGACGATGCTTGCACTTCAAACCATACCCGGTCGAGACCCCGATACGCCACTCGCAAATATGACGAGGGAGTCTGAGCACACTCCTGCGTCGGCCGCAAGTGCATCAACACCCCGAGCTACTCACGGAGCACCCCAGGTCCCAATCGAGTCAATTAGCACCCAGATATTGGGTCTGACAACCATTGCCACGAAACTCCAACGAGAGATGGAGCAGCTCAGTCGAAGAAGTCGGGATAATGCGACAGATCTGGTCGCACTCAAAGACGCGACCAGGAGCCGGGATGAGGACATCAGAAAGTCTCTCCGCGAGCTGGTACAAAACCTTCCCTCGTCGAAGCTCTCACTTCCCGATCAGATCCCCACCGGAAATGCGAGCCGCAGCGGCAGCTTTGGCGTTTCCACTCCGCCACCTGCAGGAGCTCCAAAGTTCACCCTCCCACGAATCCCTTCCCCTGCCTCTTTTCTCTCCGATGACCGATCGGGTAGTCCTAATCCATTTAGTCTTGAAGGCGCAGCATCGGTTGCAATGCTGGAGAAGATCATCCGTGAGATGGTGACAAAGGAAGGTCAGGAACGGCTTCTTGCGACACTCAGCCAACTCTTCGATAAATCAAGCAAAGAGAGTGGCGATACAGCGCGCAAAGTCGAGCAACTCACTGAGTTTATCCGACAGTCTTCTTCACAAGCTCTTGTTACGCGAGGAAGGAGCCCGACCGTTGCAGGTGCGACCTCATCCGATGCATCTAAGCTTTCACTGAACTTCGATACCGGTGCGGTCGCCGCTCGTGGCGGATTTGAGGATGTAGTACCTTCAGATGGCACCAGATCATTCACTGACGCGAACGCAAAAGAATTCGTTTCCGACGAAGTCATGAAGATATTACGAAAGATCAAGGACAGCGTCGGTAATACCGGTGGTCTCGTGGCCGAAGTCAAAGCACAACAACGAGACCTGCGCGGAGAAGTGCTGCATATGGGCCGGGATCTCATGCGTCGCATTGACGAAGCAATGAAGCCTGCCAGTGCTGCGAACGGCCCATTGAAAGCGATCGAAGATGGACGAGAGGCCGAAAAGATCGATATTGCGCGCCTAGTTCAGGAAGGCCTAGAGGAAGTGAAGAGTCGCCTGGACGATGCCATGCGTGAACGACGGCGGCAGAGCTCGAGCAGTATCGTTTCGCGAACCACGGTCGATTCCCGCGAGGTATACGACGTGGTGAAGCACGCGCTCGCCGAACGTGATCTTGACCGAGGGTATGGTGCTCCTGTTCAAGCTCAGTCGGAGCAGCAGCCGCTGGATAGGGAAGCCATTCTGGAGGCGGTTAAAGAAGCCTATGAGGCCTACAAGCCGGAGATAGAATTGCAGCAATTCGGACTGGAGCGAGACGAAATCCTACAGTGTCTCAAAGATGGACTGGAGGACTACCGTTCCAACATGACCAATCCCCGAGAGCGCAACGGGATCTCGAAAGACGAAGTCATGGACGCCGTTCATGAAGCAATGACGCATTTCAATCCACCCTCACCGATAAACGAGTCCAAAGAAATACGCGATGAAGTTCTGCTGGCGGTTCGAGAATGCCTAGATGAGCTCCGACCGGCGTTCCAACAACGAGCGATGACATACCATGACACGGATGCTACCAAGGATGCCGTGCTTGATGCGGTCAAAGAAGGACTTGCCTCGCATGGCATCGGTGGAGCTCGAGAGCTCGAGCTAAACAAAGACGATCTATTCGATGCAGTTCGAGCCGGACTCGAAGCTTCCGGAAATCCATTCGGAGAATACGGACAGCAGGTCGTCAAGCAGCTTGATGAGCTCCTTCAGGATATGAGAGTGGAGTTCAAGTCATATTCGATGGCCAGCGGGCGAGATACCGAGCAAGTCCTTGACGCGATGAAGGATGGTCTCGAGTCGCTTCGCGGTGAGATCGAAGCCTACGTTGATCGCTCTCAAGATGTTACCGGGAAGGATGAGATCATCGACACTGTTCGTGGAGGGCTCGAAAATCTGCGGCAAGATGTACAGGGCTACGTGTCCGAAGGTCCTCAAGGCGACCACGCCGTGAGCGGCAGGGAAATGCTCAATTATGTGAGAAGGGAGTTCGAGCATCTTCACGCGGCCATTACGGACGGGTTTACCTCAGTGGACCATCACTCTCTCTTGCAAACTCTTCACCAAGGTCTCGCCGACCTTAAGAGCTCCGGAGGGGCACGAGGCCTCGATGGGGAGGCTAATATCGACAGCAGCTCGCTCAAAAATATCCAAGAAGAGCTCGGTCATCTACGCGGGAGCATCGCGACCGCCCTCATTCGATCAGGCAGCGCCGATAAGGACGACATAATCGATTCATTCCAATCCTCCTTGGAAACTCTTCGGACCCAGTTAGAGACATCCCAGGGCGCGTCCGCGAAAGAGAGCCTAGATGCCATTACCATGGAGATTGACCAGCTGCGGTCCGGCATTACCAATGCGGTCGTCGGCGCAGGAACAGATGTGGACAAGGAGTCCATCCTCGAGGCTATTCGAACCGGACTTGAAGAAATTCGCCCAGCTCTAGGTGGTGGGGCCAGCGATGAGCTCCTCGAGGCATTCCGGGGTGAATTTGAACATGTTCGCGCCAGCATTGCGACGGGTATGGCTCGGACAGCTTCAAGGGCGGACACCGACGAGGTTCTTGATGCAGTGCGCCTCGGGATCGATGACCTTCGAAGCCACCTCGAGAAGAAGATGGACAATCCCGAGGCACAAATGAAAGCAACCGGTGATATTCTGGATGCTTTGAATGATGGCTTGGATTCCCTCAAGACCGACGTTGGAAAGATGGTTGACAAGCCGGTCGACATGACTGTGAGCTATGAGATCTTGGACACGCTGAAGGATGGGTTATCTGCCATCCATATGGAGATTAGCAAGCTCAAACCGGGAGATGTCAAGTCGAAGTCAGGGGATGAGATCATTCTTGCGGAGGAAGAGATCACACGAGACGTATCTGGCGGCGAGGTGTCATCCACCGTCCTGCAGCGAAATGATATCGAGAAGATGGAGGTCCTCCTCGCACAGTTACAGATCAAGGTCGAGGCACTCGACGCAAACATCCAAGATCAGGCTTCCACACCCCCCCAACCCGCAGACGACTCCGATACGAAGAAGGTCGATCTGAGCAGTATCGAGGTCTTACTTAAAGATCTCCAGGACTCTGTGGTATCCATTGCTGCTCGCGAACAACTCGACAATGACAACCTCGCGAAGAAGGAGGACACCGACGCCATCGAGACACTTCTCCGAAACACGAAATCGAAACTCGACGACCTGGCGGCCCCCGAATTTGACAAGCTGGCTCAAAAGGAGGATCTAGAGAATGTCGAAGCCACTGTCCGAATCGCCCATGAAGCCGTTGACGCCTTAGCAGCGAAGTTCGACGACAAGACTGCTTCGAAGGAAGATTTGCTTGCGCTCGGAGCCACTATGCAAGATATTAAGGCCGTCATTGAGGAACTCAAAGTGGATCAGGATGCACCGAAAGAGAAGACCGAAGATGAAGTGACCAAAAAGGACTTGGACATTCTGGGCGTGGTCTGCATTGAGATCAAGAATAAGATTCAAGAGCTGGTTGACCCGGAGACCCTGCCATCAAAGGCGGATCTGGAACAGATTATCGGCCTGACCAACGACCTTCGCGAAAGTCATGAAAAGATGAGGGAGGGATATGAGACAGACATACGAGTCACTGCCAAAGCCTTCGACGACCGCAAGTCCGAATCTCAGGAGATCTTGAACACAATCACTGCGATGAGGTCCTTCCTAGAAGAAACCAAGGACGACTTGAAACGACAAGTCGAGGATGGCTCGATCTCCGTCGGTATGCTCTCCGAGAATGTCAAAGGTATCGAGGAAACGATCGGCGCGAACTTCAGCATCGTCACTGATATCAAGGAACTCATGGAAACCGTCACAACTGAATTCGAGAAAACCCATGCCGACTTCGGAAGCCTCCAAGCTAGCCAGGAGCAAGTGGTCGGCGACGAATGCGAGAAATCTCGTGTTGGTGTTGTCGCGGATCTTTCAAGCAAACTTGAAGAGCATTTCGGTGCGATTACATGCAAGCTGGATGAGGTTCAAGTCGTTGCAGAGGCACAAGGCCAAACCCTATCCGAGAAAGCGAAAGAACAGGAGGAGATCTTGACGAGCACCAAGGCCATGTCCGACGAATTGCGAGTCACCATCGACACTCTTGGCGCGACCGTGACGTCGTTGGAGACATCACTCTCAGGCATCACACAGAAGTTCAGCGATGACTCAGAGGCGGTCTTCACCCGAGTCAACCAAGCTGTCAACAGCATCAACGATACAAACCTCGATGCCAAGGTCGAACACAAGCTGACACGCGACGAAGTCGCCAAAGCGGTGATCACCTTGGTCGGGCTCCAGTCTGAAATCACCGAGAATCATCCGCAGTTCTTGGTTGCTCTTAAGGAGATCCGGGAGCTGATTTCGACTCATTTCGAGCAATCTCGCAAGGCGCAGGAGGCGGCAGAAATGTCTGCAAAGGCGATGCTCGAAGAGTCCAAAGTTCATGCCGAGGAACTCAAAAATACCTTTACCTCCCTGCCGGCGCTCCTACCTCCCGCTTTGCTATCGCCAACTACCGATTCGGCGCCACCACCGTCACTTGGTCCCGTTGAATTCGATGACAGCGCTATCCTTGCGAAACTGGATGAAGTGCTTGCTTCAAGGGTGACGGAGTCCCAGGCTGTTGATGTACAAGCTTCACGCCTTGAAGAAATCCAGAAACAGGTGTCCTCAACCGCCGAAGGCCTCGAGGCGTATATAGCTGCTCAGACTCGACTCATTACCGATGGTCAGGAAACGCGGGAGAAAGAAGCCCAAGAGGCTGTTGCCCTTCTTGAGAAGAGTTGTGCCGAGAAAGAGAAGGTCGATGCTGAACTGCTCTCCCTGCGCACTGAAAAAGACTCTCTTCTGGCGGTTGTCGAGACGCTGCGGTCCGATAGGGACGCTCTCGGGGCGCAGAAGTCACGGATGGCGGCAGACGTTGCTTCGCTGGAGACAGCGCTGAGAATTCGACGAGAAGAACTCCATGAGATGGACATTAAGGCCGATAAGCTTGAGCGCCGGATTCTGGACGGCATCATGGACCATTCCCGATCTCTTCTCATTGCGCGAGATTCTGCAAAGCGACAGGCCGGACAGCACCATCAAACGAGAATGACGACCGCATCCGGGACACGCGTTGCAAGTACTGCATCCCAGAGCACGGTTTCGAGCCTTCCTGTATTCGGCGAGGTCTCTCCCAATGCCGGCCTCGCCGCTGCTCTTAAGAATCGCCCTGCAGCTAGAGCCCGCCAGCTTGCAGGAAACTCGCAGCGCAACAACCCGACGGCAAGACGGATCGCCAGTCTGAACCAAATGTCAGGAAAACCTCCGACCGGAAGTCCAGCTTATGTTGGAGCTGCCTCACGGGGTACTGGCGGCGCCGGTAATTCCGATGGCTTGAAGCGCAGCCACAGTGTGAAGAACTCGTCATATGCACGAAAGAGCAGCTGGAACGGCGGTCGCTTGCTTGGAGACAATGGTGCCGTGATTGAGGAAGCGAACAAGGAGAACGAAGCCCAAGAAAGCGACGAAGACGCCGATGTTGATTCTCGCATTAGAGATGATGAAACCGCAAGCATGGCTGGCACCGAGCGACGCTTCAGCAATTCAACAACGACTGGAAGCATAATCACTGGAGCATCTCGCTCAGTCGTATCCGGCACGGATTATGGCGATCGTAGGTCAAGCCACGGGACGGTCACCGGGGAGAGCGAGCTCACGTATGATACCGGCAGCTACTTGACCGGCTCCATAACCGAGACAGACCGTCGAACCAGTTACGGCTCCACCATTCATTCAACCTTGGGAGCGGAGTCTCTCTTGGAGGAGGACGAATACGAGGATGAGCTCACATATGCTCCCGAGGAGACAACCGAGACTCAGCCTCAATCGGGAGATGTCAAAGCGGTCGGAGTCGACGTCACCCAAGCCCTTCCTACGGAGCACGACATCGTGCACCGGAAGGACCTCGTGTTGTTCATGGAGCAGAGTGACAGTGGCCTGGGGTCCGACATTCACACCGCGGGAGGGTTGAGCGGGAGTGAAACGGACTATTTCAGGCGAGCAATTGAGAGCGCAGCACCGTCGGAGCTGTAAATATTTTCCGGAGTTCTTATTTTGTCGTCCTTTGGGTATTTTTGGACGGATTGATGAAAGATTGGTGTTGTTTAGGAGTCCAAGAGTGGTGTAGTGTTGGGACTTCAAGGGAATGGATGGTAGTCTATGATTCTAATTCCTTTTGAAATGGTGTAGTACGAGTTAAGTTGTCCTACAAATTTTATGTATTCCAGTCAATGCGATGTAGTTTTGTCTTGAAGCCAGTATTTTCCTCCGCGGTGCATTTTGTGAGGCATTTCCATCGTCTTCCTAGTGACGGCGTTGGTGATTGGAAATACAGATATCCCCATTGGTCAATAGCGTTTTTATCTATCAACACTTCACATTCGAATGGTATAATGCGCCGCAGAATCTGGGACATTATTCATGAGTTCTTGAGGGTCTAGAGCTGCCGTTCCTTGAGATGAGTACATGGACTATGAAGGTGGATTTCGCAGTTCTTACTCTGCTTTCCGAAGGTCTGATTAGTCTCCGCTCCAGCTAACCTAAAGATGGGGACTCCGGCTAGACTCGAGCGGGGAATTTTACGCTTTCTGTAGCTCATACCTAGGAATGTGATACTTTTACCGCTTTGGGTCAAGGTCTCCTATCTATGCCCTACTGGTATTCGGTCGCGATATGGTCCTCAGACATTACAAGTTTCCATCAGGGTCTTCAGGGCACTTACTTATATATGCGCCTGTGCTTGCTAACCTCAAGAACATATAACTTGGAGTGCCTTTATTTTCATTGCCGCAGACGTAGATTATCTCTGAATTAGATCGCAACGGCTGCCAAGATGAGGATAAAATCTGTATGTCGACCATAATTGGAAGATATGCTATCGTCATACTGACGATAGAACCGACAAGCTCTACCTATACCCGATCAAGTCCCTCAGGGGCATTTCTATTGATGAAGCACTTGCCACAAGACTTGGATTTCCCCACGATCGTTCATTCATGTTGCTGAAGGTCATCTCTGGGGTGGATGGAGCGGCAGACTCCACGAAAACGATGCATGTTCCACACTTTCCGGAGATGTCGCTCTTCATCACCTCTCTGGAAGCAACAGGAGACGGTACGACTGAAATCGTCGTAGACTATAGACCTCCCGGAAAGTCTTCGAAACAGTTGAGGGTACCACTAGAACCCGACGTGTCCGAACTCGGTTCACTTCATGTCCGGATGTGGAACACGTCGACGCCAGCATACAACATGGGAGAAACCTTTAATTCCTGGTTCGGCGAATGCTTTGGGTTTCCCGTCATTTTCGCCTACATTGGCGACAATTCCCGGGATGTTCTCATGAAAACGTCGAATCCAGATGCGCCCAAGTCGTGGCTCTCGCGTGTTACGTCGGCAGTTGGGATTACTGGCGAGCCCGTGGAGAAGCTCACATTTCAAGATTGCGCTTCCTACCTCGTCGTGTCCGACACGTCGGTGCAGAACGTATCTCAAAGGCTTCCGGATGGTGTGGTCATGGACGAGACGAAATTTCGGCCGAACATTGTCATCGAAGGGGCACCCGAGCCGTTCGAAGAGGATTTCTGGGGCGAGATCACAGTTTCGGGCGATTCCTCGACCACCTCTGCGGCGACGGCGGTTGTGAGATTGCCTCAGAATTGCGTTCGGTGCAAGAGCCTCAACATCGACTACGGTACTGGTAAGATGGGGACTGGGGAGGAAGGTCAGGTTTTGAAGAAGTTGCAGAAAGATCGACGGGTCGACGGGTCGAAAAAGTACAGTCCAGTCTTTGGGAGATACGGCTATTTAGAAAGGAACTCTGGGGGAATAATCAAGGTCGGCGACGAGGTGTCGGTCACGCTTCGAAATCAGACGAGGACGGGAATGGGTAATTTCCAGTTCCATTTCCACATGTCAACATTAGCTAACCGTGCTCTTAGATTGGCCTATGGCCGAGTTCACATAGACCTGTGTTCTGAAGCCCACGATTTTCAGAAACCATTCCACCCTGTTGATCATTCTCAGTGTCCCGGTTTTAAGTGCCATCCTGCTTCCGGTAATCATCAATCAAACTGAGCCTCGCCTTCAGTTGCCTCTGTAGGGCAAACACATTCATCGGCGGCGTAGTCTCGTCCGGCGCTATTCGTCCCATTAGCATCGTGCTCATTCACGGTGCTTCCCACTGATATCGTCCCACGTACCTGCTTCCGTTTCGTGCTTCAGGAGTGATGCGCCCGCTACGACCTTGCAGAGTCGCTCCAATAATACTTTCGATCAAACGAATCTCTCGTATGAGCGGGACCATCCGCTCTGGGCGCTCTCGTGCAGCTTGGACTAGCTCTTGCACTTCGCTATAAGCTTGACCGACCTTTCTAACAATGCGTCGCATCTCATCCACCCTCAGCACTGCCTTCGACTCCGATTGCTGACCGGATAGTGCAATGTAAAGCCATTCGTCGTGTTTGATGCGAGCTCGTGCGAGTTCCAGAAGGCTGACCAAGAGCTTCTCCGTGACCGACTCGAACATTTTCTTTGACGATCGTCGGTCTGAATCCTCGCTGTCGACCTCAGTACGCCCTATGGACTCAGTCTTTCCGGTTGCAGAGTGATAGTCTTTCCTGTAGCTCTCCGTGCCAACCCTCGTGGTACCACTCCACACCGTCCTCGGGCTTCCGTTACTTGTTCGACGGCGGAGAGGATTCACCTTTTGGCGCCAGATCGCCTTCAAGGAGCCTTCGTCCGCATACGAACGGAGAGGTGCCACTTCTTTTTCATATCCTCGGTAGAACTGTGTATAGAACACTAAGGCATCCTGTGAAGCCAGATTGAGCTTCTTTGCTGCTTTGACAAAAGGAACACCGGCACTGGCTTTTGGGTGTTGGGCATTGATGGTAGCGATGGACTCCGGAGTCCGCCTCTGGCGCGATGGAACATACTCCTCCGTGTCCGACTCTTCGATCTCCGTGATCGATGGCGCCCCATTGAAAAGCTGCTGGAGCGACGGCGCGGACGAGCGTTCCCGTTGTCCCTCCTCGCGTAGATCATCGTTGTCAGAGAGCTCGAGCGACGGCGGCGCGAAGATCTGATGCATGGCGGCAAAATGGCTGGGCATGTGAGTGAAGCCAGAATGCGCTCGCCAGTGGTTCGCTGCTGGCATGTTCATGAAGGGTGGAGGTGGTACCCCGTTGAGAAACGGTGGATATGGCGCCGGTGGGACATTCGGAGGGAGGAAAGGTCCCGGATACTGGCGAGGATCCGGAGGAAACGGTGAAGGTAGAGGCGGAGGCCATGGCCAAGGATGCATTTCGGATTCCTGAGATAGGAGCGATGTCAGTACTAAGGTGAGGTAGTAATTAGCAATGACACAATAACCGGAGCGGATCAGTGGGAGAACAAGTGAATTGGACCGGTTGGCGCTAAAACAGTGCCGTATTTAAATCCATCATGAATGATTGCATTTTTGTTGCTCTGAACGCAAGATATGGATTGGCTTCAAACGGAATCGTGATTGATCATGTTTGCCGGATTCTGCAATCATGTGCGATATGTGGAGTGATAGTAGTTGTCCCACGACTAACAAACCTGAGCCGAGCAAATTCAAATTGGAAGATAATGGATTCCGTAGTCATTGAGTATGCATTGGTAGAACCAAATAAGACGCTGCGTGGCAATAATTCAGCCAAACGAGCGATACCTTTACTTGGGCTTGTTTTTTCTACCCTCAATCACACTCATGACATCGGCAACACTGTTCTTATCCCCCTTCCGTTTCCTGCGTCTTTTGTCTTTCTTCTCTTTCTTCCCTCCCGCAGCACGGTCATCGTCGTCATCTTCATCCTCTGCTCCCGCATCCCCCTTCCATTTGCTGAGCTTGATTTTTCGCTCGTCCATATCTTCGGCATCTTCGAAACGACTCCCGCCAAACCCAAGATCGATGTCCTCCATATCCCGGTCATTCGTCGCCAGCATCTCTGCACGGCGTTTGAGGCGCGCTGCTTCTTCGGGATCTGAAGGGGGCGGAGGTGATCGTGATTGTCGACGGGGTTTTCGAAGTGCAGCAAGTAGGACTGGATCATGCATGGGGTCGATTCTAGTAGTGGACGGGTCTTCGGGTGCAGAATCCTGGAAATAGTTGCGTTTGGCAGGGACTTCCGGCTTGGCTTTGGTTGAGTCGACCGGAATGTCTTCTTCCGCAGACAAATCTTCCTCCTCAAATAAGTCTTCATATATTCCAGGCCTCTGCTCGACTTCTCCTTCATCAGACTCATTAGAATCTGAGTCATCTGCCGCTCCTGCCAGAGGGTTGTACTCCGCGCCCACACCGGTGAATATATCGTCATCCTCATCGCTCACTGGAGCTAGTGCTTCGAAGCCTTCAGGTACTACCATACCCAGAGGCTTGGCCCCATTCTCTGGCATCAGGAGCTCACTCGTAGGCACGTCTTTGATTTTCCGGTATTTCCGCTTCTCGTTTCCATCTTCGTCAACGATAATGAGGACTTCCCTGCCTCTGTTATCAACCTCCAGCCGTTGCGACTCTTGAGTGTGCCCAATCCTTTTGAATTTCGTCCCGAGCTGTGGCGCCTGTGCAGCCTTTGCTTCTGCCGCGGCCTTTCGACTCGCCTTCAGCTCGGCTAGGATGGCGTCTCTTTTCCGCTTCGCTCCGCCAATGGCAAGTTGGCCCTTCTTCTCTTTCTTCTCTTGTTGTAGCGGCGCAATGTCTTTGTCTAGCATTGCCTCTAACTCTTCATCCACGCCCTCTACACCGCCCTCGCCTTGTGGGCGATCGTTCTCAGACTGGCCCGAGGGACTCATTGTCGAGTAAACATCCTCACCCCTCCTAACCCTCTCCAACAGCCTTCGATCTAAGCCCTTGATAAGATGTGTCGTGCTAATATCGCCTCCGGTTATCTCATCGCGGAGTCGTTCGAATGTCTCCTCGTCAATGTCGCCATCCTTGAACGACTTCTCCAGGGCGGCGATGCGCTCCGTCCGATCGTCATTCTCAACCTCCTCAGCTGTTCGTCGATCGAGAGCACGATCGCGGTATCCGTCGGCGTATTTTGTACCCTTCGGGGCAGCTGAAGATTTGTATTTCGCGGTCGGTGGTCGTCCGCCTTGAGCGGCTATTTGGGCGGCGATGTTGGGGACAGTTGTGCCTTTGACTGATCGACTGAAGCAGGTCAGAATCACTGCCCAAAATGTTGTAGTACGGTCACTCTGTGAATGCAGAAATTGATGGTCAATACCTTTGACATACATCTCCGCGAGCTAGACAAATATATACTGAGTAGCTTAGAGCAACTGCTGCCAGGGAAGGAAGGGGTATATGCTATCGCCAATCTGTGAACTCTAGACAGAGCTAGCGCCACTACTAAATCACGTCTGTAGTTCCTTAAGCCCCGGAGGTATACATCTTCACGACCATCAATCTCTGCATCTACGGAGTGCTTGGGAATGCAGCACTTACGGTGTCATGGGGAAGGAGGCCCTTGATCGGGAGCCAAGCGATGAGGGTGGCGGTCCCCCATTGGAGCCCTTCGGCTTACCGTTGGAGGAGTTCTCCTGTAATAGTCGCCTAAACTGTTCGTTGTTCATCGTGATGTCGGTGTGGTAGATCAAATGGTTCAGCAATCAACAGTCATGAAATCTTGACTGCCGTGGAACACTTGGAGATTGATGGTGGAGGGAAGTCGAAGGACGCCTTGTGGCCTTATGTCAATGCCTTGCCTCGTTGCCTTGATATAATTTCATTTAGTGCCTTAAGGAAATCGCGGAGGCGCAGTCGGATCCAAATTCCAAACTAAATTCATGATTTCCGCCGTCCACGAATCCAATTTCGACCTTCAATTTGCTGTGTTTGTTCCATTCACTGTGTTTCTGTCCATTTCCAACTCGAATCAAGTCTTGATTCACGTTGTGTTTCCTGCCCAATCCGGTTTAGCGTCACATAGCCCCACCAGTGATGGAGCTAACCCTAATCGGGTTCCAACCTGTCCATAAAAGCCGCCCAACTTCCACTCTTTCCTTTTCTTTTTCTTCTTCTTCTTCATACTTACCTTGTTGCAGCGACGCCGTGATCAAGAAGACGGCGGCTTGCTAGACTGCCCTGCATTGCACATCGCGGAGGTGGGCTAGTATCAGTCTCCTTCGGGGGCCTGAGCGGCGGAATTTTTGATGGCTACCAAAATAATCTTTTCAATCTTGTCATCGCCTGGTGCGACGCTTGGTGGAAGAGCTGGTGTGAGTGATACCGCCTGGATTTTGCCGGTTGCGGTACATTACCTGTCAGGTATGTTACGCTGTCACGCATGTTGATCCTTCCGAATATCAATCCTCAGTACAACATATTTTTCCCTCCGTTTGTCCTCGATCTGCTCTTGCTTTACTATGTAGGCGGCCCTGTTGGTGAAAGTCACTCAAGAATCCAGGTTTTGCGCGCTTCAATTTGTCCATTTTACGCGATCATGATGGGAGGCTTCAGTCTTAACGACACAACTAGAACTACCTCTTAGATACCCCATCGAGCGTCGACTGCTTGAATCCATTACGACTACAGGCTCATCTAATAATATTCTCTCGGCAGTTGATCCAGTCGAACCATTTCAATTCGCACTCATGTTCTATCATTTCCATGGTTTCTACAACACAACCTGCGCTGCACATCTGGGATGGTTGCCTACAATACGGAGGACAGAGTCAACGAGCAAAGCTGACACCACATCATCAATAGTACAATTCTTTGTGTCTTTTATGCGCGCATTCAACTTGGACAAGGATATGAGCATAAGGAATCCATTCGTGCTTGCTCTAACGAGACTCTCCAGGAGCCATTAATCTAACCGAAAAACAAGGAAATAAGAAAATCAGGCACAATATCCGGCCCGAAGTCAATTTCATTCTATTCTTTGCGGGTACAGATATCAAACCATTCCATGCTCCGTTTTCCAGGATAACTCGAGTTCGAAGTAGGTGAGTAGATTTGTCAGCATCTCGACCACCTCCCCGTCGAACGTATTCTCAGACAAGGCGGTGATCGTCAATGCTGCGGCATCCCCAGAAGACTACTTGTTGCCGGAGAGACTGACCAGAGCCAACGCCTCCACGAAGTCGCCGACCTCCCCAACGAACTGGAATTGCGAAAGGATCTCGCGCAGAGTCCAAATTCCTATGGGCGCGCTCCTAGGGAGGCAAGGGAGCTCACTCAAAGCTAGACGAACCGTCTAACCGTCCTCCCAGGTATGAACGAGAACTTCGAGCAGGCGTATAATCCCGTCGACAATGACTTCCTCGTGGAGCCTCAATCGGCTCAGGGTCTCAACAAATTCGGGGGTGACTTCCGTGCCACGGGCGGCCAAGATCGCAGCCGTTCGGAGAAGTGTGGTCCCAGAGATGTAGCCATTTTCGTCTAAGTTCTCCAGCGCCAACGCCAGAGACGAAACGTTGAGACGTTCGATGGCTGGCGGTGCGGTGCTTGGAGGCTCAGTGACCGGAGGGGTGGAGACTGGAGGCCTGGTGACTGGAGGTTTAGTGGTGGGATGGATGGTGGCCGGCTCGCTATGCGACCAAAGACCGAAGGAACTCGAAGCCTTGTCCATGCCCGGAGGCCTGGGAGAAGGCTGGGTGGCCGGACGTCTGATAGCCGGCCCATCAAGTAGTGACCAGTATGAAATCGCCGAGGGCGTCGGATCAGTGCTCGTGGAAGAGGTGGTTGGAGTTCGACGAATGTTACTAAGAAGTGAAATCTGCGAGCTACTAGTCGAGCTACTAGTCGAGCTACTAGTCCAGCTGCCAGTCCGCTGACTTTTTTCTTACGCTCCTTTATCCTGTCGCTCTTCTCCCGAAGGAGGGCCAGGAGAGCTAGAAGATTCATTTTTGTGTGTTCTTTTTGAAGAGGAACTACTGTTCTAAAGAGAAGTAAAAGACGGCTTCATCTATCGCTGAAGTTAGCTGCTTAGATGCACGAGGTGCGGTGCCATCGTATCCAACTACAATGGCAGAGCAGTATAGGAGCCGCTTTCATCATACTGCTGCTAGTAGTGCCATTGTTCAGGCTAACAAAGTCGCATTAAATCAAATGGTCTTCCTGTGGATCGAGTCTCTCAAAAGTCGGTCATGTCAGCGTCAGACGGGAAGCCAGTCGAATTGTTTACAGTCGCGAGGAGATTCGGTTTCCGGTATTACATTTTGGATTCTTCTCAGCGCACGGATGTCTTCCATACGCTTTATTTAAATGATCTTAAAGCTAAACAGGGATTGAGCTGAAGCTGGCCTCAAAAGAACGCTGTTAAAATGCAGAGAGTATGGTGGCAACGAAAGCCATTTGACTGTCAAGTGGGTATATCACTGGACACATCAAATCAACGATTATTACCAATCCGAGAACCGCATGGAATTTACAGCAGATTGATTTCAAAGCAATAGCAGTTCTTGTCTAAATTATACAGAATATTTAAGAGCGTGGATGACTTTAGGTGGTGGGTGGGGAAGAGGCTGAAAATGATATACCACTGAAGGACTCCAGCAGCTTGACGATACGCTCGTGCCCGTTCACGGCCGCCCACCACAGCGGCGTCCTACCGTCGTCATCCTTCGAGTCGACGTCGGCCTTGGCCTCGAGCAGCACCTTGACGATACCCTCGTGCCCAAAATATGACTCTACCATCAGAATGCTTGTGAACTCTGGAATAGGGTGCCACTGGTAAGCCATCTGCCAGTACACATCAAACCAAGTCTTGAACCGCTAGGATCGGTTATCGCAGACTCTGGAAATCAAGTGCAACATTTTCTCAGCTGCACTATACTATGCATTTCGGTAGTGGGTAGCCCAAGAACCTGCGGCATAATCTAAGTAGCCGTCTTTGACTTCTGCAGAGATCTGATCTGTCGCTCCATCAAATTCAGTGAACGAAAGACATGTAAGGCATGCTCTGGCCATAAGGGTCTCAGAATCCGTTGGAACAAGAGAATGCTTCCATCCAATAGCAGCGGTCTCACTCTTCGCAAGAAGGAATTCTTTTGCGGTCTGGTGGATCAGATAGACCTTTCGATTTACTAGTCACAAAGAGCCCGCAGAGGTGTCTCACCGACGCTTCAACCTCGCTTCATCGTCAAGGTCAGGTTCAAGATCGTTGTAGGAGCGATGACGGTCTTCTATAGTCAGAGCTATGTTTATTTCCCTTAGTGTAAGAGGCCTGGTTACTCCAACAACGATAGAGAGCAATTTCCGTGCTTGTGGTCGATCCTCCTCTTCGATTTTTGTAAGAATCGCTTCGTATGCTTCATTAACTGTAGACGGAAGGTCGCTTATATTAACTGCCTCTCGGCGAGGCCCATGCGGGGCTCCCACTACTCTAGAGCGACGCCCCCTGGCCGGCTGGCCCCGTGTCGATTAGTCAGCATTGTGCCCACTGCGGGACTGCGGTCTCATCCTGGTAATTGATATTTGGTTATATAACCGTCGTAAACTCCCTTGTTATTTTATTTCTTCAGTTAAAAACTCAACAGTCAGAGTCAATCAAGACCGAGCCCGACACCGCCTCTTTTTGTATCAGGAATACACAACGAAGAGGTACGGCTCCCGTGCCGAAAGGCCCCATGGAATCCGCGCCAGATTACTCACTGACAAATCCAGTCCGCCTGACCGGCTCAATATGGGTCGGGAGTGCCAAACCGGATGACATTTCCTGGACTGTCGTGTACCGGCCGTTGCTGGATTGGATCAACCAAAATCAACCCCAGGCCTTCATCATCCGCTGCCAATTGCTGCTGCTTGACCCTAAAGGCAAATGGGATCCTATTCATACTGCAGTCCACGTTAACAATCACGAGGCTGCCAATGTACCTCAGTCGTCGCCAGCTCCGGCACGGCTCGGGGGGGAGCTACCGACCGCTTCCCCCACGACATGGACCGCCCGAATGCCCGGCATCTTGCACCTACCGGGCCTGGATATGTCCGAAATCGTCTGTGTGATCGTCAAAAGCCGCCTCGTCATTCGCTATCTGCTTCTCTGGGAGCACGGGTCGAAGAAAGGCTGGCCCGGCAAACCCCAGATTCCCTACGGGGTCAAGTATGAAGACCTCCGCACGAAGCTGCTGAAAAGCGAAACCCACAAGGCGGCGAAATCCTCGCTGGCCACAGCAGCCACGATTCCCAATTCTATCAGCCGTTACCTGAGCAATGAGATGCAAGCACGTAGCGCCGGGAGGCGGAGGAAGAAGGAGGAGAAGCACGAAGGGGAGCTCAAGAACTCGCATCTTGAAATAAATGTCAGGCTCGTCCTGACGGGTGTCTCGCACACTACCGATCCGCAGGAAGAGGTTGGGAAGTTCGATCCTCCTGTATATTTCGAGGGCACATTCGATGTGCTTGGGTACAGGGTTTATCCACTTCGGACATCGTTAGCCCAACTGATGCTAGGCCGCCGGAGTGAGCTTCTGCGGAGTAGCAGTGAGGTAAGAAGACTGAGAAAGGGGAGCAGAATGGAATCAGGCTCGAAAATGCGAAGTCGAGTCCTAAGTCCTGCAACATCGCCAAGGTAAGCAAATATCCTGGGCCATGAACGTACTAATAGAATGAGGCAAGTAAAATTTCCTATTTCTCTCAAATGAAAATAGAATCCCCAAATCATAACATCAGATTCAATCACAACGCCGAAAAACGTGTTCTCCTGAAATAGTGCACGGGTATGTGATATGCTAGTGGAAGCCATACCGTAGGTATTCGTATTTCAATACAATAGTCGTGCTTCCGTAAGTCATAATAACCATCATCAATCCGGATCTGCTATCATCACACATGAACCTGAAACCCATGCGAAGGAGGTATCTAGAAAAAAGCAAAATGAAGCTCATCAATTTGAGCCCACGTACATTGCCCCAAACCAAGCGCCAGTGGCTGCACGAATCGCCGAGACTAGAAAAGGACGTGCAATGCTAAGGGATGCAACATTTTAACCTCTGAATTCCGGTTTTCGTCCGCGATTGACCATAGGCGGTGGTCCGTCTGCATCGGGATACGGTAACCGCGGGCTCGGTCTTGACGCCCCCGGAATTGGTGTTTTCGGCGGGATAGGCGGTGGTAAGCCGGCCCCGGGTCGTTGTTCCTCCCCGCTTCTTCTCTGATCGTTGGACCTTCGCGGTGGCGGTGGCGGTAATGACTGCGGAGCGATGTGCGTCCCGCCGATGGGTGCTGGATGGTGCGGGAGGGTGTCGGGATGCGATTGAACGGGCTGGGGGTATTCGTCGGATGATATTACGGCAAACTTCCCGGAGTCGGCAGTTGGCGGTCGTGGGGGTAATGGGGGGTGGAACGGCGGAGGGGCAGAAAAGTTGATTGAGGGAGGTTGGGATTGATGTGGGGGAAGGGCGACATCTTCGGCAGGGAGCTCGATGGCGATGGGGTTGCTTGGTGGTGGGACCTCCGCGATAGCCCCAACTGGAGGGCGAAATGGTCCCCATTTGGAGAAGTTACTCCAGTCTTGGGGTTGCTGTTGATCTGGTCGCGCTATGCGCTCCCAGCGCTGCTTTGCGCGGTGGATGCGAGCCAGCTTCGCGGCGGCATCAAGATTCATCGATTGCACCTTGTCTTTCGCCAGATACATCCGGGTGTTTGTACTGATGTCGGCGAGTCGGTTCCACTCATTCATGCCGAATTCACCAACACCCACTTCGACGTTGAGGCGGTAGTAGTTTTCCACGTTGACGCCGCGACGTGCAAGGTGCTCTTTCAACACGTAGTGGTGAATGTCTTCGCACTCTTCGATCTTTTGCATCAGTCTTCGCCGCGCTTCGGCAAACTCCCCAATTGTCGGCCCCACGAAGCCCTCCCACCAGAGTTGTTGCTGCGAACTTGTCCCTGAAGGACGTTTGCCTGTTCCGATGGATACGAATAATCCGACTTCGCGGCCGGGCCATTCGTTGCAAACAGCTTCATCGAGAATTTGTGGGGCAGGGTTGTATTTGCCAACCCCGTCGTCGTGGAAGACGGATTGTCCGATCTGGATAGGCTTGAAAGCAAGGCCGATTGCAGAGGTCGCCCGACCGGCTTGCCAGATGGTGCAATCGAATTCCGGAGCTGGCTCCTTTCGAGAATCGTAGCTTCGGAGGAGACTAGTTGAACCGGATCGAGATTGTCCTCGGTAGACTGCTGTTACAGCGCTGAAAAAGAGCTGTTAGACAACCATTGGTCAGGATGAACGGATAAGTACTCACGTTTTCGTCCTGTTTTCTCTTCGATCATATAGAAGTGTGTTCGGGTTTCCCCATCTTGAGAATCCCCCAAGGCTATATCGCTGGGGCGAGGTGCCGATCTGACTGTATCGACTTGCATTGCTAAATGTCCGCTGAGGACCTGCGGATCCAGGCATCCTAACGTCCAGACTATCTCGGGTGGGTGATGGCGCGTCTGGCGCATCTTCATCGTCATTCCCTTCATCTGCGTATAGCGTATGGTCCCTCACGCACTCTCGGATCGCCTCCTCGAGTTTCGCGGCCTTGAACAAAGTGCTGCGGTACGGGATTCCGGCAATGGTCTTGTCGGTTTCGAAGACGCGCTTGGTCAACCGCACGTAGAGATCTTTGCAAGTCTCAATGTCCAGCCGTAGGCGACCCAACATCAACGCGATCAACCCGCCAGTCCCCGTTCCCGCAATCAGATCAAAATGATCGCATGGTTTGGGAATCTCGTGTCGCTTCGGAGCGCGGCCTTCGATTTCGACGAATGTCCGGTGCATCAGTTCTTGAAGGAGGATGAGCATAGAATATCCCCGTACGCCACCGCCATCTGCGAAGATATGTTAGTGTCAGGTCCGAGTTCAGACTATCGCAAGTTTGCGCTAACATACCTAATGACAATATTCGAAGCGGCGGGCCTTTTGTCGTGTCTTTTCTGCGGAGCCCGGAGGCCTCCATGTTTGGATGGAGAACCGAGTTCCCAGAGGAGCGATCGAATTTGGTTTGCGATACCGCCAATCCTGCAGCAGTACAGCCTGATAGGCGCAATATAAATGTCTCGCTCGCGTCGGAGTTGATGGAAGCGCTCGTGAGGTGAAACTGATCCTGAGTGCCCTTTCAACCAAAGCGCCTCTTAGGTATGTAGTATATCCAGGGAAAATCCAGGAATAATGTCGTTGCTTCGTCAGATCGGGCTATGGTCGCGAGGATTCCTTCTTCGGGTTTACCACGGATGTGATGATCAGCGCTTAGAGGTGACGTCCGTGTTTGCCCCACGTGCGAAGCGATAGTAAGGTAGATATAACGACTGGGAAGTCGGAAGGTCAAGGACTTAAGTGAAAAGCACACACAAGCGTATGTCAGATAGCATGGAGAAGTGAATGGAATAGGAAGAATAGGTAACGACGGATGGAATTCTATCAACCTTGGGCTGACAAGGCGAATATGACCAACATGCAGGCTACGGGAGAGAACTAGGAATCCTTGAAGAATAGCAGAGGAATCCTTGGAGAGCGTGAAGGCGAAAGTTGTACAGTTTCTAGGCAATGGTGGATGATTGGCAGCGGGATCTGCCCTGGTGACGTTTTCGTATTGTGGCTGTGCATGACTTGGTCTATCGTCACCTTCGCTTCGGCATTCTTTTCCGTATCGTCGTTGGATTCATGATCGGTACGGAGCAAAGCTGTGGCTTTCTTATATAGGTACAGCTGACAGGAGTAGAGTCCCCTTCGACTCTTCAAGGAACAGGAGCCGCGACCGAATGGATGGCCAACCAACTTGTGTATCACATCCTCTCCCAGTCTACCGATCGTGCATCTTTCAGTCACTATGCCGTACCGCTCTCCATCGTTTCTTATACCCGACGCTGTATAGTCCTTAAATCAAAATGCTCCATACTCAGAACCTTTTCATTAGACACAAAATCACGACCCTAACGTATCTAGAAACCCTTAATTGATACCCCCCCTCCATAACACCCCGCAATGCCAGATGCTCGCCCTGTCCCTGATGATATCGATTCTCGGCTTCCCCACAAGATATACCACACGACTGTATTGACAACGAAACCAAGCGATCATCATCAAGGTCCCACCTTGAACTTCATCTTCACCCCCATGCTCATCAGTTCCACGTCCAAATACTTCAACACCCCCGGCACCGCCAACACCCTCACGTCCGTCCCGCCCGTCATCAACGTCCCCTCCCCATCCTCCCACACCTCCGCCTTCGCGACCCGCCCCTCCACCTTCTTCGCACAGTACCGACACCGCACAATCTGCGTCCCCTTCCCCCCTCCTTGCCCCCATCCGTCGACCGTCGGACTGACCCCCAGGAAGTGCCCGCACGCCTTGCAGATCCACGCCTTGGTATAGTCGGAGCAGTTCAGCAGCCGGTCCTGCAGCAGGAACGCCGTCCCGTGTGCGAGGAGTGAGTCGCGCTCCATCTCGCCCACGCGGATCCCGCCGCCGCGCGCCCGCCCTTGGACCGGCTGGCCCGTGACTGGGTCGTTGATTCCCGTGGCGCGCACCTGGTATTTGTCGCTGACCATGTGCCGCAGGCGCTGGTAGTAGACCAGCCCGACGTAGATATCCGCGTGGAGCTCCTCGCCCGTGATGCCACTGTACATCGGTTCGTTGCCGTAGTAGTTGTAGCCCGCGGCGCGGAGCTGGTCACCGAAGTACTCCACGGCTCGGTCCTGCTCGTCGAATCGCCATGGGGTACTATCCTGCGCGAACCCGTGCAGCGCGCCTGCCTTGCCGGCTAAAGACTCCACGAACATGCCGATGGTCATGCGCGACGGGAAGGCGTGGGGGTTGATGATCACGTCCGGCTGCATCCCAGATTCGGAGAACGGGAGGTCGATGGCGGGGAACTTCTGGCTGCACACGCCCTTCTGCCCGTGGCGCGAGGAGAATTTGTCGCCGATGATGGGCGCGCGAGGGATGCGGATGGTGACGGATATCGCTTGCGGAGGGCCCTCGCCGGATTCGGGGAGGAGTACTTTCACCGCGTCGATGAAGCCGGATTCGCTCTCCTTGTACCGGTGGACCTCCGTCGTGTGGTCTCGGCTGCGATAGGTATTGGTCTCGGGGTCGTGGCTCACGGTGTACGTCGCGCAGAGAGCGTCGCCTTCGTGGATGAGGGCGCCGATCATCGGTAAGCCGTCCTCGTCAAGCGTAGTTCGCCAGGAGTTCAAGACCACGCCCTCAGGAGCGAATCCAAACACCTTATCGATCCGCTTCGTGTTGCCTTTCCCTTTGTTCTCCGCCAGGTCCACCTTCTTAGTCTTGTAAATCGTCCCATATCCGAACCCTCGCTCGTGTGCCGACTTGTTGATAATCATGGCGTCGTCCATGTCATATCCGGTGTAGGAGATCACCGCCACGACCGCATTCGTGCCATTGGGAAAGTTGTCGAAACCATACTCATTATGTAGCGGCGGACGGACAATCGGCGTTTGGCCCGTCTGGAGGAGGTACATCTTGTTATCTCCTCGATACCGGAGACTCGTGCTCGGCGTTCCCATGGTCTGCTTGCCCATCTGACACTGGTACATGTTACGGGGAGATTGGTTGAAGTCGGAAAAGGGTGTCATGTTCGCGACGATGGAGAGGACGTTGGTTGGGTCATACTCGACATGCGACGATTGGCCCGAAATCTCCGGTTCGGTGCAGGCGATGTTCATGTACGGCTGCTCGAAGGTGCCGATGTAGTCGAGGCCGTTCACAGGCAGGTACTTGACCGGTCGATACATCCGTTGCGGTTGCGACGAAATGTAGACGCCCGGATACTGGCCTCCTGTCGTATTCGGCACATAACCGATCTCGAGCTCCCGAGGGATATCATGCATTCCAGTGACCTTCCAATGTCGTAGCGAGTCGTGGACGGCCTTGGCTTGTTGGGGAGAACAGAAGCCAAGAATCTTCCCATCCATGAGGACAACGACGCTGTCCTCCAACGACGTGGATGAGGTACTCTTCAGGCCAAACTGTGCAATTAGTCCGGGAATATTGGACACGGGTAGGCTCTTGGTTGCGATCTTGCATTTATGGGCAAGATGATTGAGTAGCCCACAGGGCGAGCCGTCGGGAGTATGGATAGGGCAAAGGAACCCCCAACTCTCGGGCAAAAGTTTTCGAACCGTTGTGGTCTTCAATTCCGCGAAGAAGCTGCCACGATGCACCATTCGGAAATGGCTGATGAAGCGGTAGAAGTTGATCTTCTCGGCCACGATCGTGAAGCCCGAGGCTTGCTGTAAGTCCAGGCCGCTGGGGCTCGATAGATTCCCCGTTGAAAGGAAATAGTCGAGGAGACCGCCAAGATTCTCGGTCGTTTTGCGAACAATCTTGGGGAGGAAGTCCTTTCGAAAATCTTCGCTGGTGAACGGTGCGAAACCGTGCGACTGGCCCCATTCTCGTATCAGCGGTCGGAGCGAGTTGAGCCATTCTTCGAGCCGCTCTTTCAAAATCATCGAATATAGAAACCCGGGAAGGAGGACTTCCTGCATCGTCGCTCGATCGGGGTCATCGGCAGCGCACTCTCCACCAACGAACGCGTACAGCTTACGGACCATGAAGATCAGCAGCCGCAATTTGTCTCGGTTCTGTGATTCCGTCACGTTCAAACTGCCGAGATGCGGTAATACGATCCTTCTCAGGAACTCTATTCCGGCGGCATCATCGTCGACGTCTTCCGGCAGCTGGAGGATGACCTTGAACCGACTCCCCAGAAACGCTCGGGCTTGGTGCTTTCCTTGCAGTTCGTACGCTTTGTAGGCTCGGACCAAGAATTCGGCTCGATCCAGTACGAATTGCTTGTCCTCGAGCCCCTTTGATCCGGCCGGTCCAACGACCCCCTCGAAGATCTCGCGATCGTTCGTATCCACCAGGGCATTCATGACCATCATCACTGGCACCAGATATTCGCTCTTTCGCCATGAAAATCGCATCATGACGTTACCATCGCTGAGGAAATGCAGCACGTTCGTGACGCTGGTTTGGTCGGGTCGCGTGGACCGAATCTGGATGCCGTGATCCGTATACAAGAGTCCTCGATTCTTGAACGATGGCCGGGTAATCGCCATCGGATAATTCCTCCGATTCTGAATCAGCAATCGGATCATTCTTTCGTTGCCGTTGACGATGAAGTATCCTCCTAGCTCTTCCGTCTCCTCCTTGGCCTGGACGAGCTCAGCGGGACCGAACCCATCCAAATGGCACTTCTTCGTCCGCAGCATGATCGGCAAGCTGCCCAGGTCGCGCGTGACCTCTTCCCAGTCCCCGTCATTGACCCTATACTGCAATCGTGCGCGTAATCTGCCTTTGTATGTGGCGTGCCGCTGTCGACATTCGGACGGGAGGATTTCTCGGCGGGGTGACGTCTTGTTGGTCGGTGGGAGTTGCGGCTTCTCCAGAAAGACCTCGCCGATGCGGACATGGAGATGGTTGCGGCGTAGAACCTGGTCCAGGGGCCCGTCGACGAACACCTTGGTGCCAATATCGGCGACGGCGTGCTCGAGGAGGCCGTGTTCCTCGAACGCGGCATTGAAGGAATCGACGTGGGGAGCAATGGCTTCCGCGAGGCTGGGATAGGCGGTCTTCTCTGGTGGACTGCGGAAGAGCTTCTCACGCTTGACAGTATCGAAGTTCGTGGTCCATTTCGAAGATGGTTTCGGGCGTGCTGTTACCGTCATCTGCTTTCCGTTGGCAGAGGGCGCCATGGTTGGCTGCGGGGAGTGGTAGCGAAGCCGGGGAGAGTCAATATCTGATTCTAGCACTGGAACTGTATTTCCGTGCGCTCATGTCATTTCATTTCATGGTAAATATAGGCTTGGGAATTGCTTGGACACTGGTTTCAATTGGTGGGAGACATGGGAGGATCTCCATGCACCGAAAGATTTTCCTGAGATTTCTGTTGTTCAATCTGATTATCGATAAGATTTGTATGCCTTGCAGCCTCAGGCGTCAACACTCCCTGTCGCAACTCGCAACTCGCAACTCGCAACCCACTTCTCGTTCTGGCCCATGTCAGGATCTTATGTCATCATCATCTTCCCCTCCTAGCTCCCATAGCTCCGAACTCCAGTGCTACGCAGGCTGTAGCCAAGTGAATCATCATGCCTTAGCCACTTAACAGTCGATGGAGGAGGGTATGTAGGCCGATATACGCAAGAGGTGAGATGAGATATTTTCTCGAGAGAATAAGGAAGTGTCCAATTTGAATAACCAGCCTGAGGGATGGATATGGGACTACTTCTACTTACCTTCTACATATGATGCTTCAATCGATCCGATCCTCCAGTCCATATCATTGGGCCGTTGGCGCCCGCAGAGACAGCCCACCTACATTTCGACCAAAGTCATCCCCCGCTCCACCGCCCACCACATCCACGCTCTCTCCTGCCTTACCATGTCTCATCGCCTCGATTATCTCTCAGGATCGCTCCGTGCCGCAAACCATCGCCCAAATCACTAGATCCACCGTGCTTCCCACGCCTCTCGCGCTCCATTTGGCCGCAGGCCGCCATCCCGTATTTCAAGCGCCCACCTTCCCCCCCATTTGCGCCGTTTGCGGAACCAGCACGTCTCAGCCTCCCGATTTCCCCATTGTGCAGTAAGCGCCCACTGGGCTGGGAGTCCGGGACCGAACCCTCAAGCCTCCGCACGGAACCCAGTGACCGACACAAGGACGGGCCCGCCGCTGGTTGTCCAGTTGACCTCATCTCTTGTTACAAACCGCCAGGCACCGACGTTCCGTCGCATTTCACCGTTGATCGTACAAGCCTGGACATTTGCTGCGCGTGCCGTGTTTTCGTGCGACCCGTCATCCGCCTCGCCTTTTCTGTGTACGAACCATTTTTTTGCGTGGGGAGCGAAAAGGAAAAAGAAAGTCAAAAATACTTGGATGGAGGAAAGAGGGTTCCGAAGCTTTTGACTGGGGAGAAGCTCAGACAAAGCAACCTGCAGTCTTGCACGCACGAACAAACGCGGGGGATCCTGGGCATTTTTGGACCACACGCCGCTTTTTCTTTTCTGCACATCCCATCTTTCTGGCGGTGCGGGAAACGATTATATCACCAGGTCTTTGTTTTCATCGGCCTATTGCCCTCTCACTCTCTAGCGGGTTATCTATCGAGTGCGGGAAGAATAGAGGCTCGGCCGGTCCACAGGCCTAGCACGTAGCGATTATGGCCGGCTTTTTCAGGCGCATTTACGATTGGTTGCTGCGCATGTTCTGGTAAGTCCGCATATCCTTGACCGATGCGAGCCATCACGCACGGCGGAGGATATTGCCTCTGTTCGCCTTGCGACCGGCGGCACATATCGACTGCCTCGCGTGTACGGATGGATCGAGAGGTCACCCAGGCGACGCGATATGACGGTGTAACTGACCGCATGCGTGCGCATCCACAGGGCGACGGAGATGGATATAACCATGATCGGCCTGCAAAACGCGGGGAAGACGTCCTTGTTGCGAGTGCTCGCGGTACGTATTTGGAATTGATTTCGTCCACCCGCCAACTTCGCCACGTTGCTTGTGCTAGCGCTGATGCCTTATTGCAGGGCGGAGAGTTCACGATCGAGTAAGTCGCTTCGCTGGGATCACCGCCTATGTGTATTGCGCTGGATGCAAGTGGGCTGTCGCTAGATAGCCCCTAGCCGATCCACTTGAATGATCGTTCGTAAGGAGGGCCGCTGACGATCTGAAAGCTCCATACCCACCGTGGGGTTTAACATGAAACGGGTTCAGAAAGGCCATGTAACACTGAAATGGTGAGTCCGCTAACTCCATCGACGAGGTGGTCCAGGCCTGGATATACCCTCTCGTGTGCTATTCGAGGCGGTCGGATCTGACATGAGCGTAGCTGGGACCTGGGAGGCCAGCCTCGATTCCGAACCATGTGGGAGCGATATTGTCGAGGGGTGAATGCAATCGTGTAAGTGCCGGTCCATAGCCTTCGGATGAAGGTGTTCGAAGCTTAACGTTTGGAAAGATTCATCGTCGACTCGGCCGATCGCGCAGCCTTGCCAGTCGCCAAGGAAGAACTCCAGCTGTTGTTGGAGAAACCCACGCTCGACGGCATACCGCTACTCGTCCTTGGCAACAAATCCGATCTGCTCGACCATATGAGCGTGGATGAGTTGATTGCGGCCCTGGACCTCAAGACCATCTCGCATCGAGAGGTGAGCTGCTACGGCATTAGCGCCCTAGAGGAGACGAACTTGGATCACGTACTCAACTGGCTGATTGCTCGAGCAAGCCATTGAACGATTCACCCCGCCTTGAAATTCACCAAGACAGCGTCGGTCAGGCGACACTACAATGATGTTACGAGCGCAAGCGACGATGATCCGGATACGATACGATGGCTTGCTTCATGTGCTCGACGCACTTCTTCTCTTCACCTTTTCGCTTCATGACTGACGAACATTTCGAGGAAGCCGGCTTTTGGAGAAAATAAGAGTTGAACATGGCTAGCGATGGCCGCATTCTATAAACTTTGGATAAGCTTCGCGGCGATGTTTCGAGTTTCTGTCTCAGACCGACTTAACGGCGATGAGACGATGAAACCACCTAGCATCTTTGAGCGGGATCCTGAGTTATAGCATTCTAATTAGTGTCTCCTTTGTTAGTGGTATATAGCGAATTAACCGACTCCGATGTGGTCAGACGATAATCCAGTGCTTGTGTCGCCAGACCACCACAAAGGACGCCCTGGGGTCGCCCCAAAACGGCGCCCGCCATGCGCTGTCGTTTTGCGGAGGGTAACGATGGTATGCCCCTCCATAGGCCGCGAGGGTTCGACGGCACTCTGCGCACCACCACATCGCGACTAACACAGGATTCCAACGAAGTTCCGACACGACGATTGAAAGCGATGAGAGAAAATTGAAAGAAAGAAAACCAACACGAAACGGGGCAGACGCAGAGGAATGCGCAGAAATTATTCAGAGCTGTCCGCTGTTGATGCCCCCCGGTCGTTTCCTGCATGGACAACTCATCATATTACCAGGATGTTCTGGCCAATCAGACGTCGGGGCCAGGGGATGACCTGCATGGCTCCGATCGGATCTGGTCTGGTCGGTCCGCCGTTGCAGTTGGGTTCCGTCTCGAAAGGCCATTATCACGGGAGGGGATGATGAAAATATTGCTGAACACGGAGCAGAAAGAGTTGCTATATTAGTACAAATAGGCAAGGTACGTAGGCGTACAGGCCGGTACAGTACTCCGTAATGCGGGAACATTGGATCCTTCATACGAGGATATACTCAGATGCAGGGCCACAGTGAGACGGGAGCCACCAAATCCTTCGAATTGAAGATCATAAGCGCTCCATTCAAGATAGATATAGGTCCAACGATCCGCAGTAAGCTCAACGAAGAGAAAATTATTCGGCGAATATCTACGATGACTCTGGCATAACGTCCATTGATTCTAAGGTTAGTCAGAGCCAGACACTAAGCGCATCGCCCACTCAACGCGGGCAGAGGCAAAGTCCTTCCAAATCATGTTACACAGCCATAATCATTCCAGCAGGCCGACTCGATGTGGAAAATGCAAGATTAGCGTGCATAAGTAGGCTACCTTGCTGTTTCGCTGCAATTCGATCGGACGTCGCTCAAGACTACTACGAAAGTTACACAGAAATCCAGACTACTCGAGAGTGCAAGGAGTGGAGGTATATTATGAACACAGGGAACCGAGATTCGACCGATTCCGGCAGGCCATTGTGCAATCAACCAAGCGAAGGAAACAGAAGGAGCATACCCCGTGTCTCTAAAATATGGCGACTGAGATGTAAACGTCGCAGGGTATCTTTCTCTTGTTGTCTCTCTTAGCGCCGGGAAGGACGGGATGACATACTATGTATATCAAGGCTTAGAGAAGCGAGATCGTCGATCTTATCTGAACTCTGGTATGCCCATAATAGTTTGTCATGATACGAGACAGAAGCTGTGAGATTCTTGTAAGATCAGAGACCGATTAGGACTTGGTGAGGACCGTGAGGTGCTATGTAAGTTAGTCATGCTGCCCTGCACGTGCACCAGCCTATCGGCTCCACTGCGGCTTGCGCATTCCGTCCCCAGCCTTGAACTCGTCATCGTTCCACCGACTCAGCCACAAAAAAGCTGGGCGGTCCGATGGATCTAACTACCTAAAAACAGGAAGCACGCCCTCAGTGCTTTTGGTAGAACCACCTCTCCATTATAATATCGCGTCTAGCTTTGTACTTTTATACCGAATTCTCTCATTTCCATCAATTCCCCAGGCGATAGCTTCCATCTTCCTTGGGAACTTGGCCATCATCCTTCTTGATTGCCTGTGTTTCAGTAGCTATACACAAACAGTTCCGACCACGACCATGCCGGTCCTAGAGTCACGAGCGTACGTCTTTCCAAGATTTTCCCGCCATGATCATAGCCCAGACAGAAGAGGATCTCTTTGTCGAACTTCCACGATGCGGCGGAGTCGTCATGGATCACGTCTTTGAACCCGGAATGCTAACGCCCAGCGCAGTCGTTGCTACTATTCAGGCGGGGTCCGCTACTGCGAACGGACCAACGCATGGAACAGCTGGGTCCGCTGGTTATTCCTCGGACTCATCATTGGCGGATTTCTCCTCCTCTTCGTCCTCTGCTCGTACGTCCCCCCCTTCCTCGTCTCCCCCAGCGGAGCACCTGGACCGAAACAACCCCTCAGCTACTGCAAACCAACTAACATTCTCCAGCTGCGTCTCCGCCCGCCGTCGCCGCCGCGCCGGCCAGATGCCCTTCCGCGGCACCGGCTGGGCCGTCCCCAACCAAGGCCAATACCAACATCAACACCCTCCGCCGCAGAACAACGCCGTCTACTACTCGCAACCCGCGCCGCCGTACAGCCCCCCTCCGCAGGGCGGATACTACGGGAACCAGGGCCAGCAGCAAGGCTACGAGATGAACAACCAGTCGTCGCAGCCGGCGTATCCGACGCAGTCGTACGCGCAGGACGGCGGGAATATGTATCAACCGCCGCCGGGGCCGCCGCCGGGGAAGGATGGGGTGGTGAGATAGGTGGTGGTGAAGGTGGTTCGGAATGGGGTCATGCGCAACTTGTGGACTTGGGCTCGGGCAGGGAGAAAATCGACATGCTCTTGAAGTCTTGAGGCTTTGAGCAGAGAAATTTGCAATGAGCTTGGGCAGGCGGCGTTCTTCGGCATATCCATACAGTAGGAATTTGGAAATGACATGCGGACGTCATCCGCAAATGGCTAGGTTGAGTGGAATTCTGTCACGAACCTAGTCGATCGGCTTTAATATCTACATAGTTATACTATCATAATTAGCGTGTCCATGCACCTGTCTACCTCTGTTACGGCACGGTAGCTGGATGCACACAACATACACGTAGCCAAAGGTATTCTAGATTAAGCTGAAGAATAGAACAAGAAGGGGAAACCTTTCTTGTTTCCATCGAAGAGGGTTGGACTCTGATTCAACCCTTGACCTAACCAGGCTTAGGCTCCCAGCCTTAGCCAACCAAGGGTTTCAACCCATAACAACCTCTGCGCCAACGACCGAGCGACGGGCCAGCTCCCCAACCACAACGAGTGATATCTTCGGACAGTGAGCTGCGCGAATATCCACATCGCACGACCTTTCCAACCGCGATGTTCACTCGAATCGGATATTTGCTCTCCATTCCTAAATCCTCCGTGGGTTTTCCCCAATCCAGCCGCGGTCAGGAGATATCACGGGTTTAACGCCCTATCAGTGGCTATCACAGCCTGTCCCCTGACGCCCGAGGGCTAACGGGAGTCGGGAATAACATGTCCCCACCGCCGTCCTTTTCCTATGCCGACGCAAGCCTTCCGGACAGCCGATCTAGTCGTCTTATCTGTCGATTCGACGAAATTGATTTGAACATAAACATCTGCACATACGGATGGTTCGGTTGTGGTCTGGGAAAATTGCAAAATCTCCAATGGTGACGCCGTCACGTTGGGAAGAAATTTTGATACGGGTGGAATATCAGTCCTCGCTGAGGCACGGGATACGAAAGAGGGGGATTTCAGCGTCCGAATGGCGGGATTCATTCGATACGGATATTTTTGTGCGAGCAAGTCGGTACGCAGGTTGCACTCCAAAAGAGCAGGACGCCAAAGACATTCCCGCGAAAATCACACGGAACGGATACATCGATCACAATTACCGACATATTTAAAGGAGATGGATCAGAGCATCGTGGACAAGCAACGAATCGATTCCCAATCCCCGAAGAATTAGCACAAATATGTGCGATGGTATCTAGGTCATGAAGCGTCCCACGCTCGAGACCATCGGACCCAACGCGGGCGTGCGCAGTCCCCTATCGTTTCCCATTCCCGGATCATGTCACATCACAGTTACAATCTTACCCCCCCCGACGTCTCTCACCTAGAGCGCGGCCCTCATCCCATTGGCGTGGCCATTGGCACCGTTGGCATGCCCGTTCCCGACAATTTCGTTCAACTCATGCAGAATTTTCTTCCCCTCGTCGAACGGATCGTACATCCTCTGCTGCACATACTCGCGCAGCTCCGCATCGGACAGATTCCGCAAGTTCAATTCCCGATCGACGCTGTTCTTCTGCGCCGCGCGGATGACGCCGATGGCGACCTCGACGCTCACCTCACGGATACGTCGGATATCTGGATACAGCCAGCCGTCGGCGCGCTCCTGCGCGTTGAGCGAGATGGACAGCGACTCGGCGGAAGCGTAGATCATGTCCTGGGTGATGTTGACGGAGCGGCAGAGGATCGCGCCGAGCCCGATGCCCGGGAACACATACATGTTGTTCCCCTGGCCCGGGGTGAGCGACTGGCCATCCCACTCCAGCGACGGGAACGGGGAGCCGCTGGCGAAGATGCATTTACCGTTGGTGCCGGCGACGGCTTCCTCGAAGGTGCACTCGGACTTGGAGGACGGGTTGGAGAGGGGGAAGATGATGGGGTGCTCGTTCAGCTTGGCCATCTTGCCGAGGATTTCCGCGTTGAAGGCGCCGCCGATGGTGGAGAGGCCCATGAGGATGGTCGGGCGGACGTAGTCGATAAGGCGGGCGAGCGACTGGATCTGCTTGCCGCTGTTGTCGGTTCGCTGGAAGTACACCTTGTGATCGGCGAGCTTGTCACCGCGGTCCGAGGTCACGAGCCCCTGGACGATATTAGGATCGGTACAGCCCCGAAACGCATGGAAATGGGCGATTGCTTACATTTGAGTCGACAAACCAGAACTTCTGGCGAGCTTCGTCCTCGGTCAGGCCCTCCTTCATGAAGAACTCGACGATTTGCTTCGCGACTCCGACACCGGCGGAACCGGCGCCGAGGAACACGGCACGGTGGTCCCGAATAGGAATTCCTGCCGCCTTGACCGCGTTGATGAAACCACCCACGATGACGGCGCCAGTTCCCTGCACGTCGTCATTGAACATGGCATAGGTGTCCTTATACCGTTCAAGAGAGGGGAAGGGGTTCTTCCAGTCCTCGAATTGGATCACGATGCTGCATTCGGAGATTAGCAATCGGGACGGTGAGAGACCACATGCACTCGGACTTACCCAGGCCATCTCTCGGTCAACGCCGCCATGAGCTCATCCAGGAACTCCCTCTCCTCTTCCGGAGTGACCTTCGGTATCCGGCTACCCATATATAGCGGATCTTCCCTCAATGCCTTATTCCCCGTCCCGAGATCCACCGTCAACGGCAGAGTGGCCTCGGGTCGAATGCCCGCGCACGCCGTGTACAGGGCGAGCTTGCCGACCGGAATCCCCATCCCGTTGATTCCGAGGTCACCCAGGCCCAAGATCCGTGATCCGTCCGTCACGACGGTGATCTCGACGTTATGCGGCCAATTCTGGACGATGCCGTGGAGGTTGCCTTTGTCCGAGTGGGAGAGGTACATGCCTTCCGGCTGGGTGTAGAGTTCTGACCATCGCTGGCAGGCCTCGCCGACGGTGGGGGTGTAGATGAGAGGGGTGAGTTCCTGGAAGACGAGCAGAAGTCAGCTGGCTGCGGCCGAAGCCATTGATGGGAAGAGAATGTACCTTGACGTTTTGTGAGAGGAGGCGGTAGAAGAGGTGGACGTTGGTGGCGCGGAGGTGGACGAGGTATTGGTATTTCTCAATGGGCGTCTGCTTGAGTTCGAGGATTTTGAGACCTAGTCGTGGTTTAGCTGACGTCCTCGACGAACGGCCCGATGATAGCCTATTCGGAGGTTGGTGGACTTACATCGTTGCGCCTGTGTCTCGAAGGTCTCGACGGTAGGAGGCACCAGACCGTAGGTCCGAATGTATTTTCGGACTTCTAGAGGATATGAGGTGTCGTAATCACCGCCCCTAAGTTGTTGTCAGCGTACACGGTCTGCTGCGGTGGTGACGGACGTCTCCTACGTTGTGGTAAGATGTCTTGAGCCGACGACATGTGGATTATGCTTCACATTCGCGGGTGGATGGGAGTCTCCGTAAGCCATGGCGTAGGTGTCTGAGTAGGCGTCGGCGTAGTACTGTCTGACAAAGGTAGAAGCGAAAGGAGGAGTGGCAATTAACAAAGTAGGATGAGTCGGAGGGGACCTGAGGGAGCGAGCGGCTTTTGAGCAAATGGCGCGCATTGACAATTTCCTGGTGGAAGGCAAGGCCGAACTAATGCGGAGGGGGGGTATATCTTCTTCCTCAAACTTAGCAGATGAAGCGGGAAGCCAAAAGCGGAGGGAATTCCGAAGGCAGCAAGTAGCAGCACGGAAGTATTAGCAAATGAAAGGCGAACTGAATGCTTCACATATGGGGTCCATGGAAACCACGAGGGTTGTTAGTGACTCGTCGTTGAAAGTCAAACCACAAGTCCCCGATCCAGTCCGAGTCCGAGCAATGTCACGGCAACAAAACAACCATGAGCCATCAACGATTAACCCACGGACGGGATGGGGGGAGGGGGATGGGTTAATGAGGAGAGGGATGGGGATCCGAAAGGGTCTTTTTGGAGACGTGACATGACTGGGACCAGGCGGACGACGGTGTGTGGGGTGGCTCACCGCAAAATGACCCCGACAACAGGACCCCGACGGATGGGATGGTCCTACGATGAATCCCACCAGCTAATACATGCTACAGGAACGCTTTCACGGGGCGAATTGCTGGATCGACGCAGAGTGATGGCTTGCGCTTTATCGTGACCAGGACGCAGCTGTACGTATCGCATCACTCACGTAATAGTCATGCAGGAGAGAGGGAGGATAAAAGGATTTCACATGCATGCGACAGCAAACCAGCACCTACGTATTTTTCCCTCATTCCACGATCACGATGATGACTCTTATCCCCTGTTTCAATCTGATCCGACCATATTATTTTTTTCTCGAAAAAGTTGAGTGGAGTTATGGGTTGATGGGCTGAACAGGGGAGGGTTAGTTGGGTTCCGATTGATGTGCACAGTGCATCGGACATGGCTAGGCCAGGGTGCCCCCCGGCCCCGTGGACTCGCAGGGGTTCGCTTCACAGAGTCAAGAATCAAGTCTCAACTCTCAACTCTCAAACCGCAACGAGTCAAAGGTGTTAATTACTGGTGTCAGAGTGGGCTCATGTACAGGTGCCGGTTTTGAGACTATCGCGTGCTTTCTCCTTTTTCCTTTTCCCTTTTCGCAGAACGACTCGCTTCGTAGAATTTACCCTTTTGGGGACTACTAATTCCGCATTCGCCGGATCGGCTTGGTCGGTGATCCTCCTGTCCTTCTTCGCTTCCCTCGCTTGCTTTCCCGAGTCCCGACACGCCATTATTGCCCCTGCTAAGTTTCAGGTACCCAGTATTAGTGAGTAACGGTGTCCGGTAGTCAGTAAACAGCCTGGAGGACTGGGTCGAGTTGCATGCATCTCGGGTCCCTGCGAAATCTTCGTCTCACCACCCTCACCACCCTCACCATCTCAACCTTGGGGGTTCACGATATCGATATCGATATCGTTGCTCGGTGCCTAGGGACTGCAATATCTCCCCAATCCTGTCTATCGAATCTCTTGTCATCCCGACTGCCATCCATCCGGATTCCGGACATTCTCGCGCCCACTCTAGAACGAATGAACGATCCATGGTACACGATGTGACCGTGGTTCGCTGGATGCATGTGCCGGTGTGGATTCCCACCCGGCGTGCATGTTCGCAATTCATCTGTGTGATCAAACCTGCTTCCTATTTCTCCCGAAGCCCCCCGATCGCTCACCCTGCCGTCTCCGCATCATCATCTGCCGCCAATTTACAGAATTACGGGTCGACTCGCCGACCACGAAAAGGCTCCACGAAAAGCCAAGCCGCATGGCGGTTGAATGCTAGCAATGCATGCTCCGCATTTCGACTCATTCGATGGAGCACTCTCGCGCTCGAAAATCTGGGGTAATTAGACGATGGTTTCGGCAACACCTTGATTGCATGCAGCTTTCATATGGAGCTCCGAGCGGCTGGGGCGCCGCCCAGATCGGTAGGGAGCTGCGCTGTTGGGCATTCGACGGGATGGACAGAACTTTGACTTTGATGATTGCGAATCGAGGCGCTCCGAAAGGTTTTGCAGGTGCATCCGTAAGTCCGTTAGGCATGCCAATGAATCGTCGGGGTCGCAATTCGCAACATTGGATTACCAATTCATTCAATTGTCCGACGGAGCAGGAATCACTTTGGACGCAAACCGCTCCGTTGTTGAGCGCCTCTGTTACGACCGTACGAGTCACGGTAAGCTGCGTGTACATTCCGTTGTGCCAGGGTTAGCTTGCGCACAGAAGATCTGGAAATAGGACCTGGTTAAGGAGGTACCATCTTAGATGGATTCGAAAATCGATGGTTGGAATGAATTTGGACTTCCTTTGAATAGAATCACTACACTTTACCAGTTCCCAGCACAACAGGTAAACCACAGCGGTTCGATAGAAACATCAAGCTTCGTGATGAGCGTGTGCAGTGGACGGATGCGATGGCATCTGCTGTTGCCCATTCAGGAACATGTAGATCGCCCGAATCCTTACGTCACCGCCAACGGAGGAAACTCATTCGTCAGAGACCGGATTTCCTTGGAACATGAAGCTTCACACTGAGCTTCTTCCAACCGCATATCTTCACAACATGTCTTTCGCACACGTCCTCTAGGTCGCCTTTCGATCTCCGGACTGTCCATTACTGCATCAGTCCGAAACCTCGCCGTGGTCATGTCTTCATGTTTCGGCTTCCGCAGGTCGACCGCCCAGGATCGGGAGCCTTTGCTCCCCCAGTACCACGATGACACCCAGCGCCAACATGAGCTGCACAAGAAACTGCATTCCTATCAGATTCTCCGAGCCCTCCGCAAAGGTTTCATGCCGTCGAACGAGCAATTGATCGTCAATCTGCGCACCTTGCTAGCTGCAGATGTTTTGAACCCGCAGTCGCAAGATCTGAGCCAATCCGGCCGGCTCCTCATTCAGCGAACCAAAAGATTGCTGCAGCAGTTCATGGACCTCTTGCAGCACAAGAACTCCGAGGACCAGATCCAAGACTTTCTTTGGTTCCTTCCGAAAGCGAATTTGTCGTTGGATGCCGGCGATATATCTCGCCAAGCCTCCACGGCACGTGCAAGGGCGGATACAGCTGCAGGTATACGTTAACGACCATCCCTCAGGGCGCCTAATTGGCACCGTATTAATCCGAACTGCAGCATACCAAAGCCTCCACACCGTCGGCTCCCTTCTCCTCACCAATTCCGACTTCCGGATCTTCGTCTCTGATCTGACCACGGTCGGTCGCGAGGTGTTCAGGGATACGGCGTTTTCGCTATCAGGGGTTGCGGAAGAAGCAGGAAGACGGCTAGATCCGCCGAAAGATGAGCAAGATGCTCTAAAATTCCCCGGGGAAGATGCAAGACACAGCCCTTCCGGCGACGACGTCACCAGAGAAGTTGCCGAGGTATCTCACGAGGTCCAGACCGGCGCCGTTCATGTCGTCCAAGAGGCTAAGGACAGTCTGGCCGACAAACTGCACGGCGGCGAAAAAGACACGCTTGTACATCGGTTGAAGCAAGCTGTCGCTAGTTTGAGGAAGAGGCCCGATTACGATGATTCCGTCTCCACAATTGCGATGTTGCTCAAACGGTACGTGCTGGTGTACACGCGTGCCCTGGAGGACACGGTAAGCACGGCGGAAAGTGACGTCCACGTCAATTCCGAGATGGAACTTGCCATGAAAAACTTCTGGAGCTTCCTGATCTCGTTTGGCGACCGGCATGAATGGCAGAAACTCGAGGAGAAAGCCAAACATGTGATCGATCAAACCAAACATGACCCTGAGTTCGAGGGTTTACTGGTTGATGTCGGGAATTCCCTCGAGGGTCTGTTAAAGGATCCGGAATTCTTTGACCACATCGAAGAAAGATTCCAAGAGCTACGGGTAAAATCTGAGAAAGCTGGTAAGCAGTCGAGCCTTCGTCAAGAAGTCGAGGAGCTGTTGCACCAAATCTCTATCACGTTCCAGAGCGTCGTTCGCGACGACGACATTTCCAAGCTACTCCAGACTGCACTGTCCGTGGTCCATCTCTTTTCCCCGCAGGGGGAGTATGTCAATGACGCTCTGCTTTCCGATTCCCTGTCTGTCTTTATCCCTCTCGTCATCCAAGCCGTTCAATATGTCCCCATTCCACGACTTGAAGTATCTACCCCTGAAATCGACCTTCTCCTTGAGAACCTCATCCTCGAGCCCGGCAAAACCATCAACCACACTTCCTTCCTGCCCTACAAACTCGATCTCAACACCGTCAACAACGTCACCGTCCGCGCCGCCCATGTGCACACCGTATCCACCGTCACCACCAGCATCACAGTGACCCTCTCCGGCCTAACCCTCTGCGCCTCGGAGCTCGGCTTCTGGTTCCGCCTCCACAAATTCCCCCTCTTTCTCACCTCCTCCGGCCTCGCCAACTTCGCCCTCGACAACCGCGGCCTCGACCTCTCCTTCACCATCGACATACCCCGCGGCCCCGGCCTCTCCCGCCCCGATTCCATAGCACGCCTCCGCGCTGCCCGCGCGCACGTCCATCAACTCGACTACTCCCTTAAGCAATCAAAACTCTCACCCCTCCTGTGGCTGCTGAAGCCCATCCTGCGCCCGCTTCTGAAGAAGACGCTGGAGTGGCGGATCGCGAACGCGGTAGCGGACGGCCTTCGCGCTCTGGATCGGGAGTTCGTGTTTGCGAGGGAGCGGCTGAGGGCGACGAGGGTTGCGGAGCCGAGGGATTTGGTGACGTTCTTGAGGGCAGTGGCGGCGCGGTGGACGCCGGAGGAGGATCCGGAGGTCTATACGAGAGTGGGGGTGGATGAGCCGGGAGCAGGTGTGTTTAGGGGTCGGTATGCGCCGGGGAGCTTGGTGAAGCTTTGGAAGGAGGAGGCAGGGGAGGCGGCGGTTAAGGTGGAGGAATGGGATCGTGGTGGGTGGCGGAATTCTGTTTTCGATGTCCACGGCGTTACGATGGGTTGAGCGTGTAACAGGACTTTCATGGTCAAATTGTGTATTGTGGTATTGAACTCAAAGTTGTTTAGTCGACGTACTAGCATACATAGGTACATATAGGCAACATCGGAACTGGGGAGACTTATTCGAATATTCGGAAATAATATGTAGATACGAATCGAAACGAGAAAACCCATCTATGATGGGTCAAGGCATAAAAGTTACTTTAAAGTATCCAGTATTCCCTGAATCTTATGTCGCATAGACTTAATATAGTACGGCTCTTGATGTATATCTCCCCATTTTTCGTTTATATGCCTTTTTGCAGCAGGATAGGCCTTGAGAACTTTTATTGTACACATGATCTCAATAGACCAATTCGTCAGCAGTCCCTCTTCTTGATGCTAAGTCTTCCACCAAAACTTCCGTCAACCCTGACACTCCTCAGACCGAGGAGATTACTGAGTTCCCATATGACATTGCCTTCTGCGTTCTGAAGCATCCTCCAGGGGCCGACTATGGAGTATGGCTGAGGTAGGCGATACGAGAAATCAAGCCGTCCGTCATGTTCAAGAAATACACCTCGGGTAATAGAAATTAAGTAGGCCCTCTCAATAATGCCTACTCAATTGCACTGCTCCAACAGCCAATTGAAGGAAGCTTCTGTTCCCAATGCAGCTTGGGAGTACCGGCGATGAGAATCCGCGGGGATGCCAGTGGAATAAGCACCAGCAATAAATTAATAGTGCAACCTCACCGTCATCCTTCTCGCGTCGCTTAGTTGTTTTGGGCCACGATCTATGATTTCACTTCTTAAAAGGAGAGGATAGCTCGTACACCATTTTATCGACTGTCCTGTCTCGACTTCAGCATTGTAGGGAGAAAAGCATCTGATATTCATAACTGAACTGAATTCTGTACTTCCGCGGCGAGTAATGGTATCCCACCAGTGTAGTGGTGGACGCCTTTAAGCACAACTAAGCCGGAGACCTGATGAAGGGCAACAGTCTCCACCAAACATCCGTTTCCAAGATGGATCCTGATCTGGAAGGAGCTCGCATGGTGCAGCGACCCCTGGTCGTCCCAGCCCACTGGAGCCAGCTTGCCGGGCGCTTTCCCTGCCGATCAAGGGGTGGGGGCACGGCTAAATCCCGGAGATAGCACGCTAGCAGGACTTTAATTGAACTTCATCCCGTCCCATCTTCATCGTGATTGTAGATTTCTAGACAATGCTCGCTTCAACGCGTTGGTTATTCCCAAACTTACTAGCGTGGCTGGTGAGGCGAAGCAGGATGACTTGACATACTCCCATCTCAAGTCTCAGCGTTGTCTCGCAGCAGGAGAACCACCTCGGGACTCGCGCATCGTCTGGCTCTCAGGAGACAGTGCTCCATCGTAGCCTATGAGGTTTGTCCGCGGTAGGTGTTATAAGAAGTACGGCGAGACGCCAACGTTTTCATATATGTTGTATGTCATATGGTGTTTGTCGTTCTCGTTGCCTTAAGTCGTCGTCGCCCTGAGCTCTACGGACCCGCAATAAAGCTACCTTTCATGCGTGTTTGCGATGATTTCATACGATTCTTGACGAGGGGCTCCGGCACGTTCCATTTCGAAACGGGATGCATCCAGGTGGTTCCTAAATGCCGTTGTTTGCCTCCAACGTCTCTTTGTCCCGATCAATGCATGCTCCTTGTGGTCTCCTATCCAACCAAGGGAGAAGCAGCTGGCAGCGAGGTTGGGTTCTGATTGCATTATCTCCCAGAGCTCTGGATGGTCGAAGCATGTCTATGTGCAGTGCTATGCAGAGAATCTGAGGCATCTTGTCGCCTCATCGCCTTACGAGGCTAGCAAGGCGCTATTGTCACAATCACCACGTGCCCCTTCGGATATTGGGCTTGGAGCTCCCCCGCACCAACCTCAGCCATAACAAGACCCAAAGATATCTGCAAGACGCATGTTTGCTCCACCTCTTTCATCGATTTGTTTTCTCCAGAGACAATGACCGAGGCCCTGGATTCGACGGGCGTCGAGACACATCGTCACGAGCTTTGAAACTGCAGGAACAGTCTAGATGCCACAACGGAGATCATCCTCGCGCTCCGGTCCGGAATGCAACCACCCAACGTTTTGGTTGGTTGCATGATGATCGTGTCCTCGCGGCCTCGCCCCTGGACTTGATCAATCATCAGGAGCCCCACGCAAAACGCATCTGTACGTCAATATTCCACGCTGACGTGACTTTCACTACCTATCCAACCCCACTGACATCCTCAACAAGAACAACCCGTTTCAGATCACTTGGCTGCTCAATGCGCCTCTGGGTTTCTTGTTGATGATGTTGTGGCGCAGGAGCTCAAAGCCGCTGGAACGGAAAACACTATCGTTGCTGCAAGACCTGTAGGTGAGTAGACTAGTGGTGACTTTTGAATCTGTCCGCGTCTTGAGACTTCTAACGACTTGTCCATTAGCTTGAGGCCGACGACTGGAGAAGATCCTTACTGGACCGAGCTGTGATGAGTAATTCGGATCTTGTACGGTGCGGCAGACTTCTAACGGTGAGATTGACATTCCGGGATGCTGAAGTTGACTCCGCTAATCCAGCCTTACCCATCTCAATTGGGAGAAGAGGATTTCCGCTTGTCGACGCCGATTTCTGGCGACGCCCTGAGATTTCATAAAAGCTCCCCAACCTTCGCGGAACTCCTAACTAGACTCGCCCTGGAACCAAGAAGCACGCGAGCTCAACAGCCCCTTGGTCTCCCACTGAGTGTAAGTCTGCGGTTGATGATAACTGGTTATGATCCATATTGACTAGTGCCGGATTCATTGATAGGATCCATGTTGCAGTCTGAACTGAAACCTCCTCTCGTCCCTTGATCAGCGGCTAGCGGAGAGTTCGCTCCCACTGCAGCTCACCATGCCTGTAGGGACAGGGGCCTCCATTCAGGGGTTGATAAGCCAGGAACCAAGGAAACACTGGCTATTACGACCACATTCCAAACGATCCCCCAATACCCGCAATGCTTGTTTTGTTGTCGATTGCAACATCGCGACCGCCTTTGGCACAGCCGGAAATGTTAAGAGGCCATTCGAGTCGTCGAGATTTTTCTTCCCCATATTGACCCGAGGCTTGGCGTTGAGACCCCAAGCAACACCTGTTGTATCGCAATACTAGAATAAGCGCTGCTTGTTTTCCCAAGTCGCTCTACCATGCGGCTGGGTCGACTGTTGGTCTCGTCTTCAAGGCAAACCGCTCCCTGGTAAGGCAAGACAGAGGCCGACGCCCCATCCTTCTGTGTCCCAAGCCGGGGATCGAGCGTTCAGTCATATTGGTCAAGCCCATATTTTGAACCCCTATTAACGAGAGGACCATTAGTCAGCTCCGGACCAAGCCCAGGAGCCTTTGGACTAGTTCCACCCCGAAAGTGCAAGAGTTGTCCGAGGATAAAAGGGTGCCCCCCTCTCAGCCTCCTGCACTTAACAAGCCGACGTATCACCAGGTCTGCGCCGATTGCATCATCGCGGTATTGTAGCCTTCAAATGACCATCTCTTCGAACCCCCAAGGTTTGTGCTTCAACTACATCCGCTCAAACAGATCGTCGACATCGGCTGAACCGCCGAAAATGATATGGAGCTATCGGGATATATCGACTCGAGTGTCCACATCGTTTAGCGCCGGTACATGTCGTTCTCGGTAGGGGCCTCTAGTCCTGCCCTATGTAGCGCAGGCTTTGTCGAGGACGATGTTGTAGTATCAAGTGTACTGACTGCCGTATTCTATATGGTGCAAGGGTCGCTCTCGGTGGTTAGCCCTCAGCTCCACTCCATGCTTTTGAATTTACAGCCCACTCACCTCGTGTAGTTACGGATACCGTTGTCCATGGGATATAGCCAGGTTACCGCAGTCGGTTCTAGTCGAACGCACAGAAGTTCCTTCGGTTCAGGGGTTCAAATCAGTGCTTGTGCCGAATCAACGCAATTCCGGACCGGGACTCCCCTGCCGTGGCCTGCATTCTTGGCCCTCGTCTTGCTGTCTAGAGAGCGCTTTGTGTCAAGGGGCTCGTCGCCTCGATTGTCCTTCCTCCTGTTCTTGGGTCCCTCAGGCCTAAGGGTTCCGGTATGTATGTCCAAGCCTTCCAGAGTTTGAGAAACCTTTGCAAGCTTTAGACACAATCCGAATTGCGGCTATCCGCAGAAATTCCGAACGTGACCCGAAGAGCAAACTCGGGTATAGTGCCTCGATGGCGGTTTGCTCCCCAGACTTTGTTCGGACTTCGCTCTAGGGGTTATGCGTGCATGTAAAGTATCACCGCCTTCCCGTAAGGGATATTGGGATATCGCTGCCTCTGTGCCTGCACGAATCGGTCAGAGGTCTCATCGGGAGATACCCGTCGATTGGGCTGGAAGGTATGTCGATGGCTTGGTCCCTTGTCCCCTTTGTTACGCTTAACTTCATTTGATTGCTGAACCCCTGATGATAATATAGGTGATCTCTTGGAGGTCTTTGATGGTGTTTCTTTTACCTTGGAGCTGAAAGCCGCTCGATCTCTGCCATTCCCGTCAGTGGATGTTAGTTGCTCTCCTTCCTCCCAGGCAGTTCGACGACGAGAGAGGGGAGGTATGGGCCCTATTGATGACCTTCGAATGGAAGATAAGTCAGTCAAATTGAATCATATTAACAAAGAACCCCCTCGCCGCTTGAGCATACCCTGACCTTGATATTTTGGGCTGCTTCACAAAGTATAGGTTCGATATACATACAGCACGTGCACCCCTCTTACCAGGCGGAACACCCACTCCCGCAATACTTTCGGTATTCCACAGACACCTGCAACATCACAGCATGCCTTAGCGCCTCACTCGAATCCCCCGAAATCGATGTGGTGATCTATCTTTTCCACTCGTTCGCACTGATTTTCAAAAACTTCACTCTTCTCTTGTTCTCACAACAGTAGCTTCACTTTTGACGAACTTCATCGACTCTGGATACTTTTCATCCTTTTGTCTTACAGACGTTCATCTTGCTCTTTTGACGCTTTACAATTCTTTCATACCTCAAAAATGCCTCCCAAGCAGATCGGAAAGCGTAAGCAGGACGATCTTCCTGCGGGCGATCCCACCGCGTCCTCAACGCTTCCTTCTGACGATGCTCCTGCCCCTGCGAAGCGAGCGAGGATAACGCGTTCGTCCAAAGCGACCGTGCCTATCGATGAACCAACTCCGATGGATATCGATGATCCCGACATCGTCGACGATCCTGATGGTGTCACCGATAACCCTGGCGGCTACAAGCCATCTCCCTCGATCAAGAAACATCAGCCAAAAACACGGGCTTCTACCAAGGTCAAGGCTCCTCTGGCACGGCAGCAATCCGATGAGAGCGATACTGATGGCGATAATTCAGCGGGTAAGCAGACATTTCATTTATCCCCCTTACATCGGCCACCTCATTGTGGCATCCCGATAAGCCATTTAGCAGAATGCAGGATTTCAGGCATGCTTTCTCATCCATTCTGAAGAACATCACTGGCTCTGCCACACTGCTTGACAGCTACATATCATACCCTTATCGAATCTCACTACTCTGTCACGTCAACACTGCCCACCAACACAATGTCACACCAACAAACACACTGCCACGCCAATCCTCCTGGATTTCCAGCTACAGTTCCAGTAAAGCCCCATGATATCGCTTCGATATTCTTGCTGTCGCATAAGGATATCGTGACAAGTCACCATTATTATACTTCCCATCGATGCTTCTTATGTTAGCTTGCGACCAGTCAATCAGTCTCCTATCTTCCAATGCCGTCAATTTAAGGCGCTAGATGTGGTGGCCGACTCGCCTCACTAGTGGCTCGGCGTTTTGGCTTACACAAAAAATGACTTCTGTCCCCGGGATGTCCCCATTATCCAACCACTTCAGCCAGCCAGTACCCTTCCCCTGAATTTACGCAACATCGTCGCGCGAGCAAAGCCCCTTTTGTACTCTTCATGGATTATACCGATGCCAGCAAAACACATTTTACATCGGCGACTTCAAAACAGCTCAACCCCTTTCCTTATGTTAAATTGCTCCGTCATATAGCTTGCATGCCAACAATCTCCCGCTTTATCACCATGGCCCCCAAGTTTTCCCTCCATTATCCTGGCTCTCCTTACATTCAACGCAATCATTCCTGGAACCTTTTCTTTTTTGGCATCTTCTCACGGTTTTCAATCCTTTTCGCGAAACCCTTTGCATCAGTGCTCGCTTCCTCCCATCGACTTCTTTCCAAACCCCCCTCATGCTTGTCATTCCAGGTTAAACCATGCGGACTGAAAGCACCACATTTCTTCTGATGCTAACAACATATAGATGACTCGGGTTCTGTCGATGGAGACGGCGCTGGGAATGCATCAACCAAAGTCCTAGCGCTGAACGATGAGCAGAAAATAGCGCTCAAGAAGCCAAAAATCGATTTCTCCCTTGCACCGATAACCGATGTCAAGGACATGTTCGAAGACATGGTAGGGCGTGCATTGGGTGCCAACCTGGACGCGGCCGCGGCAAAATTTGGCAACAAGCCGCTCCGTGTTGCGACGATGTGCTCAGGCACAGAGAGTCCCCTTCTTGCATGGAAAATGATCAATACCGGCCTTGAGAGCAACATGAAACGCCGCATCGAATTTAGTCACGAATTCAGCGCCGAAATCGAGCCGTTCAAGCAAGCCTATATCGAACGGAATTTTGATGTTTCACTGTTATTCAAAGACGTCGTCGAGATGACTCGAAAGAAATTCGAGAAGGCGACCACCGCATATGGTAGAGAGGCGGAAATCCCTGGAAATCTCGATTTCCTCATTGTCGGATTTTCTTGCGTCGACTTTTCGAACCTTAATACCAACAAGAAAACCCTCGAAGCAGACGGGCAATCTGGCCAAACCTTCCGTGCCGTTATCGGATATGCGGAGAAGTGGTATCCGAATATCATTCTTGTGGAGAACGTCTCGGGATGCAAATGGGACGGGCTCAAAACAAGCTTCGATGCGATTGGCTACGAGTTCGAGTGGGTGAAAGTAGATACTAAAGACTACTATATTCCGCACACTCGTCAGCGAGGCTATGGCATCGTTGTCCGTCGTGCAATCTTCAGTAGCCCAACGGATGCGAGGAAAGCGGTAGAAGCTTGGAAACGCCATCTGACAGTAACGTTCAAACGTCCTGCTTCGTCAACATTCATCGACTACCTGCTTCCCGAACATGACCCACGAATTCAGAAGGCCAAGTGGGACCGGGCAGCGAAAAAGTCAAATAACACATCTTGGGAAGCGTCTCAGGTCCGCCATGAAGAAGTGCGCCAAGATTTGGGATTGGGTGACAAACGCGAGTTCCTCAAGTGGGTTTCCAATGGGGGATGCCGACCGCGAGAGTACATGGACAGAGACTGGATTCTCAGAAGAGCCGAACGAGAATTGGACCTTTTGGAAGTTGTCAACCTTCGGGCGATCTGTGAACTGGAAGTCGACCCTGAATTTAAGGCGATGGTCTTCGACATTTCACAAAACCCAGAGCGTCTCATGAACGCCTACCCACAACACGTTATCAATTGCATCACGCCACGAGGTGTCAAGTACCTGACCTACAAGGGCCGTTCGCTTACTGGATTCGAACTTCTTCACCTACAAGGCATTCCCATCGACACAATTTCTCTAACCAACGAGACGGACGAGGAACTGTCCGATCTTGCAGGGAACGCGATGAGCACGACTGTCATCGGAGCCTCCATATTGTCCGCCATGTTGGCGGTATTCCCGCTGCGGAACCCGAATCCGGCTAGTTCTTCGAATACCAAGGATTTGAACGGACACGCAAACAATGGGATTCTACCAGCAAAAAAGCGAGATGAGAAGAAAACGGCGAAGAAGGTCAAAACATTCAAGTCCGACTTCCACCCTCCCCTGGAGCCGTATGCGGGCGGCGACGACGATCCACGAGCCAAGGATTGGAACCCAGATGTCATGCCCGGCAAATACGACGATGAGATAGACGTACCTCGTGTTAGCAATTTCGGATCATATCTTGAAGGCCTTCGAATGAGTCCAAGATATGATGATGTTGAACTCGGAGCAATCGAAAGTGCCCGAAAGTGCTACTGCGAAGGCTTCGATCGGGTTGCTCCTTCAGCAATCCAGCGTTGCCGTAGCTGCAACCACACCACTTGCGTCACTTGCGGCCAACATCCGGAGCACGAGTACCAAGTCGTCACGACGGCGACCAATTTCCCACGGGCACCGAGTCCGCCTCCAAGCCCTAAAATAGTTGGCAAGGAGCCCAAAAAGGGTTCTGACAAACCTCCTCACGTTGAGCATTGGGATATCAACAACAGAAAGAGTGACGGGAGATTAGAACCCCATGAATTCAAGCAGACGTGGGCAAAATCGTTTCCGCTCAAGATTCGACTTACAGGATACACTGAGAACCCAACTGGCAGTATAACCTTGAGGGATCGGGTTCAACTACGGACTCGCAATGCTCTTACACAGCCCCTGTCGCTAAAGCAGATCATTCGGTCGACAAGTTGGATCGTCCAGTACGGCAATGATGACGCCCGGCTCCAAATAGTCATCAATGACCATTCCCGCATTCGGTTGTTCATCAAACCTGACCACGCGCTCCCCCTCGGTGACCCCTTGAGGCAGTTTTTGGAACTTTTCCCCGTCGCCGAGTGTCAGTTCAAGTTTGACTTCTGGAAGCCCAGCTATCGCCAGGAGTGGGAATGGTTAGAGCCATTCGATTGCCCCAGCCTAACTCCAGACAGAAATGTCCTGGAGCAGGCGCCCCCGATGCCGATCACCATCATCGGCAAAGTCAGAGAATCGCCCTCGGCAAGGGCCCAAACGGGGATTGAGAGGTGGGCCAACGAGACAGTCCCGTCGGAACTTGAGATTGACGCCTCAAATTTCGATATGGAACAGCCCTCTTCGAGGACCCGCATCTCCGGGACGTACCGATACCTCCCCAAGTGCGGTACAGCATTCTCCTGCCTATATTCTTTACAGGGCAGAAGCCAGGGCGAGAACGTCTTCTTTTTCTTGGAGATGTCAAAGTTCGACGGCAAGGAGGCCGATCGATTCGTGTTCTCCCCGGAGCACGAACGACTAGACGACGGCCAAGTCCGGCCGATAATCGCCTTGCTGAACTCAGCATGGCGCCCCTGGGGTCTACCCATCCAGTCAGACCATGCACCCCATCCCCCCTCCCCCTCCCCCGACAAGATCGCGGCGATCTCTGGTGGCAGCACGATGGCCATGGATACGAGTATTGCCCCAGTACTCCGTATCCACGGAAAATGGTGCCCAATGGAGACCCGGCTGGAAGTTGTCGACTCCGCCATAACCGTAAAAGGTTATGGCCGGAGCGGCCTTTCGGACCATGACTATGGCAGCTGCGATGACCATTTCTCCCTGGTCACAGTACGGGTGCCGCGACCGGAAGTGTGGCAACACACCAAAGCACGGTGGTACACGCTGACGGACGTTGGCATCCCGGAAGAGCTCGCGGGGAATTTCCTTTGGGCCATTCAAGCAATCCAGAGCGATTTGGGCAAGGACCCCAGACCGATCCCGATTCGAACGATCTCGAAGGAAGATCTCCCAGCTGCACTTTGTTTCACGTGTGCACCAAGTAAACCGATGACCGTCTGGAAACGCGATACAGACAGGCCGAATGCCACCATGGAATCCCTCCTCCCATATGAGGAACCCGCTGTCGCGCGTCGCTACGAGATGAAATTGAAACGGCAACCGCCACGACTGTCAGCGACGGTCAGTGAAGACGGCGACTCCCGGCTTTCAGTTCGAGTAAGCGGAAGTATTCGGCTACTCGAGCACATGGCTATATCATTACTGAGCGAGACCTTGGCTGCACCCATCAAACGGAGCCAGCTCATCGAAATGGGCACAATGTGGCGCCTCGACCCTTTCTTCGTGCCCTCCACTGACCACCACGCTCCCGTATTTACTCTTCAGAGTAACAAGGAGACAGCGCCATATGTGAATACCGGTCTCTTCAACGGAAACCTAAAGCTGAGAGACGACCAGCAGCGATCACTCCAATGGATGCTGGAGCAGGAGCGAGGAAAGGTCTTCGAAGTCGAAGAATGGGAGGAAGCCTGCGTGCAGAAAGTGGGCTGGCGACTGTCCGTTGGAGCAAAGGCAAAGGTCCTTGTCAAGGGCGGTGTTATCGCTGACCAAGTCTCCTATGGAAAGACCATCATCTCTCTGGGTCTCATCTCCACGGACGTTGTTAAGAAACCAGACGCAAGCCAGAAGGAGTTCAAAGCCCAGCCAGCGAAGTCACAAACTGAACCCGGCCAGGTTGATGCAACACTGGTTATATGTCCAAGCCACCTAGTCGAGCAATGGGCGGACGAAGCCAAGATCTTCCTCCCGAAAGAATACTTTGGCGGGGAAAAGGTCCTAACGGTTAGGACGATCGGTGATCTGAGAAAGATCACTATAGCCAAAGTCCGCAACGCACGCATAATTGTCCTAAACTGGGACATCTTAACTAACAGTACATACGTGAACGACCTTGCGAAGTTCGCCGCCGTTCCGAAACCGGTCATTTACAAAGGTCGCGCCTATGCTTCCTACCACGCGACGCTAATGACCGAATTTCAGAAAGAGGCGAGCCGGATGTGGTCTGACAAGGCCGCCTTCACGAAGGAGTTTGCAGGGAAGCGCCGTCTTGACAAGATGAAAGAAGAGATATTTACAGGGAATCGATTCAGTGAGCCGGCACTGGACCTAAAGGACAAGTTTGTTGGAGTTCCCTTGCAGGCCTTCAAATTCAGGCGGATTATCGTGGATGAGTTCTCGTACGTGAACGAGAGGACGGATATTGAGAACCGGAAGCAGACACTGCTGATCGAGCTATCTGCTCTGGAGGCCGAAGCTCGGTGGCTCCTTTCTGGGACCCCTCCGCTATCGACCTTTGAAGATGTCAATCGCGTCGCCACACTCCTTGGCATCAGTCTAGGTGTAGCTCGATATACCATGGCAGAGCTGAAGTCGAAGCAGCGCAGCCCAGGCGAGATTTTTGCGCAGTTTAAAGAAGCGCGGAGTACGATGTGGACACAGGCCCGTAACCGACAAGCGGCCAAATTCCTCGACGTATTCGTCCGACAGAATGAGGCGGACCTCTATGGGGTCGATTGTTACGAGATCATCATGCCCGTATACCTCCATCCCGACCACAAAGCGCAATACCTTCAACGCGCGCAGCTGCTCAACATCATTGACAACAATGTCAAAACCGAGGACGACAAGATCTCCCGCTGTGAGGGACTTCTCGATGGTATGAGCAGCCCGGCATTGGCCTTACAGCAGTCTGCGACGGTGTTCTCGGGAGAAACTCTGAGGGACATACTTTCCGCCCGGAAAAGCCAGTCCGACAAGATCTTCAATGGTAATTTCACAGGCTTCGTCAAGATAGCCTACGGTTGCTATTGCCAGGCGAATATGGCGAACAAACAGCAGAAAAGAGCCGATATGACGGAGATCCTGCAGCGGTATGAAACATGGAAACAAGGGACCATAAAGGGTACTTACAACGACCCTGAGTGCACCCGTCGCTTCGCCTCTCTCATCAAGCATGTGGAGTCTGGTGTAGCGGACACCAGTGTACCCGACAAAGGCGAAGAAGATGGAAAAAACCCTCTGGTTGCCGATTGGAAAAAACCCCCCATGTCAAATTTCCGCGAAGTGATTCTCCGTATTCGGAGAGCGGCCAAGGATATTGTTGAACATGAACGAGGGTTGCGCTTCGTGAGACACACGCAGCGCATGATCGAGCTCGCGCCTTATCTCCCTTCCAACGTTTCGATGGCCTGCAGCAAGTGCAGCGTGCCTACGAATATTTTACGCTTACAAGTCCTCTCTTTGTGCGGACACATCCTTTGCGACGCATGCCATGGGACCGGAACACCTACGCCTCCATGCACCATTGATGGGTGCGATGGATTCGCCCACAAGATCGTAGGCGTACGCCTCCACGATCTTATTCCTTCCAAAAAATACCAAGTTCATCCGTTCTCAGGCAAATACGGGGAAAAGTTGTGCAGAGTTGGCCAATTGATCGAAATGTTTAAAGACGACAAGATTCTGCTCTTCGTGAGCACTACACGTCAACGCGATGAAGCCGTTCGCGTCCTCGATTTCCTCCAGATTGGTCACCTCACTCTGTCTTCTGAGGCCCCGTCGAGTGACTCTGCAAGGAAGAAGAAGGCTGGCATTAGCGAGATGATGAAGGACGCAGACGAGAAGCTCGCTCATTTCAAAACAGAGCCCGAGATGAGAGTCCTGATTCTAAACCAAGGCGACGAATGTGTGGCCGGCGCCAACCTTACCGAGGCACGCCACATCATCTTCCTTTGTCCCGTGTTGGCCTCGACTCAGCAGGAGTACCGAATGCAAATGTGCCAGGCCATTGGCCGGAGCAGACGATATGGCCAGAAAAATAAAATTTTCGTCTGGAGATTCGTCTCCTTACAAACCATTGATGTTGACATCCTGGAGCATAGGGAGCATCGTACGCGGGTTGTGCGGTCTCTTGAGGAAGCGGTCAACCCGGCAAGCTTTGCTATTTCTCCTCACCCAGCTGACATTCATGCACCTCTACAAGAGCCAGGCTTCAACGAGAAGGTCGGAAGCGTCCTCGAATTAGTGTCGAAGAAGGTGAAGATACCGGATCCGAAAGATGCGACGAAAACGGTGGAGGTGATAGAGTCTCGCTATGAACTCAACCGGAGTGCGAGGGAAAGGGAGAGCGACGGTGTAGTCCGAAGAATTGGAAACTTCGCTTCAGCTATCAAACTGACTGCCACATTCTCGGAGTGAAGACACAACGTTGATCACGGCGAGAAAGGAGATTACGGGGAGCGGGGTCCCTTTTGCTTTCATTGTACGGTTCGTCTGCTTGCTTCACGACCGCAGTCCTGTATATCCACCGCCTATCGAGGCCATGGTGTGATGTTGGCGTGTCGGCCAACACTTGCCCTTGTTTCCCTATCGACCGGAGACGTGGATGGCGACGATGGTATTGCACCTAGCCATAGAAGATAACCGAACCTGAGAGGCTCCTGCAGTGGCCGGGGAACCACTGTGCATGCAAGGTATCGGAAGACGAGAGATGCTACTGAGCTACAAGCATGAGAGACCCTACAGTGGGCTAGGGAACCGCTGTGCATGTGAGGAATCGGTATCTATATGTGCCAGAGCATGAAGGTGAGCTATTGGCCCGGGGGACTCCTGCAGTGGGTTGGAGAACCGCTGTGCATGTGAGGAACCGGTGTCCAGACACACGGGGGCGAGTTTTACGGAAGAAAGGGATTGAGAAAGAGGACCGAAGACCTGAGAGGCTTCTGCAGTGGCATGGGGAACCATTGCGCATGCGAGATATCGGACGTCTGATGAAAATCTTGTTGGTTGCCGGCCCGAGAGACTCCTGCAGTGGGTTGAGGAACCGCTGCGCATGCGAGGAATCGGTGTCCGGATGCGCCAGTGACGGCCGGGACAACGATTCACGGTAGAGGGATAGGACCCATGGGGGCACGGAAATCAAAAGCTGGAGGGACGATGTTCAGAACGAGTGGCTGTGTTCACTACGCCATGGCAACGGTTGGAAGGTCACCTGCCCGAGAAGCACTCGAGGATATGACACGATTGACCAGCCACTATTGGCCTCGTGGCGTGGACGGACGCAACTAGATCCAAGAGCCGTCATGACGACAGGAGATTTGGGCGGGTTTCTCGCTATTCCGACCACTCCGCAAACAGCTCGCACGGCACCATCGAAACGAAGCCGAAGAATGCCTCACATGATCATTCAAGACAGATATTCCGATACTTCTAAAGGCTTACGCGATGCGTTTCCTTTTTCCGGCAATCTCCATCGGGAGCGCCTCGCGGACCGACTCGGCAACATCGACATTGCAACTCTCGGGGAACACGCCAAGGGAGAATGCTTCGGATCTGGAAAGCTCTTCGGTCTTCACGGAGGCAACGAGAGACATCGACCATGAATCACAATAAGCTGGAGAGCACTGGCACTACTTGGCAAGGTTGAATGTATATCAATGCCATAGTGTAGAGGACGATATCGGACGATCGGATATTCCTGTGCCGTCAATACGCACCATGAAGGTACTCAGATCCCGTCTGCCTTGCTGTGCCTTGCCATTGCCATAAGTCATGGAATCCTGTTCTGCCAATCGACTATCAAACCGCACTAACCACTACTTGAACAAGCCAAGCCTAATTCGATGGACGTGCTTACTATTCATTCATATCGTGATATCGGACAAAGACTCTCATTCGCTAATTTCCGGAGGCGTGAGAACCGGCAGTGCCCAGTGGGGATATCCAAATTGCAAGCTAGTGAGATAGTCACGTGCGGGTGCAGCACAGCCCACCCGCCCCGCGTCTGGGCAGCCCGGACTAAACTCCATTCGGCATCGACCGTCTTCATCATGGTTTCCACAAGGCTCAGTATTGGGCGCTCGTACATTGTAGGGAGGCGCATCCCGGTCAAACATCACCACGTTCCTTCCGTTGGATCCGCATTCACAGCTTCATGGAGTGGCCTGACGACACCACAGTACATGCATCCAGTAACCGTTGGAGACGCTTCATCTATTAAGCTCCCTCCATCCGCCGTTCAACTTTCGCTTTCGCTCTGCATTCATTCCTCAACCCGAAATCCTTCGATCGCTGTTGAGACTTATACGACATTGTTTGGAGTGAGCATTCTTCCACATCTCTCGAGGGCGTGAGCATTCAGCATTGCAGCACCAACTCACCTTGAAACAATAAAAGTGTCACACAAAGCCGCTTCCACTCGAAGCCTTCTCGCACCCACATCCGCATCGTCTCACCGACAATCTTCCATTGAATCGTCAATTCCAGTAGTCATGGCCTCCAACACTGGCAAAGGACGCGACGCCGGCGATTCGATCAACGGCGCTCCCGCCACTCGTGAACCCGAGCCGCTCATCAAGGTGCAACCTCCGCGCCGTGAAGACCTACAGCCCTCGTACGCGCAGGACATCCATCCCGACACAGAGGATGCATCGGCACATGGCTGGTATGGTGGCATGGTCGACGCTTTCGGACAGGTTATTGGTACCCTGGGTGCCGTTCCGTGCTGCCCCTTCCCGAATCCGTATCGACCTGTCAACCAGGGCAACGTGGGCTTGGTGACCAAGTTCGGCCGATTCGCCAGGGCGGTTGATCCAGGTCTTGTTAAGGTCAATGTATTGAGCGAGAAGATCATTCAGGTGGACGTCAAGATTCAGATTGTCGGTATGTGTTTGCGATGCGAAGCTGGTTGATATGCCCAAAGCTGATTGAACCTACAGAGGTCCCGCAACAGGTCTGTATGACCAAAGACAACGTCTCTCTCTACCTCACGTCCGTCATCTACTACCGTATCACTTCGCCTCACAAGGCCGCCTTCGGCATCAGCAACATCCGCCAAGCTCTCGTCGAACGCACACAAACCACGCTGCGTCACGTCGTCGGTGCTCGCCTGCTTCAAGACGTCATCGAACGCCGTGAGGAGATCGCGCAAGACATCCGCAGCATCGTCGAGGAAATCGCGGCCGGCTGGGGCGTGGACGTGGAAAGTATGCTCATCAAGGATCTGATTTTCAGCCAAGACCTCCAAGACTCGCTGTCCATGGCGGCGCAGAGCAAGCGAACGGGAGAAGCCAAGGTCATCGCCGCGCGTGCGGAAGTCGAGAGCGCCAAGTTGATGAGGCAGGCCGCCGATATCTTGTCCAGCGCACCGGCCATGCAGATTCGATACCTCGAGGCCATGCAGCAGATGGCAAAATCTGCCAATAGATAAGTCCCTTCGCTTCCTCAACACACCCCTGCATGCTAACTTTCTTTGTACTAAGGTGATCTTTTTGCCGTCCAGCAACCAAGGCGTCACGGAACAGATGACTCGCCTTGCCGATGGCCCTGAAGGGAGCAATTATGGAGGTGGTGAAGGCAGCAGTGCCGCGCAGGAATATGGACATGGGAATGATGGGATGCAAAGGGCGATCAACTCGGCTGTCATTGAACGCATGTAGAGAAAGTTCTACAACTGCGATCGTTTGGCGGCTGCGGAAAGGGAATGGAGCTGGGAATCTGGGTTTCTTTCTGTTTTAATAATGTTTGGGCTGCTTCGGGAAATTTGGTGTTCATATTTGGGGCACTCGTAGCGATGGGAATCGGGGAGACAGGACGCGGAGATTGATCTCGTTGTCGCCATTCCTCTCATCAGTCGTTTCAGATACCCAATTGCAACTCGGATTTTCGTTCGTCACACAAATCAGATCCTTTGCTTTCATGACATGCGTCTCAATTGACTAGATATCGCAGCCGTCGGCACTTCTCTGGCGAAGCGTGATGGATATCGGCGCTTCGGTTCACATACACACAATGGACCTGCAGCATTGATTCATCTGGCGCTCAGACACGGATGCTTCGCCAGTTCATGTGCATTTCAACCAGCTACATAATGCATATTTTTCGTGAAAGCAGACCCGATGATCGCAGTAATGCCAGCCGTTCCACGCCCATGATGAAAGGAAATCCTTATCGAATCCTTTAGAACCCTGATCATCCGTTAATATTCCACCCATAAAATTCACGGGGGGCGGAAAACACTTACGCAACGCAGTGAAGAACCACCGGTTCTTCCCACTCTGGTACCGCTCCTCCAACGTCTTCTTGATGTTCTTCTTTGCCTCCTCCCGTTGGCTCACCTCCTTGAACGTGTCGTTGTTGACGGCGCCCTTCAGGCCCTCGAGGTCCAGGGTGTAACGGGTCGGCATCAGGTGGTTGTAGTTGATGACCTTGATGAACGGCTTGACCTTGGAGCGGCGGGTGACGCGGGCAGCGGACATGCGGCGGGTGACTTTGGATGGGTAGCGCTCGATGCCGGCGACGAGGGCGTGCGGGAAGGGGTGGGACTTGTTGCCTGAGTCTTGGGGCTGGATGATCACGACCTGGAGGGCGCGCTGTTAGAACACTGATGGCTTCATCGTCTCGTTTCTGCGTTCATCGACTCTGGGGAATATTTCCCGGTCCGCGGGTTCGCACGGCGTCATGAGGGAGTGTTCGGTGCGTACCTTCTTGCCGGCATATCGTCCTCTTGTGACAATGGCCACACGGCCAACTTTCATGACTATCGCACGGCGTTAGCAATTTTCCTCATGCAATCGATACATCGTCAAACTTACACTTCATTTCTGCGTCGTGTGCGATGTGCAGAAAGAAGAATGTTGCTCCAATCACCAGGTTCGAAGTTCGTTGATGTCAAATTCGCTTGAGAGATTGGGAAATGTGTGTGGAAAAACGAGCGCCCCGACATCCGACGCGCTAGACTGCTTTGGGACTAGCGCATCCATCCCCATCGTCCGTCGCTCCTTCCAGGTTCATCTACTCCATCGTCACCTTTTGATGCCTTGACATTGGACCTGCAGCTGCGTGTTATTTGCTTGAACAACTCTACATTTTCTCTCTCACACGACCATACTCATCACCTTCTCCCCTCAGCCACCGTGCCCTACAGTCCCCGATCCACACTAACTCTCCACGATGCCTGCAGCGACCACGTCCGGCTCGGCGGACACCCCGAAGCTCACCGAAGCGCAGTCGCTGGCCAAGAGCTCGCCCGAAAAGGCCGAGGCCATCTACAAAGATGTGCTATCACGGCATCCCGGGTCAAGCGAAGCGGCTATGAAAACGTTCGAGTCGGCGTTAATAGGCTTGGGCGGGCTGTACCGCGACCAGAATAAGGCGAACGAGCTGGCCGAGTTGGTCGGGCAAACACGAGATTCGCTCAGTGGGTTCGCGAAGGCGAAGACGGCGAAATTAGGTATGTGATTCACGATGGCTGGTCGGCTATGGAGACTATTGGCACGACCTTCTTATTATCTCGTCGGCGGATGCGTCTATATACTGACAGCCTGGGTCAACAGTTCGCCAACTACTCGATCTCTTCAGCGGGATCCCCAAATCACTCGAAATCCAAATCGCCATCACACGCTCATGCATCGACTGGGCCAACCGCGAACGCCGGTCCTTCCTCCGCCAGTCCCTGGAAACCCGCCTCGTCGCCCTCTACATGGAGAAGAAAACCTACTTCGAAGCCCTCCAACTCGTCAACACCCTCCTACGCGAACTCAAGCGCCTCGACGACAAGCTCATGCTCGTCGAGGTCCAACTCTTGGAATCCCGCATCTACCATGCCTTGGGCAACGTGCCGAAAGGGCGGGCAGCGTTGACGAGCGCCCGGACATCGGCGGCGAGCGTATACACGCCCCCGGCTCTGCAGGCGGCGCTGGACATGCAGAGCGGGATGCTCCACGCCGAAGACAAGGACTTTTCCACGGCGTTCAGCTATTTCGTTGAGGCGTTGGAGGGCTACCACGCGCAGGAGGACAAGCAGAAGGCCACAGCGGCACTGCAATACATGCTGCTCTGCAAAGTGATGCTGAACGCCGGCAACGACGTCTCCTCGATCCTGCTCTCGAAGCACGCGGTGCGGTACGCCGGGCCCGGGCTGGACGCGATGAAGGCGGTGGCGCGCGCGCACGAGAACCGCAGCCTGGAGGAGTACGAGAAGGCGCTGACGAAGTTCCGCTGGAACCTCGGGGCCGACCGGTTCGTCGCCAGCCACCTCGCGCACCTCTACGACGCGATGCTGGAGCAGAATTTGGTGAAGCTCATCGAGCCGTACAGTCGAGTGGAGATCGCGCACGTCGCGAAGCAGGTGGGGCTGGACACGCACCAGGTGGAGCGGAAGCTAAGCCAGATGATCCTGGATAAGGTGATCGTGGGCGTGCTAGATCAGGGAACGAAGTGTCTGATTGTGTACGACGAGGGAGAGCGGGATGGGGGTTACGACGCGGCGCTGGAGACGATCGAGAAGTTGAGCAACGTGGTGGACGTGCTGTACACCAACCAGGCTTCCATGTTGGAGTGAGAATCATCGAGGAGTCATTGAGCAAATCCGCTATACCTGGCCGGCGTCATTGAAGCCTACCGTGCATCGTGGGGCGTTTTGGTGCAGTGATAAGAGGCCAACTTATGTACCGTATAGACGGGATCTACGATTTCCGAATTCCATTTGCGCAGTCTTTGGACATCCTTCTCTGGATTGTTATTCAGTCTTTCGCTTTAACTGTGGTCATTCCCCAATCGATTGCTCTGGAGAGTTCTCACATCAATGTCTCCCTCTCAGCCTCAAGAATGAAGCCAATCCGTGTAGCCTACTGAGTACTGTCAACTCTCAACACAACCCAAGTCGATCACGCCTAGGATAATATTAATAACCCGAACATTGTTGAGAGACTTGCTGCGCACTGCATGAGGTTGGGTGGATCCTCAGCAAAAAGATTCAACCGCGCTCTGACTAACTAACAATCAAATCATTCGCAATTGCGAACACTCCAACAGAACAAAGCACAATTAAGGAATATTTGACGCCACCGACAGATCCACTCTGGTTCGACCGTTCGAGTGTTCTGACTACGACTTCTATCCGCATGTGAAAGGTGTCGAATACTGGGTCCAACTTGATATCTTCGCCAATTGTCCAAGTATCTCTACCCAGACCTGCCTCCAAGCCCCAAGGCATCTAGGCCTTGCCACCACTGAGTCCATGTTCCATCACGACATCAGTCGATAATCAGGCCAAGCACCAAATCCAAAATGTTGAATGCCCGTGCTGCCTTGACAGCGGCCCACTATCCTTCCCGGTTGGTATCAACCTCCGTTAATCCATCCTCCGAGCCAATCCAGCCACTGCGTGAATCCGATTCTGGCAGCTCGCTAAGCCGAAGCATGTACGCAGAACTATAGTAAGTGCATGGACGGAATCCATCGAACAGCAACAGGAATAGTATTACCTAGTCAATCATGCATTCGGCGAGAACCCTTTGCTTCATGTATCACATGTCGATCCCAACCTACCGGTTCGAGGATTTTCGTCCAAACCATCAGGCGAATTAATTAGTCGCTTCTGCACGTCATCGCGTAGGCGGGTCCAAACCCGATGCTTCATAACCGCGACGTGAAATCTCCACCAGCGCCAATGCCTCGCGCCTGGAGGGTCGCCGTTCCGCGGTATGTCGGCGCCGCTCAATGGGATGTCCGTCGACACCGAATTTACTGATATCCAACCCTCCGCAGCCCATCCTCGATCGTCGTCCGGGATCCCCAATGCGATGCGACGTGCCATTCTCACGGCACTATCCCGTCCAGCACCGACGGTGTCAGGGAAGCTTCCCGATGATGGCACGACACGACCACTGTGGGATTGTGCAATCTACCACCCGCGGGCATTTGTTGGAGTGCCGTTACTCTCAATCCTGACGCCCAGGGCTGGAGAGTGCAGGAATCCGAGCCGTATCGCGCTTGGCGAAGCGGGGACGAGGCGACAGGAGGGAGCCGGTGGCTCCGAGGGTCAGATTGAGCGAGTAGGAGCCTAAGAGGGCGGAACATGGAGGGATTCCGACCGGGTGGTTGTGTCACGGTATTAAGTGAACCACTTAGGGGCTGGTCGGGGAGGGTCGACACTCGACACGATGGCAGCCGTTGAGCGAGGCGTTTGACGCAGATTGTTTGCATCACCGTACTTATGATGCAGCCAATTGATGGGACGGTGATACAGTGAGGATGGGAGGACAGGCGCGGGGTATCAACGGTTCTCAGACACGCTGTGGGCGTATTGTTGCGTCCTAGCTGCTTGCGTGATTCGTCCTTTACACTCTACACCGTACGACAAGTCCTGCCATTCTCTAGAGGCGAAACTTTACTCGAACGGAACATGAAACCCTGATATCAGTGGTTGATGGAACCGGATGCGCTCCCTACCGCCTATCCGTAAGCAGAATCCAACAAGGAAGCTTATCGGAGCAATTGGACGCAGGAGAGGCAGCCCGGGCGATTGCAGATCGAGTGGTTCCCTTACGCATCAAGGCAGTCTGCACACTCGTTACACGTACGACGGTCGGAAATGGGAGGGATAGTGATAAACGATTGATGGAGGGGAGTGGATGAGGATGGAGGATGGAGGAGGACCACCTTTATGTCACAAGGGATGTTCAGGGAGGGGAGCAGGGCTGAACCAGCAATTCAGAATCCACCGTAGAAAATCGATCTTCACATGTGAAAAAGGACGCCACCCCAGTCGTCGAGGCTTCGTCACCTCTCAGCAACAAAAGCTCAAATCGCCATGATTTGCGAATAGGCCCCTCAACAGAATAACAGAAATTCCCACCGTTGCCTCCTGCCTGATTATCCCGTGGTATTTATGTCCTATCTAATGAACACTATTTCTGCTTCTTCCTGTACCTTCTTCCAAGCTTCTCAGAGCCTCTTCATCCTTCCAAACCAGCAATCGCACTCCCTGTAGTAAGTGTTGATCTCCTTATCACTTATCAGTCCCTCAATACGACAGTCACCCCACCAACACAATTGTGCTCTCTCTGACCTGCCAACTTTTCCATGTCGCACCAAGGAGGAAGGGTTATCTGCCGTCCTTACCTTTGTAATCTTTTGCAAGCCCATTATACCACCGCCTTTATCCCACCCCAGACAACGTGGAAGCTCGCAGTTACTGACCTGTCCTCCATTCAGTATCCTTACCTAAGTGCCACCGAGCCACTTAACCTTCATACCTCTCCAGAACGATGCCGCACGCTGAGAACGAAACCATGAACGAGAAGCCCCTGACCAACGGCGAAAAGCCATCGTCGCAGTTCCTCTCCGTAAGTCTCTCCTCCAGCTCATCTCCGTATCATACGATCCAGCTAACACGATGCGGCCAATAGCACCTCCAATCCTACCCCGTGGTCTCCGACAGCTTCTCCACCTACAAATCCCACCCCTGGGGCGCCAAGTCCGTCGACCTCGCCAGCTCCACCTACGAGAAAAGCTGGCCCTACCTGCAGGGACCGTTCCGCTATATCGCGCCGTACGTCTCCCAGATCGACCAGCTTGCCGACCACGGCCTCACCCGCGTCGACTCGACCTTCCCCCAGGTGAAGACCCCCACCGACGACATCAAGGCCGGCGTCCGCGGCTACGTCGGGTATGTCGGGTATCCAGTCGCGCTCGTCGGGAAGGGGAAGGAGTATCTGTACGCCACCTGGGGCGACGAGTATCAGAAGACGGGCGAGGAGAAGAGCCTCGTGCATTTCGCGAAGGCGGTCGTGAGCACCGAGTTGAAGGTGGCGGGCGACGTGCTGGCGTTCGCGAAGGAGTGGGTGCAGCATGTGGGGAAGGAAGCGAAGTCGAAGGCGGACGGCGCGGCTAATAGCCGGTAAGTGGACGGTCGAAGGAGTCTGCGGTGGGCGGTCGACGGTGGAGGTTGCGCGGTGAAGACCGGCGCACGATGTCGATGGCGGGTCCATGGGGACGTTTTCCCTTCGAGATGGTTAACGACGGTGTTCGAAGTCATACCCTAGAGAATGCGGAGTTCTCCCGCAGAGTTCGGGACGGGCGATGATGGGACGAAACGAGGCCTTGGAAAGAGTAGGAACGTGGATGTCGACAGGAGGAAGCTGGTTGATGAGGAAGAGACCTTTTCCGACAATTTGGCGGGTGTGCTATCGCATAAAAGCATGGCTGAGTCAAGGAAAATACAATACACCATGGCATATATCGCTATGGCGGACCTAGGAGGTTTGATGAGGATGTTTCGATTTTGGAGTCTTGCTTCGCTTTCATTTGGCCCTTCGATCGCCATCCGAGCTCATTTTTAGAATCCTTTGTCTGTTGAGAGGCCCTATCTCACATGTATCTCCTACTCGATTTTATTAGTTATGAATAGACGGACGGTATCTGGCTTCTTCTGCATTGTTCCCTTGTGAGACCGAATGCTTGAACTTCCATTTACCAACAGTTTTCGGGTGAATTGAGAGCTACACAAGGCTCGCGTTTGTTGAACAGAGAAGACATCGGGTAGAGGTATTACTATTTCCGGTCTCCCAGACTTCCAACAGCAAGCTGGCAGTAAAGTTGACGGCGATAGTGACGGATGAACTGTGGTTTTGTTTCCTACGACTTAAAACCCTCGGCAATATCGTGACTTGGGTTGCCAAGCCAATTATTCGTGGATCCGATTGGCCAGAACGCGGCTCTTGACCCCCTTAGGGACAACTTCGACATCAAGCCAGCAACTTGGAGCATACTACTCCGTACCAGGTACTATTTAATACCGTGTTATGGACTAGATGAAATATCCAACCACTGCGGAAATAAGGCTCTGTCCGATGGAAGTTTCTATAAAATTACCGGACAGTCGAGGGAAGGCATTATAGAGGAGACCACACAGTCGGTTGAAACTTGAAGGACCTAGCACTTGCTATCATTTGGACTCGATGAGAATAGCTCATTTATGATAGCTTAGTTTAGAAGCAGCTTTCTGGGGGGGTATAAAGCTTTTAAAGGGTATGAATGGATAAAGGGTGGCGCTTGATACCCTCAATTCTCCATTCATTGATCATCCTGTCGTACATCATCCAAACCCTGTTCCCACCGGCCTCGCCCCGGAGAGATTGATGACCGTTCCCGGCCCGACCTGCCCACCAAACGCTGCAAACGGTCCTCGCCCCCCATGGTCGAACGCACTCTTCTGCTCTTTCTTCCATCCAGGGACGTCATCCAACTCCAACCTCCCCTCAAACGTCTCCCACGGTGGCGGAAACCCCGCCGCCAACGCCCCCTTCTGCCGCGCGCCCGTGATCGCAAACCGCAGCTGCCGATGGCTCACGAACCCGTTCAACAGCCCCATCTCGATCATGTTCGCGAACAGCGACTCCACCTCCATCATATCCGGCAACGGCGGTTCCGCCCGCCATCCACTGCCCTCCTCTTCCAGCTCCTCGATGCCCTGAAAATCCGGGTCGACGTACCGCGCCTCCGCAGGCGTCTCGTCGCCCATGAAGATCCAGTTCGTGTGCCGCTTCCCGGGGCCGCCGTCGAGCACGCTCAGCGGGGTCAGGATGCGCCGCTCCATCCACTGCCACAGATGCAGTACGTATTCGAGGTCGAGAGTCGGGGCGATGCGGCGGTCTGCGTCGCCCATGTTGCCGGCAAGGAGGAAGGTGCGGCGGATCAGCGTGCGGAGGAGGAGGGTTTCCGCCTTGCTTTGGATGGGGAGGAGGATGCGGAAGTGGAGGAACCAGGCGGCGTGCGGGGACTGGAAGGAGGTGACAGAGCGGAAGGTTTGGAGGTCGCCGAGTTTGATTGTGCGGATGATGGGGTTGAAGCGGTCAGCGAGTCCGACGGCTTCTTCGCGGGAGAGGAGGGCGGCGCTGGGGAAGCGGCCGAGGAGGAGGTTGGCAGTGATAAGATAGATTAGGCAGAGGCGTCGTTGGCGGGGGAAGGTGATGGGGCACAGCCGGTAAGCTTCGTTGAGGCACTGAGACGAATGATAGTAATGCCCGTTTTGGAATTGGTAACGGCCAAGGTAATAGAGGTATGTGACGCGGTCTTGTCGAGGGTAAATAGCAAGCGGTGGCGATTGCTTGTATATGTTGGTGAAGATGTGCTCCGCGTTCCGCGTCTTATTACACTGTAAAGTAACTTAGCGGTGGATCTCATAGACACATGAGAAAGAAAGATGTTACCTGGAACAGGATCTTGAGGCAAACGTTTGCGATAGTGTAGATCCCGACCTTTTTTCCTTCCGGCTTGCCAGGTTTCGCCCCGAATGTCGACGAAGTTCGATCGGCCAGGCACGTCTTGAACGCGGCGACAAGAATATTGGCGGCCCTTTCGGGCAGCGTCTCTTGCGCACCATCATCGTCGCCCGCGGGTTGCGCCAGGTGAGCGATCAGTTCCGGTTTCTTATCAAGGCCGATGGCAAGCCTCGCCAGCACCTTAGAGTAACTGACGATAGTGGGAAGGACAATGACGCCCATGCTCGGGTGGTTCAATGCCGCGGTGCATTTTCTAAGCCGTCATTAGCTTTCAAATGTAGGAAAAGACTCGAGTCGGCGCATACTGTACAACGTCACTGAGTAGATCGTACGTATCCAGGAGGTTCTGCAAATTGACATCCCGGAGGAAGCCAAGATACGGCACGATGAACTTGATGAAGGTCGTCCAGGGCGACCCGTCGATGCCATGGCGCGCAGCCGACAGCAGAGCCGTGACTTTCTGCTCTAATGCGTCCTCATTGCCCTTTGGGAACCTCTGTCGGACTTCAGAGATCATCTTTTGATAGATCTCGCCGTACGGAGGTTCGATGATCAGGTAGCTCGCCAGCTTGGCGCCATCTCCGTTCTGGACAATCGCGTTGACCTCTTTCAAGAATAAATCCAAAGTGTTCGTGGAGAACGCCATCTTGACTTGCTCTTCCACTGCTTCGTCGGTGGACGGTATTCTTCCCAGCTTCCTCGATTCCTTCTCTTTCAAAAGAATGCCGGAGAGGGTTGGAATCCAGACTCTTGCGGTTTCGGGCGAGATATGTACGAGGTCGGAATGGCCGAAATGTCCCTTGAGCGTCGCGCTGAGTGCAGCAAAGATAACATCATCTTCTAGCAGAGGCTCGGTCGCAGTATTGAGCGTCTTCAGTCCTGCTACAAGAACTTCGAGGGTGCTTGGATCATTTTGATAGAGCTTCTGAAGTTGGCTGACCGAGGGACTCCGAGCTTTTTTTGGATGACCAACACTCGCCCGTTTCTTCGAGACCGACTTGGGGCTTGGTGACGGCGTTGATACGGCGGGTGAATGGATTGAATATATATAGTGCTGAAATTGGGCCTTCTTCCCTTTCCATCGCGACTTGAGGCGAGTTGGTGTCGATGCCAAATTCTGGAGAATCTTATTGGACGTCTTCTTTCGCGGAGACTCTCCAGACCCACTTTTCACTTTCTTTGCCTTGACTTCACCTTCTTCCATCATGAATTGATAATTATATGAATTGATATTCGTTGCGGTAGGGAATGTCTTAGATTCACAAATTATTCACCTGCAATTGGATTTCGGGATAGCTCTCTCAGAGTCATTGTCTTACTACGTGTAAAACCAAATAAGGGGGGTTGCGGTATACAACATCGCGATCCTAAACGGATATTCGCGTCGCCGGGAATGTGTATTAAATCCCTTGCTTAAATCCCAACATCTCGTTTGCATTGCCCACCAGAATAACAAGAGAAGATGCTTCCGGACTCCATGCTGCCCGGTCGAGATAACGTTGAACAATTCCGGGATATCATGTACCCTACAGAGGCCCCGAGCCAACAACATATTCGGCGAATAGTCCTATTTCCGCACCCTCATCACCTTCCTCTTCTTCCTCTCCCAAGCGTCGCCTGCATCGGCTCCATTCGGCCCTATGTCATCAATCTTCCGTCTCCGACTTTTCCCCAGCGCCCCCCGATCTTCGTCTTTGCGTTGGGTCAACTTTTCGATCCGCTCCACGCCCCTGCTCAGTTCCGTCCACTCCTCGCCACCGAAGCCCATCCGCTCCTTCTTCGTCTTGTCCTTCTTGTTCTGCATCGGCAACCGAACAAGGTTGGTCTCCTCGTATTTTCGCCGCTCCCCCTCCTCCTTGCGTTCCTTGGCTGATTGCATGTGACGTCCGCCGGCACGGATCGTCGATCCGATCGATGGCTCGGCAAGCGGAGCAATGGAGAGCTCGCCGGCCACGAATTCGTCAAGAGTGGCCGACTTTTTCGGGGCACGATCCGCACGTTCTTTTCTCGATTCAGTGGTTGGGAGAGCGGTGGGGGCGATGCGTGGCGGCTTATATAGCCCACTGGAGTCGTCTTTTCCACGGGGAGCGTCATGAGCAGCAGGTATCCTAGGCTTGACGAAAGCTGCAGGGTTGGGACGAAATGAGAGGTCATCAATCTTCTCTCCAGTAACGGTATCGGATTCGCTTTCGGAGCCAGAGCCACTTCCGGATCCTTCAGCACTCGCGTCGCTAGCCCTTCGTGCGGAAGTTCCTTTTCGTTTTTTCGAAGATGCATTTTTTTGCGCGTCCAGCCGCGCTGCTTCATCCGCAGCCTGGACGACTTTGTCGATCTGGTACTTCAGACGCCCCTCTAGTGGTCGCACTCCTCGTTCCAGAAATATGCGTAACTCAACCAGCTTGTCGATAATTTGATTTCCAAGCTCTTCTTCTTCCTGGTCACGCAGATTCCGGAGCTTGATATAGATCAGGAATACCAAGTTTTGCATATAGGAGAGGAAAAGGTCCGTCTTGACGTCCAACAGGGACATCCCATCCTTTGAAGGAAGGACATCGTTTGGCTCTGGTAAAGCATCCTTGGTGGACTCGAGCGAAGTCTTCAATGATGACAAAAGAGCCGAGATTGAATCAGCCATAATTGAATAAACAATGGCTTGATTTCATTCGAGGTGTTCAATCCTATGGATGTAGAGGAAGATCAAAAAGTTCGCAGCCAATATGAAATTCCAGCCCAGCAAAGAATTGGAGTTTTCAAGATTTCACGGTGGTCAGGGGTCCCTGCTGTGGCTGAACAGATGTGGCTGAATAGACTCCACATCACGTGAACTCTTCCCAGCCGATGGAGCCACACACCACCAAAAATTGAACGTCAAGTGAGATCCATCCCGATATTCCATTCCAATCCTTCCCACGCAACACCTCCGCAATAACCACCGGCTGCCGAACTCAGTCAAAATGGTCAGTACTCTGGATTTCCTATGTCGCGATTATAGCCTTTACCATCGCCAAATCGACGGTCGACCGGGAATCTACGGACACAGGATATGCGAATCGGAGTCGAGCTATCGAACCCCAACAACGTCTCACAAATGAAGTCTGCCCAGGCATACGGAATGGGAGCGTTGAATCCGATATATTTGATCATATCATCGGCGACGAAGATGCTGAGGCGATTCGAGATGGGCGACTCCGCAATCCTGTTCCGACGAATTTCCCGGCACCGACCTCGAAACATTGGATAATGGACCGAATCTCGAATACATTGCTCTTGCAGATTGAAGGATTATACTGATGCACTGGCGCTTTAGGTGAACATTCCGAAGACAAGACGCACCTACTGCAAGGGCCGGGACTGCAAGAAGCACACCCAGCACAAGGTCACACAGTACAAAGCCGGCAAGGTACGCGGTCCCCACGCGTTTGTGAACCTGATCCAGGACTGACGAGAATCTCCGCAGGCCTCGCAATTCGCCCAGGGAAAGCGCCGATACGACCGCAAGCAGTCGGGATACGGTGGTCAAACGAAGCCCGTCTTCCACAAGAAAGCCAAGACTACGAAGAAGGTCGTGTTGAGATTGGAGTGCACGGCATGCAAGACGAAGGCGCAGCTGTCGCTGAAGCGCTGCAAGCACTTCGAATTGGGGTATGTCGGGCCCGTCCTCGCGAGATTTTCACGTTTGCTGACCCGGTGCGCTGCAGTGGTGACAAGAAGACGAAGGGTGCGGCGCTGGTCTTCTAAGCATGACGGTTCATTTGACTGTACGTTTCGCACGGCTGGGATTTCATGGCGGCGTGGATATGCATTACATGGTGCCTGGTTCGCAATGACGAGCCAAGAACTTAACATCATAAAAATGAGAGTCAATTCATGAGCGCTCAACTGTCAATATAGCACGGTGCTCGTCGTCATGTTCTTAATTCCCCTCCCCGTGTTCACTATATCGGAAGCCCAGGTTCCCTCACAAGACCACTCCTCATAAATCCGTTCTTCCTGAACAATCCCAAGTTCAACGGCCACTTGTCCCCCATCCAGGTCGACAGTTGCGTATGATCTCGTTCCTCGTTTCCTTGCAGCGTATTCGGGTGAATCAGTGCCGACAGCGGACCGCGATTGATCACCAACCACGGGATGAAGGCGCCAAACTGCTGCGGCGTGAACAGATTGACTTCGAACATACCGACAGGGTGTGGTCCGACGGGCTTATCGAAGAGCTTGTAGATCCGAAGCTCGGGAACTGGTTGAGGATCAGCAAATAGGCTCCCCATGGTAGAGAAGGTATATGTTCTTGAAGTCAGGGGAAGGAAAAGAGCGATATGGGTGACTCACATTCTCGTCGGATCCGTTCGTGGAGCTCGCGAGCGAACTTCACCTCATCCTCGGATGTATGTAGAAAGTAAATGTGAATATCAAATCCTCCGCGTTTGCCGTTCGTTATAGGATCGGCGAAACGATCGTACGCTTGGGATGGCCGAGCTACCGGTGGATTGACGTAGGATTTCCCATCCTCCAGGTTGATCTCACTTCGGCGACGTTAGCATCGTCCTAGGAAACTTGTTTCGTTCCAGTGCTTACTTGGGAAGGTCTGGTAGATTTCTGAAGCCTTCCAGAGGGGAAGGATAGGTATAAAGGGAGGGGTCCGCCATGATTTTGCAGGTAGGTATACAATTGGAGAGGAGGGAAAATATGTTTGCTTAATTGCTTGGGTACGGATATTTAATTACCAGTACACATTTATGAGACCGAGATTGTCGGTTATTATATTCCAGTCGAGCATTCACTGTTACCTGTCGGCGCATGAGGTCATGGAGTAGACGTGATGGTTGGGCTGACGAATACTATTTCTTAGCTGCTTAGAAAGCGCGGAATTTAGAAGCAGAACACGCTAGGGAGGAACGGACAACAGTAATACTCAAAACCTCAATCATTTCATATACGGCCGATCTCAACAAATGGCTGAAGCTCCTGATATGGTATTAGATGCCAACCGACAAAATCGCATGTAAATAATTCGTAAAAGCGCTATCATGAAAGTGGGAAATCTCCGATGCGCCCCCGTCCATGCTACCGGGCATCCCAATATCCATTAATTCTGAACGAGCAACCACAAATTAGCAAAGAAAGCAACCTATCTTCATAAGTCTGTACCAAAGCACGGACAAGCCCACGGACAAGCCCACGGGAAACTCGACCTATTCACTATCCCGATGTCCTATCCATCCTTGGTGTCAGTGGTCCCTCCGGCCTTGCATAGGGATGGTTCCCACCCACCGGTACAGGCTCTAACAAAGTCGTCAACGCGTTAGCCATCCACCCACCTCCTAGCATTCAATCATCCCCCTCCTCCTCCGTTGCAGGCGGCCGACAGCTCTTCGCCAGCCCGAAATCCAGCACATCGCTCCTCGGCTCGATGTAGTTGCGCAGGCACCAACCGACCTGGGTCGCAACTATGGACTGGTGGCCGAGCGGGTCCGTATGCTGCGACCGGAGGAAGATGACCTGGTTCGTCGAGTCCTCGCGGTCGTACACCCGGTCCGACGTGCCGAATGCGACCAGGACGAGATGGTTTTTGCGGATGCGGTAGGGGTAGTCGTTGGCGACGGTGCTTGGTGGAGGGTCGGATGGGGCGGAAGGTGGCGGGGGTGGCGGAGGGAGGTTGGATGTAGTTGGTGTGGTGCTGGCGCCGTTGATGAATGGAGGGAGGGAGGGAACCGAAGTAGTCGAGCTCGAGTGCGAGGGAGTACATCGAGCGTAGATGTTTTGAGCGAGAAGCTGGAGAAGGTGTTCGTAGATCTTCCGGGGCATCCGCGCCGCAGAAGGGTTGTTCGTTGGCCAGGTGGTAATATGGAGCGTGACGAGCTCGTGCAACTGCGACACGGAATTCTGGGGGCGATTAGTTCTGTCACCCGTCGCGAATGGGAACGATCAAGGTACCATGAAGGATGTAAACTCTATGCTCTCGATCTTCGTGATGCTCGTCGCTGGCGCGGCTACGCTAAGCTGCTGCAACCCCGTTGCCTTTCGGCAGATGTTGTCGAATTCGTTCACCGCATACACCAGTTCCTCTTCGTCCCCATCGCCCTTCGACGCATGGACATTCAAGTCCTTCAGCGTTTTCCCATGCCTCGCAATCCCGGCGGCGGCCGGCAGCTGCTTCGCATAGCAAATATCCAACGTGAGCTGTTTCAGTCCGCTGACCAAGCACAGGAACCCGTCCACAGCGTTCAGCGCATCGTTCTCGGCATTATCCTCGTGCTTGAATTCCAGGCACTCGAGGTGCTCCGGGAGTCGCGAACTCTGGCTCATTTCCGCGAACAGCGTGTCGGCGCCCGAACACGTGTACACGCGCAAGGCTCGCAGGTTTTTGAAGTCGATGGCTTTGCAATACGTCAACGCCGCATACCGGAGGCCGATTTTCTGAAGGGTCAGGTCGCGGAGGGGGAGTGGAGTACAGGATTCGAACGGCATCATATGGCGGAACAAAGTCGACGTGATCAAGCCCGGCGCCGTGGCGCTGTCGTTCAGCTCTCGTAGAGGAATCGGGTTGTCTTGATTATCCTCGAAGGTGGTGTGCAGGGTGATCTTCTCGACCTTCTTCGAGCGGCGCAGGATCGTATGGGACATATTCAGCACATCGCGAGAGTCAGGGTAGAGGCCGAGTTTCTTGACGTTGTCGAAGAGCTCATCAAACTTGAGCGAGGGATCGGACTCGAGCTGCGGGAGGACATCCCGATCGAGAGCGATCGCCTCCATCCATTTCATCCGGCGTTGCTTCCGATAGAGCAAGAGGAGATTGTCGGCGTTGAGGGGACTCCATGGGTGCCAGCTGAACTTCTCGAGGATATTCTCGGGCAGGAACTCGAGGATCATGCGAATGACCACGTTTGCTTGCTGCAGCTGATTGCACTTGCAGGTGTCTGGTACATCAGCCAGGTAGAGGTCGAGCTTACGGATATATGGGAGACCGATGTTCTTGACGTTGAGCAATGAGGTGAGCTGGCCATCATTTGGCCCACCAACATCAAGCGTAACCGAGTGATATAGTTGTCGGACGGTGATCGCGTGTAGTTGCTTGGAGGTGAGGCAGAGTGACTTGAGATCGGTGGGACGGATAATCTTGTATAGCAGATTGCATTAGCCAACGACCTCTTGTGTGACGAATGTTAAATGTTTGATATTGCGGAAAACTGTGAATCTCTTAGGAAGAAACATCTAATGGGCCACTTCACTCTTCCTCTGACCCGCGGGTTCTGATATACAATTCTTGGGACGGGCTCGGAAGCCACGCTATGCCGCACGCTACGCCGCCAGCATGCTGTGGATGTAATAGAGTCTATGGAGTCAGGGAATGATGTTTGCTTACATGCGAGACAATGAGGGTCTTGACATCGACAGGCAGATCTATGAATATCATTCTCCTAGATTCTTCCTTTGTTTCTTCCTTTGCCAAAGCTGTACTGCTTGGGGATTCGGTTGCAGGCAGCAGGGCTAGGGGGTTGTCGGTCGTCCTCGGAGATCCTGAAGAGTTATCTGTCACCTGGGTGCATTGAAGAGGAGGTTGTGGATTTTTCGTAGCGTTCGATGATTGCTCTAAGACAGCAGGCAGAGGATGACTGAGCTGCTCATGAGCGACGTCTGTGTTGAGCTTCGCCTGAGCATTGTCATCAATCTGCCCGGACTGCTGCTCCACATCGACCATGGTTGCCTCTTGGCCCAAAGATTAATGGCAAATGATAAGGGATGAAGACTCTAAGATATGAGTGCCTGGTAACTATTCAGGAAACTATTGTTGAGGAGAAGGCTAGGGGACAACTATGGGATAAATAAGTTAGGTATAATGTAGGTTGGTTCTGTAGCCAAATGCACATTAGCACTGTATGTCCTGATGAGGAAAGGCTGAAGTGTGGACCGCAGCTCGTAATTAGATCAGGAATTCAGGATAACGTCCCGCTGCATCCTGTACATTCTGTACATTCTGATCTATGTCGATTAGTTATCCTGTTATCCAGTCTGACTCACTTCTGAGTCTAGCCATGTATCTTTCTGTTGCATTGGTAGCAGAACCGACCGAAACGCCATATGAGGTTGATGGTGGCAGTCATGAATAATATTCATCATGTTAGGTCCTGTAAAGTCGGGTACCTGAGGTATTTTATATTCAGCCGGCGCCCCCTCGAACAACCTTCCCTCAGACAACCTTGAACAAGAGATGGGAATGCGCAACCTGCGCGGGGGACTTCAAGCCACCAATTCCTCTTTCGCATATGACACCTGACGCCGGCACTCGCGCTCGACATACGGGGAATTAGCAATCGACCGGAAGGGAAGGGCCGGTTTCCTACGATCAAGCATCCACCATGCCGGATTCATCCATCCCCCAGCCGGCCTGCATCCATTGGAACCGCTCACGAGACGCTGAAGTTGAAGCCGTCGGGATAGAACACGCCCGCCCTTCTACTCCCCGCCGTCCGGAGTCCTTCGAGGAGAGGTCTCAGGAAGATCCTGAAGCTGAAGCTGATCCCGACGACCTAGACGGCGTGCACCTCCCAGAACACATTCAAGGACCGCTTCCGCTCTCCGAGGAGGACTTACACGACCTTTAAGAGGAAGTGATGGAGTCCGTACATCGGGGGAAACGAACTGCGTCCCCGAATCCCGCCGTCCTTTTGGAAACAGGATCGGTCCGAACCGAACGATCTTCTAGCAATGCTAATGAAGTCTACCGCCAAATAGACCTTTCGGCCGTCAAGATCCGCTTTCATGCTGAGCCGCCGGACTTCATCGACACCGCTATCAAGGGCATCCTCAACGTCGACGTCTCGAAGCCACGGCTCGACTAGCTCCGCATAATAGCCCGAGGATTTCGCGACAGCTGCCTTATAAACGTCCGGAATCTGCCTGTCAAGGGTGTCTTCATTAATACACTCCATACTGCCATCAATGCCCTTGGTCTCATGAACCTCCGTATCGGGGGAAACTTGGCCTGGCGATGGGGGCTCAAGCCCACCGTACCGCCGCGCGTGTATTATTTCAATCCAAACGTTATGGCCAGTGCCCAACATCAGGTTGATGACATGTCGGCTCCTCCCCGGAAGTGACAGAAACCCCCTCCCAAGGTGGATTATATGTCTCCTGGGCCGTCCGCGACCGGCGCACCCGTTCCACCAGTCAGCAACTCACCGAGGTCGGACGAGATGCACCCCCCCGCCCCTATCCTTAAGAAAGAAGGAGACCATTCACATATCAAAACACCCTATCCTGACCTCGCAATGGGTGTAGACGTCAATGCGCGGATCTTCGCCCTTTCATCGCGAAGTCTTGACGAGACGAAATACTCAGAGTTCATCGACTGGCTCCAGAAGGAGCTGGTGCAGTACGAGGCAGAGCGACAATTCGAACAATACTACCTCTAATACCCGCCCTATACGCCCCTGATCTCGCCTTCCCATTTGCTATTGTGGAGGGCAAAGCATACTCGACTGGAAAACAAATCTTCGAGGCCGAGAACCAAGCCGCGGTGTCGATGGCCTGCGCGCATAAGATCCAAATTCTACTCGATCGTCTCACCGATCCCGAAACAATGACGGACCCTCAACTGCATGTGCTCTTCTCCATTGCTACTCAGGGTCCTATCCACGAGCTTTCAGCCCACTGGACCGTCGTGGAAGGGGGGCGTGCGCTGGTTCGAGTCGAAGATCTGTGGTAGCTGGAATGTGCTGCTACCGGAGCGCGCGGAGGACTTCATTATGACGCTGAATAATGTATGCGTTTGGGGTGTAGGAGGGTTTCTGAACTCCGTGGTGGAACATTTATGGGTGGGGCTTACCCAGGCAGAAATGCCCAAGTGAGTGAGCGCAATAGGAAGAAACAGAGGATAAATGACTTGAAGGAAGAGAAGTGCTGCAAGAATTGTAGAGAGTTCCACTCCCAACTTTCACGAAGACGGCACTGGAAGGACTTCGCACTGCTTAATGCTTATACGCGCGATAATATGTTTTCTAGTCATAGAGGCCGGATCTGTTTGGAGAGAACGGCTCCAAGCGAGGTTTCTAGTCGAGTGTCGTCCAGAACATGCAAAACTTCTGAGTGAGAGATGTGACTTCCACTGACTGACCATGCTGAGCATTCCCCGTCTCCCTAACAAGTTTATCCCGGGCCCGTAGTCGACGACCTTTCCGATTCCCGGATCCATGAATCCGTTCCATGCCCAGAGACGCCCGTCCAAAGGAAACCAAGCCCAACCTATATAGCCCCGACACCGCGCTATGCCAATCAATCAGCAGGGAGCCAGAGGTCATGATAGTGTACAAGACAGAAGCACGCGATCCCACCCGACGCCAAATCCCAACCTCAATCCTCCCGCTGCAGCTCCGCCAACAACTCCGCCTCCAACCCATCATCATCGTCGTCGTCGTCTTCCACCACCCCCCCGCGCTCCTCCCCCCTCCCATCCTTCTCGTTCCCGCTCGCCACCGTTGCCTCGGGGCTTAGCAACCCCGACGCCTCGCGCACGTCTGCGTTGGTCACGTTAGACAGGCTCGACACGCGCTCCAATGCCCTACGTTTGCGCCGCTGCAGCTGGCTCATCCCATTGACCGTCGCGAACGGCTGCGATTTACGGACGTCGGCTTCGCTGTCGTCGCTTTCTGTGTCCGCATCGCCTGTCGATGTCGCGCGCTTGCGCTTTCGGGCGCTCGCCATCAGGTCGCCGTTCTCGTTGCGGCCTTCGATATCTGTCATGTCGTCGTCGTCATCGTCGTCGTCGTCGTCCTGATCCGTAGTGTCACCTTCTGAGCCGAGGAACTCCTCCAGCTCCCCATTCATCTCCTCCCAGTTCGCCGCGTCGATTTCGACTGGGCTCTTCAACTCAAAGTCGTCGTCATCACCCTCAGGATCCTCATTCTCGTCTCCCGCGGTCCCCTCGCTCTCGCTCAACAACATGCCGTCATCAACAGTGGTGTCGAACGAGACGTTGGCGGTGCGCGACCGGACGGGACTGGAGTGGTCGTCCGGCTCGACCTCGATGAGGTACGGCTCCTCCGAGACTTTCTGCCAGGCGGAGAAGCATTCGAGAAGCCAGCCGGTGGTGACGATGCGGACGCGCCGCATGCGAGCGGCTTGCTTCACTTTGGCAGTACGGCGGAGCTTGGAGGCGACGACATGGGTGACCGACGAGGTCAGTTGGGTCGAGATCGTGGCACCAAAGCTACGAGCCCATAGGCCGAGATCAGAGCTGCGGACTGTTAGCGTGGCGACTCGAACGTGGAGATTCGAGGGGTTCAACTTACTTCATGGGGTCAGTCCCGAGAGGAATCACGCCGGTGAAAACTATCACCGCATCGCCTAGAACCTGTTCCTTCATCAACGGCAATATGTACTTCAAATCCGGTGTCCAGTCGTTTTGATCCACGGCTTGGCCGCCTGTCCGCTGATCATACTCCGCGTAGAAGACGTCGTGGATACCCGTCAGGACGCTCTCAAGATTCAGCAGCTCGGTGTCGTCGTCATGAAGGAGGTGATGTCGTTCCCGATGTTGCGAATCGCCATTCTCACTCTCCGATTCCGAGTCTTTGGTAGCGGCCTCATCGGCCTTGTCAAGTAGTTCCTGCTTCCGTTGCAGTGGCCGGTCCTCCACTTGCGCTGTGATTGTCTCGGTCTGTTCCTCTGTTTGCTCCTGGAGCAGTTTCGGGTTATCGCCACCAGCCATTGCGACCAGCTGCCGCTCGATATCGGTGATCCCCTCTCCATCTTCGCCCTCCGGAGCGGCTTCGTCGGCAGCGATTTCGCTGTCCGCGCCCTTGACCACGCCACCTTTCGGGTCGATAGAAGAGTCGCCCTGTTCGTCCTTTGGAGGTGGTGGTTCCAACTTCTCCACCTTTTTTGCATCTTTCTCGAGCTCTTGACGTTTGGGCAAGAAACTTGAATTGATATCACCGATGCCGACGAAGAAGTCATACGGGCTGACTTTGACCAGATGATGTGACCAACCCCACACATCTCCACGGTCGTCTATGATCACCACCATGTTCGTATCGCAGGGGAACAGTCTGTGTAGTGTTTTGACGGTCAAGCTCCCGCTCTCGTCCCGGCTGAGGATCCGGTCGCCAAAGATCTTGCGATCTGGATCCACGATCTTGGCGATGTGTTCTGCATATGCCCTGGTTCCCATGGTATAGATGTGCAGCTCGTATACCGACGAGATCTTCTCCAGGAACTCGAGGAGGCCGGGCCGTAGTTTGATATAGTACCAGCAGCTTCGACCTCCAGGGACCTCGTCGATGAGCTGGAATGCCCGGACATCTTTGACGGCATCGTGATTTGGGTTCTCTGGATCTCGTTGCCACTCGCCAACGGTGGGATCGACGGTCGCATGGATGATGGTTTGGTCGAGGTCGACAACAAGGGTTAGGCGGCGTGTCGAAAGCAGGCGACGTTTCGCTTCTTCGTTAGCGCGGGTGGCTTCGTTTCGGCTGACTTTGAGCTGTGTGTCGCCATGGACCATGTTAATGGTGGCGCGCTCCGCATCGAGAGACGATGTGTTGTAGTTGACCCTATATCTTGTCAGCACGACACGCGGACCGCATCGTTCCATCCGCGAAACTCACTGGGTCATGTCCTTCCCGCAATTGACGCACAGCCCGCCATATTGGATCTCATGCTTGCACGGCTCCGCGATCTCCACGAGCGGAATCCCCGGCCACTTCACCAGCTCGCCTTGCCGGACCTTCCATGCGACCACCTTGCCATCGCTCTCGCTGTCGAACTGTGCGAAGGCCGTCTGATCCACCCACTCGGTCTCGTCGCCCAACCGGTCCTTCGCGACCTCGACCCGCGTCTTGTAGCTGTAGCGGAACAGCGTGTCCAGCTTCTCTACATCGTCGCCCGCCCGCTTCAGCAGCTCCGTCACCGTGATCGGGTAGTGCAGCGACGGTGGCGACGTGATCAGCATCGGGAGAGAGGGGGCGCAGATGTTGATGGGGGCGTCGTAGTATATGTCAGGAACTTGGATTGCGATGCGCCTTCACATGCCCATTGCGTGCGGCGGTGCGCACGGGCAAGTCGCGACGAAGGTATAGGTATTCTGTTTATGTCCAGTTGCAACTGGAATGATCGGTGTCGTGAATGTCTCTGCGCGTCGTGATCGTCGTCCAGGATGGCAGAATATAAGGTATCTTCTGTTGGTCGTACAAAGGAAGTGGGGATACTGCAATTGCGCGCTTTGACAGGAGTAGTCGCAATTGGGGGATGGATGCACCACCGCGCGGCTTGATGGTTGTAGAGTGGCGTTTTGGACTTTTGGTTTGTCACCGCGTCCTGGTATGTAGAAAGGCTATTCGGGAGAATTGGCGTCGCGGACCAGGTCGGAATCGTCGGTGTTGATAGAGCTGGGTACTGGGAGGAAGGATCAAGTCCAGACCGATGGATTGGGTCAGGAAGGAATTGGGGGAAATGCACGTTTTGCTGGCACGAGGTATAAAGTAGGGGTACGTATCGTGAAGCATTAAGGATGTACGGAAGATATGGTGGAGGATCGTCTGCAGTGTAGCTTGAGATGCATGTGAGGTCGTAAACAGTGACGCCTCAGGCCAACATAAACTTTTCCTTCAAATCCGATCTTATCTGAAGCTTCCCAAGTTCACCGTGCTCCGTAGTGACGCCAAAGAGCGGGGGATCCGCGAGCTTTTATCTCATTCGTCTCTTTGCTGAGTTCCTTGCCGTTTTCGGTTCTGCCAGTGAATATTAGGCATTAAGGCATAAACTTCAGGCATCCATATTCCCTGGAGTATTGTCGGTCATATGATGTTCCGGCACTGTCACGTGCTACTATCTCCAGCGATTACCGCTTGCAGTGGAAACAGATGACGATAACGATTATGGTGGTCATCAACACAGGCATGCTGTAATTACGAGGATTATCTCATCGGAGGCGTTGAAGGGTTACCATTATCTTGCAAACCACGAGATCATAACATCTTCGAAATGGATTGGTGTGGTATGCATGGGCACTGTAGCTGATGGGTAGAGGGAATATATCAAGCACGAACCCTGCAGCGTTAGAGAGTTGGTCGCATGAAATGGAATGCCCCTAGATCTCGTCTAAACTTGTGACCTGTACGGTAGGTATCATATGTGTCTGGGTTCTGGAGCAGTAGTGTATCCAGCTCTGTTCAGGATTGGATAGATAGCTAACGCATGAAGCTCGAGGACACCGCAATAAGGGCAGATGCACGCATCATCAACAAGACCGGTCAGTGATGAAAAACACATTTCTCCATTGCGATATCTACCTATACGCGTAACGGACCCCATTCAACTTTTGTCCTCTACCATCCGCACCCGGGGGGCCGATCCCCCACACAGATCACGTAATCCCTCCCACAGCGCAACCGAATGTACATTGGAAAATCTGACACTGATGTGATGAGAGCGCGCCGTGAACCACACTCGAACAAATCCCGGGGAAAGAAAAATCAACGGATGAGAAAGGGGAAACAGACGCGTTCCCCACGAAACAGGGCGCGGTCGAATTAGATCGGCCGCAAAAGACCATGGATGAAAGACACTCCTTCTTGATGCGTGGTGTTATGAGATGCCTGGTGCGATTGGAAAAACCATGCCCTCTCGCAACGTAAAAAAAACACGGAACACGAATGCGAAAAACCACCCGAAGAACACGAAACAGTGATTTGAAGTCTATTACCCCGCCCGCGTTTCCGAATGTCATCATCCACCCCATCAAGCGCCACCGATATTAGTAAGAATATAATGCGTTGCCAAGTCGAGGCGTTCTTCCACGTGGTTGTTGTGGTTACAACCCGCTTTCTAACTCCTTCCAAGAATTGGGGGTGTTGGACAAGAAGAAAATATGTGGTCGGTGGACACACGCTCCCCGCTCCCCCCTGCTCCGTTTTTGCGTTCTCCTCGATTACGCCTCGATATACAAGGTCATGTTAGACGCGTTTCTTCATCCGAATAGGTAGGGCCGATGCGTAAACCGGCCCGTGGCGTGTCGCGAGGAATCTAGGCCTTCATACCCTTCTCGCCAAGCAGCTCGCCGATCTTCGTCTTCGCGTACGCGCTGGCGTCGTAGTCGGAGGTGATCTGCGGGGTGAGTCCGGCGACGACGATGAAGATGCCCATGGCCACGAGACCGAAGACGATGATCTTGCGCATGACGGGCTGGCGCTGGCCATAGTCGTCCCAGGAGCGCTTGCCGTCGGCGATGTATTCCTTGAGGCGCTGCGCACCGAGCTTGTAGTAGACGAGGCCCGTGAGGGCGATGCCGTAGCCGAAGGCTTGCAGGATGGTGACGGGGTCGCCGAAGAGGAACATAGACGCAACGACCAGGATGATGTCTTTGAGGACGCCGGACAGGGTGTAGACGAGGGATGAGGTTTTGCCGATCTGAAGGTCGGAGTTAGATATTGGGCAATCGGAAATATAACCGGATGAAGGTGAAGGGGGCTTACCAGAAGCACAACGGCCACATTGAGCCCGAAGGCGACCATTCCGTTGAGGAACAGCGTGGACAAGCCGACGTCCAGGATATCCTGCATCTGCATGTTCGGGATTTCCAAGAACAGGCAGACAATGCCGTTCATGACGGTGCACGCCGGGGCGAAGTAGTAGAGCGACACAATCGGGTCCATCTTGAACTCAGCCGAGGAGAGCAGGCGCTCGACCATGACGATACGGATGGCCTCGAAGGTAAGACCGCAGATCTGGAACAGAACACCTCTGATGACGAACTGGATCTCTCCTGCAGAGGCGATCATCACACCGACCACGATGAGCATGACATTCGCAAGGGTCCGGAAATTGGGAGTTTGGGTGCCGAGTGCCCAGCCGGTGAGAAGCACTGCAACGGGCGTGGTGGCCTAACGATTGTTAATCCTCCACACGATATTGACGCCAGGATAGGGGGATCCGGGCTCACCTTGAGCATCTGAATGAATGACACACTCAGGTAGAGGTAGGCTACGTTGCCGCATATCAAGCTAAGGGAGAAGAACACGCCAATGGGGACGATGGCACGGAGATAAACGCGGCCGGTCATGGGGACCTTCTTGCGGGAGTCGAGGAGGTTGGTGGTGCGGGCGAGGACCTGGGTCATCAAGGTTGCGAAACCCAGATGCCATGTTGTGAGGAAGATGGCTAGAGGTGGTGTTAAATCAGAGGAATTCGACAGCAGACGTGATGAGGAACCTACGATAATCTACACAATGTTAGTTGGAGTCGATCAAGGCTGCGTCGAAGGAAACTTACGGAATTTTAACCGGTCCAAAATCTGCTTGTTGAAAAGAATGACAGTTGAGCTCAGGGCTATCCATGCTCTAGATCGGGACGGTTAGACTCCTTTCCCACGGATCGAGAACGCAAGTAACGTACGCGATGTAGACGGCAGCGTGCACCGCTCCTTTCTGTGGCTCTGCCATCTTTTCAATGGCCGGGTTGACGGTCGGGAGAATGGGAGCATTGGAGGCATTGCTGCCCTCGCCGCTATCTCCTGAGAGTCTTGTCTTCTCTTCTTGCGACATTGTGATGGGAGAGGTATGACGTTGAACGGGCGACGATGGGATGGATCAAATCGGATGGGGAGGAGGAAAGGAGGAGGAGGGTAGGCGTCACAAAGACTAGAAGTCCGCGATACGTGGCACCGGGAGTTCGCGATGTAGTGTTGGGAAAGGTTGGATTTAATGGAGGATGGAAGATGTAGGTTGAAGGTTGCAGGTGATAACGAAGCCAGGAACGTAAAATTGCAGAGCGTTCGATGAGAGGCGGGCTGGCTAGTAGCGTATCCACTCAAAGCGAAGCGTGCAAGTGTGGACTGGCTGTGGAAACGTGCAACCGATGAGATTGGAGAATATGGGATGGTGCAACAAATGTCTAGGTGCAACAGAGCAATGTGCCACTCCCAAGACCAATTCACAGAAATTCTTCTAGGCTTTTGGGGAAAGTCCAGTAAACTCCAGTTGTTTCAATGGCGTTGAAATCGCCGGCTCTAGAGGCCTTTTTGGCTGCCGGTTTGCACGAGTTGCAGCCGGGGGGGGTATTAGGCTGCTGGGGACTTGGGCCTTGCTTGGGATAGACAGGTACGCTAGGGAAGGAGTTTGGTGGTGGAGTGGCCAACGAATCTTAGAATTGGGTTACACACTGAGAGCCTGAGATTTGGAGGGTGGACTGCTAAGATTTGTTAGGCTAGTTAGCGCCTTAGCCGGAGTGAAATCTGATGGATGTGCTGCGAAATGCGGCGAAGTGCTGCGAAGTGCTGCGAAGTTGCTGCTTGTGGTGCTTTGCCAGTAGGGAGTGGGGGGTACGGGACACCATCCATCCCACACTCTGGGTTCGATCACCAACTCGCTGATGAAGGAGCACAAGAACCAGTCCATGGATCCAATGCCAAATGCATCCGGAGATTGGGAGAAGCAGCTACAGAAAATTGGACGCTCAGGACTTCCCCTTAGAAATCAGATGCAGAACCTCAGAACCTAAAGACACAGTCCCTGACGTATCGTTTAGGACAGCTGAAGTTGATTCTTTGGCACCCTATCCAGCATCGTGGCTCCTCCTCAACTCATGAGATCATCGACGAACTTCATCATTACTTCCACAATGCCTTAACGCAGCATCACCACACTTGCAGGCAGTACAACTGACAGCACCCACAAAAAAGACTCAAAATTGGATCTTAAACTGATTCATCCACCAGTATAAAACTCTGGATGGCAAAAGCAAAATGATACTTCAAATGCTTCATTCCTCAAATCCTCAGTGACATTCCCGCTATTTCGGTTTGCTCCATTCCGATTCCCGATAACATCACCAATAACTAGGTATCTATATTGCTCCTCTCGGTGGTTAGGTATAGTCCTTGCCGCGTATGGCGCTTGCTTCCCTTCTCCTGAGTGTTTGAACTTCGTGACACCCAGATGACCTCATCGGAGTTCTAGCGGCGACCGGACGGGAGTAACACAACGGCTTCAGCCTGCCGAACCGGCGATCCCCTTCTTCCTTCGCAATCTTTGCTCCTCAGATATCGGGCTTCAACTGTGGGCATCAACCGTTTGACGTGGTCGTACGCGCAATTCCGAAACAGAATTTTATGTGGGTTTTGCTGGAGTTTCTCGACGCTGGAACTGTGGGTTGGAGAAGTTATTTGCCCGTTACAGTGGATTCCGAGCGCTCGATGGATGTCGTCACAGGATGGGGATCGATCTCCATCACGGCCAAATAATGTGTTTCAGCTTTTTGCGCACTTTTCCAATCGTCAAATTGAAACGGGGAGTTTATCAAGTTATGGACCTGGAGGAGCGCAGGACCCGCAGAGCCGCAACCACGATCTCTAGATGACCACATCTCATTTGTGACACCCAGCATTACGACTCCACGAGATCCTGATCTTCCCAGTTTCATATGCGGTGCCCCAATAAAACAGAATCTTCATGCCTACGGTCCCAGAGGCCAGATGATCGTCCAGAGTTTCAGGGACCATATCTGATGGCACCCTGGCATTCCTTGGGAGCTGTTGAGGATATCATTTCGTTGGCGAACGTCCCCTGACGTCGGCTTGTAGATATTGGGAGGGATTATTTGCACTGCCACGATAATGGATCTGTCTATCCACTACCCATGCATGGAGATGGGAGAGGCCCATTCCGGTCCACTGCACTTCCCTCCATCTCCTGTTAAACTATTGAACCCCTTTAAGGGAGGCAAATGGATCTCCCAAACGAATGGGGGACCAAGGGGAAAAGGTCATGTAGTCAAGAATGACACTGGATGAAACTAAAATCAACTTTTGTATTACCCACCTCGCCGTTCTCTCGGGGCCGGACGGCATATATCCTGGCGGTATACATGCGGCTGCAGGCTCAATCCGTTCTGACGGTTCGTTGAAGAACCAAGTTTGCCTGTTGCCATGATGTGGTTTCGATGTCCCACTCTATCGTAACTCGTACCTCGCAACTCGCGATGGTTAGGCTCGTATCGAACACAGCCCCGATCTACGGAATGTAATTACTAACATTCCACTCGTGCTCTGTACCGGTCACATGATAGAAATTAATACCATACAACTTGAATGAAATGACCTCAAGAGTCAAACACCAAAAGTCTGAAGGAAGGACTGAGTGAATGTCTTCAACCCCCTGGGCGGCCTAATGTGCAATTGCGTGATGATAGACAGGGAACGGGACACTGGGTTGAAGGGAATCCAAGATGCACCAATCACCGCCCAGCGGGAATGCACACTTCTCGAAGCCGATGTCCAACGCACGGGAATGGCAATGATCCAAGCAAAGTCCCATGTCTCCGTCGGCTGGTCCATACTCTCTTCGGATCGCAGCATGCACTGGCCCTCCGCCTTCCGGAGTCCAGACGCTCGACAACAGGAGGCGAGGCGGCTCGGGGAGAGGGAATAAAGGGAGCAGAGCGGCAGAGAGCGATTAAAAGGGAACATGCATGGCACCCCCTGATCCGCTCGACGTTTGGGTTTTGAGTGATTTGGGCGTTTCACGTGCTGATAGCCCCGATCTCCAGAAAACGATAGACATTAAACTCTCTCAAAAACGGGGATGATAGGAGCAATTACACCGTAGGACACGGGGCGTTTCCTGCATCCTCGATATGCTCCTGTCCGCGACCAGAGAAAATTCCCTCAGATCCATTGTGAAAATTTCATAGAGTCTGGGAGGATGTGCAACTCAACAGGACCCAAGAATCGATCATCTCGTGGTCGTACGGCTCTGATTGCTGGAGCGAAACTCGGCGATCCCCCTTTTTTTCCTTCCCTCCTCCACTGCGGACACTGGACAGCCGGCGGACTGTGGTCCTCTCCTCTGTTTTGGCGCCTCCTTGAATCACGAAGTCCAACCGAGACGCGGGATGCTCCAATCTCCGTCCATGATTTCCGTGTTTGGCGCTGTTGGAGGACATTTGAAGCCACAGTGACTTTCCACGCCGCGCTAAGCATTATCGCAGACCATTGAGAGCTTAAGATGGGCAATGGCAGCTGGCGAGGCAATGGTGATCGTGACTTTCAACACCTATCAAGTACTTATTGAAATATCACAGTCTTCCATACCTTAGGGGGACGATACGGATAGGTAATTCGATAGAACATTGACTGTACCCTCCTCGATAGATAGTCTCAACAGCCAGTCCACAGCATCTTCATTATTTTGAGTTACTGCTATGATATGGTTGCTAGATCGGAATTGTATCATCCGAGCGAATGTCATGTTGATAGCCTCTTTGAATTCCTGCAAGCCCCCCTTGGTCCATGGACACCTGTGCCCTATGGACGCCTCCTCGACTCCTCGACTCCTCGACTCCTCGACTCCTCGCAGCCCTCGACTCTCGAAGATTCAAGGCAAACATAAACACGGGATCGACCCACTCCAAACCGCGGATAGCAGACGTTGGCAATCTCAAATTAACTTGGAATGCATAGGAGGTGAGCCTTGTAGTATTATTAGCTACCCTATCCTTTTGTTTGTCCGGTATTACCTGGAAGGTATGTTGGTAGATCACGGATAGGATGATAGACACAACAGCTTTGGCAACAACAGCTGCAATCATCTTGATACAGACACTGTTCGTCCATTGTTGCCACCGCCAGGGCTCCACTAGAGATGGATAAGATAGGAGTAGCACAGCCATGCGAATGTCCGAGTGACCCCTTACAGTGACATTATTATGGATGATGAAGGTAAAAGTAGCATTCATGCTGCAAGCGACTTGTTTGGTTTAGCGCCTATGGACAACCTGGAAATAATTTTGGTCCACTCTCTAGCCCCATACTATCAACCAGCTTCCTCTCCTCGCGCTGCCCTCAACGCTGTTCACCTTCGTCCCAAATCCTACCAGAGATCACAGCTGTATCCGATTTTAGCCTCTTTACCAATACCGTATCCTACATTGACATCTGGCAAGCACGTGTGGTGCAATTGCATTCGCTTAAGGGACTCGTCCGATTCCCGCTCCCCTGAACATTTCCTCTTCAAGAATACACACCTGGACCACATTTCCCGCAACAAGATCTCACGATGCCGTCACTGCCTGTCATGAACGGCTCCTCTAGCAAAGACATGTATGCGAACCTCTTATGACGGTAAATCTCACGGCCGTCCTCTAACGCGAACTACAGCGAAGTCGATGTCCTGGTCATCGGTGCTGGACCAACTGGTCTTGGAGCCGCCAAACGTCTCCATCAAATTGTATGATCACGATCGACCCCTCTTGGAGCTGTGTGGACTGACCGCGACATAGAATGGTCCGTCATGGTTGATTGTCGACAGCAACGAGACTCCTGGTGGCCTTGCCTCCACCGATGTCACCCCTGAAGGTTTCGTACGTGCACTATTCCTTCTTGATGACATGGCACACCTCTAACAGGTGGTGGATTGACAGCTCTACGACGTCGGTGGCCACGTCATCTTCTCCCACTACAAGTACTTCGACGACTGCATCGATGAGGCTCTCCCCAACGAGACCGACTGGTACACCCACCAGCGCATCTCCTATGTCCGCTGCAAGGACCTCTGGGTCCCCTATCCGTTCCAGAACAACATCTCCATGTTGCCCAAGGACGATCAGGTCAAGTGCATGGACGGCATGATCGATGCGGCGCTGGAGTGCCGCGTTGCCAACACCAAGCCGAAGGACTTCGACGAGTGGATCGTTCGCATGATGGGCACTGGAATTGCGGATCTGTTCATGCGTCCGTACAACTTCAAAGTCTGGGCGGTGCCAACCACGAAGGTATGAAATTCCGTTCCGAAATTTCAGAGTCGCGGTGGAAGCTTACCGAGTCGTTCTTCAGATGCAATGCGCCTGGCTAGGCGAGCGTGTCGCTGCCCCCGACCTCAAGTCCGTCACCAAGAACGTCATCCTTCAGAAGACCGCCGGCAACTGGGGACCCAACGCCACTTTCCGCTTCCCTGCTCGAGGAGGGACGGGTGGTATTTGGATCGCCGTCGCCGATACGCTGCCGAAGGAGAAGACTCGATTCGGCGCGCACGGGGTGGTTGATAAAGTCGATGCCGACAACAAGAAGGTGACCCTGCAGGATGGCACCACCGTGAAATACCAGAAGCTCGTGTCCACGATGGCCGTCGACGCGCTGGTGGAGAAGATGGAGGATAAGGAGTTGGTGGACCTGAGCAAGGGCTTGTACTACTCGACCACCCACGTCATCGGAGTTGGTATCCGTGGCGAGCGTCCTGAGCGGATTGGTGACAAGTGCTGGGTATGTCCTACTTCTATTCTTAGTTCTATATATCGTGACGACAAGACTGACTCGACTCCAGCTGTACTTCCCCGAAGACAACTGCCCCTTCTACCGCGCCACCATCTTCTCCAACTACTCCCCCAACAACCAACCCGCCCAATCCGCCCAACTCCCCACCCTCCAACTCGCCGACGGCAGCAAGCCCGCCACCTCCGCCGCCGCCTACGGCCCCTACTGGTCCATCATGCTCGAGGTCTCCGAATCCTCCATGAAGCCCGTCGACCAGGATGCCCTCCTCGCCGACTGCATCCAAGGCCTCGTCAACACCGACATGCTCCAGCCCGCCGACGAGATCGTCTCCACCTACCACCGCCGCTTCGACCACGGCTACCCAACCCCCAGCCTCGAGCGCGAGGGCGTCCTCAAGGAGCTCCTCCCCAAGCTTCAGGCCCGCGATATCCTGTCGCGTGGTCGCTTCGGCAGCTGGCGCTACGAGGTCGGCAACCAGGACCATAGCTTCATGCTGGGCGTCGAGGCCGTCGATCACGTCATCAACGGCGCCGTCGAGCTGACTTTGAATCATCCCGATTTCGTCAATGGGCGGAAGAACGAGGAGCGGAGGCTGTTGGATGGCGCGCAGGTGTTTAAGAGCATGCAGGGAATCACGAAGGCTGCCGAGCAGGGTAGGCCTCGTGCCCCGACGGTTGGGAAGGCATGAAACATTCAACGATGCAAAAGGAGATGGTAGCTTGGTCCTGTAATGGTTCGATTCATAGAATACTGAGTTACCACCGAGGAACCGTACGGGCCCCTTGTTTTGGGGGCATCAACGTGGGTGTTCCCCAGGTTTGGGGCGTCGGTCCTTTCGTTTGTCCCATACACGTTTTCGACTTTCTTCCGCTGCGAGCGCGTCCGTTTGCACCGGGGTAACGTTCATTTGACGGGAAAAGGGGGGATGAGTGGACATAGAGAAAAGAAAAAAGCGAAATAATAGTTGCGGTTTTGGCCGGTTTTGGCCCTGCCTTCAGAATAGATTTTTCGGCGGCTCTGGAACGCCGCCAATACACTACCGTAGCTAGATGCTTCAAGAATGGATTGTTTTTTGTTTCTGATCGGTGGCGGGTTTACATGGCATGAAGGCTTTGGAGACGTTGAACCTGTGCAATGCGAATTGAGGTCTCAGAACTTAAATATGTGACATAATGCTACACGTACATCTGCCGGAAAGGCCATTTCCGCATATCCTGCCAACCCGTTTCGTAGCCGAGCAAATACCAATCCCATTACCGGGCCTTTCGCATCAGGGAGCCAGCCGTACAATACCACCCCCTCCATAGCACGCCAAACGCCTCGAGAAGATGACCCTCATCCAGCCAGCGGTCACTCCGGGGCATCTTCCACCTTCGCCTTCTTCGACCCCTCGCTCGCTTCATCCTCCTCCAGTTTCCTCTTCCCTTTGCCATTGGTCTCCGGGACCGGCGCCTTCTCCTTCTTCCTCGTCCTGATCAACCCCGAAATGTCCGTGGCGTTCTTCGTCGCCTCCGCGATCGTGGCCTGTTGCTGGAACGCGTCCGCGCCGGTGAGCGTGCCGAGCAGGCCCTGGAGCGCCTCGGTTTGCGCGTCTGCGATGGTCATTTCCGGGGGCTGGAATGGGGCGTTGAGATCTTGTAACTGCGGGGTGTTAGCATGTCAGTGTAGATATATATGTATGGGAGGAGAAACCTACCCGTTGCTCCATATCGCCCACCATCTCCTTGACGTCCGCAATTGTCTTCAACTTCGCCGTCCGCCCCTCGCCATCCTCCATGGCTTTCACCGCCGCCTCCTCCTTCGCGACCCGCAGATGGCAGCTCGCGATCGCCTTCTCCATCTCCCCCGCCGCCTGCTTCCGCATCGTCTCATCCACCTTCGCCTCCGCCATCGACTCGGCGCTGCGGTTGCCCTGCTCGGCTTCCTCCTGCGCTTGCCGCACCGAGCTGACGGAGGCGAACTCCAACGCGAGGGAATACTTGAAGTGCGCTTCGGCGAGGATCTCGGACTCCGCGGGGTAGAGCTGGAGCTTGAGGTCGAGCGCTTGGGCGCTGTCCGCGACGGCGTCGGCGAAGCGTTCGTTTTCAAGGGAGATCTCGGCTTGGTAGTCGCGGGTGTCGGCGAGGAGCTCTTTGGTGTCATGGATCGATTTGTCCTTATCTTGGCCTCCTGTCGTTGCATCCTCGGACGAAAGCTCGGTAAGTCGTCGCTCCAGCAGTACGCGCGCCAGATCTAAGATCTCGTACGCGTTCGCCAAATCGTCCTCCTCTTCCTGCGCCGCTTGGTCTTGGCCCTCCTCGTCTTCCTCGTCATCCGACGTGTCCCAGTTCTCATCGCCCGTGATCTCGAAGAACGGTTTATTCGCCGCGGTCTCCTCCCCTCCCTTCACCGGTAAGGCGCTCGAGGAACTACTGCCCTCTCCGGCGTTGTTCGACTCCCGGTTCTGCTTGGCGCCCTTCTTCTTCGCCGGCTTGTCGGCCGCCACCTTTCCACCTAGCACGTCGTTCTTCTCCACCGCGACTTTGTAGAGGCATCGCCCGTACCGGAACAGCAGGTCGGCATTGCTCGGGTTCATCTCGCCGTGGAGCGCGGCCTGCATCTCGGTCGCATCGCTGTAGATGTCGGCTGCAGCGGGGTAGTTCTTGAGGGTGTAATAGAGGTTGGCAGAAGTGATCAGCTCGCTCAGCTTTTCGGCGCTGGGAGGGAGTTCATCTGTATTCTCGCCGTTTGCTTCTCCGACCAGGTCGGCCGGCGGAGGAGCGGCGGCTTCTTCTGGCTTGATCATTATTGCAGCAACAAGGATATAGGGTGTTTATCGATGAAGACTAATCAATGGCCCGTGGAATAGGAAGTGAATGAAAGTGAATTGTGGTAGGTGAAGAATTGTCCTATGCGTGGCGGGACTCCGAAGATATATGTCCCTTATATGTCCCTCTTCCTCTGTTATGTTTCCTCACTCTTCTTCACTCTCTTTAGTCTAATAGTCTTTGATGTTCCTGAGCACGGACCATCATAACGCGGTTGCCTCAATCGCGTCGCGTCTTCCCGCGTTGAGATTTGATACAACTTTATATTCGGACAATGCAAACTTCCTTCACCCCACCGACCTCCTTTGACTTATACATATTTACTCGTGTATATACTCGCAGATATGGAAGTCCCCTTGAATATTTCAGATACGCCCCGTATGCCCTCTAAAAACCCCATTCCTTCCTCTTCGCCAGGCTTTAGCACCCCGCTCCCGCCTTTAAACGCCCTCCCCTCAAAGCCCGCCGGTCCTCCAAACGCTGCCCACCGAACACTTCCTCATGCCATTGCCGCTACCCGTACCTTACCGGCAGGCCCCAAACCGAGCGTCCTTCCCATTCAACTGCCGCCGTCGACCCTGCGACCACTCGCGTTCCGCACCTTTACCAAAAAGCACAACCTGACCCTCACGTCCGCAGCCCTGGGTCAGCTTGCTGCGTTCATTGGGAAGCATTGTGGGACCGGATGGAGAGAGGAAGGTCTCGCAGAAGGTGTGTTGGAGGAAGTAGCTAAGGGGTGGAAAAAGGGCGGCGGGAGCGTGATTGTTGGTGGAGATGATAAAGGGATCCAGCTACTCGATTCTATTCTCAAGAGCGTGGAAGGAGTAATGAGCGGTGGCAAGGTGGTTCGCGAGTTAAGCAGAGTTGGAAGTTTCAGTTTTGCTACTGGCGATGCCGCAACAGCTGGCGAAGTCCCACGGACACTGGGAGAACGTCAACCAAGCTTCGGCCTGAGCGGATTGAAAGTCCAAGAGTCCAATGAAGATGAAGATGACCATCTCATGGATCCGAGAGAATGGTTACAGGTATTGAGTGCCTTTGAGCAGCCGAGAATGATCTACAATGTCTCGAGCAAGAACTTCGACCTGTAAGTGGCGGCTGGCTGTCGGACGATGATCAAGGGGCTGACTATAGAAAGATCACCGACGAAACCGACGCTCTTCCCTCCCCCAAGCCACCGGACATCCCTCTTTAGATCAAGATACCACCTCGTTCACCAACGAATCCTCAGGAACGAGTCCTTTCAGCCCCCATCTCTTACAGCACACAATTCCTCGCCCTCGTACAACAACAAGATCACACCCATCGCCAATCTACTAGGCCGGACCGGCTCAACACATTTGCTTTTCGGTCTTCTTACTACCACTGCCACGGGCGTCCTCGCACTGGCCGACACGACTGGTACCATTGTCCTGGACGTGACACATGCTCAATCATTGCCCAAAGACGCCGTTTGGTATACACCCGGCATGCTCGTCCTTGTCGACGGCCAATATCGAGAGGATTTCGGCACTGCAAGCGCAGGAGGAGACATACTCGGCGACTCTGGTGGTGTCGGAGGGACCATCAATGGCACATTCGCTGCCTCGGTGCTTGGTCACCCCCCATGCGAGCGTCGAAGCGAAACTCTCGGCATCCAGGACCCCTCCAACGCGAACGTATCCGGGCCCGGTTTTGGATGGACCGATTTTCTCGGCGTTGGGTCTGAGCGTGCCACCGGTACGCGTATGCGGCGAATTCAGGCACGAGTTCTCGCGGCGATGCGGCAGCAGCAATCCCTTGACGGTTCTCCAGACGCCATGGACGTGGACGAGGATGCCGACGCGGATGAATCGCAGCGAACCATCCCGCGAACGCTCCTCTCTCGCCGTGCTTCACCCACCGTGGCCGTTGCATCCGGCCTGAATTTATCTTCCCCGCACACTCTCCCCGCCCTCCGCACTCTATTCTCGACCTACGACGCGGTCCCGCCGACCGAGATTCCTCTCGCCATCGTCCTCTGCGGTCCGTTCGTTTCCGGCGCGGCCCTCTCGGGCGCTGTTGGATCCGGGAGCATCGAGTACAAAGAAGGGTTCGATCAGCTTGCCGGGCTTTTGTCCGACTTTCCGGGCGTGCTTGCGCGGACATCGCTGGTTTTTGTCCCCGGCGATGGAGACGCGTGGACCAGCGCGTTCGGCGGCGGCACGTCGGTCCCGGTGCCGCGAAAAGGCGTCCCGGACCTGTTCACACGACGCGTCAAGCGGGCGGTCGCGGATGCGAATAGGGAGATCTGGGGGGCGACCGTGGGCGAGGCGTCGAATAAAGGAAAGGGGGCGGCAAGGAGTAAACATGGGGACGTCTCGTGGACCAGCAATCCTTCCCGATTGGCGTGGTTCGGCTGTGTTGGCGAGATGGTTGTGTTCCGTGACGATGTCCTTGGCCGACTAAGGCGACTCGGGATTCGACTTGGAGGAGACGAAGCCCCAGACGAAGAGCAAAACGAAGACGAACTTGAATCTGGTAGCGTCGCTGGCGAGGGCCCGGCATCGCAGCAATCCAACAGCATGGAGGAGTCGCAAACTGTACAGTCTACGAGTGCGGACGATGCTGCTCCAAACATAGACCCGGACGTGGAGACGGCAAGGAGACTAACGAAGACCTTATTGGACCAGGGCAACTTAGCACCCTTCCCTCTCGAACATCGTCCAGTGCACTGGGACTACGGTCAAGCCCTGAGTCTATACCCTCTCCCATCCGCGGTCGTTCTTGCGGACTCCGAAGCCCCGGCATTCTCCCTCAACTACATGTCCTGCTGCGTGATGAACCCCGGCGACATCGTCGAGGGGCAGGGAAGCGTAAGGCGTGCCAAGTGGGTCGAGTACGACATTAGCCAGAATCGAGGGGCCGTAAGAATCGAGGGATGAGCAGCCAGCCTCTGCGCAACTCGCTCATGCTTCCGCGTCTGTCGGTTGAGTGTGCGTTCCTCGCATGCGGGAGACGCCGGTATCGCTCGATGCGGTGCGGAAGACCGAAGTGGAAGACGGCAAATCGTGTAGAGCCACCGAATTGTTAGCTTCTTGCGCATCATCTGACGGATTCCCGTCGACAGCGCCTATGCCCTCACGCTCTGCGGTCTTGCTCTCCTTCCCATACTTCTTCTTCAGCCACGGACGCAGGTTCAAATACCCCCCCGCAGCAAACACGCCCAGCCAGAGAATCAACTCCGAACCATAGATGACCAACCCCAGGACATCCACGCTCGTCTGGAACAAGACGGAGATAAGGGAGAACAGATCGCCAGCCGCGTCGAGCGCAACGAACAGAAATGAAATCCCACGCACGGTCTTGTGTTTGACGATGTCCACATAATGTCGGAGGACCCCCGCGGCTAGGAGCACGGCGGAGAGCACCGCCATGAGGGTCATCGGCCACTGGATGTGTCGGTCTCTTGCGATACGCAGTGCCACGATCAACGCGACTTGCAGCCCTGCCATTAGGACCGCGATGGGAACGACGACATAGAGAGTTTTAACGATCGACCAGTGCTACGGACGAGGCTTAGAGCATGGAGAGAGGTGGGACTTGGAGGGCATCGCTACCTTGTTGTAATAGTAGCATTGGATCCAAGTGATGAGACTCAGGCACGTCAATAGCTGCGGTTGGATTCGCAGGGCGATGTTGAATTCCTCCACAATGTTATATACCCCCAGCGGCACACCTGCCCATGCCCAAAGCATCATCATGGACGGCTGCAATCCAATCGCATGATGCCGTCGGTAATTGATGATTATCTGAGGGATCAACTAGCGCTGTGGTTAACAAACTGGTGAGGGGGGTGGGCAATGGAAATACATACCTGGATCGACCAACATACCTACACGTCCATGGAACAAACAAGTGAGCCACTATTAATACAGCCGGTTCATTCGGTGCTTCAAGTACATACAGCTCCCATTGTCCCCAGCACATTTGCGGCGGTTGGGATGTCCATGTCGCCAATGCGGATATTTGTAATTATTGGAGGTGGACTAGGTATATGCCGCTTCCCCGTCTAAATCAACTTTGATATATTTAGCCCACCCCAGTACCATCTTACGGTGCTGTTGAACCTTAGTAGAGTAGTGATTGGATCTCGCCCTCGGCTGCTCTTGATATCTTGAGCTGTCCATGATTCTGTTGATGCCTTGTTGCCGTGTTGCCTGATCATCGGACCAGGACATCTCTGCTCACTCTCTGTCAGTCTCAGGCTGTCAGTGGTACGGACCAATGCACTGATATATATTACTATTTCCAATTAACAGCTGTATCAACCATCAATCGTTTCAATTTTCAGTAGTGATGGTCTTGCATCCACTACATTTTCCATCCATTTTCCATCATTTGACTCTGTCAAGTACTGGTGAAGGTGGTTTCACGCTGACACACATCTTCACAAACACGACCGGCAGAACCTCGGACGGACTCGTGAACGAGAGACCCCTGCTGGCGCTGCTGCCCTCGAATTTTGGAACGTCACCCAGAACCTCTTAGACCCCTTCCCAATTTTTCAGTAAATTTGGATCTGTCCACATCTTTCCCTGAAGCATCACTTCCCGATTCCCCGCAATCCCCCTCGACCGTCCTCTTGCCACTCTTTGGGAGTGTTTCGGGAGGCTGACTATCCCACAATGGCCGACGTTGCGACCGCGAAGCCCAACGGGGCCGGCGATGCATCTGCCACCAAGTCCAAGCCCTCGGTGACGAGGGTTGAGAAGCCCGACGACGATCAGTATAAGAAGGATTTGGAGAAGGCCGAGAAGGAGCATGCGGCCTCGCAAGAGAAATTGGTGGGTTACGTCCAGCTTTGACGATGGTCATCCGTTGGACTCAGTGGCAGTCGCTAATGTTCAAATCAGACCAAGATCAAGGACAAGATCAAGCTCGCTCAACCGCAGAACAAGGACACGCCGCAGGCCAAGCGACAAGAGGAGCTCCGAACTGAACTGTCGGCGATCCGACAGAAGCAGCAAGGTGCTAAGTCCTCCCGATCCGCGACCTTCGACAAGATGAAGAGCCTCGAGGAGCGGATCAAGTCCAAGCAGACCGAGCTGAAAACCGCCCGTGGTCGTGTCCCGTACAAATCCGTTCAGGATATCGACAATGAGATCGCACGCCTGCAAGGGGAGGTCGATAGCGGGAAGATGAAAATCGTCGATGAAAAGAAGGCGCTCAGCGAGGCGTCCCAGCTGAACCGAGTGAGGAAGGGCTTCGGTGCACTGGAGCAGCAACAGAAGGACATCGACAAGCTCAAGGCCGACGTCAGTGAGCTTCGCAAGACGCTCGATGACCCCGAGTCCAAAGCGCTCTCCGAACGATACACCGAGATCCAGAAGGAGCTCGATGGCATGCGGGCCGAGCAAGATGGCGCGTACAAGAACCTGAATGCCCTCCGCGATGAGCGCACCAAGCTGCAAGGGGAACAGAACGAGAAGTACCAAGCCATCCGCGCGCTCAAGGATCAATTCTTCGGTCAGCGACGAGCATATCGCGAGTACCAGGATGAGGTCTACAAGCAGCGCCGCGAGCGGGAAAAGGCTGAGAAAGACTCGTACGAGAAGGAGAAGCGAAGAAAAATCGCCGCCCAACGACTCGAGGAAGCGAGTGGTCCAGCCTACCAGGACCTCATCCAATCCGCTGAAGGCCTGGTGCGATACTTCGATCCCAGTGCGGTGGAAGAAAAGGCCGCGGAGACAGTTGGGAAGTTCGCTGCCTCCACCCAACGCACCGTGACCGACGATGCCTTCAAGGGTATGAAGGTGGTCAAGAAAGATGACCAGGAGGATTACTTCGTTGGAAGCAGCGGAAAGAAAGGCAAGAAGGGCGGCAAGAAGGCCCCTGCCAAGGAAACCTTCAACCTGGACATTGGCGTGATTGAGCAGTTGTCAAAGATTGGCGTCGAAACTCCCATGAACCAGGCTGGCGTTGCTGCCGTTGTCGAGAAGCTGAAGGAGAAGATCGCCTTCTGGAACAAAGATCAGGACCGGAAAACGAAGGAGGTCAGTGATGTGCAACTGTGAATGCGAGTAAACCCCAGTGCTAACGATGGATTAGAACATCACCAAGGCGCAAAAGGAGATCGACAACCTGGAATCGGAAGCCAAGGTCGCAGCCCAACAGGGCTCCAAGGACACCCACAAGAAGCCCGCACAACACAATGCCGGTGTGAACGGCAAAGTCGATGCGGACGCTGAGCTGGCGCAGGAGAAAGATGCCGCCGCTGACGTTACCACGGAGCTCGAAAAGACCAAACTGAAGGATGCCGAGGGCGAGGCGGCTGCGGGTAGTGAAGCCTAAAGCCCTTCCGGAGGGACCCTTTGGAGAGGATTGTTCGTCCCCTATCCTCTCGTCTCACCACCCTAAGCTGGTTTCTATCCTCTTGTGTTGTCTTCCACAAGGAAAAGTCACTGCACTTCTTTATTTGTCAGAGGGGCGGGATCGGGCTCTTCCAAAGCTATTTATCTGCTTATTCTCTCATGCGTGGGCCAAGTCGATTGGGTGAACTCGGTTGATATGGGCCGAGATGGACCTTTATGTCCAGCGAAGGATCCACGCATATATATATTCTCTGCAGCTTGAAATATCCAATTCTGCTGTCGTGTTCGCAAGTCTCCTGCTGGTTCCGTTCCGTGTTGTCACTGTGTGCCGAATTTTAACCCCGTTCAAATATCAGTGTTCGGTAAAGAGTTACACAGCACCTTTGGACTGCCCTCCATGCCCGGCCGTGTTTGCCATGCTTGTGTGACCAGGCTGTAGGCAAACACGTCGTTTGTTCAGCCAGTTTCTTCTACAACAAGAGATTTGCGTAGACCACAAGTTTTACTCTCCGGTAGGACTACTCTTTCTAATGCGGAGGCTTTGTCGGCATAACATGCCTCCTTGAGAGGAGATCATTCGGGAGTCAAAGCGGAAGCAACTCTGCTCAATCTTTCCTTTACCCGTGTCCCTCTCCAAATTCCTCACTCCAGCTGTCGATTTCCAAATACCAACCCTCCCCTTACCTAATTTCGTCTCCCAGTTGCCCATTTCATTTCCATGTCGCGTGATCGAGAGGGGTTTTGGGGCTTCAGTCGTCGCAATGGCGGCAGATTCGACGAGCATGGCTGGCTGGAATCAGAAGAGATGGACGATCAGATCATCGACCTCACGGAAGAAGACGGCTTGCCATACTTTGACGATGAGAGCATGGCCGACGACTTCGATGAGCCGGAGATAGTCCATCCTTCATTCTCGGAATATGAGCATGCAGACAAGGAGTTTGGTAACTGGCACGCTGATGGATGTCCGCAATCCGGCTTCCGTGGAGGGGGTTCTACAAGAAGCCACAGATACCGAGAGCGAGAGAACTTCGGGCGATCTTTCGGTTTCCAGTACGAACGACCCGAAGACTGGCCTGCTCCCCGCGCGCTGAACCCGAGCATCGTTTTCGAGCTCCTCGAACAGGTGCGCGACCTCCGCATGCGACAGAACGACCGTCCCGATCCCATCCCCCGCCGAACAACGACCATCTCCGTCGAAGAAATGCCCGACGACACGGAGCCGGGGACAAGCCCGCCCGGCCACCGACCGCCGGAGATCGAAGAGAACCACGACCGCCCGCCATCCTACGACGCCCACGGTCCAAACAAAATCACCACGCTGCCCAACTCGCCGATGCGGAGTGACTCGACCATCCGACCCAGCTGCCCCAGCAACCGGTCACTCAGCCCCGCCCCACCTTGCGCCAGCCGACGCGACAGGCATCGATACCCGGACGAACGACACCGCTACCGGTCTCGATCGCCGCACGGACGACGGAGGGTGAAGCGGGAGGTGGTCGAGGAGGAGTTGCGGCGGATCAAAGAGGATGTGGTGCAGCTCAGGGTGCAGGCGACGTCGCTAGGGGGGGAGGTGAGGTGTCTGAGGAAGGAGTTGACGGAGACTGGGAAGGCGGTGGAAGAGACGAGAAGGTTGTTGAGGAAGGGTCAGGGGAGTTCGTGGGGGCCGGGGTGTTTTAGTTGAGGCAGGGAGTCCACTGAACGACTGTGCTGGAAGTCACTGGAAGATCATCTCTCCATTGTCTTGCCGATGGTCTGGGGGATCAGAACTTGAAGACTTCGAGAAACTGCTGTCAAGGTGAATGAGCAAATCGTACCCATGCATGCTATTACCATGATCATAGGATACACTAAGTATATCCAAAACTGCCGTTGCAAACTCCGCTCAGTCCTTCCCATTGGCCTTCCCATCCCATCCGTTCCTCACTGTGTCCTCTTTCTGCACCACTGACATCGGCAAATTTCGGCCGATCCCAAAGAGCACGAATAGAGCCCACTTCCACCGGAAAGGATTGATGACTATGACGAAGCAGAACCAATAGATTAGTTCGCTGTAAGTGAAGAAGTCGAACGCCCCGCTGTGCATGGTTAGACAAGGTCAACAGATATAGGGGACGCATTGCACTCACCCAGGAGCCTTCTGCTTGATCCATCGGGTCATGTCGATCCAGGTCTTCATCAACCACTGTTGTGGCCTCGCCAATGGATCCACCAGGAACATCAACAGGAATCTCGTGTAGATTCCAATGTGGTAATTCCCCACCGTCCCAATGGCGTTGACGTATGTGCAGTTAATGGCACTAATATCCGGGTGTGGCGGCGGAAACACCTGCAGATACCAGTTCGGGGGATTGTAAGGCTCATCGAAACACTCGTCAGGCAGGAAATTCAGGCTCGGGCGCTTGAATCCAGTGGCCATGATGCACATGTCCCCCTGGATTTCGCGCGTGGTCCCCGGTCCACCTTTGGGAACCCCTTGGTCGCGATGCGTGAACAACATCCCATTCGAGGTAAACTTAACGGTATCGCCACGGAACCACTTCGCCTGACCGCTGCGGACCAGCTCCAGCACGTCTGTGTTTACCATCGGCGTCTCCTCAAACAACCCCTGCGCACTCGGCGGCGGCGCGATGGACGCGAGGTCGCGGTAGAAGAAGCGGCGGAGGAGGAATTCAGGGATCCAGGAGAAGCCCGTCTCGCTACCGAAGACGTTCAACGCGAGGAGCATGTCGATGAACGGGTTGCGAGGAATGATCCATTTTTCAGACTAGCGTGGATGTTAGCGAGATGTGCCACTGAAAAGACTGAGATGTGCGGTTACCCTGGACAGGATATACGCCTGTTCCGCTCCTTCGGCGGCGACGAATTCTAGCGCTTCTATAGCACTCGCGCCGCCCCCTACGATAAGCACTTTCTTCCCTTTGGCACTCTTGCCGTCCAATTGCGAGGAATGGTGTACCTCTCCTTTGAAGTCCTCCTGGCCGTCCATATGCGGCATTTTCGGGTCACCACACGTCCCTACAGCTGCAATGACCCCGTCGAACCGGCCATTCGATGGGTCGTTGATGATCCAGCGTCCCCTCTTATCTTGGTAGACTTTCTCGACCGCCGTATTAAACTGGGTGCGCTCACCGAGGCCGTACTCCTCCCAGAGTCTCCGTACTTGGTCGACGATTTGCTGTCGGTCCGGATAACCTCCCTTCCATCTCACGGAGGGGTGGAATCGGTACATAAGACTGTGGATCTGGAGGCCGGACGTCTTATTTACTTTCTACGTATTATTAGCTTCGATGCACGATTAAAAGCGGTAGGAATGGATCTTACACTCCAGATCCCTCCTATGGAATCTTTATCTCCCTTCTCAAATAACTTGCACTCGAAGCCATGTCCCACGCAATGGCTCGCAGCCGATACGCCGGTAATGCCAGCGCCGATGATGGCAATCCGAGACTTCCCCAGCTTTTCCCGGCGTGGAGGAGGTTTGGGAGAAAATATAAAGGCAAGGACGGTTTGTATAAGCTCAAACACGAATTGGATGGGGTGGAAAATGGCGAGCAGGACAATATCCTGCCATGACGCTTGCTCTACAGCATCCAGCGGACCTTTGGCGGTTTCGGGCATTCTGGCTCCTCTTCACAACAGAAGAAATTTAGATTTTCGGTAAACTTTGAGCGATCATTGCATGAAATTAGAGGCAGTCCTCGGATGTTAAATAAAAGCAACGTTGTCCAGAGTTCAACATCGGAATCGTGCAGTGGACCAAGAATTGTTGAGTCCCAGAGTGACATCATCGGTGTGAGGGATCTTTGGATCGCCAGGGGAAGCATGTGAAAACTCACTGAGAAAGATACCTTCGGCAAGGTGCGTTGAGTCGTTCGCTTGATGCTCACAAAAGTAGCAAAAAAAGAAGTCAGGTCCAAGACAAATATATCTAATATCGTTTGTATTGTCGAGTATATCCATAATATCTAAGGAAATCATTGTATTATCAATCGGTGTTGCAATTTGAATGCGACAGATTGTCCAAAATGCCAAAGGAGTGACTAGAGTAAAACAGCGAGCCAGTGCCCTACTGCCTGACAAGTCTGATAGGAGAAGCAGACTCTGATCAGACCCATCACTGGCGTTCAGTTCTCTTTAGAAGGTTGCTCCATTAAAGACCAGATAATTCGGTGTCCCAGAGTTCGGCACCGTATTCTTCACCGCACCCTTGGTCGAAAGGCCCTTGATCCGAAAACCCAGAGCACTGGGCGAAGCCTTACCGTAGACGCTCAGCAGATATGCGCCCAAGCCAGCCACGTGGGGAGTGGCCATCGATGTGCCCGAAAGGGTCCTCCAGCTGTCCGCTCCACCGATGTACGTGGAATTGATCGTATCTCCCGGCGCAAATGCATCGACCAATTGGCCGTAGTTGGACCACGCCGTCTGGTTGTCGATCGAGTCCGTCGCGCCGACGGTGAACGCTTTCGGCTCCGAAGCGGGCGAGAACCCATCGGCGTTGAAACCGTCGTTCCCCGCCGCCACCGCGAAGAATATCCCCGCATCCACCGCAGCGGCCACGGCATCGTTAAGCGCCTGATTCCGGTATCCGCCAAGGCTCATGTTCGCGACATATCCCTTCGGGCAGTTGGTACGATTCTTAGAATCTTCCACGGCGAAATCGATACCGGCAATCACGTCCGACCAGTAACCATAGCCCCCGCGATCAAGGACTTTGATCCCGTACAGCTGCGTCTTTTTGGCAACCCCGTAAGCGGCCGAGCCGATGGTGCCGGCCACATGCGTGCCGTGGCCGTTGTCATCGGTGGTAGCATCTGGGGCATTGGTAGCGAAATTGGCAAGGAAAGTTGCCCGTCCCTCAAATTCGACGTGCTCAGCGTACACGCCCGTGTCGACGATGTACGCACAGGTCCCTTCGCCAGCCGATCGATAGTAAGTGTAATCCTCATTACCTAGCTGTCGATGGCTGACACGGCCTAGGCCCCACGAGGGAGCACCAGATTGAGTGACGAACAAGGCTTGGTTCACCGCTTCATCAGGATCAGCGATCGTCGTGTGAGCGATGCCGTCTTGGACGACGTAGGCCACCTGTAGATCTGTTAGCTGTCAATATCGTCAATATCGTCAATATCGTCAATATCAATGCTGAGAAACTCGCCTGCGGGCTGTTTTCCAGCTCTTGAACTTGAGAATCACTCAATTCAGCAGAGAACCCCTTGAACGAGCCTGCATCGTAGACCTGGCTTCTCTCCACCTCTGGGACCAATGCTGCCTGAGCGCCGATAAAGTCTTGAGAAAGGACAACAATATACTTCCCCGGGACAAGTTCGTCTCTTCTGTGAAAAGTAGGGGCCGCAAGGGCGAGTGGTAGTAGAGCAAGGGAGCTAATTCCACGCATGATGTCGGACTTTGACAAGATTGGATGAGATGAAGTTCGACTTGAACACGAATGAATGAAAAGTACAATACCAATGCCATCTCATCGCCCCTTTTTATACCCCTCTGGCGACGCCGCGAAGGACACGAATGACTGTCTTCGCCGAGGAACTTTTAGATATCTCAGCATCCATTGCACCCGAGAATCGCGCAATGTTACATTTCGACAGGCATTGAGCAGCTCAAAGGCCAATAGTCACCCATTGTGGACAAAGAAACTCTGCCATCTTAGGAAAGCGTTGGGGATGTAGTTGTCCCGGACCTCGAGACGTGATGCAGAGCAGCTGCAGACCGTGCCATTGCGTCTCCCCCCTATCGTCAGATGTAGGTCCCATAGCGTCTTTCGGTGAGGCAATTCATTCCTATGCTGACAGCAGCTGAAGGATTCGACGTGGAATGATCGAGAGAGCTCCTCGGACCGGCGATATGCGGCTAAGTCAAGCACATTCTCAATAGTTCCAAACACTGAGACAGAGACTGGTTTATGGATAGACCGAGGATGATGCAGGTGAGGATGAAGGATTGACTGAACGCTTGGAATGGACGGTTGCAGGGCAACAAACGGGGATCATGAGGCTTACCATGAAAAAACCAGGCCTGTAAACGGGCAGGTGGATACAAATATTGGATGCGAAAAACAGTTGGGACGAAGTACTGCTCTCGCGATAAGACACTCATCGCGATGCTATGCTCTGTGGTACATTGGGCTCTTCTAGACGCTGCATGGAAGGATGCGATTTGACTACCTTCCTCTTTCTGAGATGAGAGCACGAGATGCCTTTGCGATCCTCGACGGTCAGCAAACCGGGAAACCATGGTTTCTGAAATATTCTTCCAAGATCCCAGCCGTTCTGAGAACCCATTGAGGATTCCGCCTAGGAGTTGTCCGTCGGACCGGCAATGGTACTCAATACCACATGAGAGCGAGAAACGGCGCCAAGTTCGATACGAAGCATTTCTAACCTCGTTATAATACATCTTCCGCTCCTAAACGCGATCTGAAACGGGCCATCGGAATATCGACAGTCGATTCAGGAACCAAGAGATTGAGTACGGCTGGGCTGTGTGGACGTTGACCAGACGTTGGATGATTGCATCACACCGAAGTATTGCCACGCAACCTCGTCGGTCTCTCTCGACGCCGCATATAATCCTCATCGGGCAAGGTCCATAAACCCGACCCTAGCTCACCCTTGCACATTAATATACGATGCGCATGACCAAGAGTTCAAGGCCTACCCCATAGGGTCTCTCCAAGCTCTTGCCGTCCACCCTGTCTTTCGATTCTGTACCGCGGCGGAGGGAGGGGTTCTAGACTATATCACTTTCGATTCCAGCTCATAAGCGCAGGTGATAGAGTGACGAGAATCGTTCACGCCATGAACAGGCTGGGACCCGCTGCTCGGGATCTGCAACCCGGTCGTTTGCGCACAGGGGACGCTGGCTATCCATATATTGGATTTCTGAACCCTGAGGGACATTCAGTGAGACCATTACAGACAATCCGGAAGGCGATGATGATGAGATTAGTTTCACGTGACGGGAACGCACCCTGATTGAGGCCCATGGAAGGTTCGAGGGTTCGTCGAAGCATGTACCGCGCATCATCGGGCCGCATTCGCGAACGGAGTTTGGATATTTGTTTGAATGTAACCTCGTGCTCCTAAGTACTTCCGTAAACAGAAAGCAGAGCAAACTAAGGCAGCGTGGGTCGTGGAAGAAAGACGTGGAGATGGAGCAGAGGATTGCACCAATGCTGACTTTCGTGCCAAACCTCATCACGTGTTCTCCAACATTCAATGAACTCGGACGACCTTCGTGCGTAACAACAAGTCTGGTAGTATCCAAATGCCCCCAGGGCCGTGGAGGTACTACTGATGGGCGTGGTGCTCGAGTATGGCCAAGTTACACAAATGTCACAATTAAGCTCCTGAATGGCACTCACGATTCACTGCTCTCAGCATCTAGATCACTCAACAGACTACGCCATGGAGTTCGACTTTCCTTCATTTGCCATCTATAATCACGGCCCTCATATTTCATCAACAGCCATAAACATCAAACACGCGTGTGTTCCCGATCGCGAGCGAGGTAGGTCGTCCTCTCGCCCTCCCATCTCGGACCCATCCGCCCAGATGCCCCTCCCACCCCTGTGAATCATGCAAAATAGCACCCAGAACTCCGGAAAACCATCCAAACGCTCGAAAGTATCCCCGCGGAGGGGGAGGGAAAAACGCCGTGTGCTGCGCGCTTGATCCACCGACACCCCAAATGGCGTGATGGAGGAACATCCCGGGTCGTGTTCACCGGCCCAAGCGAATGTACCCTTGATCCTCCTATGTCCTCGGACCCTAGACGGCAAACAAAAACACGAAAAAGTAAAAGCAACGCCGAGGCGGGAAATTAGAAACGAGGTTTGCAAGAGACGCCGTGATCATACACTAGAAATTAGTGGGAGAGACGCTGTCCGCTTTCCGCTTTCGAAAAAAAAGCAGGGGGTATCGTTTCGACATACGTCCGCTTCGAATATCGCGCTCAAAGAAAGTCCCAAATATTGCGCACGATCGGACTCAGGCCCTTCATCACGGGGCTGCGAGGGTCCCGCGGCGGCGTCGTCGTCGCGGACGAAGACGCCGGGGCGGTGGCGTCGTCCTCCCGCTTCTTTGTCTCTGTGCCGACATCTCCAAACCCGAAATCCTTCGGCGGCTCGATCCCGGGGCTTAGCAATGCGTCAGTGCCATGTTCGGTCGTCGACGCAGATTGGCGTTGCTGCGTGGGTGCGGTCGGCGTGGTGTTCGCCTCGCTGGCCGGGCCGTCGAGGGTGGGATTGCTGGTGTCGATAACGATGGGGTCTGGGTTCGGGAGATCCGCGTGCTCCGTCGGCGACGCATGGCCGGGGCGTTCGTCGTGCCAGATGTTTTTGGTGCCCCATTCGGCTCGGGGACTCTGCAGGGCCTCGAGGTCGCGCTCGATGGGCATCGAAGCGGCGGCGGCGATGGTGGTTTGCAGCTTCTGCAGGCGGAAGGAGTCCTTGAGTGATGGGGAGGAGAACTTGGGTCGGAGACGTGGAGCGGGAGATAGGGAGAGGTGGGTTGGAGGGATTGGCGGAGGGGTAGGATAGCTTGAGGAGATAGAGTTCGGGGCGGAAGGAAGGTCGATAGAAGGTGTAGATATGGTCGTAGTTAATGCATCCGAGGCCGAAGGCTCGGTAGCTTGGAGTGACGGCGTATGGGGAGCACTTGGCGGGAAGCCGAAGGTTGCAGTTACCGGAGCAGGGGGTGGGGATTCAGCAGGTAGTGAGCTGCTGATGCCATCGTCTTGTTTATCGCCATTCTCCACATGCAACGTCGTCATTCTCCGCCGAGGAGCCATGTGCAGGAATCCATTGCCGATTGGTGCCGGAGGCTGATCAGCAAAGCTGAAGCCTGTCATGCCCACCTCACTCCGGGGTGACTTGGCAAACGGCGACCCAAATGATCCGCCGAAGACGTCCTTGGGAAACTCGGTTCGGATGGGGCTTAGGATACCAAAGTTATCCGCCGTGTTCTGAGAGTCTTGATTAACGTGGTCAAAGCCTGTCATGTGGAATTCCTCAGAGCGTGGGGACGCCAGCGGCTCGGGGAATGTTTCTGGTCGCGAAGGTAGAATCGGGGCGTCGGTGCCGGTCATTAGAACGTCACTGTCTTTAGGCAGCTCAGGTGCCACTGAAGGATGAAAAGAGGAGCGATCGAAATCCGGCTTCCGTAGACTTATTTGGCGGGAGAAATTGGGCACCGTCCTCAGCGGGGTTATGGATTGGCGATCTGGCGCCTTTGAGTCCACGAGAGACTGCTCGACTAGTTTGCGTCCAGGTGGGATAACCGGTAATGTGAGCGTGGCCTCCTTTCTCTGCTCCTTCGCATCGTCATTCGCCATGTGCACGTCGCCCATTGAAGGCACATCTGGAACATGCTTAGCCTCAACCACGAAGTTGCTTCCCCGTGCAATCAAGTCATTGAAGCTCCTGCATCGGCCAATCTGGCCCTCCGTCCATGTGCTCCTCACCCCAGGACTCTGATCGCCCCAAAACGCCTCCGGTCGACCGATGGGACCCGCGCTCAGCGGGACACCCATACTTCCCGTGCTCGCCCGCACGGACTGGTCGCGATTTAATTCGTTATCATGGTGCGTCCGGATCGGAGGAAGCGGGCATGTCCTGGGCGTGCGCGGCTCGCTGCCGGCCGCTTCGATTTCATACCGGTCGCTGAATCCGCTCGCGGACGTAATCGTCGACACGGTGCTTGGGAAGCCGAGGCTGGCGGAGAAGCGACCACCGCTGGTCAATGCAGCGCTCAGGGCGCTGCCTTTGCGGCCGGATGCCAAACCTAATTGGGTGTCGGTTCCGCGGCCCTTGAGTAAGCCAGAGCGGAATTCTTGAAGTTGCATGATCAGGTTCATGTTGGGGCCGATCCACTTCGATCGCTTTTTGACCGCGTCATAAGCCTCTTGTACAGAAAGGTGTGGATTCTTATAAAGACCATACGCCACAATGAGTGAAGCCGAACGTGATACCCCGCATTGGCAGTGGATCAGGACTCGTTTTCGGGCCTGCACACGAGCGTCGATCACGCGTACTAGACGGTAAAGGTCAGGAACAATGTCGGTGTTATGTTCCCATGGGATGTGGATATATTCCAGCTTTTGGGTCGGTTCGGGCTGGGCCGCCTCCGCTTCTGCGAGCGAGATGGATTTCACCTCCCCTGCCTCGGCTGCAAGTCCGTTTGAAGGAGCGACAGGATCGGATGGAAGGACAGGGCCCTTGGGAGTGTCGGGGGACGAGCTTTGGGTGGAGTCGTCGCATATCGACATGGAGGAACTCCGTGAATCGTTGGTCGTCGAAAGTATCGTGGATGAAGAGGAGTCGGACGATGTCTCTGTCCATTGATTTGAGGGTTTTGGAGGAGATGCTTCTAGAGAGACATCGAATGGGTTTTTAACTTCACTCGCAACATTGAGCACAACGTCGTATTGGCCCGCAACCTCGGCCGTAGGCTCCAGGAAAAGGTCGACGCCTGATTCATAGATGCAGATCGGTCCGTTCGGGTAGCTTTCGGGTTTTTCCTCGCGCGATTGCGGGACGTCGAAGTTCGGCTCGTCCTCTTCATCCTCTTGCAGGATCTCGGCGAAGCCACGCGGTGCGGACCACTCGCGTTTGAGGGGCGGGAAGTTCGGGGCCCCGGGAGGGGCAGAGCCGGGGATGTACAAGGGAAGAGATGGCGAGGACTGAAAGTGTCGAAGGGTATTGGGACGTTTGAGCAACGGGGTTGGCGGAGGAATGGCGAGTCGAGGTGGGGGGTTAGAGCTGTTTGCTGAGGTGACGATTGTCAGACCCAGGCTGCTATTTTTCCTTTTTGGAGGGGAAGGTGGTTTGAAGAATGCGGGAGATGTGGGGGCGGAAGACAGTTGCGAAGTCGCCGCTGGAAGGGGGAACTGCGCCGTGGATATGGCTCGACCAAGTGATATACCACCGGTGGTATTCACGGCCAGATTTTTCAGATTCCTCGGCTTCTTTGCTGGCGTGCTGGGTCGCTGGAGTTCGAAGAAATGCATTGGAGTGGCCCGCGGTTTGGGGGGAGGCGGTGGCATGTCCGTCTTCAACGGTTCCGGTTCGCGGAATCGAGCTGGGTCCATGCTGTATGAGGCAGGCGAGACATTCGAAGTCGCGGGCGATTCGGTGGCAGCAGGGGATGCCTCGGCCATCGAGCTGTCCATGGTAGATATGGTTGTAGTCGGCGACGACTCGGATGACTCTGAATTCGAGGTTGAAGTGCTTCCACGTGGTTGGTGAAAGATCCCAAACGAAGGGTCCTTGGTCGTGGGACTCCTGGGGTTGCTCTCGCTCGTGCCAGGCCGTCTTATCTCGCTCTGCCCGCCTGCAGAAGGTCCAAACGACGCGTTTCGCGCTTGATAGTCCACCGATATGGATCCATTGTTCCCGTCAAACACGGACATGAGAGACGGGATATGAGCGGTGGCAGGTCGGGAAGCGCCTGGGACAGTCATGCCTGGCTTCAACAGCGTGCCAGGACGGGCAGCTTTGTCCAGGCTTCCCGCTCGCCGTTCTCGCGGTCGACCGTTCGGGTGTATCGGTCGCAGAGGAGATGGCGGGGTGATTCGAATGGTCGAGCCGGAGGGGAAGCAGGATTCCAGCTTCTTTGGAGAGGTGGAGAGGAATGAGTTGTCGTCGGGTTCGAATGACCTTTTGCGAGTAGGGCTGTCAGCTTCTTGAATGGTAACTGTGGTCGACATTATGACGATGGGGTTTGCTGGATTGAACGGCCAGAACAATGTAGATAGACTTGCTCATCAAGGCAAAATCGACCACATGTTCCCGGGCCAAAGTTCCGAGCCAGCGGGAAAGCAAGCAAAATGGGTAAAGCATGGAAGGACGAAGAGAAAACAAGACGCAGCATCATGTAAAGTGACCGAGCATGTGGACAGTTGGGGCACGATCCGGCACAGCGGCCGAAACATGAACAGCAACAGAAGGTGAGGATGTTCAATGCAGTTGGCGGGGAGAGAGGTGGGAGGGGGGCAAACCTGTCGCATGCGGAGTGCGAAGCAGGGCAACATACCGATGGGCCAAATAACCAACCAGCTTATCTCATTTGCCTGCTCTGATTTGCCTGCGAGCAGTTGAAACGGAATAACCAGATCCCTTTGTTAAGCGCCTGAAGGAGGGACAGGTGGGATTGTTGGAGGGAGAGTGAGTTGATCGGCGGCTGTGGTTTAAGGAGACGGGCGCAACTGGTGCGGCGAAGGACACCGTTTTGGCTATTATGCAATCATTATAACCGCGATGGATGGGAGGGTGAAGGCACAAAGGGGTAGATGGAGGAGAAGAATGGTTGAATGAAGAAAGGAAGTGGTCTCACAGAGACTGTGAATGCGCCGACAGCACCTAATTGAAAGGAGCGAAGTTTGAAGAGAGGGAGAGGGAGAGAGTAGGGAGGAAGAGGAGGAAGGATTTGGTAGGAAGCAAACGAATGAACGATGGAATGGCACTTGACGATGCGGAGGTGTTTTGGCGTGGACTGGGGGTTTGGGGATCTCTCTAGCCTCTCCTCTCTAATATTAGTGGTGGTGAGTGAGTCTAGCCATCCTTTGGTTCATGGTTGTATGTGTGGACATGTACCTAATTAATTCTTATTACCAACGTCCCTACTGAAGTCCTGGTGGCTTATGCAGAGCTAGTTCATACAAGCTACGACTACGGAATCCTCCATCACCCGTTGAATACCGGAATAAGATACCTGCCACCAGTGAGACCGGACTGGTGGGAACAACGGGAGGCCAGACGGTTATTTTGGGGGATATTGGGTGGCCAGTTGGAGGTGGCCCATTCACCATGTTGAGTTCCTACCTCATAGAGTCCTGACCAAGAAATGATGGCGTTAGTGGTTGCAGGCAGTTTGCAGGCGGGTTGCAGGATTATTAGGGGGAAAGCCAGTGAGCCTCAGGGAAGAAGGTCTGGGTGGCTGGTATGCGGCCGATGGAGGCGCTTGGAGTTGCCATGCAATTGGACCCGTTGTCTCACTGTCGTCGGGGATTTGGGCGGTTTGGGGGGTTGCTCCCTTAACGCCGCTGATGTTTCATGTCTCAGTATCCGTACACTGTACAGTATTATCATGATCGTACATCTAGATTTCTAATACTACTGCCGCCTATTTATCGTTGCCGCTTTGTATGCAACTTCGTCCTTCTCACTCTGCATGTCGAGCGCTTACCGGGCTGCCAGAAGAATTCCATTGATCTATCAGCAACACCATGCGAGAAAGGCGGGAAGGTGCTCAACAATACGGGCGGCACACCAAGGGAGGAAAGCACGATCGGGGTGCGCTGGTGTCTGATTCGCTAATTTCTGAGGTTCTTGCTGTAAGTTGTAACACAAGGGGCGATGGAGGACGACCGGGGACCGGCCTTACTGCATCCTTGCAGCAAGTGCGCTTAGTCCAGCCTGCTTCCATGGGCTCACCAATCCAGGGTCGCTCATTTGACCGGGATTTTTGGTTCTACATGCCTCAAAACACCCTTGTCCATGAATGAATCCAATCAACCAATCCTATGCATTTTCCAAACAAAGGGACCCTGGCAACCAGACCGAGCGTTATATCTAAAAATACTCGGGCGCCTGCAACCGCTTCCATATTCATGGGTTCTTCTAATTGGATGGATGGATGTTTGCGTGCTCACTCCGTCACTTGACCTCATTCCATTATTCAAGAACCAAATTCGGTTCATAATCATACTATTTATTAGGTGTCGTGATTAAGTTTGGGAGGCATTTGGCTTTGGATAGTTGGCGGATTGATCCTTCTACGACCCTATGGCAGAACAGATCCGTAATCATCCAATGACCCGACTGAATTGTCTACAAGGTTACCGTTCATCGGTACCATGATACCATCCTGATACTTAAATAGTAGGTGCTGACCATAACCTCGTGATGGCAGTAGAAGACAATTCATAGGAGAATCCTAATTCCCGCAATTAGTCTGTCCCTAATTGGATATCTCTCGCCTCATCCTGCCTGAACGTGGGACTCGGTCAGATCATTCTGATCCAATTCCGCCACCAACAGGCAACAAGCTACATCTGGCCGTTCAATTATTCTTAGCCCGAAGTCTGGGCTCCTGGCTTCAAGTCAACATCAGGCAATTGCCAGTTCGCTCCGAGTTCGCAATCCCAGCGTGTTCCTAACCAAAGCCCTAATGGTTTTAAGTACTGTAGTTTCACGTCCACCACAATGCATTGGGACTTTCGATGCCCGTCAGCGCTCAGTAGTCAGCACTTATCAGAAGCTTTGAGGAAGTAGAAATCCTCCGAGCCGCTAAGTCGCAAGTATCATCAAGTGTGGGTGGTGGTACAATTTACCGCATTGAGGCATAGATGATTTTAGACATCATCAAACATCATTATAGATCCACAGTTCGGCCCCTTTTAACCACTGTTTCGTCATTTTGAGGACGTGTCGAAGATGGCCGCCATGAGGATATGCTGGGTATGTCCGTCCGATCTTCCCGAAGGGCGAAGATCCTTTCATTCCCGGTCCCGGTCAGCCAGCCCCTGATCAACATCCACATTCCACAGCGAATTCGAAATTCCCCGAATTTTTCGTCTGACGAAAATCAACCTATTGAACATGAAACATCCGATGATGGCATCAAGCCTCATGACATCGCGGCAATTGACATCTGACAAACCCAAATTGAACGTCCTTTATTATTATGTATGGCATGGGATGGATCATGTTACATGTACCTAGTCATCGGACAGTCCGAAGTTATCGGGATGATACCTACTCTCCCATCTAGACGAAATCTCGTAGGTTCCGCCGTTCCTCAGCGAATGATCAACGACAGATTCCATTAGGGATGAGAAAATGCCGAATTGAGGAACGAGGATCATGATTGCGATGCGATATTAGCGACTACCTACGTGGAACAGAACATGAAAGAGCACGCGAGCCAGGCGAGTGTTTTGAAACGTTGGTACGAACAGACCATCATGTGAAATCGGTGGTTCTCTGGCCTCAGGTGTCTACTATTATTCAACGTCATCGTCGCAGTACTTCACCGTTCGTACATCAACCAGGACCTTGGGTTGAACTTTGACGGCTATGACTGAGCTCTCGGATTCTAGCAATGATGGTTCCAACGGATGGAATATACCAGGCGATTTATTCCTGTAGACCCGAAGGGAACACGACGGGAAGGGTCGACTCTAACTACTCTTTTCTCACATCACTATAAATGCTCTGCGCTTTCAATTATAGTATTGCTTCACTCATCTTAAGCAATTATAATCTGGTCCAGGGGACGTCACAACTTCACGTCAGCCGGATCAGAGCTTGTTGGATTTTCAAGGTTTTTTTTCTCTTTGCGCTTCCACAAGTCTACGCCTCTCAAAACATGTCCAAATTCATTCAGCCGCGGCCACGGCACATATTCTTCGGTAGGTGGAGGGGTTTCCGACGCACCGATCCGATTAGATCGAATGTGTCGCCATCTGGAGTATGGATAACGCTTATGCCCACTCAGGAGTCCGATGAAAGCTGGCGCCGGGGGCAGCCCATCTCCATTCCGACTAGATTAGATAAAGTGCCCCAATACTCGATGGGGGAAGTGTCGACATCTATAGAGAGACGTGCCTGAACCCAAACCGAGACTGTCAGCTTTAAACCGGGCAGAATGAGAAGAGGAAACCGACCTTCAGTTGGAGCTTACCCAACCCTCAAACCCGCAAATCCCTTTCCCTTTTTCTCACTCTTCTCCCATGATCGCCATCACCGCCTGCTCAACTGCCGCCTCCAACTCCGGATGCCGCCCCAGCACCTCCTCCAGCGCATCCCAATCTCCCAACCACCCCACCGCCCAGAAATACGCAATGGACGCCACCAACGCCCGCCGATAATCAAACTCCATATACATTCTGCCGCACCCTGTCGATTTCATCGTCGTTGTTGTCGCTGCCGTCGTCGTCCGTTCCCAAATATATTCCGCCTCTCCTGCCCCCGGCGGCTCGCGCCACAGCGAGCTCAACATCGGCCCGCACAGGTTAATCTCGACGCGCGGCACCTGCAGCACCGCCGCCGCGTACGCCAAGCTCGCGGTGCGGCGCAGATTGATGGACCCGGCGTCGGGGAGCTGGAAGGGCGCGATGCTCGGGTCGCGGCAGGCAGTGGACATCCAGAACAGGAGGTTCACGACGGCGGCTTCGTCCGGGATTGGGGCGTCGGCGACGTGGATGGAGACGTGGCGGAGGGTCCGCCGCGCGTGGAGGACGCGGCGGGCGATGAGGGAGAAGCGCTTGAGGAGGTGGATGGGGATTTTTTGGACGAGGACGTAGTCGGCGGCGGAGTTTTCAATGCTTAAGCTCACTACTGCACCTCGGAGGCGCCAGGATGAATTGGTGCCAGATTTGGTAGACGAGGACAAGAACGAGGCGGCTGGGCCCTGAGAGCTGTTCCCCATGTCACTTGGTCCCCCATTCGATGAACTACACTACGTCAGTTGAACTAAAGTGACGGGAGCTATGCGGTATACCTACCATGAGGGCGATACTGAAAACAGTGATTGATGCGTGGTAATGTTATCTGGAGTTGTGGAATAAACGTTCATGCCGCAGGCAGAACAAGGTGAATCTGGTCTGCCTGCGACAGAAGGCATATCTCTTGATGTATGGTTTCTAGCATGGCAGGGGCAAGGGATGCTGATACAAATATGGTTATATTGAAGGGCTCTACGCGGTAGTTTCGTCTCCAGATAATTTGAGGAAACGTAAACGTGTGGAACTTCCAGTATATATGACTGCTTCAAAGTTAGCTTCACGATCGTGTTAATGCAAATTGCTCTGGAAAACACACCAGTGACTTACTTAATTCGGCAAGTGACCGAATTCGCCATTAGACATTTTTTACTGAAAATCAGTAGTCGTGAGATCGAGCCCTGGACGATAAATCCCTTCCTGTGCTGGGCAATTATTTTGCTAGTCCCCAGAATACACCACACATCAGAATTGCCTCAGTCTCTTGCTTCCGACCCAGCACTTTGTTCGGCCACCTGGCCGTATAGGCAAGAAGTACTGAGAACCTATCTATCACTGCACTGGGCAAGGGTCATCTCTTTCAGACAGGTGACTGGACGTGCATCAAAAAAGATGAGAAAGATCGATTGATGATCGTATGCATAGCAATGAGGAATGCTATTTATCATCCTTCGAATCATGACTGGGCGTGTGAAAACCCTCCTGTATGAATACATGGACGTACCAATCCTCCATGTTGATGATGCGATGCGCTCTAGCTGATGGCCCATCAAACCGCAAATGCAACACCATGCAATCAATTCCAACAACTCCGCTCCATGGCCAGCATCGCAAAGTGCGCCCCCACAACTGGCCTAGCATAGAAAGTAACTCCCGGGAACTCGCTGGTCTCCGTGTCATACAGATCCGTCATCGGCTTATCGGTCCGCGTTTCGTTCAGCCACACTGCATGTCGGTCTATGATCTCCTTGCGCACGGCGGGTGATGCAACAGAGCCGACCTCGAACGCCCAGTCGGACTTGGTGTACAGGTGCCGCGAGTCCAGTGGGAGGCCGTAGCGCTGCATGACGAGGGAGTAGAAGTGGGATTGGGCGGTGTAGATGTGATGGGGGATGAAGTCTTTAGGGGAGGATTGGGTCGGCTTCGCATTCTTGTTTGACGATGAAGTGGTGCGGAATATATATGACGAAATGGTCCGTCGCCAGGACGGACCGGATTTGCTAGGTTTTCGGTGGCCTGTTAGTGGTTGTTGGCCTGAGTGAGCTGTGGGCACATCGACCTCGAGTCCTGGATGATGAGGGATCTTGGATGAAGTGCCAGGGGGGTTTGCATCCATCTTTGTTGAATGGAAACAGAGGATTGAATCGGCAAACAAGCTGTACAGCGTTGTCCAGCTTCCATACCAATGGTAAGCAAGCTTTGCATGACCGCCATCTCTTGACATTCCGTACTCCTCCCATTTCTTAATGTATGTCTCGGAGATGTTTGCGTACTGCGCCTGCTCGGTGTGGTATTCCATGACACCTGCGAGCTCGCTCATGGCTTTGATTCCAACAATACCTTTCAAGGCGAGATTGGTCTGGTTTGCCAACCATCCTGCGAAGTCATCGGTACTGAGCTGGTTCTCTGGCTCGAGGCTGAAATCCACGAGGTACTTCGTCCATTGTTTCCACAATATGTAGGTGCGATCGACCCACTGCTTCGCAAGCTTCTTGCCTCCCGGCGTGCCTCTCCAAACGCCGTCATTGTAGTCAATATACGGATCATGCTCGCAATGAGACAAGCTTGCAGGAACCGATAACGGGAAGTAGCTCTCATCCCGATCTCGAACCACAACGCTCGTGGCCTTTGCAGGTGCACAAAGTGGCTTCGCCGCCAGGCCATCCGATACGCTCCCGTCTCCGCGCTGTAGGCTGTGGACAAGAGAAAGGCCCATAATAAGCATATCGCCACACTCTTCCACGGGCATGTATTCGTCTCTCCCATCCGGATGGCCCGTCTCGTTGGGAAAGTGGGCACCCAAGTCGTGCATCGAATAACGATTCGGATATTGTCCGCTCAGCTGATGCTCGAGGAGTGGCTCTAGCAGGTACGCCAGCCATCGCGGGTTGGTGTATAAGAAGAATGGAAAGCTGGGGAAAATGACGTCGACAGTCTGGCAGTTCCCGTTGGAGGAGATCTCTTTCAGGAAAATGAGGGGATTGTCGGGGGTTCCGGAGAAGCTCGTTGCGCCCAGTACCTGACGGGCGGATAGCGCCACGATATCACGATAGTTGTGAGATCCCGACTTAAATGCGTCCTCGGCCAATCGATCGGAGTAGTCCGCTGCCAGCTTCTTCGCTTTTTCGAAGTCTTTGTAGTGATACGTAATCATAGCCTCATCGGTAAGGAAGTATGATTTCCACAAAGGACGCATGTTGGTCAAGCCCCGTGAGGATGCGTACTGGACGACAGGGTCCTGTATGTGGGCGATCGTAAACAAGGTTGACTCGCTCGACTTGGAGGATGTATCATGAACGGAACTTCCTAGGTTGAAAGTCTTGCTAAAAGCAAAGACAGGCTCGTCATCCATAATGCTCCGGAAGTTGCTGTCGTTCTCATTTTGTAGCACTCCGGTGCGGGAGAAACGCTGGCGGATCTTCGCCGCGTTACCAGATTCGTAATGAACATCCTGTTAGTTGAGTTGATTAGCAAGTACCATCCCCCAAAATTTCCAAAGACGTACCGAAGGCGCTGAGAAAGCAAGTGTGCCCCACTCCCCGCGGTCCCAATGCTCTGTAAACAACGCTTCCGACCTCCTCTTCACCATCCACGTCTTCAGCGAGCGGTTCGAATCCAGTTCGAAATGCTCCAGCTGCCATTCTATCTCGCTTGATGTATCACCGCTGACCCATAGCCCGTTGAGATCGACAGATAGGACCACATCGAACGAACCGGATGCATATATGCTGAGATATGTTGCGGGAATGGATTGCCGGACGGTCGAGGTGGGCGTGATGGGCGAGAGGAAGGAAAGCACGATCTCGACCGGTTCGGAGGTGTTGGAGTGGGACGGCGAAGGGATTTCATACGTGAGGTTCGTGGTGGACGCATCGTATGACGCCCCTCGATAGTTCGGGAAAGAGACATTGTACCTAAACCGCTATAAGCTAGGAATTGGCCATATAAGGTAGGATATCGTACCCAGCATCCGGTCTAGCCTCTAGCGAATCTTGCGGCCTTCCAAGCAACGGATAGGCCAAGTTGCTCGACGGCACCGACGCGAGCACGGAGAAGCCAATCTTGTCACCGTCAGTCTCCCGCTCCCTCCCTCACACCATGGCTAGCCTACCTCTTGGCCCGTATAGAACATCGGCCATTTATTCCATGGTACATCCCTCGCATTCCCCAGCCACGTGCTGAAATACGGGTTCCGGACTGTGAGCGGGAGCGTGGGCGGCGTCAGCGTGGATGCGCATGCGGTCCCAACCGCGAGGGCAGCTGCTACGAGGCTCGCGACGTGGCCAGCCATGTTGCGGGTGAGACGAGCAACGGAAGAAGCAAAAGGAAAGGGAAAGCAAAAGCGCGGATTTCGAATAGAAATGGGAGTTCAGGTCATGGCTCGATAGTGCAGTACCGATAGACAACACAAAGGAGTCTGATGTAGTGCAGTAGACAACTTGAGGGGTAAGTGGAGTGGTGCTGTCATACGAACTCCACATGCAGGGACGCTGGTGGGCCGGGTGCCACCCTTGAAGAGGCCCTGCCGCCCTGGCCCTTCGATAGATTCGGGATTATGGAGCTTGGTTTACGGAAATACCGAAATCGGGATGGAATTAACTAATGCGTAATCATCATCGCTAGAATCTCCATTTTCCGTTGCAATTATAGGGATGGTGTCAACCAGTATAAGGCTGAATGAGCTTAGAGGGTAATGCCTTGATTGAACCTATTTGAACCTGATTTAATGCAATGAACGCATTCCTTCGAGCATGTTTTATATCAGGTAGACACTATACTGACCTCTTGTTCGTCGCATATCTGACTGCGAACCCAAGACGTAGCTGCATCTCACATCCACCATGCAGCATCGAATTAATCGTATGGATCTTCACACGATGGGTGTGAACCCCTCATAGGTCCCAGGATATGCTTCCCGCGCCTCCCCCGCCCACGCGTGTGTTCCAAGACCATCCAGTTCTCGGCAATGGTTGTCGAGTTTGCTTTGCCCCAAGTTGGCCATCGCCTCTGTCTTCGCGAAGTGCAGCGTTCGGGTATGGATGCGCCAGCGGCGGTCACTCTTATCAGTGGCGTTCCAGCACAAGAAGAGATTGCTGCTCTCAAAATATCCCATCTCAATGCTGCGGAACTTCCAAAGACCACCGGGCGTGCGGCAGTCGTAACCTGCTATTCCCTTGTTGCATCCTTCTTCGACGGGTTGTTCCGCGTTAGGGTCATTGGCGATGTCCTCGGCGATGTCAGGGAGGCTGGTCCAGGTGAACTGCGCCTGCGGAGTGTTCTCCATGCAATTTTCGAAAGGGATGGTGGCGTTCTTGGAAAACTTGAGCCTCCCGTCCTTGCAGAAGTAGATGAATTGCTGTTCGTGGATGTGGTCGACGTCGTCCTTCCTCAACTAGGTCTATTAGCAACCATATATTTACGCACCAGAGACAATATTACCGGGAGAAGGTCGTCATGAAATATGAGATCCGTCCGACATGTGAAACCCCTGGTCTGAACCCCTTCATAGTTTTCGCACGCGGTCGAGAAGGGGTCAACATTGACGGTAAGATACCCATCCTCGCCAACCATCACGCGCTTGCCGTGGAGACTAGTCTCATTCTTGATATGGAGGGTCAGGGTGTAGTTCTCAGGCTGAGTGGTAGCCGCAGCATTGCCAGAGATGCCGGTATCACGTGCGTTGAGCGGAAGATACTCCACTTGCACTTCGAACCTCTGGCTTTCACCGCCGAGGATTAGGACCAACAGGGCAGGTATGCACATGACGAGGAGAACAATGGTGATAGGCCCCAACCCTCTTCGGGAGGGTGGATGTCCCTCGAGGGACGGCGGAGACCCATTCTCCACATCTGGAACCTTTTTCCGAGGCACCAAGACCTCATCCATTGAATCCTAGGTGACGTGTGGTTAGAAAGGTAGAACAAGACCGGAATCGAGTAAGCTGAAAAGTGATGAGATTATATGGAAACGTCAGAGTCCCTGAAAAGCATTGGTGAGACATAGGATGGCCGTTAGGCTAGCTCATGGTGTTACTTCAGTAGATTTGAGTTTCCGAGGACGTCATTGTCCCTATATATGCTCTCGTATAAAAAAGTACTCACGGCTGTCACTCACAGTCAGTGGATGCTCGGCCATCAATATGAGGAGATGTCTACGTACTCAATTTCTTCTCATCCATTGGTGCAACTGGTACGTTCCAGTACCCTGTGTGTTCAAAGCCGTGATGTTTGTCAAGTGAGTGGAATGACTTTTGATGAGTGTTTCAGTCCAAGTTGCAGTAGGAGAGGGAAGTCGAAGGAGATGTTGATAGGAGAAGCAAAGTCGCTGTAATTTACGGATTCGAGGAGTGAACCACCTTTGGATTGTGATGGCAGACGAAGGAGAATGTCAGGTGCGTACGGTAAGAATATGACAGAAATCCAATCCGATGGGGCAGGGGTGAATAACTGGCGGCTGCCTCATGGGGAACGATGCATGTCGTACTTGAGTCTGAGGAGTGTATAAAATACAGCAGGTACCTATATATCAGTAGTACCTCCCAGTTGGCACGTGTACCAGGTGATCATATGTTTCAACTCATAAGACGGGATGCATCTATTCGGGAGATTGAAGTGCAGAGAACATCTCTTACGTTACAAACGTGATAGAGTACTCGCAAATCGGCATGCTTTACAACATTGATGGAAATATCTACCGGTATAGTCCATGTCATTGCATCACCATCTATCCTCGTTGTAAGATGGTGAAAATATCATTAGGTTTTTGAACCACGATGCATGCATTGGAATGAAAATGATGAGCTTTGTAAAATTGGCTGGATGTCGTAGTCATGTGACTAGGACCCAAGTTAATATCACGTGATGATGGTGACACAGGGTTGTTTCCTTGTTGTGCCAAGCATCGGGTGTTATGTCAGCGTCCAATGTTTACATCTCCGCGAATGACATCAGCCCACTATCTCCACCATATCTCCATCCACCTCTACCCCATGCAATTCCTCTCATCTGTGCTCAACCTCTTCGTTAACGAAACCTTCATTCTTGGACCTGATAACACCTTCTCGCACTTCCTTTGGTTGTTGTTATCCTAGAAAACCTGCCTGCCGAGAATTTTCAGCTCGTTTGCACCTCCCATTTCCGGTGGAGCGAAGTGTAAACAAAATGGTGTTTACACGCCGGCAGTCGGCGCGACTACAAGGTCTTCGAGAAGTATGTTGTTTAGCTACTGTTGAACCAATGTTCCAAGATGTTTACATTCTCCTAGGACAGCAACGGACTCGATAACAGTCTTGACTCGGTCACGACAAGAACCCCTCGACGAAAGATTGGCATCCCTGTGAGCAACGAGGAGATGGAACCCGATCATCATCATTCAAGTGTCGCAAAAGGGCGCGATGAGGCACCATGGCTTGGTTTCTACAACATGGGAGCTAAGACTGAGCCTCGCCCTGCTCGTCGGAATGCCATTGCGGATGCGCAGATGACTCCAACCAAATCCACGCAGTCGAGGAAGACCGCAAACCTCCTTTCTCCGGACTTCAAGTTTACCTTCCAGCCCCGCCAATCGCTTGACCTGAGTCCAGGCGCTCGACGCATCATGGCAGAGATGCGTGAAGAGGCCGCCAAACTCCGTTCGCAGATGGCCGCTACCCCAGAAGAATTCCCAGATGTGCCGATGCATGACCCTGATCAGCCTCTCAATCGGAAGATTGCCGCCGCGAAGGGCACCAAAGGCCGTTTCAGCGATGTCCACAGATCCCAATTCCAAAATATGGCCTCGATCGCCAACCATCCTTCTGCATTTCGCGCAAAGGCAAACACCAACCGACCCCCACTCTTTCGCCCTACGCCCAAGTCGCTCAAACATTCCCCCAACGCGGAGCTGGACCGACCTTCCTTCAAGTCGCTGAAACGCTCCGCCTCCAAGGCGGATCTTAACCGACCTACAACAAAATCCCTCAAACGCTCACCGTCCAAGGCGGAGCTCGATAATTACTCGTGGAAGTTTGACACTCCTTCCGACGGTACTAGCATCGGCACTCCTCGAAGCCCAGCCAAACGGCTCAAGCCAAGCAATGTGGAAGAGAGCCTGATTCCAAGAGCCCCATCCCGTCCGGTTTCGCGAGACTCGAACCCGACGAGTAGCAGCAATGGAACGCCTGGATCCCGGGCAAATACGTTGCAGAAGACGTCTAGCATCCCTCGATTTGCTTCTACATCAAACCTGATGACCCCCACTAAAGCATCTCTCGCTCGATCTCAGTCCGCGAAGGCCATCAAGACTGCCCACTTCAATTCTCCGCATCTGATGTCTCCCTCCAATCGTTCAGCCCGCGCGGTCAAGGCATTCGGTCATTTTGCGATGCGCAAGATCTCGGGCTCAACTCCGTTCAAGAAATTGGCGTCCCCAGCAGCTCCTGCCGCGACCACCCAACCTCCGCCCTCACCGTGCCCCGTGCCCGCAACACCGAGCGTTATCCCCGATGCGCCTGTTGCTGAGGATCCTACCACGCCACGTTCTCGACTGCCATCCGCCACCAAGCTGAAATCCATTCTTCGCACTCCTCGACGTCTCTACTCCAACGACCCAGCCAAGGTAGCCGCTGGCACCCACCTTGCCACTCCACCTAGCGCGGCTATCAGGAAATCTTTCGGTGTCCCCAAAACCGAGCCTGTCAACAGGATCAAGCGTGTCGACTTCACTGCATCGGTGCTTTCTATGGCTGAGCAACAAGAGCGACGCGTCCGAGAAGGCTTGCTGGCCATCTCTAACGGAGAGCGCGTATCCCCTAAGCCGACCACCGAACGTGACAACTCCTACGAAGCCGACGAGTCGGACATCTCCTACCCCACCATTCCCGGCATGTTCCCTTCGAATCGCCGTTCTACCCTCGGCCACTTCGGCCAAGCTGGCTCAAGCGGCCCATCCGAATTCACCTTCCGCTCCGACACTTCCACCCTCTTCGGCTCCCCCCGCGGCGCCACCATCCGCCCGGTCCGCTCCTCTGACGTCAACTCCCACGCCAGAGCGGACAAGGTCAACTATCCATCCCTCCCCACCGACCGTCCCACCCAGAAGCGCAAGCTCTGCGCCCTCGAGGAAGGCGCCGTCGCCGTGGAAGATGAGAAGGAGAATCTCGGTGACGTGGCCGTCGGGGCGGATGCCGAGGACCGGCCGATGAAGCGCGCGAGGACGGCGAGCCCCATGGCCGGGAAGAAGTTCTCGGGCCTTCCGGCGGTGGGGAGGAAGGTTATGAGGAGTCGGCTGCCTGTGTCGGAGGGAAAGAAGACCGCAGCGGCCAGGATGACTAGGGCGAGGTTGGATATGCTGGCCATGCCGAAGAATAGGAAAGGCTAGGCTGTGGTATTTCAGGCGCTGTCTTGGTGGTGGTTGGGGAGGGTCGATCTGAACCGAGACTGGTGCGAGCAGCGGCTTGCTTTATTTTCATTGGTCATGGTGTCGACGGCACCGGCATAAAAATATGGGAGGCGTTTTACGGTGGGTTCGTACTCCGTGACGATCATGGAGTCCTCGTTTTCGAAACGGTCTCCGATTCAGCGTGTCACTTGGGGTTCGTGGGAGTTTTCAATCCGGTTGAGATGTTCAACTGGGATGGGTTCTTTGTCTTTTCTATTCCGAGCGAATTTTTCCCTTTACAACGCTGTCCGTGTCGTCGAGCACAGTCCTCATGCGGCGGACTTGGACTGACACGGATGTTATGACTGGCTCCCGGAAGAAATGCAAGATGGGAATGTCTTTTCGGTAACTATTGTGGTACTGTACGAGCATAGTTAGCCTTATATCAACGCAGCTCTTAAAACTACCATGCATGCATTGCATCTGATACCTATAATTTTACTGACCGCGACTCCCAATCCATACATAGCACGGGGTATCAAGATCCCAAAGCCACCCAACTCGCCCAACACTCCTTCAACCTACCTCCACCCCATGACCCTAACCTACAGATAAATCCTTCGGTATCTACCCACTGGACCTCAACGCGCACCCGGAGATCCCCATCCCTATCGGCGTCGAAGCCGCTCAGGGCGGCCAAAACCGTGGGCGGCTTCGTGAACCACCCGTCTTTGAAATCGACCCGCACGAGCTGGTCATACTCGTCATCCTCCTGCTCATCCAGGCCGAATGTGGCCTCAATCACGCCTGAATCGACACACTTCTTGCCGTGAGGGTAGCCGATCCAGCACATCGAAGCGCCGACCGGAGATTCATCATCAAAACTCGGATTGTGGTCCATACCTCCTCTATCAGTCCGGTCATCGAGACCCGAAGCATCCAGCACCGCGCGAAAATGCGACGACTCCACCCCCTCCACCTTCGCAAACAACCGCCGCGGCCTCCGTTCCGACCTCCTACGCGCCGGGAAGTTCACCCGGTTAAGCCAGCAGATAATCTCCGGCGGCCGACCTTCCGGCTGCGGAAACGGCAGCTTCACCCACTTCTCATACACGTTCCTTCGCGGCTGGCGCAGCCGTGGTTCCCGCGGACTGAGTGGACTGCCGTCCAGGGAGTTCATGCCCGTAGCGGTCGAATCGCTCACGGTGAGATCGCTCAAGGTCGTGCTCAGTGTCGACGGTGCTGTGGACGAAGTCGAGATCGAGCTCGCCATTGTCGTGCTGGTCTCCATGCGTGTAGGAGCGGCTCGTGAATTCGGCAGAGGCGTGGTTGGACGGCTCTCGGTCGACTGATCGGCCCACCCGCGCTCCACCACCCTTTTCGGGGCCGGCTGCCCACAAGTGGGACATCGCTCCGTATGCTCTCGTCCGGCGACAGGTCGCACCGACGGACTCACCGGAGTCCGTGGCGGCGTCAACAACTGTCTCCCCTCTCCATGGGAGACCAATGCCTGATTCCCAGTATTCTTCTCACCCCTCCGTCGCCAGCGGCGCTTCTTCACCTGCCGCGAGTCGAATTGCCCAAACCAGCATTGCTTCGCGCCATCTTTATGCTCAATCCACGTCCCCGCTGCAGCGTACATGGCACCCCGACCCCACGTCTCGGCCGTCAGGCGCATGCTCGCGGCGGTGATCTCAGAGCCCACGAGGTTGGCGCGCAGCGGGAGGGAGGCATCGTTAGCGGTGGAGGGAGTTTGAGGGGAGTCCTCGAGGCTGGTCGATGGCGAGGGTGGGTAGGCGGCGAGGTTCAGCATGCTGAAGCCGGCGGCGATCTTGGGCGGGCGATTGTAGTGGCATGTGGGGAATAGGATCGTTCGCGATGTGGAGCGGATAGGGAGGGTGGCGGGTCGGACGGAGATGGTTGTGAAGTGGCCGGTTGAGGGCTGCGGGTCCGGGTGGTGGAGGGAAGTTGGGGTGGATTTGGAGGATTGAGATGCGGGCTTTGGGGATGACGGAGGAGTGTAGAACGGTGCCGAAAGATCATGGAGACCCGATTCAAGCGCGCTTGCGGAGGATGACATGTTGAGTCCTTGATAGCCGGCCGACCGGTTCGAATGGAGTGTACTCATCTCAATTGCTACCGCGCCTTCGTTCCGAAGATATTACTGCCATCGCATCCGGTTTGGCATCGTCGCGATATTGCTAACCAGGCCAATAGGTTCGCCAATCCTATGCGACCAGGCTTGGGACACTGGCAAACATCGAAGGAATGACAATATCCGCGGTAATGAGCCGAGGCGAAGAAGGAATAGTTATTCTGAGAAACACTGGAAAGGTTGAAATGGAGACGATTGGAGATGTTCAAGATCGACACATGGGATGTCCAGGGATAGTCGCTGCTAGATACTTGGGATAATTCTCGATGAATTGATCTAACCAACTTTTCGTCAAGCCATATATGCTCTGGAGTACAAAGAGAGGCGTGTATCAACTGAGGGAACAGTGAGGGCATTGATGAAATCAACAATTCTATCTTGCAGAATATCCATTACTTCTCGACAGCACAAGGACTGCGCCGATCTGATATTGCTGCTCGCACTGGTGACGTCATGCATCCTCATGCTCGATGCGCTTCATCATGCCGTGAGATTGGGAGATTTCCAAGGAAATACTATAGGTGAAAAGGTATACATGCAAATACTAGAAAAGAACAGACCGCACCTAGACTGCGCCTAGACCGCATCCTTTCATTAGCCTTCTACTTCTTCGCCCCCTCACCCTTCTTACCCCAGAGTCCTCCCACATATCCACCCGCACCCTTCACGCCCTCTCCAGCCTTCCCCGCCATCCCCTTCGCTTGCTCACCCGCACCCGAAACCACCCCTCCCGCCTGTCCAACATAGCCATCCCCCTGGCCGCCGGGGAGATACCCCCCCTTATCGTCCTTCCCTCCCCGCTCCGCTCGATTGACGCCCTCTTTCGAGGCTCTGTCGCCGATCGGTTGCGCAAGGCCGCCTGTGCCCACTTGCCCGGCGACGAGGTTGTTTACGCCGTCTTGGAGAGTGTCGACTTGCTTGATGCCGGTGACTTTGGATTTGTTGAGGGTGTCTAGAGGCGTTCAGCGTCTGCGCACGGATTGGGTTGAGATGGGATGGGGATACCTTTGGTGGCATAGGAGGCTTTGTTGTCCTTGGTGAACCATCTCAGATATAGGTCTTCGATCCACGGCATCCATGAGTCTTTCTGTTTCTGATACTGCTCGCTGGTCCGCTGAGAGTAGGTTTTATTCTGAGGTTCGGCCATGGCAACGGGTTTCTTTGCAGACTCTAGAGGTTGGGACAGCGATATGTAAATGAGAAAGACTGGATTACTTGAACGACGTAGAAGCAGAGGACCTATATATTGGGAGAGAATACTAAAACCCTTCTCTTCAAATGGGTCCTTTGAATCCTAAGTACTCATCGCCATCTTCCTGATACGTCCAACTCGAACCTGCGCCGCGGTAGACCAGCCCCAAAATCAGGGTTCCATCCCGTCTGGGCTAAGACTCCATCACGTAGCAAGTGATGAAGTGACCCATCACTGGCGGGCTAGTATCCGAAGAAATCCTCCGGTTGGTTGATACCAAAAACGGCCGGCTTGAAGTGATGATATTAGCAAGGGCGACGGGTCGCGAATCTAAGTGTCGACGTCATCGGGGAGGGAACGTCGATCGTTATCCTTGTGCTACTTTCTGGGATGGAGAACCTGTACGTCGACCAGGGTCATCGCATATTCATTGGAGATTCTGGAAATGGTCATGTGCGAAACGGTGCTCAAGTCGTGGATACGGCAGGCTACAGTATAGGCGACAAATGGAACGTGCAAATACCATCGCCTTCCTGTAAGCGGTTGAATCGGGGGCCCATTGCGACTACAGACTCCATTCCGAGCCTTTCTAGACTCAGTATGACTATCAAGTAAAGAAGATCAAAGCCATCCATTCGCTTATCGCTTATCGTATCAAACGTGGTATCAGAGCTACATCTGCTGGACGTTACACTCTATCCATCAATCCGCTTCGAACGCTCAAAATGGTCCCCAAAAAGGGACGAACCGACTCAAATCCGAAAGGTATCGTTCTTCCCCACTGCATGCAAACCAGGGGGCGAACCCACTCATCCGAGTATCCAACACGGATCTCGCTGCCTTATCACTCCCAATCTCACTCCTGCCCCGTCACATATCAGCTTCTCAAACTACTATTCCTCCCCGCCGCCACATTCCCCCCCAACGACGTCCGCCTCCCCTCCCGATCCAAATACCGCCGCGTCCCCGCCCCCGCACTCATCGGCACCCGACTCGTATCGATCCGACTCGCCGCTCGCTCCCCTGTCCCCACGTTCAACCCCATCTGCACCCGCCGCAACCCATGCGCGTACCCCGGCCCCTCTTTCGCCGTCCCTGTTGTCGAGGACCCGGGTTGACCGCCAACGGTTAGGTACGCGCTCCGCGTCTCCGGGAGGGGCACGTTGCTGGTGTACACGCCACTGCCAGTGGTGGTGGAGCTGGAGGCGGACGCAGGGCCTTCGCGGCCGAGGCTAAGGCGCTTAGCGCGGCTGGCGCGGAGCTCGGTGAGGTTGAAGTGGCGGCGCTCGGAGAGGGAGTGGCGGGTGCTTGGGGAGACTTCGGTGGCGGCGCGGCTGGGGATGCGGAGGGAGGGGGAGTTTTCGGCGGACTCGGTGGTGTCGGGGGCTTGGTCGGAGGAAAAGGTGATGGGGGATGATGCATCGAAGGGTCGGGAGGTGTGGCGGTTGCGGAGGAGGGAGGTACCGGCGCGGATGGGTTGTGAGGAGGGGACATGGAGTTTGGATTCAGCGGGAGATTGGGGGGAGAAAGTAGAGTGTGGCTGATTGGTGGAGTCCCGTGGGGAATTGGTTGCGGAATTGGATTGAAATGTCATCAGGCTGCTTCGACGTGCTTCGATGCGGTCCAAGGCACGGCTCGGCGTGGAGCGAATATAGTCAGGATCCGGTTCGAGAGAGGCAGATCGTGACACTCGAGAATAGTTGACCAATGGATAGGAGACGGGAGGTCCCCCTTCGTGGTCTCCATTTATAGAAGGCCGCCGTGACAAGCCATCTTTGCTCCCAGGACGAGTCCTTGTCTCAGCTGCCGCGGTGGTCGTGTTCGAGTCCATCCGGCCGTCGCACATGGCAATGGTAAGCTCCGTCATACTGCGGCAAAGGCCGTCCACTTTGCGCTTGATTTTGCGGTCAACGTTACTCGAACCGAAATTGTTCAGGCCCATCACATTGTGGGAGTAGATGCTTGCCGTGCCCTGGGGACCAGATTGAGAAGTCGATGCGAGGACGGCGAGCTCCAGCGCATCGCTGGCTGCCACCTCGAGGGAAGAATAGAGAGGGGAGGGAAGAAGCTCCTTGGCACGGGTGAGGGCGTCGTGGAGCAACGGATGGAGGGATACAGCAGCTGGCCCTCCCAGATGCAGGCTGGTCGGAGTGTTTGGATCGAAACTTCCCTCAAGAGATTCGCTTCGCTTGGGCGTATTCGTCGCCCGCCGCGGCGAAGACGATACGGTTGTGACGGTAGTGGTTACTCCTGTGCCTGCTGTTCGAGGCCGGTCTCGGTCGGTATGGGGCGAGCTTGATATTGTTGCTCCGCTCGTGGAAGGCCACTTTCCCGTGAGCTCAAGATTCCGGATTCGAGACTTGATATCGTCTAATTCATCCCAAACCGTGGATGGAGCCGAGGTCGGATTGGATCCGACGGATTCCGCGGTTGCGTCCATTGCGGCGCGGGATTGAGCACGAGGTCTCCCGATTAGGCCGGTGATGGTGGTGTCCTCTTCTAGGGGCATCTCATCATGCGTAGAGCTCTCGGGATCCAGGTTGAAATCTGCGGATGCATCATAATTCAATCGCGAAGGTCGGTATGACCGTTGTCGAGCGGATGCGGCGTACATAGATTCGGAGATAGAGGGTCTTCGATTCCTGGTGCCGTGCTCTAAATTCGGTGGCTGGGATCCCGGAGATACCAAAGGAGAATGCGGCAAAGTTGCCATCGCGCGCGATTTGGTGGGTTCGATGCGAAGAGATGGTGATATGGGAGATGACTCGGGATGGTTTCGGTATGATGGTGTGGTAAAGGTCGATGACCGTCGGTACCTAGAGCCGCTTTCACCGGTAACAGACATGAGCGGAGACTCTGCATAGTCGGACCCTTGGTCATTCGAGTCGCGACGAAGTCGTGCTGGCGGCGTGTAGTGGGTTGGAAAGGATTGACGTTGTGGAACACGCGCGATCCTCGACTGTTGTCATGTCAGCAGAGGCACACCATGGCTGGAAGAAATAGTAATTTACCTTTCGCTTTGTAACCCCCGGGTCGTCCGCTACCGAATCCTGTTTCTTTGCAAGATGTAGAAACAAATCCTCGCTTCCAGCGGAGTTGCCTCCTTCTGCTCCAAAGCTCCGTCCGCTTTCTTGCTCCTCCAACCCAATCAAATCTTCAATCGCGTGGTCGTCATCCTCATAATGAGGGTCCATCCGGGGTCCTCGAGCCATGTCCTCTCTCTCGTTTTGATCCCTAGTGTTTTGGGGTTCGGACGCGGTCTTCCCGTCGTGTGCTGCTGCGTCGTTTTCCTTCGATGATGACGCCTCTCCCGACTTTCGCTCTTCCAACTTCTCTTCCTTCACTACTGGCGAACCCTCCAAAGTTACTGCGCTTCGCGAAGTGGTGCTGCCGTGACCTAAAGAATCAAAATTCCGGGGCTGTCCACCGGCTTGCTCTCTGTCGTGACGGCGGTATAACCTCCCAAGGTCTGAGCTATAACTCTGGCGGGTAATCAAAGACTGCGGAGGTCCGTTGGCCGTTGCGATTCCATAGGAACTGCGGGATGCGGGTTGTCGTTTCGCACCTTTCGCAGGAGTTTTGGGACTCCTATGTGAATACTGATATGATACGGCCCGAGTGGAGGAGAGCGCAGGAAGGGATTGTTGCTGTTTAATTTTGGAGACCGGCGGAGTGCTCTGGGTATTTTTTGCAGCCGAAGTAATGTTGGTTGGCGATGAATATGGTGAAAGCGACGGAGCCACCGACTTTGGAGCGTCGGGTTTCGGAGGGCTCGAGAAGGAGGAACCGGCGGTCGGCGAAGTAACAATGGTGCTGGAAGAATCTAGATTCGAATCCTGAGAAGTCGCGGAGCTCGAAGTCGAGCTTTCTGTCGGACGACGGAGTTCTTGGAAACGTCGGTCATTCGCGTCGTTGCTGCTTTGGACGCTGTGAGGTTCCTCGGGGATTGGATGTGAAGTCGACTGGGACGCGGGACGATTATCTATTGGGCGCGACGTGTCGCTCTTGACGTGGTTCACGGGGACTGCATTCGGATCTTCGCCAGCTTTAGCGGCCTGCGCGTGCTCGTCGCAATCGAAAAATTGATCGTGGCTTTGTATGGAGGCTCGCAGATCGGTGGTGTTTGGCTGGGTCATGCCACGACTGTTGCGGAGGAGATCTGGAGTGATGGCCGGATCACTCAGGCTCCTCGCCTCTGAGACGCTGCCCCGGCCCATTTTCGACGCAGACAACGGCTGCTGTCGCTGCGATTGGCTGTGCGGAATATGCGACGGGCCGTTGTCAATCTGCCATGCTGTAGCACGGTAATTAGATCCCGATGAGCGTCGCCCTTTTAGTCCAACTCGACCGCGCTGCTCGGCAGCAAACATCGGTTTCCTGACAACAATTGAACTTGCAGCTTCAGGAGATAAGACAGAGGAGAAACAGTTCTGCAATGCCTTGCCAACTGGAGGAAAAAGGGACGCCCGGACAACACGCGGGACGGCGGGAGGCGTAAGGGGGGCTTTCCGAAGCGACCAGACATGGCCCATGGTGCCTTGCTTGCCCAACCCGCAAGCGTCTGGCCCTGCAATTCTCACACACTATCCTAGTTTCGTCGCTGCTAGTTGGGATCCTTTCAACAACATGTTTAATTGAACCGGAATTAGTATCGAGAACCATTCCTGGGGTTTTCGCCCTCAAAGAGACCAATGGGTTCAGGTACGGAGAACCGCGATAGGAAACGTTTGGATTTCCCCTTTCTCCATGCTCCTGGTACTGGCTCCTGGGAAGAGCCATACCGTCCCATCTCAATTCTCATGATCTAATTCATCTGAATAACCCCACAAACAGTCTACCCGCATCACACTGCAAATTGTAAAACCATTGCAGTGGAAGGAAAGCACGGCCCTCCATGGAACGGCGCGGACGCGGCGGGGTGAGACATGAGGGTGAGGAGAAGGGGGGACCATTTTGGATTTTACGGATCACAGAACCCACTGGGCACTGGGACTTCAGAACTCAGATCCCCCTGATGATAAAGAGGTCCATGCCTGTTGTTAGTGGTAATACTGGTGTATAATATATTATATATTCCATCAGGTTGTCCATTTTGTCGAATCATCATATTTGACTATCCATGAGGTTGGCGACATCACCCCGGCTTATACCAAGCCGTACATGTCCCATCGCTCGAGGTAATCGGGATATGGGGTTGCGGGTGGTCTGTCCTACGCTTCCTTATTGTCTCATGAATACCTACCGATCCGGAATACAGTTTCGCAGTTCGCTTGATCATATATGTGACCATGTTTTCCTATCTTCTTGACTTACTCCGTATCGACTATCGCATACCATGAGGCTACTCAGTAGTCAGTACATCCCACTTAAACTCAAAGGGGTTAAATAACTACCATCCGGTACGTACCATACCCCGAAATATTCAATCTCCGCGTGGAGGCAGCGTGGTTAACCACTCGTGCCACTCCACAACTTTTTTACAAGGAAATGGAACGTGGATGATGGAACAATATCAGAACTAAATCAAGAAAGACGTTGTTGGCCCACTTAGGTGACCTCCGATTCCCCGAATGCTGAATAGAAAGCGCTCGTGTCATGACGGCAAACCTGTCAGAGACTCAGAGTGTCAGTGTTTCGAAAATCGAGCATTATCTGTGGGGCAGACTGTGCCCCATCGTTCCTACTGGAAGCCTGAAAGTCTGAAACCCTATTTGCGAACAAGATCAGCAATTGAATTGATCAATTGTCAATTGATGCTGGATACCAGACACGGCCCATCCGTTCAAGCCTCTGGAAAATATATTTGGATTATGGACATTTTGATTCTCTCGGCCGCAATCCACCAATCGAAGGTGTCCCCATTGCTCTGGATTTCAGGAATTTGAATTATCAACCTCAGAATATGCAGGACAATCCAACCCAGGGTTCGATGGGACCTTGCCAACCTGGTCAGCAGCCACAAAAAGATGTCCTTCAGCACCTGGGAGTTTGAAGTTTGAAGGTGGGAACCGGAAATGGGTGATGGGGATCGTCTGCGCCATCCGGCTACCCGCCGTTTCATCACTGTGGAGGCGTCTGACGGCCCCGCTCGGCTCTCCCCTCCGCGTCTGTTTGGTCAGAATCCAGAGCCCCGAGCCCGATTTTCCAGGCTCGCGAGTCAACGCCCAAAGAAATGCTCGCAATTCTCCACGATTAAATGAAGCAGGGAGAGGAGTGGAGGAGCAGAAGTTGGGCGGATTCAAGCCTTGGGGACTGGGGAGCGAAGGGCCAAGTTTCTTATCTGATCACAGGCATGATGTAGTCGGCGTTGCAGTGGAGGTGGTCACGGTGGTGTATCTTTTTGGTGCAAGCTCTTCGTTCGAATATCCATTGCCAATTTGGAAATAGGATAGGTTCTGGTCTTCTGATGGAGCATAAATAGAAGCGTCTTGACTCATGAAGATTAAAACCACTAGTAATTCCTCCTAGGATGGCTAGCTTTGGAGGTTCAGATATCATCCGTGCCTGGATAGTCCATCACAGTGTTCAGGGCTCTCGTCTTATCGCCATATTTCGTGATCTGACGTTGGTGTGTGGAACGTCACAATATAATGTCTTAATGCTTCCTATGCTCGATCAGACTTGTCCGTAGGCGAAACAGCTGCAGCTATGGCAATCTGGCTACAAATGTCCCCTCATAAGCCTGCAATCCGGAATCTTCTACTTCAGTGATTTCTTTGAAGGATGAATCTCGGACTATATCCTCGAATCGCTGCCACTCACTCCTCGGACATATGCAAACGATCTGCCTCAATGACCCACCCTGGAAATGCTCCAGATATTTCGCAACGAGTCGAGGATCCCGTGGATACACCAGCAGCCAGGTCGCGGCCGTACCAGCTCCTGGGAAAAGATCATACGTGCCTCCCACATAGTGCATCAGGTCTTCAGGCATGTACCTGTTGATCCCCAAGCTCTTGCTGTCTTGTATTTCCACTGCTTGGATGTTCAATGCATCAATATTGGCTAGGAGGAGTGCCTCCAAGAGACCGGCGCCGCTGCCGATTGACAGCACCGAGCCCGGAGTATGGGAGAAAACATGGTCCAGAGACGTAATTAGTTGTTTCGAAAGGCTATGACAGCAGCCTGCATGGAAAGATGGCTCATCGGGCAGATGCTTTGGCAATTCGCTCATTGAAACGACCCGAGATGTATATGCATCTCCGTCCCGGTCCGGTGTGCGGATACGCAGTGCTGCGGTGTTCTTGTAGATTGCAATACGCGGAATCTTGAATATATTGATCCGGAACGGTGGTGGTCATTGAGAGAGTTCGATATCGAACTAGAATTTGTCTGTTGAGCACCACAGTCAGCAACTTGTTGTCCCTTGGTCCCTTGCGCTGATAGACATTTATTGTGGCACGAGCTTCTGTCTCCACCATGAAATCAGAAATGGCATGGCTTCACGTGTTGACGTTGAAATGAATCACAGCATCATCCCCGCATTGATGACATCCCGTCCTCATCGAGCATATCAGCGTCTCTTTATCGCGTTGACGATGCTAGTTGCTGTCGAATATCGCAATTGTTGAATGCCGTTGAAGGATGTATCAGGATTGATTACTGTGACGTTCAACTGAGACAGCAAACGCTGTAACCGTAAACATGGTTGGCCGAGGCGGCCGGCTACCATTCGCGTATCGAAGAGGACCGGTGACGATATTCAGCGCGATAATATACATCTCCCTTCTCACAGCTCTCCTGGTTATACACAATACCGTTCCGTCCGCTCATAACGATTACATTCCAGAGGAGATTAGCCTGGATGAAGCGTGGCATGATCTTCAGCGCCTGACCAAGAGGTAAGTTTCAACAGGAGAAGACCCTTTCGGCCTGGCTGATGATTTGAGTATTCAGTTTCCATCCGTACAATAGCCATGCAAACGATGATGTACGGAACTGGCTCCTTCTCCGCATCGAAGAAATTCTCGGGAATGGCAAAGGTCCGTCGGCCAGAGTCTCGGAAGACTTCGCTACCGTGGAAAATGATCTTTCTTCCAACGTGACTTCTAGTTCTCAGGGTTTGAGCGTGTACTTTGAAGGTACCAATATCATGGTGCACGTTAAAGGCACGCCGGAATTCAGCCACCTTGGGGCGGTCCTCGTCAATGCCCACTACGACAGCGTATCTACGGGATACGGTGCCACTGATGACGGGGTGGGTGTGGTCTCCATCCTTCAACTAATCAAGTATTTCACGACGGGAAAGCATCGCCCTAGGCGAGACATCATATTTCTGCTCAATAATGGTGAAGAAGACTTCCTGAACGGTGCTCGGGTGTTCATGCAACACCCAATATCCTCGCTCCCCCGTACCTTTCTCAATCTTGAAGGGGCCGGAGCGGGAGGTCGAGCAGTACTTTTCAGAAGTACTGATACCGAAGTGACGAAGTTCTACAAGGCTGCTGGGCATCCATACGGGTCGGTCCTCACAGGAGATGGCTTCCAAATGGGCCTAGTCCGCAGTCAGACAGACTATGTCGTTTTCAATGGCGATCTCGGCCTCCGTGGCTTGGATGTCGCATTCTTGGAACCTCGTGCACGGTAAGTTGTATTCTAATCAGTCGATACGAAGAGGATCTTCTAGACCCCTCGACTGACAATGCAATCATTACAGGTATCATACGTCTGAAGACTCAACCAGGTACACTTCGATTGACTCTGTCTGGCACATGCTGTCAGCTGCCATAGCAACTGTTGAAGGCCTTGCGCTCGATAAGAGTGAGGAATACCAAGGCCGTGTTTCCAACGATAAACGAATCGTGGATAATGGTGGTAGTCGTGCCGTCTGGTTCGACATGTTCGGACAAGCGTTCGCACTTTTCAAATTGCGGACAATGTTCATAATCTCCATCTTGTTACTTGTCCTGGCACCTCTATTCCTCATCATTCTCACCGTGGTTCTGGTGCGTCAAGACAAATGGTACCTTTTCGATGGCCGAGTTGTTACTATCAACTACGATGCCGGACCCGACGAAGGCCAGCTGCCACAAAAGTACAAGATGAAGGGGTTATACGGACTTTGGCGCTTTCCCGTGACGACCATCGTGTCGGTTGGCCTATTGGCTGGGTTTGTGCAACTGACAATCCGAGTTAATCCTCTGATTGTGTATTGCAGCCCATATGTTGTGTGGAGGTAAGTCAACGATACATAGGCATATGAGCCAACATTATCTAGCCTCTTACCGTTGCTAATGACCTACAGCGAATTCCTATCCCTGTTCTTTATCTTTTTCTGGTTCCTTTATAGGAGCGCTGATTTCACGCGGCCGTCGGCTCTTGTCCGTGTGTATTCATTAATTTGGCTCTTCATCTTGTCCTGGGTCGGTCTCGTTCTCGTTACCGTTTCGGAGAACAACTATCAACTCGCTGGAGGCTACTTTATATTGTTCTACTTTACTTCGATCTTCGTGGCAACAGCTATATCGTTCTTGGAGATGCTGGTCCTCATGAAAAAGCGCGTCTACCTTGAGGACCTCCCTCGGCTGAGATGGTGGCACAAGCAAAATCACAAGGATGACGACGAGTCTGATGACACTCGTCCATCGTCCCATAACAGACAAGCAGAGGACAATCAAGATGCAACCGAATCTTCTGCTTTACTTCAGTCGTCGACATCCTTCCAGGGGTACGGCTCACGACGACGCTCAAGGGATGAGGGTAATGCCGAGGAGCTTGAGAAAGAGGAGGGGAAATTCGACTACTTTGGAGAAGAACAGCATTGGAGTGGGATGCTGCCCAAGTGGACATGGGTCTTACAGATCCTAGTCTTGGCTCCGATCAACATCATCTTGGTCGGCCAAATCGGACTGCTGATTACATCTGCTCTGCGCCAAACGCCTGCGGATGGAAGCAGCGTTGCCGCAGCCTATGTAGTCATTGCCGCGTTTTCTATCCTTATTGTTCTCCCTCTAACCCCTTTCATTCATCGATTTACCTACCATATCCCCACTCTGTTGTTGGCTGTTGCCGTCGGAACGGCCTTGTATAACCAATTGGCTTTCCCATTCGACCAAGGAAATCGACTTAAAGTCTTCTTCCGGCAGGATCTCGACCTGGACACTGGAGTCAACCGTGTCTCAATCACAGGACGCAGTGACTATATCCATTCCGTCATCGATTCACTCCCCTCCTCCAGATCGATGCAAGTCACATGCAATCCTCCGCCACAAGAAAATCGTTACGGACTACTTGACTGCTCCTGGCAGGGACTTCCCCCCGCGGTGGTCCCCCGAGATCCCTCCGTCCTGCCCGAGAAGAGCTATATCGATTATATGCACTTGGACGTGGTTCGCAGCAACCTCTCATCCGAAGGAACCATCACGATCTCCGGAAATAACTCTCGCGCTTGCAAGTTATTCTTCGACCCGCCCTTATCCGACTTCAAGATCGTGGATCCCCCGAATGCGGCAGAAGATCCCCGATTCAAGCCTGTTGGGCCCGATGGGGTCAAGGAACTTCGCATGTGGAGCCGTGAATGGGAACGCGGTTGGAAGGTGTGGGTGAAATGGGGGAAGGAAGGGGGGCTCGATGGCAGAGCTGTATGCGCATGGAGTGATCAGAATGATCCAGAAGCCATTCCGGCGCTCACTGAAGTGCGGAGATATGCGCCTCATTGGGTCACGGTCAGCAAGACGACTGATGGGCTTGTTGAGGGGTTGAAGAGGTTCAAAATGTAGCTAAGTACATGTCATACCTGGTTTCTAGAACACTTCCTTTCTTAGAGCCCTGGTTTGGGACCTTTAAATGATGCGTGGATAAAAGGAATCGACCCCATGGAGGTCATTCACTATTCACGAGGCGTTGGTAACAATTCGTGCCATTAGTGAAATCAACACAGTGATAATTTGGATCGGCCACTTCCACTTTCCCCCCTACCACTAGCCTGATATCAACACACCACTACAAACTCTCATCTTTGAGAGCCAATTCTTCAATTCAACAAACTATTCCATGTAGGGACTAGTCGTCTCATCGCCTGGACTCTCCATGCCATAACATTGCCAAAGAACCGATTTTCACGAAAGTAATGTTCGAATCGGACCTAACTCATATTTACCTACCTTAGCTAACATTTCTTGTGCTAAGACGAAACACAGCAACGCATATCCTCCTGCTAAACCATGGGCGACTACGAGCAAATCTCACCCGAAGGTGACCTCGTCTTCCTCGTCGGCAAGGAGAAGGTTCCTATGCGAGTGGACTCCTTCATTCTGAAGCGTCATCCTGCGGTCTTCAAAGCGATCCTCAGCTCGAACTTCCATTAAGGTCAAAAGCTTGAATCGAACAATTTCATTCTGGTTTGACGATGACTGTCCCTAGTCTGGTAGACTTTTGACTTCATTCGCACTGATATCATGATTCAAGGAGAGACACTAAGGCCTCCTGTGTTGGTAAACGTTAGATTCATACTCATCGCTGTTGTATACATTCAAACTGGGATGCTATAGAAGCGAAGGCCCACTGCTCTCCAAGGTGCATTCTCGAGTAACAATGATCCGACCGAACTCCAAAGTAACAACCCATGCATCCAGATGCATCCTTTCCTGACCTCTCCCATGCGAGAGGTACGTACTACAAAATATCCATCTACTCCTTCTCGACAGCATCCACGTATCGAGGAGGTGCCTCACCAGCCTCGTTCACATCAAGCTTAGCATTCTCGGTGGCAGCCTCGTCCTCCTTTCCATAAACTTCAGATTCCTCATCATCCTCAAGCGCCACAGATCGATACGCTCCACGTCGAGATCGACGAACCGAATTCCAGACGGCCGCGACACCGTAGCCGATAGCAACCAACAAAATGTAGGTAGCCGCGGCAGCAGAAGCGCCGACCAGGAAGGGGACGACGAGCACGAGAACGATCCACTTGATGGCGTGGAGGAAGCGATTTGCGTGCTTGTGGCCATGATGATTATGTGGGCCGTGCTGCATGTGGTGTCGTCCGGCGCCGTCATGGTGGGAGTGCGGCCCGTGGTGCATGTTCGTGCCTGGACGGAACACACGATCAACGCCTGGGGGCTTGCCGTGAGGTCCCTTCCCTCCACCATGGCACATGCTACCGATCTTGTTGCCGACCGCATGAGCCTTGTTCATGACGATATCGCGCCATCTACAGATGAGCGGGTGCGTGTGGCATTCGCGGGGCTTGCTCGGATCGGCGACCTTGATTCCCGCGATCATGAGCTGGGCCTCGGGGTCCTTGATGGCATTGATCTCGATCCGGGGAACGTTGACGGCGGCACCGGCAAGACTGCTCACTTGAACCTCGATCTCGATTAGCTCGTGGCCGTCTTCGGAGACTGTGTCAGCGCTGATGGCATTGATTGACCATGACGTGATCGGGTGGGGTGATGAGATGTAATCGTTTGGATTTGCTCGAATATCGTCAATCGATACGGAAGAAGCGACATGTGGGACTGCGGGCATGGCCGGCATGAGACTGAGTGACATCTCCGGAGGATAGAATTGAACGGAGTTCATCTCCAGAGTGGTCGGATCGGAGCCAACTGAGATATTCAAGAGCTACGGTTTGTAAGTACGCCATTCATGAAGGGTCGCTGTTGACCTGTGCTGGAACGTACCAATGACTGCTCGCCACCCTGATCCCATACCAGACCATTCTCGGTCATCCTCGCGAACTGGCAGCCTGGGCATGGCACCTTCAGGAGCTGTGTGTATGGATCGACTATTCCCAAAGCCCCAGGTGACCCTGATGATGAAATGCCTTCGATCGTGACATCTGGAGGAAGGAGGAAAGCGTTCGCTGCCAGCGCAAAGGCGGCAGCGCTCAGGCCGACAGTACGGGAGATCATGGCGGTTGTGGCAGAGAGGAGCAAACGGAAACTTAGAAACGCTACACTGTTATGGTTCGAAGTGATGCAAGTTGGATGATACGCTGGTAGATAGATGAAGGTTGTTGGAGACAAAGAAAGATGAGGATGGTTACCTATTGATGGAGGCTGGTGGGGGCTGAGCAGTTCATTCACTGGCGGTGGGAAGCGGAGAGTGATTGCGTATGCGTCACGTGACAATTTCTTCAATACAGACCCTGTCAGGGCTGTCACAGATTAAGGAAAGTGGCACCAGCGCTAGGCTGCTTTCCAGTCCCAGTTTTGTGTCAGACCCCTGGATCACATGATATCAACATGGATTCGGATGTTTGACGCCTGACGCCTTGACGCCCTTGAGGTTTCATGACCACAACGTGAAGGACACCACGTCTTCATTATAACGCTGATGAGCCCTCACAGAGTATAGTAGTATATAAGTATGCCCATAATATTGGACTGTGGTATACTACTTATTCTATTATTCTCCTAGTCTGGAGATATCCATTTCATCTTTGCCGTTTATCTGTTCAAATAATCAAATTGCTATCGAAATATGCTCCGAGGAGAATGATCTGAGAACACTTCTACGGCTCTCATACTTCTTCTCTATTATGCCTCTTGGAGAGAAAGATTATTTTACTGCCCTTGTCTCTGTCTTATTAAATATTATAGAGCCTCCCTGCTTACGGTCTACTGCTTCGTTGTCCCTATACAGTGCACAAGCGAACGTATCCATCGATCTCGCATTTCCACGGATTTCATCCAGATACCCACCATCTCTTCGCTCCCTTCGTTCTTCCAGGTGATGTCCAACCAAAGCCCATGGCCCTCTGTCCAACCAAATTCTAGAACTGAATCAAGGGGTATCTTACTCTCAAGTTGCATCGTACGGTTCGGTTCCCGACTCGCATCCCCCTCCTCTGGATCCCGTCTCTGGAAGCGAAGTAGGGCACTCTCAAAGAAGAGGAATGTATTGATATGATTGAGGGAACGCGGTGTCATACACAAGCTGCATGGCGCTTCTTCGAAGAGAATGAGCGCCCCTAGCTCGCTCTGTCTGGTTCCTCGCCAGTCCCATGGCCCGGAAAGTAGAGCCTCCAGAAAGCGGCTTTCCGCATCGTCGTCCTCATCCGAGGAGTCGAGGCTAGTCTGCGGTTCTATCGAACCAGCATGCTTGATGTTGATCAAAAGTGTATCGAATAGTTTGGCCGCATCTTCCGCGCTATCGTCGTTAAGATCCCTATCATTGGACATTGTTATATCGTGCAGAGTCTCCTTGTCAGACCGCACCTCACTGGCACTTATTAACGTTACTAGCGGAGCTTGATTAAGGCGAGATCTTCCTGTCTTGGCTCAGTTCCGATTAGAGAATTTGTCCTGGTTGATTTGGTTGCCTTTGCTCTGGCGGTAGTATCTCCGGATCGTGCGAGTACAGAATTCAGGCTAATATATGGAAGATCCAGGACCCTATTCACGCCCAGATTAAATGACTCCTAAGCTTCTATTTTATATGAACGCGGCTATCGTCGGGATGGCTATTCACTCCATTGTCAATGTCCATTTTAGCGTCACAGCCCAAGATTGCGATCTCTCCTTTCGCTGGATAGATTGGATGATGATAGACCTCCACTGCCAATGTACGTCTCCATGACAAGCGAAAGCGGAAGATTTGCATGGAATATAGCAACGGGAGGATAATTATTGACGCTGACTAATTTGTCGGGAGAACACCTGCCCGACTTGGAACAGGAACGATGATCCACTCCACGTGTTTCTAGAACTAGGGGTGTACTTCTGGATTACCAACCTCTCCTGGATCAGAAAATTGCACACTTGAACGTGTGGCTGTTACCTTGACCATTTTATGGCAGTGGAGTAGAGTGGTATCAAGTGACCATAGCTCTTAGATGAATTGATATGGCATTGGAAATCCCCGCTTCACCTCGATATTCTCTGCAAGAGATTAGGGCCGTTAAAAAACTGGTAGGCGCCAATTGATATTTGGTTTACCGTAAACAATTAGTTAATCGCACACTGTCTTCAAGATATCGCAATATTGTGTGGTTTGACTAGATTTAGTGACCGGAGTGCATAACTACGGGTAACCAATCTAGGTTTAAACCAGCCCTACGGTTTTTGATAGCCCTCAGATATTGCGATACGCTACTGAGGCCATAACCTTTGATATCTATCAATTGTTTGTCATCACAAGAGCATTGTCATCATCAAGACGTGAATCGGGAGTTAGGTACTTTTATGGTGACATAGCACGACCGCATTCGGCAATTGCCCGATTCCCGCCCCGCCCAGATTAGCGCTCTACTGGCAGCGGGGTCCGAGGTCGCCATATTAATAATTGCCTTGATTGATCATTGTTTGAAGCAATTGAGCAGTACATATAAATTGGACATACCGGAGCTACTTTTTTGGAAGGGATAGTTTCCTTATCTCACTCATTTTCAACTAGCTCCTGACCGAATCCAAAAGAGCGTGGAAAATGGCTTCGAAACCGGAACTCCAACAGGTGTATTCCAAAGGCATATACCATGGCCTCCCTGTCTACCCATCCGAAGTCAAAGGCCTCACGGCGATCGTCACTGGTGCAAATGGAATCTCCGGGCAACATATGGTCCGCGCCCTCGGCGAGGCCCCCGAACGATGGGCGAAGATCTACTGCCTGTCTCGACGCCCTCCGGCCGTCGCAGACGCACTGCCGCCGAATGCGGTGCATATCCCGTTGGACTTCATGACGTCGCCAGAGGAGATCGGTCGGGTGCTCAAAGAGAACGGAGTCACGGCGTAAGGAAAAGGATGGTCTTCTGATGCAGCCAGGATACGCACTGACGCTTGAGTAGCAACTACGTCTTCTTCTATTCGTACATTCAAGTGCCTTCAAGTGACGGGAAACGCCTCTGGGACAACGCCGACGAGATGGTCCGTGTCAACACCCTCCTCCTCACCAATTTCCTTGAAGCGCTTCCCCTCGCGTCTATCATGCCCAAGAACATTATGCTGCAGACCGGCGCGAAGAACTACGGGGTTCACTTGGGGCCGGCCGTGTCTCCGCAGGACGAGGACGATCCTCGCATCCTTTTGGAGCCAAATTTCTATGCGTCGCAAGAAGACAGCCTTTGGGCATTCTGCGGCAAGCACGGGATTAACTGGAGCGTCGCGCGCCCATCGTGGGTCGTCGGCGCGGTCCCTGACGCGGCCATGAACATCGCGTACCCGCTCGCTGTCTATGCGACAGTGCAGAAGCACCTCGGCCGCAAGTTGGAATTCCCCTCTGATATCATTTCATGGGAGAATGCGCAGGTCAACAGCACGGCGCTAATGAACGGGTACTTCGAAGAGTGGGCGGCCTTGTCGCCGCAGGCTCAGAATGAAGCGTTCAACACCACGGATGACTGCATGTGGTCGTGGGCGCGGTTCTGGCCGGAGTTCGCCAAGTGGTTCGGGCTGGAGTACACGAGGCCGGATCCCGAGAAGGATCAGTACCAGGAAATGTGGAACAAATATGATCCGCCGCCGAGAGGGTGAGTTGCAACTGAGGACGGGAGAGACAGTATACGAATTCAACTGATCGTTTCGATAGATTCGGGGGTCCGGGAAACATGAAGGCACGCTTTACGCTCACATCATGGGCAAAGCAACCGGAGGTCCAGGCTGCGTGGAGGGAGATCGCAACGAAGCATGGCCTCATTGAAAAGGAGCTCCGAGACCCGGACCGTGTTTTCGGCTTCGCGGATGCGGCACTTCTCCTCTCGCACCCCATTCAGATGAGGATGGGCAAGGCGAGGAAGCTGGGTTGGCACGGCTTTGTGGACTCGTCGGAGAGTTATCGAGAAACGTTCGAGGGCTTCGTCAAGCTAAACATGCTTCCACAGCTGCCGTGGCAATGAGCAGGGGATGAAACACGTTACAAGCCTGTCTCCCTGTAGTAGTGTCTATATCGATCGAGAGCTGCATTCATCGGTAACCTCCTCTTTGGGAATTAGCCCACCTGCTTTCAAGTTCGGCTGCCCTTCTTGTGGCTTCGGCTCGTTGCTTGGCAGATGCTTCGGCCTGTGAAGTTGCGTAATCCGGTAATTCATCGTCGGAATCGTCGTCACTCTCAAAACTTGAGCGACGCGGTATTCTCGCCGAAGTGGATGGTCGGAGCGTCGGTGGCGGTCGTGGAAAGGGGTAGGGGGCGGTTCGGACTGGAGATACCTCCCGTTCTGAATATTGATGACCGCCGCGACGCGTGGGTGGTGAAAGTGGCCCGGTTGTCGCCGCAACTACAGTGGGATTAGGGTAAGAACTTTCAAATGGAGGGGAGGTGATTCTCGAGCTTGGGTCGAAGTGCGGTCGGTTGGCGGGTGGTGGTTGAGAAATCGATCGTTGCAACTGGGTTGGTATGTTTTGTATCCCAGTAGATAGATGGGCGGGAGAGAAGTCCGGTTGAGCCGGGAGGAAGGTCTGCGGCAGTGTATAGTTCTGAGGCGATGAGACAGAGTTTTCAAGAGACATAGCGTTGAATCCTGAAGTCGCTTCAACAAATAAGCGAAAGTCTGAGCTGTCAAGGACTTCATGATGCTGCTCAGACTCAGTCCGTCTTCTTGTCGATCTCGGTGACAAAGATGACGCTTGATTGTCTTCAGCTGACGGAGTTGAGAGTGATAGTGTCCGTTGACCCTGAGAAGTCCGGGCATATGGCAGATCGCTTGGTCTCAGCCTACTCGAATCCCGAGCAGGCCAATTTGAAGGGTGAGGACTCGGCGGAACTAGCGAGGAGTTGCTCCTGCCTAGAATCGACGCGCGTGACCGACGAGACGATGAGGAATTCTCCCAAGGATTCGATGATATCGGGCTGTAATCAATTGCTCGCCGGGGAGGCGCATACGCAGTGTATGTTGGCTGAGAGGGTGCTCCAGGACCGCTGGATGGTGGAAATTTTGTAACGGTCGAGGGCGCAGACCTTGGAGGACGTCCGTCTCCGAACTGATCTTGGGGACCCTGAATCTCGAGTTGTTGCGGCGTCGCTTTTGGTTTCCGCGCCGGTCGTGATTGGTCGTCCGAGTTGCCGCGAGACATGAATGCTCGGAATGCTTGCAGTGGTGATGTCGTAGATTTCGATTCCTCTTGTCGTGACCCGCGTAGAGTTGTTGGACTAGTAGACAGTCGCAGACTCGGCGCAGGTCCAATTGGGGTAGAAGGTGGGATCGCAGTTGAGGGACGCTGTATCTGTGACAATCCGTCACCGGCACTGGACGAACTGGAATCATAATTCCGACGTCGTTCCCAATGGGACGGCGCGGGATATGTCTGGCCTTTATCTGGAGCCATCCAGGAAACTGTCCCAGCCACGCTATGAAGAAGAGACGACTCCGACGGAACAAGAGAGGTAAGACAAGACAACGGAGATTGTTGGTAGCACGACTGGCCTGATTGTCTTAAAACAAGCATTCTTTAACAATCAAAATGTCCAGGAGATGATGGTGAAGCCAAGCTCGAACGATGGAAGTTAGATAAGATCGTTCGGCAATGCAACTCCTGAAGAAAGAAGGGTAGGACAAGTTGGTATATGTGCAAGGAAAGTGAAACCTGCATTAACTATAATCGAAAATGGGAATAAAGAAATAGGATGGCCCAGGAAGAAATATCGTGGCGTTTGCATGAACCGAGTGGATGTGGAGGCAAATGGGCAATGAATAGACCGATGTCGTCCAGGCTTGTCATATGTATACGAGGACTTGGAAGAATAGGGCAAGGATTGGATATGCACATCTGCTCCTCGAGATGTACCTGAAGAATATGGCGATTTGCCATAATAAAAGGAAAGTCTTTCACCTTTGCGCCTGTTTCGAACCAACGGAGACCATAATCGACACTAAGAATTAGCATCTTACACCTGGATCATGCTTCGGCATGCGCTCGAAGGAGGCAATCCCTGGCGAAAAGGCATCGTACGAATCTGTCGATCACTCATCGTCGTCCCACTCTATTTCGAGCGAAGAGGAGCCCCTCAGACAGCCAGGAAACCACGGTGCTCACTCGGTCACTCCCTAGGCTGAATGCCATGGAGCGCGGCTATGCGGGCATGCGGCCACCTGATGGTAAATAATACCTGGATTGAAATGATTAAGCGAAGGCCCTGCGTTGACGCATCGAAGAAGCCATATGCGCCTCGGAATGCTACACAAGGCACTCTTTGAAGTTTATTCCATCGCATGATTCTGGGGTCTGGATAACACTTGATGACACTGTGGAGAACTGGAGCGGTGCCGTCCGTGGCGCTTCATTGCAGATTTGCTAGCATGGAATACGGTCCTGCCGGTTTCCCTTTCCTATTTCGTTAACCCAGGTCCCTGGAAAGAGACGCGAAGTGGAAACGGGAAATGGCAGAATCCTCGATCATCCTTTAGATAACTCATAATCCTTTCGGCCATTTTTCGGTCATCCTTTAGCAATGGGCTAGAAAGCAATGGGAAAGTTCCATCGGAGCATGATCGTATTTCCGCTGGAGGCCTGTATTAGATTATCAAAAAAGCCACGGTAACACTGGATTCCACGAAAATTGACGACGCGCTGCGGAGGATCAAAGACTTCAAGACTTGGCTAAAAAGGTGAAATTACAGAAATGGTGAAATTGTTGGTGCCCGGTGCCGTCGTAGTGCCTCACTGTGCATGGTTCCAGAATCCCACCAGACCACCACCCGCTGCACAGCCATCCGCTAATCCTAAGAATAGATCCTACCCCAGCGCTATCAGAACTTGGATTCCAGACATATTCACCCCCATGTATCACATGACTCGGCCGATTCTGATTTCTGAGTGTCGGATACGGAATACTCGGATGGGGTAATTACCGTATAGGCGTATAATACCCGGAATTGGTTTCAAGCTTTTGAAGGGAGGTGTGGGGGAATGCTGAATTACCTGGGAAGGGAGCATATTCTCCACCAGGCACCATGACCTGCCAGTAGTCACCGTCCAAAACTCCGTATGATACGTCCATTGCTTATTATCGCCACTGCCTGGTTGTCGATGTGACATACCTGTGCGGCTCTAATGTCGGGTGGTTCGTGAGGAGCTCTAGTTTCGGGCGTAAGGAGTAAGGGGCAGATCACAGATGTCTTCCGACCACATCTCTTGGCCGTACAGTATGTATCTTCCTCAGCCCGTCAGCCGTATCAGCATTTGAGGCTACTCAGCTCGAGATATTGGAAGCAGTGTGATTGCAACCTGCCATATCTAACCTAGACTGACGCTCACCGTAAGAGCGAAAGGGCGAAAAATAGATTATGACAATTTTAGAGCATTGAAGATCAAAGCTGTACTACTAATATTCAATATCTCGTGAGACCAACCGCCCGGATTACCAACCGTCAATCTGAGTGATCTTGACACCAAGGCCACCTCGAGGCCTCAGCACCACGCTGCCCGATGCGGGAATAAGTTTGTATGCCGGATCCTTGAACCGCATTTCAAACCTTCCAAACCACGCCGCCATGACACAAGCGAATTCCGCTCGGGAAAAGTCCTTCCCAATGCAGCTGCGCGGTCCGTGGATGAACGACATGAACGCATAATTGCTTTCCGCTCCGCCCGTGTTGGCCCGCCCCGGTCCCATCCACCGGTCCGGATTGAACTCGGCCGCATCGTCGCCCCATAAATGCTTGCTCTGGTTGATCGCCGCGGACGGGATCACGATCTGCGTCCCCTTCGGGATGAACGTCCCCAGGATGGTCGTGTCCCTGACCGAGATCCGACCCGTCGCAGGGACGGGACTGAGCAAGCGTAGGGTTTCATTGCAGATCGCGTTTAAATAGGGCAGATGGTCGATCTGGGTCGACGTGATCCCTACGTCCTCGGAAAGCGGGGGAAGCTGGCTTCGGATCTCGTCTCTCAATCGAGATTGAAGTTCTGGCTTCTTGCAAAGAGAATAGACCGCGAGTGTCAGCGCGTTAGCCGTCGTTTCGTGGCCAGCGGCGAGGAAGGTCATGAGCTGGTCCGCAAGGTTATCGTCCGAGAAGCCACCCGACTCCATCGCAATGGAAAGAATATCAAGATCAGTGGGGCCACCCTTCGCAATATTGACTTTCTTTTCCTCTATGAGCTGCTGAGATATCCGTCGAACCACCTTCGCTGCCCGAGATACAACGTTCTCGGTCGGGATGATATACCGAAGAGGCGTTCTCTTGATCCGGTTGAGAATTGCCACAATGACCTTAGTCTTTCCGGACTGGCTAAACACAGCGGAGTAGGTTCGGCTCAGTTCATTTTCCGGATCCAAAATGGCATTGAAATCGTGGCCCATACCAGCAATTCCAATGATATCAAGAGTGCACAGGCTCGCCCATTCATTGATCATTTGAAATTGAGGGCTATCCTTCCCAGGAAGCTGAGAAGCATTGATGGCTGTGGTTATCGCCTCTGTACACTGCTTTGCTTTGCCCCAGAACGTAGGGTAGAGATCTTTCACGTGGCGGAATGAGAAAGCTGGAGATAAAAGTTTCCTTTGCCGCTGCTGAAGTTAGATGCCTGCCAATCCTATGACAATGACTTGGTGGCCTGCATAAATGGCTTACCTTATGTTCGTCTCCTTCTGCGATGAGGATGCCATTCCCCAACAGAACCGAAAGGATAGCACGGGCGATTCCAGGCTTTTCCCAATCATAATTCTTGGTGACGAGAACCTCTTTCAGTGCCGCCGGGTTGGTAACCAGGACCGTTTCGGAGTTGAACGACATCCGGAAACGGACCAATCCCTCGTTTGGGATTTCGTTGACCCATTTGGATGTCAATTCGGTGTCGGGCTTCCGAAGCAAGTTCCAGAACTGGCCCATAAGGAAGGCATTGTCCTGAGATCCTGAGCATCCATATATTTACTACGGCGCGCGCTCACATACCTTTGGTTCTGGCAGATGTCTTAAGGGACTGACCAAGTGGGGATATATGAGGACTCCGTATATGAACACAAGCGTAAATTGGACGCTATATAGCCAGACAAACGACGCGATCAAGGATTGAACCGGCCAAAAACCAGGAACAACGTTGGTAACGACATAGGAACCAAGAGCACTGGTCAAGGATAATGGAACCACGACATTCAGGAGCGATCCCACCGAGCGTAGCCCAATTATAGAGGACATGATGCTGATGCTATGGATATTTCATAGGAGAAGAAAGGATGTCCACCGCGTTACCGTGGTGCCGTGGTGCCGTGAAGGTTATAAGATGTTCTGGAGAGAGCAGGCTGCCGAATTGCTCGATGTTGTCGCAATCCAACCCGTATCATGATTTGACTTTTCTTGCGCATGATTGGCTTGATGGCTTCACCTCAAACATGAGATGCATGCACGTGAGAGCCTCGGCTCGCCTCCCTGAGGTTGTTCCTACATGAGGTGGAGAAATCGGTGACGGGCATTCGGGAAATGAGGTATCGGAGCGATTCCGCCGATATACCACCGGCCGGGATGATCCCGAATTCCTGCACAACCTGAACTCTGAAGCCAATGACATGGGGGTGCTATTCTAATATCTAGAAGGTTGACGGTAACGCTATGGATATGGATCAGGTCAGAATTCAGATGCTGATGATTGACCTGGAGACTGGATTATAGAGGGGCGGGGCCGTTGACTCGGAAATGTTTGCCGGGTCTTGCATTCGGCTAAACTTCCCCAGACTATCGGGTAAACAGGTTCTACTTCTACTTCGTCGAATTTGATATCAAAAACAGAACTTCCCTCGAGAATGCTATTGAGACACTGGACACCTTGAACGGCCAGTTGGTGCTCATCACACAACCATGGCCTCCCCATCCGTCGAACCGTCCGACATCCCCATCCCCACCGGTTCTGACTCCGCCTGCTTCACCCACATCTCCAATCAAATCGCCCTCCGCGTTCCCCTCTCCCCCATCTACCACCTCCTCCTCTCCCCGCCCGCCCTCCGCCTCGTCCATGCCTCGCCCGGCCTGATCCGCGCGCACCTCATCCTCGGCCCTCAGCACCTCAATGCCGGCGGCTCCCTCCACGGCTCCGCCAGCGCGACCATCGTCGACTGGGCCGGCGGCATGGCGATCGCATCGTGGGATCTGCGGTCCGGCACCGGGGTCAGTGCGGATATCCATGTCAATTATATCGGCGGGGCGCGGGAGGGAGAGACGGTGGAGATCGAAGGGCGGGCGGAGAAGGTGGGTGGGGGGTTGGCGTTTACGAGCGTCAGGATTGCGAAGGTGCGGGAGAGGGGGGAGGTCGGGCCATTGGTCATCACGGCGACACACACGAAGTATGTGAGAGGGACGGCGCCGGTGAGGAAAGATGTGGCGAGTGTGGAACCCTCGGCTTAGCCCTTGGGTGTTCGTGGGTGTCTTTTTTCGATCAAGGCTCACCCTTCGGCCTTGTTGTAGGGCCATTCCTGGCGTCCGGAAGGCTTGTGGACGCATAACCAACCTGCTATCCCCTTCGCCCTCGGCATGTCGAATGGATAAATACATAGACTCGCGATTGGTGCTAGATAAACTTCCTTCTGTACTTTAGAAACCTTTGCATGAACCCCAAAGCAGTTCTGCGGTGGTGCTTAAGAGGGATACACGGGCGACAATGTCAAGTCCGCACGATTCATAAAACGATACTCTTTCCATTATCATTCCCTCTTCAATATCATACAAACGTGCTGGTACCTCACACGCATTGAACACAACGGGTCCGTGTATAGGCCGCAAGTGGGCTATGTGCGCCGATTCAGGCCGACGCTCAGCACCGGTGACTCCAGCAGACCACACAGTGCCAATCACTGGGTCACGGCTCTCAAAGCTTGCAACATTACCCCAAAAACCAACCCTCTAGCAACCTTGTCGATCATTAGACTGTCGAATACTCGACTCACAGCCTCTTTGGTAGCGGCCAAGCCCATGACACCCGTTAATGCCGCCGGCATGCCCCTCGCCTCCAGCAATTTCCTCGCCTTCTCTCTCAGTTTCCGCTTTTCGTCCTCATTTAACGGCGGCGGCCATGCGGCCAGCTCCTCCTCGGTCGGCAGGCTGTTCTCCCGGAGCTTGCGAATGTGGGTTGCGATGCCGGCGTCCGAGGTGTTGGATTCGATGACGGTGGACTGGACGAGCTGGCGGATGGAGTCCACTTGCGGATTGCCCGGCCGAAGGAGGAAGGACTTGGCGGCACTCAGAAGGGTACGTCGGAGCGTCCACGCCGAAGAGAGGGAGTAGAAGCTGGTGATCATGGCGAAGACTAGTTCAATGGTCATTTGTGTTTCTTGCTCCGACAAGGGGACGGATTTCTTCTGAGGAATGTCGGTTCGTGGCTTGGCGCTGGAATCCGCGACATCATCTTCTGGACCCAATGTTGACTGCTTGGACAGAGAAGGTGACTGAGGTCGAGGCGGTTTGGGTGGTGGTGATTCGTATTCTTCAGTGATATTATAATCGTCCGGGATGGCCGATGGTGGCGGTGGAAGAGTAAGGATCTGATCGCCTCCCAGTATTGGAGTGGCGCCGTCCATACTCTGCCGCACGGAGGACCTGCCGCTGTTGGTCTGGCTTGAAACCGGTGGTCGTGATCGTGCCGAAGTGGCAGAGCGAGGCGCGACACTGCCTTCGGTAGGATAACTGGATTTGCGCTCCATTGGAGGTTCTGGGCCCGGTTGCGTATCGATGATCTTGCGCCCAGTCGATGCCGCCATTTTGGTCAAGGAATCCTCGCTCTTCCGACCGCCTTGGGAGATGTAGACACTCGCTTCAGAGCGAGGACTGGAGATGGGGGACGAGGTGCTCTGTCTAGCTGAACCCGGTGGTTGGCTGGAGATAGATGTAGAGCTCCGTTTGGATGGGTGACCTCCAGTAAACACCCCTGTTACGCCGCCCAGGAGAGCCTTTCCTCCTCCTGCGACCTCTTTGGGCGCCTTCGTAAGTGCATCTATCATTCCTTTCCCCATGGTCTCAAAAGCTGCTGGACTGGGCCAGCCGAGGCCAGCAAATTTGGTCTGGCTTCCGGCACGGCTCAGAGCTTGGTCCTTCTCCAAGAATCGTTTCATCCCATCGCTTTCGGCAAGCGATCGAAATCGGACCGCGTCCGTGAGATACCGTTCCAAAGATTCACGGAGTTGCGCCTTCGTCCTGCCTTTCCAAGTCGGTAGCTGAGCATGCGCCTGTGAAAACTCAGGAACGCCGGAGATTACTGATATTCTTTTGATAACCTCGTGAAGGTTCTCAAAATCGGCGTATTTTCTTATGATCATCCATCCTGGATAGTGCGAGGTCCGTGGCTCGATTTGTATTAAGTAGTCTGCTGTTGGTTTCGTCTTCAATGCAAGTCTAGATTCGCGATCTCCGGCGACAGAATCATCAAATATCGTGACGATAGCTTCATGCAATGTTAATGGAGCTGGTTGAGCTTTGGCACGCTCGGGAGAAGATGCTAAAGCTGTAGGAACTTGGTTCGGAATGAGTTGATCGAAACTCGTAAAAGCTGCTTTGGATGTGTCGACGATGGACTCGGAGGATGAATTCGCGTGAACAGGTGGATCGACAGATTGTCTTGATTCCGACATGGTCGTCAGGTCATGCGAGCCGCTTTGAGAAGAGGTCGGTGTTACAACAGCTTGTTCATTGCTTTCAGATGCATCATCAAATGAGGACGCGATGGATGCGGACATTGAGTGGCCGTTCGAGTCTTTGGGCCGCTGCGGAAGGGGTGGCGAGATTTTCTCATCAGGGTTGCTGGTAGAAGTGGTGTTCGTCTGAGAGGTTTTCTGCGATTGGTCTTGCTCTTCCCGTGCCCTTCGGGCGTCCTCCTCCTGGATCATCTGTGTCAACCTTTGTGCCTCCTGCATAGCGTCGTCCATAGCTTCTTGGGCTCTGCTGACTACCCGCCGATGGTTTGCCCGCTGCTCATGTTGTTTCTTCTTCATTTCTACGGTCTGAGATTCTTGAGGTGAGGTGATATCACCAGGCCGTGCCGACTCCGCCGCTTCTTGAACAACATCATTCAAAGGACTCTCCAGCTCCTTCATAGACTCGGGCTGCCCTTCCTCAAGCAGGTACACAATCCAACCATTAATAAAGTCTTCGGTGGAACACTTTTGGACTGTGACCTCCAGTATTAATTTGGCCAAGACTTCGCGCAGAAATGTCTTGACTGGTCTGCAATTAAAGGACTTTGGATCTAGATAGCATTCGAGGATGTCTTCGGCTACGATGTCGAGTTTTCGTCCCTGTGACTCCGTATCGATCAAATTTGCCAAGTTACTGGTCGGTTTGAGTTCGAGGTAGGTTTCGATGGCTTCTAACGTTGAGCTGTTCGGACATGCTGATACAGCAGCCATCAGCTCTTCGAGATAGACAACGACGATCGAGGAGGAGTTCGTGAGGAAGTTCAGGAAGGTATCTTCAGGTCGTTTGCGCCAGAGATGGGTCGACATGGAATTGATGAAAGCCACCAGCGTCTGCTCACATGATGCAGGAAACGACTCTTCCTTCGGAAGAATCGGGGAGTACCACCATCTAATAGAGTCAGTCACGCTATCTCGTCGGGGGATTTCCGGGGCCATACTTCACGTAGTCCCGTACCACAGCATCTGTGAACTCGGTCAGAGCAGCGGATGTCTCCGGCCTGAAACTCGAATAATCGAGTCGGGTCCCTGAAAGGAGTTGCAAGTCTGCCATAGACTGCGAAGGCTTCTCCGCATCTTCATCTCCTTTCCGGTCCCTGCGCCATTCCAGCACTCGTTGAGCGACGTCGAGAGCCACCTCTCGCCGCCTCTTTTCCTCGCTGGCCGCATCTTTTGATATATCCAAACCACGGATCGTTCCATCCCATGTGGCATGTAGTGCGACGCCTCCAACTACCCCGATCAGCACCAAGCCCACACGTCCTAGAATAAAGTAGGTCGTTGCACTAAGGCCGACGAGGCACGCGCCGAGAGTCTCATTGGATGCGGTGGACAGAAACTCCAAGGCTCGGTCTGCAATCGAAAGTGCGGTGATGCGCAAAGAGGGTAAAGGTTCGGTGAGTGCGGCGTCCTCTCCTTTGATCTCCTCCGATGGAGAACCGTCAGGAGTCTTCCTGCCGGAGGTCCCGGTCTCCGGACTATCGCTCATGTTGGAAGGGATAAAATGGCATGAGGGGGCCTTGTCGCTTGATCGATGAGGCTGCTACCCATCCATCGTCTATCCAAAAGTTGGAGGATTCGTAACAATAGTAATGGACACCAGACTGTTTCACGGTGTGATATTGAGGCGGTTCTGACGGGCGGTACGGACCACACCGTTGCCAAGCTCGAACAGTTGAATCTTAGTTTCTAACGGAGGAGATACATCAGCTCAACGGCGCCAACATCGACCTGTAGGCAAATATTCTCCTTTAAAGTGATAAGAGCTCTCCTGATAAAACAATGTTATAGCAAAGATGCCTTAGGATTCGATGTGTATGCTGAACGCTGATTTCATGGGAACAACTTCTCTGTTCTATCCCTGGATCATGCCCTGGATGGTATGTGGAGCCGCATCACGTGCATCGAGTCCTTAAATGAACTTGAATTGAGAACTGAACCCGGTCACTGGGATAAATCTTGCGCTCCAAGATACCTCCGCAAGTTCCCAGCCATGAATGTACGAAAATGAGCAGGATCCTAAACTCCTGATCAAGAAATCATTGCGATCCAGGTATCCAACGTCGGAATGTCGTTATGCAAATTGAACGTGCGAGAAAGAGGGTGAAAGAGGTCGTGATGGTTCTTCTCACAGCAGTATCAGGATACCGTTACCTCAACACTCACTGGAAGTGCATCATGGATCTCAATAGTTGTCCAAATCCTCACTCTTCCATATACTGGGCAACTCTATACTTTTGGATCCTAGCTCCTCGACGCAGTTGATAGTCCAAGGTATGGTATGTAGCCTCTGGGGTTACGCGTGAGGAAGTCCAAATTCCTACACTAACAAGTAACAACTGGGCATTTGCAGGCTTGACGGTGGAGATATTCCTCCTCTTCCTAGCCTTTCCATGTGAAAATAAGCAGTCAAGGTCCAAGGGGAAACTGGAGAAGCCGTTCTAGCTTTACCCAGTGATAGAATGAAGTGAAGTCACCCTGACTCAAGTCCCTGCCATGTGAATCCCGAGTTCCCAACGGATCTGACACTGACTTGGGGTCTCCCAGTCGATCTCCCAAGACCCGGGGGCCAGGAGGCCAGGACTCCAGGGGTTCCGCCCCCAACGGACAGGAGGAGTGGAGGCCTTATTCCGTATTCCGTACAAGTTCTACTACTACTTATCAGGCCATCAAGGTTCCCGACTCCCTACCCCATGCTTTTTGCCATTGTATTCCAATTCCGGAAAGTCGTCGAGCCTCCGAAACTTCAACGTTGACAACATCTACAGGCCAATCAGGGAAGTTCCTTGGGTTGAATCTCACGATTCATATGTTTGGCACGTGAACATTGGACAATCTGGTCTGGTCTGGTCGCCGTCGTCGTCTGTCGGGTGGCTGGCCAGGACCATGGCGTTGGGTTTCCGGATGCGTGTCCTAGGAGACGGAAGTACATGACTCAACTGCAGTCTGCAGGGCTTGACTTGAGAACATCGAACGGGCAATGGGGAACTAGAAATGGCTGGGCGGTTGGTGGGCTGGGGAAGGGAAGCGGTGGGACGGGAGCGGAAAGTTTAGTGCGATTGTCCATGTGGGCTCCACAGTGGAAGTATGTCTGATTAGGATAAACCATTACTCATGAAAGGAGAAATTGATAGGATTGGCGGGCCGTCAAATAAATCGAGTCAGGCCAGACCATGTTCCTCGACATCATAGCATGGCACTTGGAAGCATTGCCGTGACAAGGGTGTTTGTAGACTTGATGTTTACATAGTACGCCTTTTACGGAGTCCATTACGTAGTATGGAACAGTGAGATATCAGATGTTCAAGGGAATATGGATCCTGTCGCGATACGCGATAATAGGTGGTGTAGCGAAACAATCAAGACCGTGGACTTCTAGGACCACCTAAAAGCTACTCGGTCATGTGAGGACTTACTCTATATAGTTCCCAGATCCGATTACAATTTCGTGCCCCCTTCGATTCTCGGCCCTGCTACCAATCGATTCTCGACCCTCTCCAACCTCCACTTCCCATTCCTCACCCACTCCACACACCTCCTCCACGGCCCCTCTGTCATACCGCCCCCAGCAACCCTCCTAATCACCCCATCCCCATCTGCCTCTCTCCCATCATATACCTCCTTCACCAGCTCTTGCAGCATCCAAACCGCATGGGGGATAACCGCTCTCTTCCCTCTTGCCACCAGCCCCTCTGTCCCACTCCTCAACTCAAACGCCTGCCATCCCACCGCCCTGGGCAACTCCACCCAGCCCTTCCGCGCCTCAAACGGCTTCCCCTTTCCGCCCTCCAGAAACCTCGAAACTTGCTCGCAGCTCTCCGCCAACAGCGGCAGATAATCTCCAAGCCATAGCTCCAAAAGCGGCACCAGCGTCTCCGGCAGCTCTGTATCCTCCGGCACACTCGCATACTCGTTCACCCATTCCCCCTTCTCGTCCAGCGTGACCACCCCGCCGTGCGCCGACCCCGCGCGTCCCATCCCGCCGACCCGCTCGATCCATTCAAACACCAACGGCGCTTGCGTCTTGAGGATGAACCCCGGGACCGGGTTGCGAGAGAGGTGCGCGTAGAACGGCGCGTACACCGCGAAGTCCGCTAGCGAGATGCGGTCCCCGAGGAGGAACCGATGGTAAGCGAGATGTGTTGAGAGCAGCGCGAGGGTGTGCAAGAACTGCTGGCGGATCGCGGGCGCGGTGGTGTCGGTGATGCCGAGATTCGGGAGCACCAGCGGAAAGTTCGTCCATCCCTGCTGGTCCGCGCCCATCTTGGCTGCCATGGTCGCCTTCTTCCCGCCCAAGATCGTGTCCCCGAGCTCTGTCATGATCCACTCCCGCTGCTGGTCCAGCACGTCCTTCTGGCCCATCCAGAACCGCCCTTGGATGTTCAGCCACTGGTCCGCCAGCAGTTCCACCCACGCGGCGGTAAACGCCAGCGCGGACGAGGACACGGGTATCACGCTGTGCTTCAGGTCCCGGTGGTGCTCTTCAAGGTATCGGATCATTCCGCGGGTGTCTTGAATCGCCTTGGGGACACTGCGGGCTTGGGAGCGGGGGAGGATGAGGATCGGGATGAAGTTGGTGCGGGTGAGGGGGCGGATGACTTCGGCATAGACACGCTGGGAGGCGAGGGCCTGGACGAAGGGGATGCCTTTCCATTGGAGGTAGGCGCGAATTCTGGTGGGAAGGTTAGTGAAGCAAATTTGGGGGGAGTACTACTCCGTACTTGGCTGCGAAATAGCTTAGCTCGGAGCCGACGAGGACGTAGGTGTTTTCGTCGACGGCACTCATGGCTGGATACTGTTCGCGGTCTGCAACTTCTCTAGGTAAGATGCGGGATTTAGGTTCTGTGCTGTTCTCTCTTCTCTCCGGGATCCTTGGCTAATGTGACTATTTGCGAGAACCCCGTTGATCGCCTCATTCCCAAAGTCCTCAGAGCATAGAACCGATAGTTCTGTATAGTCCAGTATAAGTAGCAGCATTGGCCCATTGTAGTGGAACTGGGGAGAAGCTGTACGGAGTAGATTGGTCGTGCATGAACCGAGGCGATTCTGGGTGTCACTTCCACCAATCATGCGTTCGACCGCGTTTGGTTTCAGTATCCTTTATTTTGACTGAGTAGCGGTACCAGGCTTCGGTCTTTCGAGGTAGTTACTCAACGCGCTCATGACGACCATTTAGTGGTCAGTCCGTCCCCGTTGCTGAGGGCATGAGCTCTGCTGCGCGGAGCATACAGGGCGACTAGTATCTCCGCTTGTTCGACTTGACCGGTTCTAATGTAGTGTCAGTCCTAAGGAAGAGAAGTGGCATGAATTGAGCACAAGTCAGTGAAGTCATGTCATTTGAATGATTGCCAGTATGAACGATACCAATCGTGTCTCGCACGTACATGTGCCGCGCAACTGAACCGCTGAATACTGGACCCCAGCCAGGATTATTGACTCGGTCCATCGGCCGGATGCAGGAGTGGCTGACTTTTGCATGAAGTGAAACTAGGGTCCCACGTGTAAAGCCACGGAAATCGGTGATTGCTGAATGCTGACATGCGATCATCATGTCCCTAGCTAAAAGTTTGCTTGCTGTAATTGAGCTTAGAGCGGGATAGCGAGTGCAACCGGTCAGCGGCATCACTATGCAAATCGCTTACTCATTGTCTCCTTCTTTTAGGTCTGCCCATAAAATAGCGGTCTCAAATGGAACTCCGCGGTGATGGACCTTTACTATGTCCTGAGTACTCTTTGCTGATCTCCACTTCTCCAGGGCAGTGACGGACACTAATAGAGGTACCCCAACGTGGAAATTCATGGTTGACAGTTGATAGTTGTGAGTTGACAATTGACATATGACATTCGTGAAAACCTGCGTGTGGGGAAGATAGAAAATCTCCATTAATCTTCGGGCCCCAAACTCTGATCGTTTAGGGAAGCTGCATAGTGCATACGAACCCGAGAGGACCGTTGCATTGACATGGTACTAGTTACTACGCGATAAACTCAAAATAGCCAGGGACAACGTGGAAGATCGGGATGGATGGTTATCGGTGCTTCCACCAATCTTCTAGAAATTGACAAAGCTCGCTCCGTAATTTGGATGTTTGAGAATATCGTCCAGGATCCTTGCGACTGTCGCGCTGCGGACCTGCTGCTGCACCGCCTCGGGAGTTGACGCGACGGCGAGGCTCACCATTCGCGATAATTTCGGATTAATGGGGCCGAGGACCATGACTTGGAGACTGGAGTGCACCGAGTGTCAAGCATTGACTGCATTCACAAACTTTCCTACTTCCCAGCCTCCCCCAAATGAGGTGGTTTGGCAACTGTACAATGTAAATGATGGTTTTAGGGAGGAAAGTGCGTGAATTGCCATGGTCCGAGGTAGGTTCGTTTGTGTTGTAAGCTCCATGATTTATCTCGTGAGAACCACAGCTTAATACATACGTACGGTAAGTCAATATGAGACAGTTTCACCACGCAAATGACGGCATATCTAAGACGAGAGAAATGGAAATTTTGACGACCGAATGCAGTAAAGTGTACGAGCTGAGAGAAACTAGCCTTCCACTGATTTGAAACCCAACCAGATCTCACCGACGTGGGAGACATGTATATTGCGTGGGAATGTAGGATGTGGGATGACCGAAAAAGCAAAACAACGATCAGGATAGGAGATTCATTCCCACGGACTTGGGACAGCGACTCGGCATTCATGAGGCTGAGATGGTCTTCAGTGGAGCGAATAAGCCGGATGGCCCTTCAACGATCCGACTCTCTGGGTGATGGCGGTTTGCGGGTGGGAACTGGGAAGGTCGCATTAGTAGCGGCAGAGATATGGAGACTGCAGTGGAGAGTCAGGATCATGATTCGTTTAGTTCGTATGGAATCAAAGGCTGGCTTGATGGTTTTATCCCCAAAGTCCAAGGGGGTGAACGCCGTTTCTCGGGGAGCCGTTCCCCGTTGCTGTCCGGTGCGTATCCGCTTCCGTTTCTCGTTCCACCAACGTTCCTAAACGGTTCTCGAATCTCGAATTTGATACCAGGGCAACAATTCTAGGACAGACTCGTGGCTCAGGCTCTCTGTTTCACTCTCAAATCGTCAAATGGAACTCCACCATTCCCCCGTTTCACGAAGATCAGCAGCCGCGCTACCGATATTGGGTGTGTCCAGGCAACCAGAGAGTGTCAAAACTCCAAACTTTCGAAACTTTAGGGGTATTTTGACTTTTGAGAATCTAACTGTGTTGGACAAGGGTGCGATGTATTTCCTGGGGTTGGTTACAGTGTCAGAAAGACGAACAGGTCGTGTCAGAGGGATAGAAAATCTAAGGATGACTGCTGGCATCACTACCGTCCCTATACCTTGGTGCCAGGGCCGACTGTATGTTTGTACTAGCTGTCAAGTTGTACTGAAGCCTGAATGAAGTCAATTGCAGACAATATTAAAAAGCCACGGGCCAGTGATCTCAGGCAAGCAACAAAAGCTCTCCTGGGATTAGTGGCTGGCGCCTGGATGCAGTGGCGAGTAGGGGTTCTGACTCCTCAATCCTCGATCGGCATCTTACCCAACACACGTTGCAAAATTGCAACAAAATATGCCTCTCCGTTCCCGAAACCTTACTAACCTGCTTCGATGGCTTTAACCTGCTTCGGTGGCTCTAACCTGCTTCGGTGGCTCTGCTCAACTACTTTCTCCCAGCTCCGTCTTGGCAGTGCCCGAAGGTTTGATTAGGCTGGTGCCACTTTGCAAGGGCTCCAGGAGGATCAGTGGAAACTGGAAAGGTGAGTAATATTATGGAGTCTGGAGTAAGCTTCGTGCCGGTTGGGAGAAGCCGATAAACCGTCTCGCTGATCATCGAAATGGAGGAATTCTCTCCAAAAGGCAATAGAAAAAGTCTCTAGAGTTTGAAGGACGGTGTGGCAGTTGGCACAGGTGGCAGGCAAACATGCGACAGGCGGCAATAATGAATTCATGCTTTCACCGAGAGCTATTTCAAAGTCTGATAGGTGTGCATGCCTATTCGGCTATTTCTGAACGTTGTTCCATAGGAGCAGTGATTCAGTAGCATACGCAAGCTTTAAAGTGTCGTTGGAGGAACAGCTGCACGTTGCATGGCCAGTAGAAACCCGGATTCTGGGATATCTCGTGTGGCGGGATTTACGCGTTTTCTGGGTAATTGATAGGGGGAGACAGGCGCTGTCACAATCCCGCAATACTGTAATACCCATTGCTGCGAGCCTGGAGTAGGACTTAGGGGTACTAGATAGAGTCATTCATATCGTTTGTGGTAGACAAAATTGATTGGTGGTACCTACCGTCTACATGTACCGGTACTCAACGACGTGAATTGGATACCTGTATTCGCCAGTACCACTTACCAAGGTACTATTTCAACCTGATCTGAACTCCAGGGCATTTCTAGCTCCTGGCATTTCCTTCATATCAGACTTTACCTTACCTAAATAGCTGGTGATAAAGAACTACTATATACCCCGGATGCGGCATCTATCAGCTTTATGCGTGGAAGGCTTCTAGCGCGGACGGCGAATATGGGCCGGGCTGCAGCGCTGCAGGTACGCGGAACCCAAGAAACGGAATCACAGGGGCCATCCCTTTCCGTGGGACGCAGATTGGCGCGTTTTGCTGATTTCCGTTAAGGCGTGAACAGCCTCGCTCCTTTTGACTTTCATATCCCAGTCCCCGGCCAATGTACTGACCGGCGTACTGGCCACTCTCTGGCCTCCCGGCTCCCCTTGCCCGGCCCAATGCTCCGAAAAAACGAATCGCTCTGGCTCGGATTGACTTTTGTCTTTCACACGAGTGCCCTGGAAGTTGAAACATCCCTCTCCTGCAACGCGGACGTCATGGACCAGTAGCCACATGCGGGAGACGGCGACGGGCCCCCCCCCAAAAAAACGCGTCCAATGATACCGGTGGCATGCTCCGGCGATGCAAGGGCTGCGTAAAGAAAAAAAGAAGGCCTGATCCCAATCTCCCCGGCCGTCTCTGTTCGATTCAGCGCAAGGGTTAAACTGATCCTTGCTATTCCTCGTTGGTTACGGGATTCGCACTGACAATCACAACGAGTCGCAAAAGTAGTCCCATAATAATTTGACAGACTGTAACGCGGTGCAGAGACATGTCTTTGTCCTTTTGAGAGATCCTTTCCTTTGCCTTGAATCGTAAAGTGCCATGACCGTCCCACGCTTGAACGCTTGTGCGATTAAGGGGCATCTCATTTACGACTGCGCTCATTCATAGCGTTTTTGCACACACATAAGACGAGAATGCCCTGCCGACTGTCGCCGTCATGTTCACTTTTATTTTCCCTTCTCCCTTCCTTCGAATTTCCGTTCCGTCAGATCTGATCGCTCATTTCACCAGTCTTTCATCGGCCTTTTCTGAAGTGCCTATAGCCTCCTTACAGTTGTGAGCCACGCTGCCTACGAAGCTCCCTTTCTTCCTGATATGCATATGCACATGTCCTGGCTTTATCACCACGTCTCCAAAATAAGTTGTCCGACATAACATCCAGCATTTTTTGGACAGACTGCTTTTCGTTTAAAGTGTCTCATCTTCTCACTTCTTTCTTCTCCTACCTCACAACAAAAAACATACTCCGCATCTGACCCCCCTCAATTTCCGTCCTGCGAACATCACTGCCTTTGATTCGGTCGGCTGCACAAGTGAGTCAGACATGTATTCTCGGCACTTAACCAATGTCACTAATCAGAGTAGTTCTACTGCCAACCTTGCAATCCAGTGTCATCATGATTCTGAGAGAGACCGAAATGCACAACATGGGCCGAGGTGCCTATGACACTACGGGAACTCCGAAGCCGCCACCACCGCCGCCCAAAAGGAGATGAATCGCATGGTCCCCTCCATTCGCTGATTGGTGTCGGATATCACAAACCACACCAGACAGAGCTCTTTTGCAGGCGCCCACAAGCGCTGGAAAAGTTATGAGATGCGGGACGCGCCATTGCATGGTAGCCTGCAGGATGACTCGACCATCCTGGTATGTTTGATTCCCAGTCATATGTTTCCCAGTGAGCGATTCCGCCCTGCGACTTGCTTTTCATCAAGTCTGCAGAAAACTATGTGTGCAGTTGCGATCCCGACGTCCCAAATGGGATGGGATGTCGTTGCATATGTCCAATCCGGTCTATTCAACCAGATCGGATATCAAGGCAGCGAGGCTGGAACGCCGAGAATCACGACAATATTTTGCGATCTATTATTATTGATAGAATCCGGAGCTGACATTTCCATAGTTGTCCTCTCACAGTCCACACACCTTCCTCACATGCAGTACCTAACCTCATTCCGCGATCCCTGCCCTTCACGATACTGCCCCCTCCACCAAAACAACCGACGACAAAAGCAACCCCGATCTGTTTCCATTAGTCTACGGCCGGCTAAAACTCATTATCCGGCGACCTGTTTGATTTCCTGCCCCTTGGCCCTTAGCGATCTGTAATACCTGCCTGGCTTCTTTTCCGATTGAGCGAGCGATTGCTACCTTCTGTTTCGAATTCGGGTTGCTTCCCGATCGATCGCATCCACCTTTGTACGATACGAACGCCGTCCTGCAACATCACACGCTCGAACACTCGACACACTAATACCCCATTATCTTCTGTCCTTCCTGTTTCAATACTCCTCTGGAAACCCAAAATCCCTCGGCAAATCGACCCGCATTGCGTCACTCGCCCGCTCTCTTACTCGATTGGAAAGCATACCGGATTGGGTTTTCTGGCGTTGAGTTGGCGAACATTAGACATCGCTGGGTTGCACTAGCTGGCTTTTCGGGATACCCTCTACTTGTTTTCCTTCTGACTTGTCTTTCTTTGGCTGGTTTTTCGGGTTGGTTTTTCGAACATCAGATAGAATTAGGCCTTCAGTGGCGTACAGTCGGCCTCGCGGCCCCCTATGTACGACTTCGGAGTTTGAATGACTTTCTTTGGGTTTGGGCTGCAAAAACGGAACAGGATTATGTACAGCATGTCCGCAAGGGATAGGAACGAATGCCTGTCGCATTCGGGGTACTGTTTGCTTTTCGGTGCTTGGGTTTTCGGATGTAAATATGTCATCCACGTCTGCGATTAGCACGGTCAGCTTGAATCGTATGCTACAACACTGCTCAGTGTCCTTACCACAATCAAGCGCTAATACATTTCACATTGTACCTTGCAGTCCTTCGCTGCATCGCCTCTCGTTCCTTGTGATGATTTGTGCATATCCCTTTGCTTCTTTGTCTGCAATATGTCCTTTCTTGATGCTTCGCCCCACTCAGGAAAAACAAATGATATTTGGTCACTGCGCACCCACCCTTACGGCCAACTACCGCATCTTCAACCAATCCCGTTTTCCGGATCTTTCACGAACGACTGCTCTCCCAGCAGGAACTGACAGGTAGCCTAGACGCAGCAGGCTGTTTTCGGCACTTCGCAAACCGCCAGTCCCGTGTGGCGGCACAGCGTTGCACGAACCCCCCTTCGGTACCAGATTCCGCAATTTGCCATCGATCGGATCGCTCGATTGCCTCGTATGTTCAACAATAAGCTCTGTACACGCCGTGTCACCGTGGATGCAAACGCCACCACCTACCAAGCGAACCCCAAGTCCCCGAATGCATGGGACCTGTCACAATTGACCTGTTTTCCTCTGTTGGTCAGTGGTCCGACCGGGCATTGTCTGTCGTCGACGGAAAGATTCATGAATTCACCACATGTCGTGCAGCGGACCGTTACCTCATACCTGCTTCCCGGTACGGAATAAGGAAGTATAGGGGAATTCGTTCTGCGTATCCACATCTACCCATCAAGGAGTAATGCCAAAAATATATTTGAGCCGGGCAGCTTTCCGTGCCACGTTTGCCGGCTAGCGCTAGTGCTTGAAGAGTTGCACATCAAACATCAAATGACAAATGGGATGAGTCGGACTATTGGGGTAATATGTACATATCGAAAGGGATAATAGTCAGCAAACTAGGATTGTAATACCGGAGGACGCAACGATGGCATCTGGTTCTTCAATATCATATACCTATACTAATGGGATATATGTGCATTCTATGAGATTAACTTGGGTTGAATCCCTCCACTGTGGTATAACCACAAACTGCCTTGGTCACCATGAGGAATTCCTAGACGTATTTCGTCTTTGGACCATAATGTATCGGGTGCTGCTAATATGAGTGGCAGGCCTAGGCTTTGGTGGCTTAGATGTAAGTTGCTATTCTAGATTCGACCGTAATTAGTGTAGAAGCACAGCAGCATAGAAACACTGAATTCGGGAAACTTATGATGTACAAGTCTTCCCTTGCCATAACATTCACTCAGGTAGCTATCCGAGATACTTTGGTCTCTACAGACGTCAGCCATCCATCGTTTCATAGATTCTCCGACACTTAGCCCGGAGATTGCTTCGAAATTATACCCCATTGAACCACCTTTACCGGGGGCGCACATCCAGCTCAATCTCGTCGTCCCCTTCAGCATGAACCCGGAAACTGGTCCTCCGGCTCCCTCCCTTCGCAATCTGTTTCTCCGGCGCATCCCCGAGCTGCTCCTTTCGCGACCCAGCTTCCCCCCTCTCCGCCTCATCCCCATCCTGAATCGGGCTGTTCGATCCGCTTGTGCTCCTGTCCGGTCCATCCATAGCCGGAAACTGGGTGAGCGCATTGGCACTTCCGTGCTGGCCACCCACGCTCTCCATAGTGAAGGGGCTCGCCGTCGGTGCATCGAGGATAGCTAGCTCTTCGGAGGCAAACCACCTGGGTAGCAGCCAGACGCGTGCGGGAATGAGGATTATAATGAAGATGGGGAAGCCGATGGCTGCGATCGTTTGCGTGATGGCGAAGGTCGCGCCGAAGCCGATCAGCTGTATCGCGACGAAATACCAAATGGCCGATTGCCGGCGGATGCGGCGGAGTGGCTCGGTCTTGGGGACCAATGACCTGTCGCGGAAGAGATAGAGGATTTTTGTGGTGATGCCGTTGGCTTCAAGAGCTTGGATGCCCATTACGAAGAAGAGTCCGGCCAAGACCGCTTGTGGAATCAGGTGAATGACCACAAGGAGAGGGCCGGTCATGGTGCCGAGTGTCAGCAGGCCTTGCGCGAGGTTGGACAATCGTTGCTCGACCACATGGCTGGTTATGCGGCGGGCGTGGCCTTTGGATTCCGATTCATCAGTGTCGGCCACCATTTGAGTTACGCAAAGCGAATTCGTATGGAACGGCGCCTGTGGAATGAGGCCATTTGGGAAGGGAATTCCAAGGAGTCCGGCGACGCCTGTGGTGATTCCAAGGAGGAAAATGTCCCAGTGAAATCCTGCTGGCTTGCGCAACGGGAATTCTGTTCCCTGTGCAATGAGTGAAGACACTATTCATAAGTCAGAGTGATGTTCTTGCCCATTCTCCCGTATGTGATCACTCGCCGTTATGGTCAAACCAAAATAGGATGGTGAGTAGGACTCCAAATGGGAGCGCAATGAATACGTCCCCTACTGATACCCCACCCCAGAAGTGTACGAGCCAGCCCCGATCCGTTGTTGGGAAGAACGCCTTACTGGTGGGTAAGGTCAAGAGCTCGATATCCCTCATCTTGCCGATGTGCACGAAGCCAGTGAAGAAAATTACCGTCAATGGCGTGCCATAGTCCTCGATGAACTTCCGCACATGTCGTTGGAAGAGGGTGCTTTCCCCTATCACACCGCAGCCGTAGGCAACCATCAACACCATCAGTGCTATTGCAATAGATAAGTATGCCGAAGCATCACCCGCCTCCCACTGACGAGTAAGGACTTGAATGCCCTTCTGGAGATATATGAAGGCGACGTAGAATCCAAAGATGTCGCACGGGAACCTTGTCACATATTTCAGACTATTGCAGGAGTTCGAGATCGCCAAAAACCAATGCATGAGCATTGCCCATCTACCGGTCTGTTAGAGTATTCTTCCAATACCTCGGTTTTGTACCTACAATCCAATCCAGCACATGAAGGAGAAATAGTTAGTTCCTCGAGGAGTAATTATGTCATACACCGTATAATTAAATACAGTGATAGGACCTTGGCCGTATAATTAGGACCATTCTCGTTTTGGGTGTAGAAGAGTCCTACCAGTTACACCGACGATGACGAGGGGTTGAGCCGCCAGAAGTGCAAATACTACTGCACCAAGGACAGAAGCAAGTAGAACTTCGTTGACTCCAAAGCTCATGTTGGTTTTTGCGAACATATCCAAGGAGAATGCCAGGGCAGGCAAGATGCTGGGAGCGGTATTAGTGTCCGTTCGGTCTTTTCTGGATTGACTTGTCTATGGAGATCGTGGCACTCCATCCAAAGACTGTCGGGAGTAGACAAGACGTCAGGTTATCATAGCGTCGCTGATAGCACAGGGTTCTGCAGAATTGTCGGGATGGGAGGAAGAATGTATTAAAAATGAGGTTATCAAGCGGTGGGCAGTCATGAACATACTTCGCAAAATACATGTATACTGTCGCGGGAATGACCCGGTAATCATACGCATGAGTCCAGTCACTGAGATAGAACGGCAGGCGCCTCTTCAGATCATTCTTCATGCCCTGAAACCAATGAATCCTCCACCAGGCATCTCCCCCATTGGCGTTGTTTGAATCCGGATCGGCATGGTGCGGCCGATCGTCGGCAGAAGCATGTCGCAACGAGGAGTGCAAAAACGGGACTTTTGTCTTCCATTTCGCAGCTCGTCGATTCGGGCGGATACCGGTCGTGATGTGCGGCGAGCTTGCGCCAGGAAGGTTATACGGCTCGGCGGATTGGGACATGGCGAACGGAATCTACACCAAGGATGAAGTCAATCTTGCCAATGTCACAGCGCGTCTAAGCACGGAAAAGGACCAATGAGCGCATGCGAATCGGGCGCTATGTAACGTCGACACAGAGCAAAGGACGATCTCTCCGGACAAAGAGAATGGGTAGGTCTTGTTGGAGACAGTGGAAGTCGGAAGACCAGGCGGTCCATTTAAGGTCAAGTAGTGTCCGTCTAGTCAAAACTTTTGCGGAGTGAGACTATAACATGAATTCGACAACCTGCAGGCGTTCTGGCGAACTGGCGAAATCGGGGGAGACTAGAGAGGAGGTGCAGCCAATTGCGTCATTTTTTCGATAGACCGGGGCCAACACGATCCTTGACCTATGTTTTTCAACAGCAGCGGCATTTAATAACTCGAAATGGATTATTCCCATAAAGAGAAGACTGTAGATGGTGGCGGCAAATGAGCTCTTCTCATCATTATTGAGCATCATCGTCGTACGGAATAGTTTAGGACGTAAGGGCGAATCCGTGGAACGGGAAGTTATCAAATTGGTCAAGAACCCTTCAACACCTGTTGGTGCCTTATGGCCTGAGGCGAACAGATTACATATACATAGGTAGTTATTGTTTCTCCCAGCAGGAGGAGCTCATGTCAACTCTGCAACTCTGTAGACTCCCTACAACATCCCTTGTCATATTCTTGTTGGCCGATTCAACTGCCTTTCTTTGGAGTCAAGCATAGATATCCTTTTGAGTTCGGGTCATCTCCTTTGTAGCTAAGAGACCTCATTAGGGCTGCACGTTAAGGCCTCGGTATTGTTATCTCCGCAATTCGGCAAGGGTCCATCTTAGATCACATAGCCGGACCAAGCCAACTGGAAACTGTGAAGTCCGAAGCTCTTTTAATCAGTGGAGAAATCCTTGATAAGTTGATATCGATTATCCGTGTCTGTTGTTACCCTTTCTACCTTCAAAGTCTTTCATATCTATTTCTAAGAGTCGAAACAACGTACCGTGTTTGACCAACCCAAACAACATGGCGTCTGCACCACCCAACGAGATCATCGTATATCACTATCCATTCTCTCCATATGCGCGTAGGGTTCTTTGGTATTTCCAATTACAAGGTATCCACTATGGCCAGTGTGTAAGCAGCTCTGGATCCTAGGCTTTGGCTTCTTACCGGCCTGGAAATCAGATGTAATGACGGATACTCACCTCGCATTCAAGGTCCAACCGCCCACCCTGCCCCGTCCCACCCTTGAGGCTCTAAATGTCAACTACCGCCGTATTCCCCTCATGTCAATCGGACGTACGGTCTACTGCGACTCGCGACTCATCCTGCGAAAGCTAGAAACGCGCTTTGGTTCTACTCCGAAATCAAGCAACCCCAAACTTGGCCTGGCTCCCTTGACAACGCCAGACCAAAAGGCACTGGCGAATCTCTTCGAGCGATGGACAGGGGATGGTGGCGTGTTCGCCAGGGCAACGAAGTTGATCCCACTTGACCTTCCAGTCATGAAAGACGCGAAGTTTCGGGAGGATCGCTCGTCGTTTGCGGGGGGCAAGCGAAGCTGGGATCCGGAAGCCATGCGCCAAGCTAGACCAGAGGCACTGGCAGGCATTCGCGAGCAACTTGAGTGGTTGGAGAGCGGGTTGCTCAGCGATGGGAGGGAGTGGGTGCTTGCAACCCCGAAAGCCAGCATTGCGGATATCGAAGGTGAGTTCCGCAACGAGTCTTCATATCATGCGCTTCTTCATACTAATATCGTACTGCACAGCGATCTGGCTGTTTGACTGGCTTATCGAAATGCCTGGAGCCCTCCCTGCTGAGTGGTCCAAGCAATTTCCTCGGGTGTGGGCTTGGGTCGCACGATTTCGTGCAGTGTTGAAAGAGACGAGGAACTTGGCTCCTAAGGCTGTTACCTTCAAGCCGGAAGAGACGGTTTCTTACGTTCTCTCTGCGCAATTCGCCCCTGTACTCGACTCTGCAGGCCCTGCAGGACAAGTGGAGTGGGTTGATCCGGCCGATTCCCTTGGATTGAAAGCCGGCGACAGTGTTACTGTTTGGCCTATCGATTCGGGAATGACACACAAAGACCAGGGGAAGCTCGTCCGTCTGTCGGTCAACGAAGTCATCATTGAGAAGGAGGTGAAGGGTTCCACCATCAGAGTATCCATGCCTCGATGGAATTTCCGGATAATTAAGTCTTCCTCCGCATCGAAGATCTAGGCTGTCCTTCCTTTTCTATTACGACCTGGATGGACCTAGAGCATAAGGAACGCGGCCAAATTCTCCGGGTAGGACCGCATTGGTGTGGCTGGAGACATAATATGGAACAGCCAGTCCATGTCGACTACAATGGCGACCGCTGTACTTTGTGCATCTCAGGCTTGGATCGTCGGCTTTGAATGTCTGTATTCAACGTTCCACGATATTTTTTGCGGATGCAAACACAGGCAGGGTCTATCTGTCACTGTCATCTCAGCGCAGACCCGTTGAAGTCGCTTCCTGTGCCACGCGGCAAGTATCGGAACCAATGGTACAGGTGGCACCTTTTCTTTCCGACCGCAAATGAACATCGGTTCTCTGTTACGAACTTTATCGATACATATGATTTTAGCATGTCAAATACATACATTGAAACCTCCAAGGTCTTGCGGGTAGCAACATGCGAGAGTGGCGACGTCAACGGAGAATGGTGAGGATCTTCGAGAAACTCTCTTCGGAATCGCCTGCAACTGAACGTTTCGACCCAATGTCAGAGCCCTCGGAGGCAAATCGGGTAAGGTCTTTGGGTCGAATCTGGCATAGGTTCTGGTTGGCTAGTCCAACGTGGAGCTTCCCAATGCTACCACGCATCGCTGCCCAAATCTAGTCAGAGATATCTGGTTTTGGTTCGGGTTTCCGCGAACTTCATATCATTGCACCCTGGAAACCAAGTAAAGTGGAGATTTATATACCGTCGTCCCTCATGTCCATGAAATCGGCTCATAAGTATGGAGGAAATGCGACAAGACATAAATCATACCTTACTGAAGAATTATAGGTCAGCGGCGGAATTGCGAGCTCAAGGCTGTACAGCGATTCCAATCCGCATTGGTGCCTGACGTCCAAATTCCTGCCCAACCCCGTCATCCATGTCTGCTGGTGCCGACAACGTTAGCTGGCAGCAATTAGGCGCAAATTGAGAAGCATTATTACTCGGGTCTACTCTGTTCCTTCGACTTTGCGTGTCAGTGATATCCATTGCAATATTGTCTGCTTCAACCGTCCCAAAGTCAACTTGGAGCACTCCTTGAATGCTGGTCTATGGGCTTTGATTTCTCATCACAGGTACTCAGATACCCTAGCTTTGCACACCAAACGTGGCACAGCGCTTCAGCGTCAGGTCCTTACCCTCTCTCGAATCAGAATCACTGCAGCGCGACGTGAGAAGAGCTGCAAACCGGCAAGGCCGCGAAGCCGCGAAGCCGCACGCCACACACAACAATCGGAACCCCGTCCCTGGACTCTGGAGTGCTGCTGTGCTGGACACGACAGATTCAGATTGCTTGCGACCCGCAACACGCGGTAAGTCGCCAATCATCACGCGAACTGGTGGGTCAGAAGGGGACGTGCTGATTTTTCACGAATTCAGCCTTCAAGAGCCGCAGCATCCCCCGCTTGAGAAATCGGTCTATCTTCCCGCCCTCACCATACCCATCACCACCTCCTTGGACGTCGAGGCCCCTACACGCTGTTAATATCGGATTTATCGCCATCCCTGGACCAGCCTGGTACCTGTTGGTTCATCCCATCTATCCCAAAGGGCTTTTCCGGAGACCAGAGGCCTCATTTCGTGCCATCTCCTCTGTTAGAGAGGGCCTGGAGGTCCTTGAGTTTGGTCACTGCCCCTCTTTTCCCTCCATTCCGGTCCCATATTCATCTTCGACAACACTTTAGCAGCATATCGTTCTTGTGATACCCCCTGGACCAGAGACCTGATTGACGTTGGGTCTTATTTGCCGGTCGCTCGACTCGTTGCTGTCGCCCAGGTGCCCAACCGAGGATCCCTTGCAACCCTGTCTGTCACCTGCCATCTGTTGCAGCTTGCAAAACACTTTCATCCTCTGGAAGGCTTCAGTTGCTTCCCGGACTGACATCAGTGCGATATCTTTTCCATCATCGGGTATCATCATTCCGGATCTGAGTCTATTCTCATACTTTTCGCCTCTATCATGCCCAAGCTCGAATATAAATGGTTTATCTCTGGGGAGGGAATCTCTCGTGAAGTCATCCAGGCCGACATCTGCCGTTATCTTGGAAACGACGCACTCGTCAAGCCCGGTTACGGCACAGGTGAAAATGAAGTGAGCTTGCGCACTGTCGCTTCGGTCACATCGCGAAAGCAAATCGCTGACTCGATATCGAAGGGTGTCTACGGATATTGGATCGCTGCATATCGGGCCTTGACCACTGTGAGTAACACCCAACGTCCTTCACGCTTCGACTTCGACATCTGACAGACCTAAAGGAGATGACCTCAGACCTCAAGACAGATTCCACGCGATGGAGTCAAGAACAGGCGCGATCAAGGGATCCGCGAGGTACTTCCGAAGAGCGAAATTACACAGTAAGCGCTCCTAACAAGGTTGTAGCTGCCTATGAGGATTCGCAAGTACACCAGTCCAGGCAATATTGGGGACCAACAGCGCCAGGGAGTAGTGCACCATCTGGATATACGCCCACTGGAGGAGCAAGTTCGTCGCACCAGGGTTCCACAGGCCATAATTATTCCGGCGGTTCCACGTACCCTCAGGCTGGACAAGCAGGCAGACAGGGTCAGTACGCTCAGGCAGCATCTTACTCTCACCAAGCACCGGCCTATACAACCACGTCAAGTTCCCAGGCATCGTACCCAGCGCAGGCAGGATATCCGGCTTATCCTCCCCAAGGCGCGTCCCAGCAGGATCCTTATGCGGCCACTCAGAACTACCCCGGATACCCGCCACAGCAGCCTTATCAACCAGCGGACCCCAGGAATCCCCAGAATCCATATGGTTATCCGCCACGTGAAGGAGCCGCGTCTGGAAGCAACCAAGCAGGAGCATATCCATATCCTCAGCAGGGAGGCTATCCGCAATCGCAAAGGTATTACCGTGACCGTGACCGGAGTTATTTGGTTTATCACTAAAGCCCTGAACAGACCCGGACAATCTGCTCCGGGATTTGACCAGTACGGTCGACGTGAGTTTATTGGTCCCATTCCCCATGATCGCCCATGCTGACCGGCGTTCAAGCTATCAACCCTAATCAATATGGCCGATAGAACCTGCCGCGCCGTTACGTTAACGACTTGACGATACCTCTGTTATCTGTGAGTAAAGTACATCATAGACTGGTGCACTTCGAAAATGAGCCGGTTTCCTTTCCTTTTCGTACAACTTTCTTCAATGGCCACGCCCGTCAGACCCGGATTTACCTTCATGGATGGTCCCTTGCCCCTGGATCTGGTTTTATTACCGCCCCAGGATTCTGCTCTTCTATCCGGCTGTTCCCTCTTCGAGCCTGGGAATGTTCTACTCCTGCCGTGTCTCGGAAGTCCCTGTGGATGTCCGCCGGAAGTCTCTTGATCTATTCCATTTTCGAAAGCATCTTAACCTCAAGGGGGGCTGCGTGTTGTTGACCCTAGCTGGGAACAAGGGCTGAAGTGGCGAGTGACACTCGGAAGGTTGCAGGCCGGTTCACCCGTCGACCGTCGACCGGGAGGACTTGAAGGAATCGGATACTTGGAAGACCTTGGGAACGCCGCTTTGTTCGACGTCCAGCTTTTGTTCGATCATGTCTTGATGACTTAATTTATCCATTGGTTTTGAATGTGGTCATGTTTATTCCTGTTGCATTGGACCGGATGACGCATTCGCGAGGCATTCTTCTTGATCAAATTGCAGCTATGTTTGAGTCATTCCAATGTACATCTCATCCCTCCTACTTTCAGGTGTCCAGTGTCATGCAAGCCTTTGGGATTGAGGCCGCCTTATTGATCCGACGACCCATGCTCAAATTCAAGATCCATTTTTCCCAGGAGCTTGTTTTTGATATATCGCAGACCTTCTCTCGCCATACGGGAGTACGTGTATTTCCACCGAGTTCTTGTACCAGTTGTACCTTCCTTCTGCGCGGCCGTGCTCCAAGACTGATAGCAGACAGTCCGTCCGACGTACCATAATCCGTCTCGCTTGCATGCGCTGTAATGTGATATACTTAAGCTTAATCCAGCTAGGACCACTCCAACTCCGATCCCATTCAGCTCTTCAAGATGCATCTTAGTCTAATACATTAGCTGCGACGTATTGACGCTATCGATTATTATCTGACCAGCACCCTTCTCCGTCGCCTCGGCTCCCTACCTTCCGATCCTATCACCAGCTCTCGACGATGTCCTCCCTTACGACCCAATTATCTGATTTGCTCCGACGAACAGGATCGACGAGCAGCGATGAGTCGGCGACATCGGCAGCCTCCGTCGCGGAACAGCACCAGACACTGTTAGCACAGCCACGACGAGCACATGTACATGAGACGGTTACGAACGATCGGTTCTGCCTGATTCATCCCTTGCGTGGAAGCAAGAGCTTGGAGGCAACGCTACGCGAAGCGGATCGAACACCTGGACATCACTCTGGCTTTAGCGATCCTCAAATAGTTGAAAGCGATCTAGCAAACAATGCGCATCCCCCTTGCATTATTGCTACGACGGCGAGTGAATATATTACTATAACCTCGACCACAGAACTACCGAACGTGGTGGATCAGTCTCTGCTTATGGGGGTTGACACACCATCGAAAAAAGGAGTTCCTGTTCCACTTGCAGTTGGCTGGGCAATGCACGCCTCTTTCATCAGTTGCGAACGGCGCACGGCAGCAGGTTACGATGTGGGATAGGGTATGGGATTGGCGTTGGATACGAGCATGAAGCGTCAACGTTGGGCAGAGACATTGGATCCGGATGTGTATCCCGAATATCATAGAACTTCGAATAACTCTCATTCCTCGAAACGAGATAGGGTCGTATATCATGCAGTATCTTTTTCATGACCTTCGTCCTACACCGTCCTCCGGTCCGTCATGACGCGCACGATGCTCCCCTGCCCGGCAATCTCCACGGTCTTCTCATGCCAGCTGAGCAGCACGCTCATCGCCTGCCCACCGCCCTCGGCGGTCCCGCGTCCGGAAATTTGTGAGAAACCCGTGGGCTGCGGCGAATCGGTTTTGGATCCTAAGGGGGTTGCTTGGGCCATTCCTCTGTATCTACGGAGTGAGGACGGTTAGCCGCTGTGTCGGAGCTAGAGAGAAACGGACTCACAGGTATTTCATGAGCACATCGAGCAGTTCGGAGCCACCGGGTGACTGGTATATCCGTTGTAGAAGGGGCGTCATGTCCGATTGTCGGATTGACTGGAGGATCTCGATCACAGTAGCAAGATGCAGCTCCTGTTATAGTAATGGCCCTCTTAGTACGGGTTCTCCCACGAACTGCTTAAGCGAGCATATATACCTTGCCTCGTTCATCCGACCCATATGGCGCACTCTCCAACGCCCCCCGTAACGCACCCTCGGTGTCCCCGCCCCGTAACAGCTGCCTAATCTGCCCTGCCAGGTTCTGGACGTCGGAGGCGGAGACTTGCGCGACGGGAGGGGATAGGGAGGCGAGGTCGAAGTTAGTGGATGCCTCGGGGTCGAGCGCATCGATGTTGATCGTTCGCCAGTTGATGGCGGCCATGATGACGGTCGCGTGTGGTGAATTGCCGTGGATGCCGCTGGAACCGACGCTGGACGGAGGAGGTAAGCAGGGAGGATTGGATTTGGTGGAAAGGGCTCGATATATCACCGAGGGAAGGAACAGTGGACGTCGATTCGCGAGGCCGCTCGGTCAGTGATTTGGAAGCTAGTTGAGTGTGCCTTGCGATGAGCTTCGAACGAGACCAAATGGGGTTATGTGGATGTATAGTTAATACGTGGTTGTGGTGGGGTGCCATTTGCGTGGGAATACTTGATGGCTTGGCGCAGGTCACTGCACGGCAGCAGGTCCCTGAGTCTCCTGGACACCGGCCTCACAGGTAAAATGAAGCTTCATATTTCTAGAACTTAAATGGTCTCGCCTCATAGAGGACGAAGAATATTGAAAACCAAAGTATACAGGTGATTGGAGAATTCTATTTCTGCTGCGGCCTTCGTGTGATGACCACTTTGGTGCTAGTATACAGCAGCGATGCGATGCGACGAACTCCAAACTGATGAGACTATATACAATTCGCTAAACAGAAAGACCGGATTCTTATAACGCGTCACCGCCTTACATCGGCTTCGCAGGAGCGCATCCTGGACTGAGACCTGGCGTAGGCGGCGGCGTGATCGGGCCCGGCGTGGGATCCGGCGGACCTTCTACATCCCCTCTGCTTCCGAAGTACTTCGCGATATCTCCTTTATCCTCCCACGGCCGCGGGCCCAGCAACCGTAACAGATCCTCGCGCGTCAACATCTCCTTCGTCAGGAGCTCCTCCGCCACGATGCCGACCTGCTCCTTCTTCTCGGTCAGCAGGTCTTTGCACTGCTGGTATGCCTCATCGATGATGCGGCGCACCTCGCCGTCGATGTTCTTCGCGGTCTCCTCGGAGAAGGGCTTGTGCAGCTGCTGCTGGTTGTCGTCTTCGAAGTAGAGGTAGCCGATCTTGCGGCTCATGCCGAACTTCGTGACCATCGCGGTCGCCAGTCTTGTGACCTTGTTGAAGTCGTCCGACGCGCCCGACGTGACGGTGTCGAAGTGCAGCTCCTCGGAAACGCGACCGCCGAGCGTCATCGCCATGCGGTCCATGAGCTGATTGACGTTCATCAGGTAGGAATCGCCAGCCGGGAGATATTGAGCGTAACCCAGGGCTGCCGAACCACGAGGGATGATGGAAACTTTGAGCAACGGATCCGCATATTTGAAGTACCACCCGCAGATGGCATGGCCAGCCTCATGGTACGCAACGACTCGCTTCTCTTCGGGGTTCAAAACGAGGGACTTCTTTTCTAGTCCACCAATAACGCGCTCGATGGCCCCTTCGAAATGCACCATCTCCACGCTATCGGCATTGTGTCGGGCGGCTATCATCGTAATTAGCAAGAAGCCTAAAGGGCCATGGAACGAGTAACTTACCGATCAAAGCAGCTTCATTGACACAGTTAGCGATGTCGGCCCCCGAGAACCCTGGCGTCAGCGATGAGAGTCTGCCCTTCAGATGTTCGATATCCTCGTTCGTGACGATATTCTTCAAGTGTACCGCGAAGATTTGCTTTCGTCCCTCCATAGTCGGCTTGTCAATGGAGATATGACGATCGAAACGGCCGGGTCGCAAAAGGGCCTTGTCCAAAATGTCAGGCCTGTTGGTACCCGCCATGACCACGACCTGCTCGGCCGTGTTGAAACCGTCCATCTCTGTGAGAATCTGGTTCAGCGTGCTTTCTCGCTCGTCGTTGCCTCCTCCAAAGTTTGACTTCGCTCTTGATTTCCCAATGGCGTCGATTTCGTCGATGAAGATGATGCACGGCGTGTTCTTCCTGGCGGTGGCGAACAGGTCCCGCACGCGTGACGGACCGACACCCACAAACATCTCGACGAACTCGGAGCCGCTGACGCTGAAGAATGGGACCCCGGACTCGCCTGCCGTCGCCTTCGCGAGGAGGGTCTTACCCGTCCCCGGAGGCCCGGAGAGGATGGCACCGCGAGGAATCTTCGCGCCGAGTTTCTGGTAGACGCCCGGTTCTTTAAGGAAGCTGACGAATTCCATGATCTCTTGCTTCGCTTCGTCCATGCCCGCGACGTCGGCGAACTTGACCCGTACGTCAGTTTCGTGGTTGAATTTCTTCGCGCGACTGCGCATCATCCCGAAGATTCCACTCTGGCCACCGCCGCCGCCGCCTCCTGCTCGTCGAGACATGTAGATGATGGCGCCGATGAACAGCAGCGTAGGGCCGAAGGAGAATATTGTCTGGAGCAGCGGCATCTCGGAGTGATAGGCGACCGGTATCCGTTCGCTTGAAGGGATGCCCAACTCTTTTTGCGCCTCCTCTAGACCTCGCTCGAACGCCTCCACCGATCCGATGCTGAAGAAGTAGAAGAACGCAGGGTTCACCGCGGGCGATTCCGGATACAAGGCAGCAACCTGCTCGCGGTGCAGGAAGACCTGGGCGCGGCTCTGGTTGAGAACGATGATCTTTTCCACCAAGCCTTTGTCCAGGTAGGTGTTTCGGAACTCCTGCCAGGTGATCTCGCGAGAGTTCTCGCCCATCCCGCTCGTCGACCATAGCAACCATGTCGCCACCGCCGCGATCGCGAACGTGTTCCAGTCCAGCTTGAACTCAAACCCCGGTGGTTTTTCATCCTTACCCTTGCCATCCTTATCCTTCTCCTTGGACTTCGGACCGGGATCGTGGGCACCGGCTTTCTGCTCCGGCTCGTCGTCCTTGGATTCTTTCTCCACCTTGGATTCCTTCAACGCCTCCTTCTCCGCCCGCTCGTATACTTCGTTGCCGACGCGTCGCGCGGTTTTGGAACTAAGACGGGCCAGCCTCGCGATGTCGCCTAATGACAGCGGCTTCCCCCTCCGCGCAAGCTCCAAGGATTCCTCAATCTCAGGCGGGATGCCGTTCTTTTTATAATCCTCGAAGACCTCGTGGAGCTCCTTCTGCATGGACTGGGGCATCCCCTTCTTGAGCATATCCCTCAGATTTTCCAGATGGCGTTCATCGTCGGGCGAGAGTTTCTGTGGCGGAGGTTTTGAATCTTTTCCGGTGGGTGGTTGGTTCGGCGAGGAAGGGGCGTCGGGGCTCTTGGAGTTGTAGAAATGCTCGAAGCCCGACGGCGGCTTGTCGGATCGGCCGTCCTTCGACACCTTCCCATCCTTCTCCGACGGGGACTCCTTGTCGTCCTTAATTGGCTCTTTGGAATCTTTCGGATCCTTGGGCGGACCGGTGGCGTATGCTCGTCGTGATGCAGCGAAGGCGTGCCGTGGCAGTCGAGCGGACGCAGCGCGTCGGAAGTATGCTCTGCTGGCGCCATCGACAGTGTGGAAGGAGGTTTGGGACAGGTGCCTCGAGATCCGGAAGAGGGTTGTCATGGCTGGGCCGGCGTGGAGCGAGGAGCTCGAAGAGGTTTTGATGGCGTTGCGTTGGAGCTGCTCATGCGACGGTTCCAGGATGTTGGTTTCCTCAATAAGGGGTCGTGGGAAACGGAGGAATCAACGGAGTTCAAAAGGGGCCAGGTCCGGCGCATGGGGTATGGACGAGGCCGCGATGAAGGATACTTGGGACATTGAGTTGCGTGATCCTCATACATGCCGACTTTGGGCATTGGACGATGGTTCTGTTCGGATTCTGGTCCCACAGATTCCACACAATTCTGACTGCCACGCGCCACACTTTTGCCTGGTCTGGCCTGAGGCATCCACATCGGATTTATGACTAGATGCAACGTCCGCAGATCCATGCTCTATCACAAGAATTTTGCAAGGTACGGTATTAATATTCTGTCCCTACAGGGGATTGGGAGGTTGCCTAATGATACGGCTTGACAACACTGGCAAAAAGTCATAGATACCGTCGGGAGACTTAAATATTCCATTAAAATCCCCCATGATATCGTCTCGTCGAGGTAAGTGATTTTCGTAGAGGAAGACCAGCCGAATTGGGTTCTGGACCTTTGTAGCTCATCAATTATTACAAACACAGAGGTCACTCATCCTTGTCGGCAGTAGAGATGAAAGTGAAGGCGAGGCAGGTCTACGCCATAGATGAACTCCACTGCTCTGATCACGAAGAGCAATCCGACGACGAACTCTTCGCTCTATCGTACAGACAGAAAGCAGAACCGAGTATAGGAGACGACACATAGGGCCGAGAAGTTTTCCATTGTCTATCATGAGGAGGAACTAACTAGGTATACAACACCACACCGAAGAATTTTGCACTCCCGAGCCCACGACATGCCCTGCACCATCCCTACGTGCGCATCTACCATCATCCTCGTTAAAAGTCCACAGCACTCGTGAAGAGAGCCGCTTATTTCTTGCCAAGGGCCTTGACGGCAGCCTTGGTGGTCTTGCCACCGGCCTTCTCGGCCTTGACGACGGCTGGAGCGGATGTTAGCGTGGAATAAATAATAGGAGCAGTGGAAACTTACACTTGATGACACCGACGGCGACGGTCTGCCTCATGTCACGGACGGCGAAACGGCCGAGAGGAGGGTACTGGGTGAAGGCCTCGACGCACATAGGCTTGGACGGAATCATCTTGACGATGGCAGCGTCACCAGACTTGATGAACTTGGGGGAGTTCTCAATGGACTTGCCGGTACGACGGTCAATCTTCTCCAAGAGCTCCGAGAACTTGCACGCAATATGGGCAGTGTGGCAATCCAGGACCGGAGCGTATCCGGCACCGACCTGACCGGGGTGGTTGAGGACGATGACCTGGGCGTTGAAGGACTCGGCACCCTTGGGGGGGTCGTTCTTGGAGTCACCAGCGACGTTGCCACGGCGGATTTCCTTGACGGAAACGTTCTTGACGTTGAATCCAACGTTGTCACCGGGAACACCCTCAACAAGCTGCTCGTGGTGCATCTCGACGGACTTGACTTCAGTGGTCAAACCGACCGGGGCGAAGGTGACGACCATACCGGTCTTGATGATACCAGTCTCGACACGGCCGACAGGAACCGTCCCAATACCGCCAATCTTGTAGACGTCCTGGAGAGGAAGACGGAGGGGCTTGTCGGAAGGACGGGTGGGGGTGTCGATGGCATCGATGGCCTCGAGAAGGGTCTTGCCAGTGGACTTGGTCTTGGTCTCCTTCTCCCATCCCTTGTACCAAGGGCAGTTGGTGGAGGGTTCGATCATGTTGTCACCGTTGAAGCCCGAGATGGGAACGAACGGAACGGTCTTGGGGTTGTAGCCAACCTTCTTGATGAAGCTGGAGGTCTCCTTGATGATCTCGCCGTAACGCTCCTCGGACCACTTGGTGGTGTCCATCTTGTTGATGGCGACGATGAGCTGCTTGACACCAAGAGTGTAGGCAAGGAGAGCGTGCTCGCGGGTCTGGCCATCCTTGGAGATACCAGCCTCGAACTCACCAGTACCGGCAGCAATGATGAGAATAGCGCAATCGGCCTGGGAGGTACCAGTGATCATGTTCTTGATGAAATCACGATGACCCGGGGCGTCTGCAGGATGTTGTTAGCTCTAGAAAATGATAGATATCAAGCGGAGGGACTTACCAATGACGGTGACATAGTACTTGGGGGTCTCGAACTTCCAGAGAGCAATGTCGATGGTGATACCACGCTCACGCTCAGCCTTCAGCTTGTCAAGAACCCACGCATACTTGAAGGAGCCCTTGCCCATCTCGGCAGCTTCCTAAAAAATTGTCAGTGACATTGAAGCGGAAATCAAGCGTTGATCCGTGTGAGGATAAAATAACAAGCAATGTTCTGGTAGGCGTTGTAGCCCTGGAGACAGGGCAAAGACCAGATTGAGCTTAGTGTCTGTGACACTGAGCCCCTCCAGGATTCTGCCCCTCGGTCGCAGAGAACAACAACAGCAGGTTGCCAGAGTGTCAACAAGCATAGGAAAAGAAGCTACCGTACCTTCTCGAACTTCTCGATGGTTCGCTTGTCAATACCACCGCACTTGTAGATCAAGTCTAAACCGAGTGTAAGTTGAAGCCGAACAACAACAAATTTGCAGTGAGGGAGGGGTGCTTACGGCCGGTGGTAGTGGACTTGCCAGAGTCGACATGGCCGATGACGACGAGATTGATATGAGTCTTCTCCTTACTGTTGACATGATGGTTAGATTATGTCTCTTGATGAGGGATCAGGATATGAAGCCCATCGTCCTCGATATGGATTCGGTTGATGAAGTCCGAAGCCATCAAGGCGCGATGACGGTTGCCTTCCGGAATGAGTGAGTCACTTACCCCATGGTGAAGGTTTGATTTGACGGTTTCTAAGTGTTTAGAAAAGGGTAGATTGATGTCCTGAGAGAGATTCAGGAAGGCTGGAATTGCTCAGATACGAATGCCAAATGATTCGAGGTATGAACGACGAGGAAAAGAAGAAGAGAAGAATGGAAGAGAGGGGCGGGCGAGGAGAAAGTTTTTGTGCGTTCAGGTTATGTTGGTGGGGGATTCGCTTGAACGCGCTAGTCCCGTTGCGGCAAGTGGGTTCAACCGGAATATTCGCTCTGACTCTTCACCTCCCAGGTCACCACTCCAACTCACCACCACCCCGCCCACGAACGACGCACCCATTCACCCATTCACCGATCGACGCCAAAAAAAAAACTTTTTCGTTTCTACCTAAAACTTTTCATGCCACAGTACAATTTTTCTTCTATTAGGTTGGATGACCGTGGGTGGAGGTCCTCTCCCGAGCATGCTCCACCCTGCTCAACATCATTCCATTCCTGGCGAACACAGGAGAGTTTGGTCTAGTTTAATGGTGCCGCCCAACCCATGAAACCATGATGCCCAACTGAAGTTGGAACTGAAGTTTGGGCCTGCTAGTTAACTACACACTGTGTGTTGGAATCAGGGTAGATCAGCCCCAAACCCTGGAATCGCCGCCTGAAGGCAGGAATGGGACCCCTAAATATGTTCCTATCTGACTAGAAATACTGGCCTACGGAGTCATATCGATCGCTCTTCTGACACACAACGAGCCACTGGACCGCATACCTTATCGTGTAGCTGAGATTGAATCTATCTGCTTTATGACACCGCTACTTGGCATAATATCTGGTGAACCTGTCTCCCCTCCACTCGGAGTGCACTCCGATATTTACAGTAGATGTCCATTATCTTCGAGTGGAGTTGGGTCCACTCGAAGGTCTATCCTGGATTGCAGACTTGACTGCAGCAGTGAGATCCTTACATAGCCTCAAGGAGTGCGTCATAAATCTTGCAATGTGTTCATTTTCCATAGACGGGGTTTCCTTCGCCTTCACCTCCTTGGCCGAAGAATGGGGTTCGGGCTGGGATTCCACCGATTCAGAGCCTTCCAGTGCGAAATTTAATCGTAGCTCGTTCTCGACATCTCGGAATTTATCGCCTTCGGTGCTGAGGAAGCGCAAGGGGCCATCGGCGGAAGTTAGGGGAGTCTCGTGCTCCGTCCGTATGTCGAAGAGCTCGTATTGGATATCTTGTATGCCGTCGATTAGACTGGATTGCTTTGGGGAAAGTGTTTTCTGAATCGCTTGCACCAGTCCGGGTAGAGATGTAGTAGCAACTTCGGAAGACAAGGTAGTAGGGTTTTTACCCGCTGCAATAGAACGTTCAATTACGCCGACGATGCCTTGCACCGAAGATGGTAATGAACCCATGTTGTGTCTTTTGCGTATCGTCCATTCGATATCGCATGCCGCCGGAGGTAGTCGCATGTCGATCCGTTCTTCGTCAAGAACCACGCTGGCGCCGAGAAAACTTCTTCCGTCATGGTACGGTCGAGAGCGGAAGGACAGATCAAAAGTCCGATTTTGCAGCTCCAATGGAACTTGCCACGGCGATGGTCCGAACCGGAACACGGTCCGACTCGAGGTTGGAACTTTCTCCGACGGTGTAGGAGCCGGTAACGTGCCCAAGAAGTGCGTGGCGCCCGGGATCCAAGGAACGAAATGTCTTCGCCGGGCCGCGGTGGAGGATTCGCGCGTGCTGCCACTAAAGACGACCAGCCCGGGTCGTGAGAATATCTCCAGCATGGGTTCTGGATTCCAGATAGAAATATCAAGAGAGCTTGCGGCGTTGGGGGCCCCTGTCCTTCTTGACGCCAATGATTTACGCAGGACTTTTTCAACTGTTTTGATCTGCGTCTGAACCGGCTCGCCATGCTTCGCAAACCAATCGAAAACAGGTTCTAGATGTTTGGTCACCTCAATTTCTTGGTTGCCTTCGTCCTTGTGCGATTCATCCTGGAAGGTTTGGGGGATGGGAGAGGCAAGCCTTCTAAGAGAGGAGTCGCTTGCTAAACCGTGGATAAACACTTGCTTAGCAGAAAGTGGTGGAATAGCGACGTAGTTGCCTGGAACCCCTTTCTTAAACTTAATCGGCAGTAGATGAGTAAACTTTTCTCTTGACATATGATGAGCAAGAAACGCAAACCCCCTCAAGGCCTCGGCGACACCTGCTTTGGTGGACACGATAGATAGCTATTGCAATCCGTTAGAAGCTTCATCTCCGATATAGACATACGAACATACCATGGATGAATCTTGGGGGGGAGTGTCTTCAGAGGTTATTGATTTTATCTCTCTCGATTCAAATACCAGCATTTCTGGCGGGAGCTTCGGGGCAACCGCATTCATCGGCGAGATGACCATGCCACAAGCATCTTGCAGCAACGAAGTTGCATCCGTATTGAACAGCAAACCACGACCTTTTTGGAAGGGGGATAGATCAACTTTTGCCAGCACAATGCTTTCCAGTGCTGCTCTGACATCTTCGAGAGCATATCGAGTGGCGCCTTTGTCTCCGGATATGCGAATCGAGACTTTTCGGAGCCGTTGGGTGTCGGTGGAAACGTTGATATGCACCGCGCGATTCCTCTGAACGGCATCGAAGAATCCCTGGAAAGCTATTTGAAGCGTCAGGATAGCAAATCAATAGTACCCGCATTGCACTGACCATCGCTCATGAGGAGATGTAGTTGCCATTGCGGCAACGAAACCGTAACCTGACCCGAGGCGAATATCTCGTCCTCCATTTCAACATCCCAAACATGTCGTAGAATCGTTTCGCCGTATAAGGTTTTCGCCGTGATAGATCGGTTCGGATCCTCTTCCGCGCTCGGAGCTTGCGGATTCCTCAACTCAGGTGTCCACGGTGAGTAGCGAAACTTTAGTCCGTTTTCCAACTGGACCTGAAGTACTAGACCTTTCTGGTGTGCCTTCGCGTTATGCCGTGCGAGATAGGCGCGTAATTGATCTCCTGTGAAGCCATTCCCCAATACAAATTGCAATCTCCCAAACTCCTCCCTCGTCACTGATATCGTGTCCTCCTTGTCACCCGGGTTTGGAGGCCGTAACTTATCGATCTCGTTGAACACATCCTCTGGGGTATGGGGCCGGTTTGCTTTGTCGATAAAATCCTCCACTCCCAATCCATTCAAGTTTGGGTTGCCCTCCTCCTCTTTCAGAGCGCTTTCTTCCACAGCATCCGCATCGTGTGGTTCGGCCTCGGATTCGGCATGTCGCAAGATGATCACCGGCGAATCCTTCCCGAGAAATCGAGACTTCAACGGCGTCGCGACTTCTCGCCGCTCATTTCCCTTCTTGCCGAGTATGCGCCCCCATGGACGGCCGGAATGTACGAATCGGTTCGGTCCCTGCTGGTGCAGGAGGCGGAGATGGAAGGCGTGTCGCGTGCTCGGGGATATCTGGAAACGCAGGCTTTGGGCACAGCTGGAGCAGATGAACGGTTTAGGTCCAGGTAGAAAGTTCATCGGTATGGAACTAGCCTTGACCGCGTGACTGTGCGTGTCGTAGGATGGTGAGTTGCTATACGGTATGACACAGCGGAAATGTTCTTTCATGAAATTCCCAGATCTCGGCGACCCTTCATTGCCAAATCAAGGTATTGCAGGGGACGGATGGCGACAGGGGTAGCTCCTCATCCAGACTCCAGGCCTTAATCCTCACGGCTTAATTACATATTATGTACTAACTAATTACAAGGAACTAAAAAAGTACAACTAATTTTAGCATCGTAATCTCATACTAGAACATCGTGATGTTGAGAGATAAATTTCTAATTGCCGGTACTCTGTGCAATTATATCTTGTGGAGAGCCATCTGGACACGGATGTTTCTATCTAATACCAGATTCATTAATAGCCTACTTCCCTTATGAGCCCCTCGGATTAGAGATCTGCCAGCTTCTCAGATCTTCTCGAGCATCGAACTCGTCCATCTCAGTATTATGTGGGCGTCGCCCCCTCTCCGATGCCGCCTTCATATTCTGAGCTTGTTGCTCCAGGCTCCCTCGCCCTCGGATTCCTTCGCCTGCCGTCAGAGGGACCTCATGCTTATCCAAGTCCTTGAGAGTCTCAAGAGATCCATCCTTGCTATTTGGTCGTGATGAGAATGCTCCGGAATAGTTCCTCCGGCTCGGATGCAGGGTGTTCCTCTCACTACCACTGAGGGATCCACTGTCTTCAACATTGCCATTGCCGGCGCCGTTTGGGTCGAAGCTCAGGTCTCGGTCGCCCCAGCCGTCACCACCAGCAAATATGTCCTCGATGCATTTGTCCGCGCTCAACTCTCCGGGTTGTGCGGCCCATTTTGCTGCAAGGGTCCGTCGGTAGAGGTCCTGAAGCTCACCAGCCTCGCGCGATCGATGGCTTAGAGCAGGCATTTCTAACCATGTTAGCCACGGTCAAGCGCAAGTATCATTTCGACGTACGCCCTATATCGTCCGACTCTACTTGCTCTCCTCCAACCACAATCCCAGCGATGCCGCCGAACACCTGAGCGGTTCGTAGCGGGGGCCTGCTATATATTGAGCCTCAAATACCTTAAACAATCAGCGACGTTGCACTTACGCTATGAAGTTTCGATCCCCCTCAGTCTGGCGAAGGAAGATGCTGATCTGGGACGGTTAGCGCCACCTGATTATGCCTCATAAGCGCCCTATTATACCCTCAATGTACTATTGATCTTGCTATCCTGCATGAGGTATCGTCTTGAAATTCCGACGTCTCCTTCGGCCTCGCTTGCTTCCACGTACTCGGCCAGATTCAATTTCACAACACCCAGTATTATCCGCTCCCCTTTGCTTCCAGAAGAGTATTCCTGGATTACCTCGAAATGTATCCATGACTCCTGCAAGAGACCGGATTTGTCGATCGTGAACCGTACTGCGAAATGAGCCTCATGGTTCCACGTAACTTTATGCTCCTTGATATCTCGCTTCTCGGTCCGACCCTGGTGATCTCCGGCGGCGGAATGCGGGAGGTGCCATTTGACGAATGACTTTCCGGAGACGAGGGGAACGTTATTTAGGTCGAGGACCTGAGCAAGGCTCAGCAAGGTACTATGCCACGGATAATGGCGGGACAAACCTGCAAGTCAAGATCGAACTTTGCCTATTCAGCAGTTAGAATGATATAGTTGAAAGCCAAAGTTCCTGGCATCGTTCCCATACCCTTCGATTCTTCGGGACTGCCAACTCGGTCAGCGAATTCCGAGCCCAGTTTTGGGACCGCTTCCAAAGGGCAGTCGGCGGCATGGTTTCTCACCAAAGGCTTGCATGTTGGGCAACTATTCCAAGAATCACTTCTTCACGAGAAGCGGATGTGTTCGCGCATTTGTTGGTAGGGGCAGGCGCGAGAGGTGAATGATTGACTGCCGGTAGCTCGTGCTCGTGAATTGATCGCCGCGGCCTTCATGTTCATTCTCATGCTCCTATCCCGCGACTGCAGTAAGGTAGCAATTTTTCAGTGTAGATGCTCAGTGATTAATTCATAGTTATTATCCGATGAAGTTTGAAGGTTGACCGAGTATCATCAATGACCCCACGCAGCACCTGATGCTTGGCGATCATCTCAGCCCCAGGGTCAATCGCTAGTCTACTTAATTATAGCTCTATCCCACGCCAGGACTATTCGCCGTTGAAACCATTACAGGAAATTACATAAGATACCACACTCATTGAAGTACCCGTATCCATCATCATTGAGACGTTGGGATGAACAATCGGGCAGATGAAGTGGCTCGTTGTGTGACATCCGCATTCGACGAATTACCTCCAAGGGCAAAGCCCAGGCGAGAAGAGGTAGTCTCAGAATGGGTTCCATTGAGTGGAATTGTCCTTATGGATGAAGGTGACTCCTCGCGATTAAAACATATCCTTTTCGTCAAGCTAATTACTATATACAGAGACCGGGGAATTAAGATGCGTTGCTTTTGCGTCAGTAGAATCTACCCTCATCTATAGATGTCACGGCCCTCACTGATATGCAGGACAGGAATGAAATGCCTCCCTCGCAATCATGTCCGCTTAGCGAAAGGCAATACTCTCCATGACTCTCATGCAGAAGTGCTAGTTCTCCGTGCGTTCAATCGCCTTCTTCTCGAAGAATGTCGTCGATTGCTTGAAGCACCAATGGAGAGCCAAAACACGATTGTTCAATGGAGGCGGGCCCCAAATACCCCAGGATCCAGTACGGACGGACCCCCGTTTACAATCCGTCATGGTACCAGGATCATTATGTATTCCAGCGAAGCGCCTTGCGGCGACGCAAGCATGGAGTTGATCATCGAGAAGCAGGGGGATCCCACTCCATGGATGCAGACAGCGGCGGAAACGTCGGAGTCGTCAGCCCAAGATCCGGCACTTTTCGGACGCGGGTATTTTTCACAACTCGGAGTAGTGCGTCGTAAGCCTGGTGCGTATTACAGATCAGTATCAACGTATAGAGGGGTCTAAACATCGTTCAGCCAGGCCTGATGCCCCTGAGACGTTCAGCAAGTCCTGCTCGGACAAATTGGCTATGAAGCAATGCAGCTCTGTCCTCAGCTCCATAACATCGCCGTTCATCTACCCTGGGTCTGCCTATATCCACACACTGGTAATTCCAGAATCGCAATATAGGCCCGAAGCTTGCTCCAGGGCCTTCGGTCCGGACGGAAGACTAAGGCCCATTGTCGGCGATGGTGTGTTCCTAGAGGACGGTTACAGCTTCAGCCCGTACTCCGTCCAAACAACAAGCCACGAGTTCGAGTGGTCCCGGCGATCCATCCCCACTGACTATCGACCCAGTGCGTGCAATACGGCACTAATCGCCACTGCGACCTCTCATGAAGTCATCGTTGGAGGCACTCTCCAGGGCCGCAAGCAATTTAACCCGCGCGGCGCAAGCAAGGTTTCAAGACGGAGCATGTGGACCTTGGCGGCGACTGTGGCACGCCTGCTTCACAACCCTATGATCGACGAAGCTATGGCGGGTCCAACCTATGCCAATTTGAAGTCTTCGGAGCTGCTGCTTGGGCGGCGGGAACTCTTGGACGTTGTCAAATCAAAGGCCCTTTCGGGTTGGATTCCGAATGATGGAGATGAGGATTTTTCTTTACAGGAAAAGTAGAGGAATGCCTCTCATCCTCGTTTCATTTGAAAATCTTATCACCTGCGGGGGGATGCCCGCTTTCAGACGTTCATGAGATACTATCTAGAAATTGCTAAGATGTCAGTTGCCGAGGAAGCTTCATCTTTGACCCAGATGGATAACTTGTTGGAAATTGCATAGGTGAATGTCATCCTATCTGCAACTGAGTCGGCTAAGATATGTCGTTCAGAATGGATTCTCAATTCGTGAACCCAGTGCTAAATGAGCCCTAGAAAAGCTAATTTGTGACTTGTACACTTAATTGCGAGAGGCAAGACGCAATAACGACTTCAATTGACGGTATAAAAACCATGACAGTCTATAGCCTAAAGCCATGAAGGTCTAATTTTGAGTGTATCCTATCTCTAGGCAATCCCACTTCCATGTACACTATCTACGTGATGATCGGGGATAGGCACAACCCCGGCGCAGCAAGTAGCAACATAGCAAATTGTATGCTGCTCTGCTGTGCTCTGCTTGTCTCTGCTTGTTTTGTCTGAATGGCAGGAACTTTGGGGCAGACGAACTTCTCATTACCACCTATTGTGCTTGGTCGGATTTAGTCCGGTCAGGTAAAGCCTCCATCTTCGCTCCGGGATATCCAGTGCCAACTTTCTTAACTTTCTTCTCCTTCTTTGGCTTCTCCTCGGGTGGGTAAGCCTTCATGGTCACCTCCTGCCACTCCTTCGAGGCTTGGAACTTGGCTCGAATGGGATCTAGAAGATCATTGAGAGCCTTAGTGACTCCGGCTTTGAGCAGTTGGGGTGTCAACTGGATGAAGGTCAGCAACCTGGGAAGTTCTTATTTATGAGATCGATGACACAACGTACGACATCCTTTTGATAATCATCCTTTAGTTGCCCAATGCTTGAGTAGACCAACGGCTCCAATCCATCCCGACTACGGTCCACCACAAGCTCTTGGCGGCCACGCGACAGAGATGACGCTGGGAGTAGGACAAACTCCACAAACGCGATGAGACCATTTCCTTCCGTGACTTGGGGAGCTGATACTGCCTTGCGTATCTTTTTTGCTACAACCTCCGGAGGGTCAAGAAGATCGATTTTGCTCTCTAGTCATAGTTAGCGGGAGGTTGTAAGAAAGATACAAATCCATACCTGGGTCGCTTGAGCTCATTTTGCCCCCCTGGCCGAGCCCAGGGATCAGGGGATTGAGGAGATGGGCACACTGAAAGTATATGAGCTCTGCATGACAATCGGGGACGATCGTCGACCCATACCTGCTTGTAGCCAATCTTAGGAAGCCAGTCCTTAGCGGCGGTAAAAAGCTTCCGCTGGTCCTATTCCGAAGTCAGTGAAGTTCAAGTTTAAAGGTGGGGTCCACGGACCACTCCTCCGAACTGAGCGTCCACGCCAAGATGCTTCTCATCTAGAACTTGAAGGATTGGGTAAAGGAGACCACTCAGAGGAGCATTGTCTGTCTGCTTGACGACCTCTGCCCCTGCCTTTTTCGCATCGTGCTCTGAGACCAAAGAACTGAGCTTGTAGACGTCCATGACATACTCAGGGCTCTTCTGATAGGAGCTCCCCAGGACGAACTTCAGTTTCTTGGTTGATACGCCAACTGATTCCAGCATGGCAGAGACTACTAGCTGATAAAAGTCGGCTCGCTTCTCGACAAGCTCCAAAGGAGCTTTGAGGTTGTCGAGGAAACCATGACTGTTTCAAGTCAGTGATATGTTTGGTAGGCCAAGGGCCCATTTCAATACATGTCTGCAATAAGGCATGTCACTTCACAGCCAGCGGCGAGGTATTGTGCGATTTTGATAGCAGGAACTAGAAACTTAGTGATTAGTTCGAGCCTCAGCGAATGTTCTCAGCGAATCCAATACCGAAGTAGCCGCAATGGGGACGGCCGGTTGTTGCGGTACCTGATCAAGGACAGCGGTTAGCATGTTTAAACTATCCCATAAACGCCTTGATATGACCACTCAATATGTGGAGCTAATAATGATCTTACCCCAATAGATCTTCGGATCCCGTCCTTCAGCCAAGATGTTTTCTATTATCTCTGGGTTCAAAATCTCAGCGAGATTCTCCTTGATCAGATCAAACCGCTCTGCTGCCCTTGGGTCCGCCATGATGTGGACCGAAATTCGTTCTGAAGGGTCTCGGAGAAGCACACAGAAAAGTTGTCCTTGAGAGTTTGAAGCCGGAAGGCTGTGATTGAAACTAAGACGGCCCTCGGAAACACCTAACACATCAATTGGTTCAGTTAAGATCCTTCTTACTGCATGTATGTCTACTGAACCAGAGATTTGCATGAATGGATTCTAAAATGAAGAGTCATCGCAAGTGTCGCCCGGATCACGTGACTAAATTCCACTCCCATAGCTCTATTGGTCCCCAACGATGCTCGAAAAAGCATTCTCGATATCAACAAGTAATCTTCCTGTCATTTCATAACTGGAACATTAGCAGGCTCTTGATATCATGTTAGTTTTGCCTGAAATATTGAGCAGAGTACGCAGTATGTCTCAGCTATCATGGAAATCCATCACACCATACATAGTACTTATCCTTTTCAGATACGGCCGTAACCTCACTTCATCCTGGAGCCCTGGACACACATTCATTGGCACGTCCTTCACAAAGTTGATATTTCAGGCGTTCCAAGCACTCCAAATGCAAAGGAGAATGAACTGTATTTATCATCAACCATGCTGATCTCTGCCTGAGCAAGATGACTGCATGTCTATTTCAAGACCACAGAGACCTCTGCTTCAAGCTTCAACGGATGCCGCACCCAGATGCCCAAAGAGATGGATTAATCGAGTTTGATGTTTAACAAGGCAGCGAATCCCAAAGTGTAGTCCGGAAGTTGTTTTGGAATAATACTTTGCAGCGTTATGAGGATGTAAGCTAAGATCTCCTCTCCTCTCGACTTAGCCCTATTAATTATCATGTATTGCTATGGACCTATGGTATGGTCTGGCAGAAGGATATACTTACATGTGAATGCTGGAAGGATGGATCTGCAGGACATATTTGATATTCTATCCACTTCGGGCCGAAACTTCCTGCAGTGCTTACTGATACTCCACACAATAATCTTTCAAATTCTATTTAAGAATGCCATATCCCGCTGGTGGTTCCATGGAAGTATCCGGAACGACAGTACCACAAGTCCACGAAAATATAGGTGAATAATTTCGAAGGTCTAGTGTTTGATAGCCATGAAAGTTGCAGTTGCTGGTGTACGTATCTTGATCGCAGGTGGCTAGCCTGACCTTACTTTCTTAACGGCTCATCTTACTGACAAGTTCACCTTGTCTCTAGCCCAATGGGACACTCGGCCAAGCCGTGATCTCCAATCTAATCAAGTCGAACATCTCTGTCACAGTCCTTACGCGGGATGCGAAGAAAACTGCTGGCGTGTTCCCAGCTGTGTCAACTGAGAACATCGTCGAGACCGACTACTCGTCCGTGGACGCTCTCGCCCCTAAGCTCCAGGGCCATGACGCGATCGTTATCCTCATCGAGCGCAATGCGTACACACCGCAGATCGTCGCTATAGATGCCGCCATTGCTGCAGGGGTGCGCCGTATCATTCCCTCCAGCTGGGGTTTAGATATGTCCGACCCATACTTACGCACCATTCCAACCCTCAAAGAGAAATTGGACATGGAGACCTACCTAGCGGAGCGGGCACGCTCTCATAAAGGTTTCGTGTGGACGGGGATCTTGACCGGCGTGTTCTGGGATTGGGCGCTTCCGTTGGGGCTTCTCGTGGATCCAACCGGGGAGGGTATGACCTATATCATGGATGGAGGGGGACATGTGATATGTGGTACGTTGCTCGATGATGTTGGAAGGGCGGTGGTCAGCGCATTGAAAGCACCGGAGGAAGCCGTGGGGAACAAATTCTTGCAAATCCGAAGCGTTGTTGCCACGCAGTCGAAGCTGCTTGAGTGGGCAAAGGCGGTGAAACCTGAAGCTCCTTGGAAATCTATGAACGTCGATACAGAAAAGATGGAGAAGGCAGCCCGGGAGGCTTGGGGCAGAGGCGAGCGTGATCCTCGAGCGCTGAGGGGCTTCTTATTGCGTGCGTACGCTTTAGGGGCTTCTGATTTCAAGCACCTGGATAACGAGTTGCTTGGTGTTGCTGATGGTGGTGAGGAACTCGCACGGAAGACACTGGAGCAACTCATTCGGCCGAAAAGCTAAGTAGTATCGAAAATGCAAGCGAAGACAGGTGCGGTAGTACTACTACTTAGTTACCATTAGTCCCTCTATGTCAACCTGCGGCTACTAAACCAACCCCGGCCCCCCCTTTAGTTTGTGGGAGCTATGAGAATGTTCTGTAATGACCTCAAGCGGAATCATTTTATGTATAGCCTTAGACACACTTTTTGAGCATCTACTCACAATCTGGTCGCTGAAGAACCTAGTTCAGCCGCTGAGAATCCCTTCTGATGCCTTCAAATCCTTATTTCGCTACCATCGCTGTTTGTGGACTGGCAATAACACATCGACCCTGTGACCTAAAGCTAGATATGCGGAAACGCAATGCCGGCCAGGCCCTCCAAATGAACTTTGCCTAGCTGCTATCAATTTAGCCGTAATATAAATAGGTAGTATCGACCTTTTACTTCACCCCTACTAAAGCTCGCTGATTCCTCCCCAGTGTTCTCTTTATAGTCATTTCAGTGGTGTATTACTGTGAGCATAGCATAGCATACATTAATAATGTGGCTATCATGAGTCAGTAAGCGGGACCTGCCTGTGACTTACGCCTCCAGGAAGGGTTGAAGGATACAGCAACTATATATTTCTTAGCAAGAATCTTTTCCTTAAGGCCACCATGGCTATTATTCTAGATCATGAAGGAAATTGGTTCTCTTCACTCATGGGGGGCCATCGATTATCTTATCAGTCATGACAGTGCAGTTTAGCCTTCACCAGGTCTTGTTCTGCACCCTCGATGCCGGGATTCGAATGATACTGAAGCAGGCGATCCTTTGATGTTCCCAGAGACTGCACTCTTGTATAGTAGGTCTGACACAAGCAAACGCAGAATGTCACGAACGCTATAAAGTTGAATAAAATATAAGGTAGGGAAGCAAAGCTCTATGGGCAGAGCAGACCCCCCTGAATAGAATCGTTGAGGCCTGATCGAGGACTGCATGGCGTGCCACACTTCCGCGGTAGATGGATTGAGTGAAGTCAAAAATATCGTTTTCGAATGGGTATGAGCCATAACCATACATTCAGCTTATCGTTCCAGGCGCCAGCATATGGGAATGCTTCGAATCGGAGGCTACGTATCGCTTGTACGTTATTAAATTTCCAACTTAGTGGTACTAGTGGAAGATCCTGGAGAGTTGTGCCCCTGACTCCACGAGAAATCACTAGGTATCCACGGATCCAACTGGAGATGATCTTGATTAAGGAAATACGACCTGCATTGTTTCTGTGACTGGGGCTAAGTGCACTCTAATGTAGAAGAAAAATAGTCCGCAGAGGCCGTCAACCTGAGCATAGGCACCATCCTAACCAGCAGATGGCATTATCGAAAGTCAAGATATTGGATACAGAATAAGAACACAGAACATGATAGCTAGAGAGCATTTCCAGAGTTAAACACGGACTATTGGCTTCGCTTGCATTTAATCTTGTAAGGGAGCGAGTGGGTAAGACGGGGAGCCATCCAATGGCCTCGTTCACAAAGAGGGTATCTTTTCGAGTATGTCTTCCCCAGTGCTGGACAGATGACGATTTTCGCTAGATTGGGGTGTCGGTGATGTTTTAAGTGAGTTGAGGTCTTCCATTGTAGGAATCCTAACCTTTTTCTGTTCCGATCCAGCAGTATCTGAAGTAGATACACGAACATCTTCCAACCACCGCTTCATTCGCGTGGCTTGAAGTTTTTGGATTTGGAATTCGGCTTCGGCGGCGGTCCCAATGTTGAGAACTTGTTGCGGTGTTCTTGTTTCCGGTGTTGATTGTTCCGGCCCAGGCCGATGGGAATGGTCCGAGCCACCAGGGAGCAGATAATCGAACATGTCCATATCCTCCAGCTCACTAATATCAAACCCCTGGACGACGCAACGCTCTTTCAGAACATTAATTTCCTCTCTTGTTGCTAAAATTTCTTCAGTTAGCTTCGCCCGCTCCAAGAATAAGCCCTTGAAGTTATCAGTGTCGGCGAGGGATTCGGCATCTTCGAGCACATGTACCGGGAGTTTTTGAGTTTTCGCCTTGATATACTGATCGGCATTCAAGTTATAAAGTCTCATCATAAGATTCTTATAATCTCCAGCACGGTCGTACAGAGCGCTGACATCAGGATTATCTGACTCTTTAGAGGACCTCCTAGCATCGCCCTTTGAAAGAGCGCTTTGCGAAGCCGTCGGAGAATTCGAATGAGAGTATGAAACTGGAGTGTTTGATCTCTCTAAGGATGCCTTCTCCAAACTCCACAGCTTGTACTCCGCTTGACTGAGTTTCTCCCGAATTGATTCAGTGCGCTGTTCGCCTTCAGTTAGAATGCTCGACTCATGCACCAGGTCATTGCTGAGGCGGGTGATCTGAGAAATGCTTTGCTCCAGAGTCCTTTGTGCCACAGCAACTTCGATAAACTGCACAATATCCGCCTGGAGTCTTACAAAGGCGACGCGCTGCCGCACGAATTGGGCGTCGGCGTGCTCGAATTGCTCTCTTAGCACCAGTATCTTCGGTATCCTTTTTAGCATTTGGTTTTGGGTCCTTCTCAAGCTCCTACTTGAGGGCAACTTGGTATTCCCGATCTCGTCAAAGGGACCAGATTCCATTCAGTATGGATGCGGCGGCTCGTTTGGATAGAAAAATCAGACTTGAGGAAAGTTTGATGAACGCCCCCGCGAGAGGAGACGCCAAAGCCCCGAAACCAAGAAGGATGTCGATCCTCAAGCAGGCTGACTATGTGATCAAGGTGACCCTAGTCGTATTTCGACTTGTCTCTGTGGTTTCGCAGGAACACGATCCTTTCGAGAGGTGCTGAAGTGGTGTCAAGACACCCTCGGCCATTACATATGCCGAGTTGTCTTTTTCTGCGCAGCCTTTTCATGAGTCAGCTAAGGCAATAATTCTTCCATCTCCTGATAAACCGTTGCTGACCTGTTTCGTTGTCGGTAACGCCTGAGTCGTTGATAGCATGCCGCTAGAACTCGGAGACGATCCTCAAAGCAGAAAATTGGCAGGAACGGAAAGTTAACGATAGCTTTTAATCCAGCAATAACGAGGCGTTGAAGTAAAATAGGAGAGAAATAGCCCAGGCCACCTGTCCGGGATCATGCGCGTCAAGGCATCCTCTGTAGTACAGATCTTGAGTTTTGAGACTGTATATAGTACAACCCGGTTCCCCCCATCCCCGACACTGTCGTGGACTCGTGGCACGTGGCCACGCGCAACATACGGAAAGCAAGGGCCAAGGGAACGTCAGCACCCCAATCTAGCTTGGTCTCTCGCTGATTAGTCTCACTACAGGCAGTGGTCTTGTCGTCGGATAGAGGTGTGACAGTATCGCATCTAGGATGCGATACAGTAAATGCAAAGTGAAAGAATCTTACGGAAATGGAACTTGGGGCAAATAACCACATTCGACGAGGCTCGCAGTCGCGCATCATGATAGGCGCAATCTACACCGGCTGGACAGCAACCTATGAACAAGACCAGTCCTGACTCAACTTCTCACACCTGAAAACTAAGGTGTTGGAGAGTTGAGGCAACTCCTATTTTCCTCTAATTACTCGCAACGGAGTTAGGTCTCCGTAGTACCATGTGATTGGCTACGGCGGCGTACTCCGTATTACCACTCCTAACAAGAAATCATAAACATGAGATCCTCCCAAATCCCCAGCACTGTGGTAGCCGGTAGAATGATGGCAGTGATTCGTGATCTTTATAACTTTATTGGATGGAGTTGGTGCACCAGATGATCGAAATCGTGATTGACTGACAGTCTGGTGCAACTCCGAGGAGCTTCTCCACCAGACTTGTCGGGACCGTCCGCCGATGCCCCACTTTAACTGCAGGCCCATGAAATGCAATGAAATATCATTGCACTCCTACACCGGTTCAGTCCTCCGTGTTCCACCAGCCCTGCGGGATACAACCTGTATATATCCGTCCTCTATACGAACGAAAATACATATTTGGAGAGAAATATTATCCCTCCACCACTCAGGATCTCCAGGTAGTGGCTTCGCAGCGGATGCTCCATGGTAGCCGCCTGTCAATCAGTGTGTCGTTTCAACGGCCTTCTAATGGCCGTTGCCACGGATTTTATATGCCCATAGACAAGGTGGCACTGACGCAGCCTCCCATGCTGTCCAGTCTGACGGTTACAAATGTTTCCAATGGCGGCGATGATATGTCTCTCCGCTTTCATGCACGCAAGGTCTGATGGTGTGCAGACATCCTGGCCGACGATGAGCTCACGAGGCCTGATAGAGCTGGGATTCCCTGATGGATGCCCAATGCCCATCAGCGAATTGGAAGCATACAAGAGGATTCAGCTGTCAATTTTGAGCCTCATCATATTGACTTCCTCGGTCGCATTTAAAAGGAAGCAAGGTTCGGTCGCTGAAGACTCTAGCAGCCGATTGTGCTTCGTTTTGGCTGCGGCATTTACCCAAAATGTCGGGAAATCAGCCACCGCAATGGCGGTTGGACAAGGCACGAAACTGCTACTACATCTACGACGACGTTAGCCAATGTTTTATTTACACAGATGGCACAACGATCCCTAGTGCCCCCCAAGTGCCCCCTGAGACACCGTGAGCACTGGATTGCTTCACTATAACAAGTTAAACCGATCCCAGAGCATGCTGAAGTTTTACATAGATCCCACACGAACCACCAAACAACATACGGTTCTCCTTTGAATACTCACAGTGCTTATAGCAATAGGTATGAATCTTAGAAATAGGGCTTTGAACACTATTGAATTTATTAGCAGTCCATTAGCGCCTCATGTACCGAATGCTACAATAGCCGGCCAGTCAGGTACTCCGCTATATCTTTTATGATTTTCTATGCTTCTAGTCGCATACTCACAATCCCAATTCCCATTAATGCTGGTACCAAAGTGCGGTTGACTAAGGCGTGATGTTCAAAGGAGCGGAATCATTCTCCCAGGCTTCCCGGAAGCCCCACCCTGTAAAGCTCAATATTGAGTCGCCAAACCCATTGTACAAAGACCATTCGAGACTATTCGAGAAGGGGATACGCCCTTACAAGGTCTTAAGAGGGTCGAAAGGAAATTTTGAGAGATTTCATTCTAGTGCGTATGAGCCCTGATCCGTCACATCCCCTGGGACTGACCCGACAGAATTTATCGTCCGGAAACGAAAATTCTACAAATTAGGGAAGGTACGGTGCCTCATCCTGAGCATTCCAACACGTATGCCAATTCTGTTTGTCTGAACAGGTCTTCCAAGTCTTATGGCCTGAGCCGCAAGGATCAGTCGTTGCAACCGAGAAGTCTTCCGGTACGACAAAGATCGCCTCCGAGGATCCTGCCAACTTTGAGGGCCACTATGCGAAGGTCCGATGGTTTGTTGTAATCCTAGAAGGATCTTCCTTCTCCTCTTGCCTGTATGACTCACATATCCCCAACTCTACTAGATGATACTGACTGCTCACCTCCGACAGCCCCATTCAAACGTATGAGGGACGGGGCGTGAGCAAGCCCAGTGTTAACAAAAGCCACCATTGCATTGCCTTTACGAGCCAGAAGGCTCCAGAGGAACACCCTTCGGAGGCTCCAAGTGCTTGGGACACGGGCGGTATGAGGAAACCGATCCGCATCATAACTCGGAGTAAGACGGAGAGCCTAGTTATCATGTCTCGACTGAATTATGCAAAAGTGTATACTGTTGAGCATAATGTCAAGTCATACGATTTTGGTAATGTTGCCGAGGGATATCTGCATCGGTTAAGTGCCTCTTTCAAGGCGGTATCTGGTGAAATGAGGGAAGCCACGCTAGGCTCGCGGACGTTGGAGCCCAGAGATAGTGATGTGGAAGAGGAAGATGAGGAAGAGGATGATGAGGATGAGGATGAGGATGAGGATGAGGAAGAGGAAGATGAGGATGACGAAGATGAGGATAAGGATGAGGAAGATGAGGGTGAGGAAGAGTCTTTTTCTCACGCCCGAGGAGGTGTCTCTTACACATCAGCTTGACCACCTGTCGTCCGCCACGCCAGACTTTGGATGTCAGTTCTGCAGTGTGTAATTGGGCAAGTTCATGAACTCTAGGCCAGTGGTCCAGAAGTTGAGTTTAGCAGGACTCTGCACCAACTTTACGGTGGGTAGCACCGCATCTATGTCTTTTTCTAGAGCCAAACTGTCCTTGGAAGAGCGTAGTCGCCCCTGAGCACGAAATTTACGACGCTACGCTTGGCGACGAGGAACCAAGGTCGATTGAAGGATTTCGGGATCTATTGCACTTACGTATACCATTTGGGACCTGCCTGGTAGCTAGGTATCACTGTATTGTGATACCAGCTGTGCATTTGGCCCAGGAAGGTCGAGAACGTGAGTCAGTGGACAGGAACCGGTCACTGAATGGTGGTGACAGGTTTTGGCCATTGACAAATTCTATTTCTTTGAATCACTTTTCTTTTTGAATGTTATTTTAGTATCATTTACTTACCCTATGTATGTATTTTCTGCAACGAACTGAAGCTCATGAAATGTGAAAGGGCACCCAGAGTCTAAGACATTGAACGAGGTGCGTGCGAAAGTCTGGCAGGCAACACTTGGCTGCATCAAGAGGAGTCAAGACAGGAAAAAACGTAATCCCCACCGAAATTGTTCCCAGGCGCCCGAAATACCGAACTGGATAGGTCTCAAACATAGATTTCTAAAATTTCTTAGCCGCATTTATGCTGGAGGTATTGGAATGCCCATCACTGCCACTGGTTGTGACTGGATGAAAATCTGATAAAGGAGTAGGAGGACGGTGGCGCTGTGGTTGGCACGAACACAAATAATGAGGCGTTTGGAAAGGAGCCACGGACAATGCTACAGTCTTGAAGGAATTTATTTCGAATATGCTTTCAGACACCCGCTTTGCTGCCATTGGCTATAGAATTCAAAAAGCATGGCGAGGCATGCAATTAAACGACATGGCGGGCTGGCGGCTGCTGCCGCATCAATAATGTTATACCACCCCTATCTCCTGAAGCTGACTGCTGTCAAATTTATAGAGGTGGAGTGGTCAGAGTCCGCTAAAATGCATCTTCGGCACTACGTTGTAATCTTTGTAGGTGCAGAATATACTATAAGGGCCTTGCTTCCGAAAACCCACAAAGACAGATTGAATAGATGCATGCTGGAGCCGATATGCACTGCATGCTGGTGAATTCAAATCTGGAGAGCTAGATCAACACAATATACCAACGGGGTTATCAGAACATGCACAGAGCTGCTAGGCTGATATGAAGAGGATCCATGGGTAGCATTTGACAGTGAATTCAGTCAGATTCATTTCAGGTTAAGGATTGGTGCCCATTACAAGGAAGTCGTAATTACGTATATTGCAATCAGCACTCCAGTGCCCGATAACACTATGCTCAGGTACATTTTCCACAGAAGTAATTATCAACCCAATACATGACTTGTGGGGAAGAATAGTCGCAAAGACCTGTTAGATACAATTTAAAGCAATGCAAACGGCCGGTGAATCACAAGTACAAATTTCTGTAGCCACTTCGATATCAAGTCTCTTTACAACACCATCCGGGGCAGAATAAATAGTTTGGACTTCGCCTTTGACGTTCCCGTCCAGCCTACGGAAATTAAGGACCTATCGGCTTCCTCAACAATAAGAAATGCAAGGAATTTTCTTATAATGGCAATGTAAGGGGAAGGCTACCAACAACAAGACATTTCCAACATTCCTAGGCTATGCATCAAGCTCATCAATTTCCTTTTGAATGCAAAAGCACGAATCACTGATCGACGCGTATACAAGTAAGGGGCGATATGATAGCAGTCAATGAGAATCAAAGCTAGATACTGTATCGTACGAGGGCCACTGAGAAGTATAGGTCTGCACTAAGAATTCCATTCGTAGCAGTTATTCCAGTATATTTAAAGATTCTGACAAGAAAGTACCGTAGTTAGCACAACCAGAAATCTCCCATTCTAAGCCCCCCGTCTACAGCTGAAGCATTCCGTATATTCGACTGATATGCTCGTCCCGGTGGGTCGCTGTCCTGCAACGCTAGCTAGCGTCGGCTTCTTCCTGGAGTTGCCCCCTTGCTTTATTCCAGAGATAATTCCTTAGAGATTCCCATGAGGACAGCCGCTTTCTTTGATAACTTACAGGCTACTCTTGATGCCAAGCAGGCGCTGGTCTATTCGCCCCGAATTCCCTCTCGTCATTCACTGACCAAAAATGGTGCACGGGGAATGTGGACCACCAGATTTTCATCGATTCTCCCACTTGCTATATAGAAATTCGAATGTATTTGTGGTCTCCAGAAAATTCCTACTTTTTCATCCTTAAGACATATCTTGCTTTGATCCTTTAAAAGTTCACTAGAGCAAAAGTTCGTTAGCTGGAATCACTACTAACACCATGGAGTATATGTACAAGCTAGAGACAGTCCTTCCGAGTGTTCGAGACCTGGTAACAGCCCTTTTCATCTGCGTGACATTTTTTGGTGTGCTGCATGTGGTGTATACTCGCTATTTCAGCCCGTGTGCTCCGTTCCCTGGGCCATTCTTGGCGTCTACTACCACGCTCTGGAAAGTAGCGTCTCTGGTGAGCGGAGAGGGGGAGAAGAGACTGATGGCATTGCATAAGAAATATGGTCTGTTTGATTCCTACCATATTGAGCCAAGGGCTAATGTGACATCGTAGGACCAATTGTGCGGATCGCGCCGAACGAGCTCTCTGTCTCTGAAGCATCAGCTATCAAGATCATCTACAAGACGTTTCCCAAGGTAGGAAATGGAGGTTAACCTGCTTATGAACGGATTGCCAATCACGGTACATAGACTGATCAATTCAAGCTTTTCAAAGCCCCGTTCGGTACGTACATTTCCGGACATCAACGCCGCCCAATTATTCCTTTTAATGCTGACCTCAACCGTCCTCAGCGCGGCGTCCAGGACACATGGAGAACACAGACATCAAGCAGGCCGCTCAACGCCGACGAATTGTTGGCGATACGTATTCCATGTCCAAGGTGTTGTCCCTGGAGTCCTCGGTCGATCTCTGTCTGCAGCAGTTCCAGGAAAGATTTTCGCAATTCGCTGGGACGGGAACCGTGGTGAATCTTAAACTCTGGTCACATCTGTGAGCTCCCATAAGCATAACGCCCCTGAAAAATAGCTCATTTGTTTCAGGTTCACCTTCGACGTCATCGGCCAACTCATCTTCTCGCAAAGCTTCGGCTTCTTGGAGCGCGGCGGTGATCAGGGCCACATCATGCAAGCCATCGAAACGGCCATACATATTGCAATGACGATGGTCAACTTTCCATGGTACCTACATCCGTTGGTGACGGTGTATGTCTTGATGATTCCCCGAATTGCAGCCCGCCTTGTAGCGATCCCAAAGCCGATCGGTGCCCTCGAAACACGGGTAGATCGAGCGATCCGAGGACTCTGCCACGATGCCCAGGCAAAGCCAATTGGACCAGAACGTCGAGATTTCTTAACGCGATGGTTTGGAATCTACGCGGAAAAAGGGGCCGAGCTGGACTTTGGATTGGCCGAGATCAAACAAGAAGTCTGGACTGCGCTGTAAGCTTGACGAATGCAGCTTGAAGAATAAGAGATTTGCTGACCACCATCCAAGCTTCGCAGGGAGCGACACCACGAGCATTGCTCTCGCCGCCACGGTTTATCATTTGCTGAAGCATCCGGCTTGTTACTCCCGAGTCATCGACGAAATCGACAGCGCAGACGGTCAAGGGCTCCTGAGCCGTCCTTGCATCAGGTACGAAGAGGGATACGCACTACAATACCTCCGTGCCTGTATCAAGGAGGCCACGAGACTCCATCCCAGTGGTTCCATTACATTCCCGCGCCGAGTGCCAAAGCAAGGGTGCATGGTCGCAGGGCAGTTCATCCCAGAAGGAACCGAGATTGGCTGCAACCCCTATGTCGTCCATAGAGACAGGAAAGTTTTCGGAGATGACGCCGACCGGTACAATCCAGACCGATGGTTGGGACCCAAGGCGGCCGAGATGGAGCGCCATTCGTTGTTGGTAAGTGGCTGATAGCTCAACGGGTATAGAAACCGACTGTGTTAACCCGTCCAAGTTCGGCTACGGCCCAAGAATCTGCATCGGGCGCAATGTATGTATTGTATATCCTCGTATCCACATCCATTACTGACACCAAAAGATCGCTCTTTGCCAGCTGTACAAGTTCATTCCGCAACTCCTTCGAGACTTCCGGTTGGAATTGGACGATCCACAGGGGGGATGGAGCTACACGCTGTACAAGACCGATAAGCTGGAAGTGCGAGTATCGAAGCGGTACTGATGGCTCTTGCGGTGCCTCTTTTCCCAGAGTCCGTGGGATGACTCAAATCTCGAACTTGTCTGTTCTAGCGGGTATAAAGGCGGTCAAATACTAATACAAAATGACAACTGCACATTCGAATCCGTACTTAGAACCCAATGGGCAACGGGGAATGTCTTCAATATCGCTCAGGGCGCAAACCAAAGCTTATGCCCACACGTTCGATCCATCTTGTCGGCCCAGGTCTTTGCCCTCTCGAACATCCACCCGGACTTCACCTCAAGCTCTCCAGATTCGGCGGCGGTTTTCTGGCCAAGGAGGGCGTATTTTGAAACGAAACACTTGCCGTCAGTGTATTTAAACTGGAGGCAGCTCTTTTGACTTTGGCAGAGAGCGCGGCATGACTCGAAGGACTTCGGGGCATCACGCTCAATTTGGCCTTTCATCTTTCGAGGATCCTTTCCGTTGGGTATCTTGGTATCCCCAACGTACACGACATCGTTCGCGAGATTGTCCCAGTTCTCTTTCTCGTTACGTAGCTGGGGTAGGATGTAATGACGGAAGACATCGCGATGCCGGATAGGGCCGTTGTGCTTTAGCCCCGTTAGTCTACGTATACCTAGAGAAATTGAAGAAAGGCGTCCCGTACCTCACGGAACCAATTGTTCTCAAAAGCTGCAAAGGTTAAGGCTTCCTCCGCTGGGACGTGATGATATGTTACGGCCGGAAAGCACCAAGCAACTCTGTGCGTTTTCCAGGTCGCGTGATCGAAGGTAGACGGCCGCATGTCCTGAAAATGAGGCCAAGCATATGTTAATGGGACGCCGGCGTCCATTAAAGTTTTCCCCAGCACGCAATCGCCGGCCCAATGGACCTCAATTAGATCGTTGTACTCTATCATATGGTCCGTCCAATGTTGTGTGACCATGCGCATAGCCGGGTTCGAGATCGCGAATCCTGCACCTCCGTAGCCGAATATGGTATCTCCAATGTACATGTGCCGTCCCAGATAGTATGGTTTGGAGGCATCGAGGTGGGTGAGGTACTCGAGGAGATTCGACCAGATTATATACGTATCGGGTTCGAGAAACACGAACCATTTGGCGTCCGGGTCGTGATTCAACGCCTTCGAGACCATTGGGAGAAATTTCCACTTGTCTAGCCTCCATCCTGGATTGTCCGTATTCCCAGCACCATTAGGAGCAGATATTCTCGACAATGCCTCTTCATCCAACCCCTGGCGTCCTTGCTCATGCAAATGCCTGTAAATTTCGAAGTCCTCGATATTGTTCTTCGTCCCATCTTCTACCTCGTCGAGCACATCGTATATATGGTACCCTTGAATGTCCTCCTCCAGGTCGGAATAGATAACGTAGTTCGGGGCGCAGCGGAGGGTCGTGTTGAAGTGGACCGGCAGCTTCTCTAAAGCTTCCGTGGCACCGGTTCGAAGGACGACGAGAACATCGTTCGCGAAGTCCGGCTCAGGACAGCGACCCTGACTGCCTGGTCGGACGAAGGAGGTCGATGGCGCGGAGGAGCTCGACCCTACCCAGCAGAGTCGTAGAATGACCACACTCAGGACGGCGGAACAAAAAACGACGAGGCGACCGAGTCGACCTAGCATAAACGGCATAGCGGCCCTGCCATGGACATGGGATGATGGAAATAGGTGCCGTCGAGGCGATCCTCCGTGAGAACTAATGAGAACTAACGTATGAACGACAGATCCAGAAATATTCACAAGAAATAGACGATCATAAGCGCAGCTTCGGGATCAAAAGGAGTAGATTCTCGTCTGTACACAGGACCACAAATATGTTTGTAGTCGAATGGCTGTTGACGTCGGTCTTATCCAACCTCCGTCCCAGCTGCCCCTGGTCCACCCTGGATCGGAAAAACTGATAGTAATAGTTACGGATAACTAAGTTATTGAGTCGCTAAGCTGTAAGGTATGGTTTAAACTCTACACAAAGGGGGTGAGCTATCAACATCCATAACTACGTAACCAAATGCCACCCCGATTCCAACTCTATTTTCAGTAACCCATTGCACCCCGACATAGACCTGCCCATAAACTCTCAACGGTATCCTGCCGCGGGGTTTTTACCCTCTATATCCTCACTCCTTTGGCAAATGCATAGACTGGTTTCAGGTTATTCAAAAAGAGCTAGACGATCCTATTGTCGTGCTAGGGAACGTGTATAACATGAGCGAAACGGGAGTCCTCTTAAGTGGTGCTGGCCCAGTGCGGAGACTGTTAAGGGCATGGCCTATGGTTGGCATAGGCTGAGAGCCTAAGCCTAATCAAGCCTAGTAGCGTCGAGATGGAACCTCATCAAGATTCCTCTGTCACAGATACCTTTACTCTTTATCTCAATCAAGAATATCTTTGGCTATGTGTATGTTGTGTGCATCCAGCTACCGTGCCGTAACAGAGACAGCATAAAAGGTTAGGGGATGCATTGGAGGATGCTCGATACGAAATTAAAGTATCGGGGCGAGGCGAATATTGTTCTAGGCAACTTTGATCGCGATTCGATTGAATAGATATGGGCAACTTTTATAGAGGCTTTCTTTAGTGAATAATCGAGTTTCCAGTGGGTGTTGTGAGCAGCGGAAGCTACATGATTCTGGTGTGATGAAACTCGATGTTATTGGACAATAATCGAGACGGCTTTGCGCGAAGTGTATCCGGCTGGGGGATGCGGCTTGCGGCTTGCGGCTGTGCATGTAGTATGTACTGACCAGTTCGTCGCAAGGCTGCACTTGAATGCTCTTTCTCTTGTTCATATTTGCCTTTCTAGATCCTAATGATGTCAATTGCAGTCAAAGTGATATACAATCATTTCACAGAAGACGCTCCAGGTACGGGTCAGTCCTCGTTGCGATGGTACCCTAGGTGAAGGTCGCATCCCGTCAACGCGAGAGCATGTTGATTTAGAATCATATGCTGCCTGTGGTTCGATACGATCACGCCAAATGGTATACATCAAACCAGTCTATCTAAGCATATCATTAACCTGACACAGGAACAATCTACAGCAGAGGAGGATCGGGTACAGCTCCAAACGATCAACCGTCTCAAAGAAAGTCTGAGGAACGGGTGCATAGCCATCATTGTCGGAGCCGGTATCACGATAAACGCAACAGTGCAGTCCTCAGGACATCCACTTGAGCGGATAACGTGGAATGGGCTTGTCAAGCATGGTTTGGACTATCTAGTGACAAACCAATATGTGGATAGGAAAAATAGGCAGGTCAAGTGCGCACTAGATCTGCTCGAGAGCGAGGATACGGAAGATCTACTTCTTGCCGCCCATATACTCCGCGAAAAGTTGGACCGGTCTAGCCAACTTCCGACGTGGCTCGAATCCGTCTTTGGTGATCTCTATGGCGACGTTCGCTACCCTGCAATACTTGACGCGCTCCGGGCACTCCATAAGAAGCGCGCTCTACTCTTGACAACGAATTACGATGACCTCTTAGAAAAGCATTGCGAACTCCCTAGAATCGGACGATCTAGTAGAAATAATGTGGCCAAGTTTCGACGAGGAGAGCTGGATGGCGTGTTCCATGTTCACGGTAGTTTCCACGACCCCGAGGAGGTCGTGTTGGGCTCAATAGACTACTTCAAAGTCAAGCAATCAGAAGCAGTACAAGATCTACTGCGAACGTATTTACAAGACAAGACTATCCTCTTCGTTGGGTGCGGGTCTGGACTGGAAGACCCCAACTTCAACGAACTTCTGCGAAAGGCGAGCGAGCAACAGAGAGACCTACCGAACCGTCATTGTTTACTTATTCGAGACGGTGATTCTATCAGATATAATCCTTTGGTGTCTGTCAAATACGGTTCGAGTTACGGTGGTTTGGCACCATTTCTCCATAGATTGGCAAGTGAAACCCCAGATGAGTCTATGACAGGAGAGGTTGTCTCGCTTAGTGACCACCAGAAAGAGATCCTGTTGAAGTCTCTGAGGTTTGACCAAATGGATGCTCGCCAGATGCAATCTGGAACCCCATCACGATGGACGACCGTTAACACTCTCGTTGTTGTGCCGTAATCCTTGTACAGTATGATTAGGAATGCGATGCAATTTCCAGACCTGAATTTCTACTTTACTAGTAATTCTCTCTTGTCATAGCGATAACTGCATTATTGCGATACAATTTCCAACCGGAACTCCTAATTTACTCGTACTTCTCGCTTGCTATAGTGATAACCGCGTGTCAACGCTTGAATTCGACTGTCGGAATGGGCTCGCGCTATCGAGAGTTAACAGTAGTACTCAACGTTTCTCGACCACTAACTACAGGAACCGTTTACATCATAGACGCATTACAAAGCACTCGTTTCCGAGATGTCCGCTACGAGATCGGTTAACCTACGAATAAGACCTCCAAACTATCCAAAGACAAGATAGCGAAGCTTTCCGCCCAGCGGCTCGGCTCGGCCCGCCCCGCTGATTGCCAGAACGCAGCACCCAAGGCGGGTGATTTGAATTCCCGGTCTAGGATTCGGATCAAGTCACGGTTGGTCAAAGCATAGGCTGGAAGTAGAATCACGAGCGGCGAATCGGAAGACGTCCCTATGGAGGTATCGGATATCTATCGACTAGCGAAGGAGATCATGCAAAAGCCGTGGCGAATCCGCCCCAAAGAATGATAAAATACGTCTTTCGCCTGCTGTACTTTCATTCATTGTTGTTCCTTTATTCCTCACAACGCTCTTTTAGGTTTTCTTATATTTTTCCTTGTTAGGGTGTTGCCTGGATACAATGACACTCCGCTGGATCAGGACAGCCATAGGGGGCATATGCCTCTTACTGTCTGTCGATGTCGCCCCTGCGACGCCAGGAACGCCAAGGCTCAGAAAACCCGCCAGTCCTGACTACCACGGTAGAGACGCGTGTCCCGTGGCTTGCAACATAGCAGGACCCAACCCTCGAATTGGTCTGCCTGCCACAATTTCGAATAGGTTCAGTCCTGGTAGCACACCGTATTTTACGAGTTCTCGCTATATCATCCTGTGGATGATGCAGATACTCTTCATCGCATCTATACTTGCATTTCTTATGGCGCGGACTGGTATAACCTCCCACACTTGGAAGCAAACACTACGGTTGCCGTCGAGTCTATGAACTCTACCTACAATTTGGGCTGGTGGGCCGATGGCGCACTCGCCGCCGCCGACATCAGGAACGTATCCAGGTAGATGTCCTATTATCTAAAGCGTGAGCATACCGATACCAAGAGCAACACAGTGTTGGCCCAGTCAGGCTCGGCCTCGGTCGGTCTTTACATCGGCAAGGGTCTATAGGACGAAGGCGTCGGCTCCTTCGCTCTCGAGTACATGGAAGACCATATTCGCAGCCTCGGAGTCACCCCCGGAAATGTGGCTATGCAGTTACCATATGCGAGCCAAACTGGAGCGGTGCCCGCACTTCGGGGGTGTTCGCTTCGGGTAATGTCACCTTTACCCCCGTGCAGGATGCAATGAAACTTGGCCCATGGGAAGCTGCCTCTCATTTCACGAGGCCAAGAACATTACCAGTCCGGCCGTCCTCGCCACTCATTTACAGTCAAAGACGGTTCATCCGAGCTCTACAGCAGCCACCAGCTCTCTGCCAACCTTACGAGCCCAATTAGGAGCTCAGGACGAATGTAGAACTGTCCAGGTGGAACTGAGTGATAGTTGCGCTGCTTTGGTCGCAGAGTGCCGCATTTCCCCAGCAGACTTCACCAGAGACAATTCCGATCCTAGCTTCTGTCCAACTCTTAAGCTAGGACATTTCGGAGATCGGATGTATGGCTGAACCGCCGAAGTGCTGATGGCTGAATCACCTGCACAATGAATTTGCCTGGAACATGCAGTCCGGATTATCACCCATCTTAGGCGGTCTTTGAATATCAAAACTCAACAAGGGGTCAAGGTTCTCCCGGTCCCGCGATCTAGCCTAAATGGATCAACGGAAGATAGCCGAACTGATCCATTTTCGCGGAGCGGGAGCCGCTGTTGCTCTTGAGACTCGGTGGCTCGTGCTGATAAAGCCATGAATGATGAAACTCATGAAGGTGATGAAGCCATGAAGGGGATGATCTGAATATCTGATTGCTCATAGCATGTGCTGCAAGGACGGTATGTGTTAAACATGGATGGTTTATTGATCATAACAGACTTCATACTGCAATCTGAATTCTGGTTTATATTGCAAACGAAACTTGGAAGCATCATCACTTCATCGCCATGCCACATCAGTTGGTTCCTTTTCTCTCCCCCTACAAATCGAACATCCGAGTGGACAGACAATATCTAAATCTGAAAATAACTGTACACCAACGCTCAGCAAACACCCTAGGGACTAGTCCTCGGTGTTGGCGGATCGGCTTAGTTCCTGGACTAACGGTTTAAGCTTCACGATCTGATACCATAACCAACCCACAGTTATAATTGGCTCCAGTTGGAGCAAACTATTAACTGTAACTGGTAACCGCTAACAACGAGGATTGCAATCCTTCCATTCGGAGCCGCCAGTGTCATCCGTGTATTTGCCAGTTTGGGCATGATCAAGAACGGTAAACTGAGGCTGTGGTTGTCGGTGAGACAGACTCATGAGTCCCAGCATCATCTACCAATATCCCGCTGCGGCATCCTTAACTTCTTCAAAGACCTCAAAGTTTTTTGACTCATATCCAATGTGTCCCTTCTTCCATCCTCTTCAGTTTGTGCGAATATCATGCGTCACTGTTAAATCAGTCCCGTTAACTTGATCGTGAAATTCACGGCATCTAATATGCCTCCTTATTCCTCATAGTCGTCTTGGTACTTCGTACGGCCTCTATCCTCCTCCTCCTTCTCCTCCTCCTCCTCCTCCTTCTCCTCCTCCTCCTCATTGACTTGCTATCCGAAACAAATTCCTTCCTGTCAACCGACGCGATGCGGTCTCTATTGTTCTCAATAGCCTCTCTTATTCTATTCACATCCTCCTGCTGTGCGCAGGAACAAGTACCCTATATCCTCCATACTACCCCTTACGACAATATCAACGGATCATTCGTCTACCCTCGCGACTGGCCATCAAACTTCTCGATCGGTTCGCAGATCAATATCACTTGGACGACGCAATTCCCATCTGTCCACCTATATTATTACCAGAATCGCAAGATCGCCGAGATCGTAAATATAGGAAGTGAGTGCCCTCTTTCAAATCCGTATCTTGGACTCTATTAATGCTGATACAGAGGCCCTCGTTCAACCCTGGTGCCTATGGGAAGTCCAGACCACCGTGAAAAATCTCACTGACCCCTGGGTCTTCCGCATCGTCAACGCCAAGGGCACGCTGTATGACCGGACAAACCTTGGCTTCACCAGTGCCGGATTCTACATCGACCGAGATACCAACCCAGCCCCGTCTTCTTCCTTCACCCAATCCGAAACAACCGCCCCAACCAGACTCAATCGCCCATCATACCTCCCTAGCCGAACTCCCTGCCCAAGATCCCGAGCCACCTAGCAAGGACGGCCTATCCGAAGGCGCGAAGATTGGCATCGGCGTAGGTGCCGGCGTCGGCGTCCTCACCCTCACTATTGCTGGCATCGCACTCTTGTACTTCCGGAGGCAAAAGGGAGCGAACAAGGAGCATCTGAACGAGACGTATACGCCGGTCTAGCAGCTGTCGTCCGACTCGAAGGGGCCGGATTCAACACAACTGGCGAGTCATTACTCTCCTCACGATGGCCCTCACAAGGGACCTCAAAACTCACCTCGCACCTCACCGCCCAGTGTGCCTCTCCACGTCCCTATCAAGACAGATTCAAACCCAACGTATGAGTTGCCTGGGGACCTTATACAGCCACTGAAACCGTAGCGAGTCTTTGAAATGGCTGCTTTCCTTCACTAGTACCCGCTCATAGCGTAATACCATCTCCGTGGAAACCTCAAGTTGCACTAATAGACGACCGAAGACACAGGTCTTAATCTTTTTCATGTCCATGTAAATAGCCTGGCAAGCGAGTTTAACGATCGATGGGGTTTATGTTCGGCGCGGATTGCAGATTGTGGGTTGCGGGTCCTCGCATAAGTTATCACAGCATCCAACACTGTCAGCGTTATCGAACATTCAGACATTGCATATGGTAGCCGAACGACATGCTCCATTGATTTCCGCTAGCTGCATAGTGTCTGCATATGCCAAAGTGAGTTGAGACCTACGTGCAACAATTCAATGCCCAATCCGCAATTTCCGTAGATTCCCAAGCATGCGGACTGGCGCAGCAAGCCAACCATGGCCATCATCGCAGGACGCCAGTTCATAAATCCACATTACCCACCCTCAGAACAACACCTCCCCCACCTCCTCGCTCCCCGCCCTCGTCCTCCCCTTCCCATCCCCCCCCGGCGCATTCAACAACCCCTCCTTCCCCATCGTCGAACTCACATCCTCCGTCTCCGCCCCCTCCAGTAAATCCCGATCCGCCGCCCGCACGCTCCGCTGATCCGCATCCCCACCGTACGCTCCGCCCGGCGTCCGCTCGTCCGGCTCCGCCTCGTCCTCCTCATCCTCCTCCTGCGCAGCCCCTCGATCCAGCTCCTTCTGCGCCTCGTCCATTCGCCGCCGAATGTCCGTCGCCACGCGCATCCCGTCGGTGACGATGTTATCCAGCACGCCACGCAGGCCCTTTCCAGGCGGAACGACGCCGGCGGTGGAGGGGAGCGGGCTGCTTGGGCCGGCGCCGACGCCCGGGGTGAAGCGGCCTAGGTTGGCGAAGGTGGTGAGGGTGGAAGAGGCGGTGGCGGCGGGGGCGTCGGAGAGGCGGAAGGAGTTGGCGAGAGCGCGGTCGAAGAAGTGCTCGAGGGTTTCGTCGGCGAGGACGAGCATGCGGAAGGTGGGGAGGGTGATGGAGAGAGGGTTGGAGGGGTCGAGGGCCGCGTTGGCGGCGGCGGGGTCGCGGCGGGGGAGGGAGGAGGCCGAGTCGCTGGGGGTTTCGGAGGTGGACGCGCCGTTTGGCGGGGAAGAGGCGTGCTCGGGCTTGGGGGTTGAGGTGGAGGTACCGTCAATCTCGATGAGGGCTTCGTCTTCGTCTTCCTCTTCCTCTTCGTCTTCACCAATGCCGAAGTTGCTCAGTGCCGACGTAGAGTCATCGATTTGCTTGGAAGGATGGTCGGCGTCTGCATATTCGAAGCAGCGTCTGATAAAGGCGGAGACACTCGACAGGAATTGTTCATCCCGATTCTCAATGCGAAGTTCGTCCGCTTCTATGCTGCTTCCCATCCTTGCGTCCGATTGCGGACTCGCTGCGGGGAATGGAGTCTCAAACCCTCTTCTTGACAGGAACAGCAATGCTTCAGACATGCTAAGGATGCCTTCGCGGTCTATCTTCCCATCTCCATCATCGTCGTACAAATCGAAGAAATAGCTGATGTTGGCCATGATGTCTTTCGTGCCTTTCATATGGGCGAGACCGGTGACAACATTTTGCAGGGTGAGCGTGTCGACCGAATCGACATCCCATTTCCGGAAAAGCCGCTTCATGAAATCGTGATCGGCTGGCTCGGGGCCGGCGCCCCACGGAGAAATGGTAAGGCTCCGAGATCTCATACTATTCCCGAAATATGATGCCTTTTCACCATCGACATGGGACGAGGGTGACGAAGGCGAGTCGGTGACTGCCCATTTTGCAATACCTGGCACCAAATTAGCAGCTGAAGGCCGCTAGGAAGATCGCGGAGATAGACTCACCAGCAAGGAACTCTCTGAAAGCAGCGTAGTCCATTTGTGTCGGACTTGGACCAAGAGCAACCCTACCCATCTCCGGCTCGTCGCCAGATACACCTGACACAACTTCTGTTGCTTTTATTCGGCCACTCTTCTTTTTCCTATCCATCTCTTGCTGGATCATTTGCGTTCGCTGCTGGCGTTCATAGAGGACACCATAGAAACGGTCGTAGAGGAATCCGAGATCGTTTAGACTTAGTCGCTTACTATCCGGCCCAAGGTTCCGTATTGACGTCCGCTTTGCGAAGTTCTCGATGTTTTCTAGGACCGCGTCTTTATGTTTCGCTCGCTGTTCGGATATGGTTCCCTGTGTGATGCCGGAGAATTCTTTGAACGCCACCACCATTAACTCCTGAAACCGCGTAACCGCTCGTAATTTCGGGTTCTCTGATTTCGGATGCGCCGACTCGTCAAGGCGTGAGAAGTACGTCTTGAGAACGGATATGAACGTTCCGTCGTCGGCCGCGTCGAGCAGCTCTTCGCCGTTTATGCGGAGAATGGCCAATCCAATCTGAAACAAGACTTTCGGCCCTTCCAGGAAGAATACGTCGAGGACACGGTATGCAAAAATGAGAGGCATGGAGTTGATATACAGTGACAAAAACCAGGGTAGGGAAACCACCGAAAGCTGCACGTCAGACTTCACCAAATGATCCCACAGGATGGGCATCGTCCCCTCGACCAGTGATTCGAAGACTTTCTGATCGAGAAGGGTGCCATACATGGTCATCGAATAGTATCCCGGGAGCATTCGATCGCAGAGCACGGACAAAACGAAAAATGCCTGTGCTTCGGACATGTATATCAGAAGTGCCGCCACGACGATGTTCATTGCCTGGCAATAGCCAACTTCCGGGTTCAACCAGCTGTACGCAACGAGAACACGGCGCAATCGGCCAATTCCTTCCTCGCTCTGGAATCCCGGGTACTCCGGCAAACTCCTGTTCAGGTCTTTCTCAATCTCATCGATTGCAAGGGACTGTTTCCCCTCGTGCTCCTTGAGCATCTCCGCATATAGATCCGGATTCTGGAATCGAAGAAACAGAGAGCCGGACGTGAGTTCCCAGATCTCGCCTCGAAGTCGGTTCGGCAATCCCACGCGAATCAGCTTATGAAATGTCGGTTGGCGGACTATGGTGGCATTCCGCCCATTTTCACGCATGTACTCCTTCCAAAGACGCATCTTCGCTTTGTCCCTCAGCTTCCGTGCATCGCCAGGATAGCGATATATCGCACCGAGGCCGGTGTCCGGGGGATCCCGCTGTGTTGTGGTAGACCCCTCCTTGTCAGACGTGGCTGTATCCGCTAAATGATACTCCGAGTACAATTCTCCCACCACCTTATTCAGGTTCTGAGTATCCTTGTATGCTGCCCGGAGCCCTTTCTTCAACCCATCGCAGAATCGTTCGCATTGCTGTCGGCTGCCGGCAAGCTGCACGATCAATCTCTGTGGGTTCGGATTCGTCGATTGCTTTTTATCCACGTCCCGGTAGCCGTTTGATGTGGTGATGGCGAGGGAGAACTGGAAGCTCTGGCTATTCAATCGCTCGACCCTTCGAACGGCACACAGGGGCAACGTGAATCCATTCCCAGAAGGTCCCGTGCCGTGCGTCTGACCTGTAAAACTACTCGAAGAACTGGTGGTTGCCGTGCTCAGGAAGCTGGACCCTTGCGTCGAAAAACAGATATAGTGTTCGCTGAGGTGCAACCGTCCGACATAATGGTTCCCTCTCAGCTGACTGCTAACGTCGTTGGCGTCTTGTGGTTGTCGGCCGCTTCGGGGTAACGGCAGCGTGAGCTCCGATGTGATCTCATACAAAGGGGATTCGCTGTCCGGCAGGCGGAATTGATGCTGGAACAAGGTGGATTTCGAGGGTGACTTGGACGGGGAGGCAGTAAGACCGGCGGTATCGATCAAGGTCTGGGCCTTCTGGACGAGGGAGGTGAAGTTGTTGAACATGGTGGAAGGTCGAGTCCAAGACGCGAGGTCCGGAACATGTTATATGCTGTACTTAACGACTAGCTGGCGGGCTCTTCAAAAGGTGGTTGATACATGGAAAAAGGGTAATTGTGAGTGCGGCTATGTGACGTTGGACATCGGAAACAATGGAGAAGAGGTGGGAAACGTTTTAACGGTACGTGACGCTCAGCAAGCTCCAAGCTGCTAGAAGCTTAAACGGTTAAATCTCCCGCCTCCCCGCGCTTTAAGGCTTTCTGCAGCCACACATGGTACGGAGTAATAATGTACCATCTTACGGCGCTTCATCCTCCCTGGCGTTAACACTTCCAACCTCCAGTTATGAGAACACCCAAGTTATGTCCACGGGTATTGTAGCCCATGGTGTTCAAGCGGATCTCATCATTCAATGTATGCATTGCAGGTAGGTCTCCTTCCTGAAGCTGTGCAGTGCATGCTCTATCCACGACCATACCAAACCTCACAGTCCTCCATCCGATTGGGGGCCATCCCTGGCTGCATGATCACCTTCACAGCCGCCGGAGGAGGCTCAGCGGTTGCTGCGTTGCTGGACTAGTCTTTTAGCGATGGTGCAACAGACGAGGTATGAACCTCCGACGTCTTCGACGGGGCTGTCCTTCGTAGTAGATTTTGAAGTCTCCCTTCTCTGTTTTCCACGGTATGTTTCCATGGATGATTGAGAGCACGTTACTGGTATGGATCCATTATCAATAGCCGCGGGCGCAACCGGGCTCGTCACTGCCTGTGTAAAGGTAGGCGACCGCATTGGCATTTCCCGTTGTATGTATATCGTTTGAATTGACCGGATGTGCAGATCTCTGCCGCCCTTTATACATTCATCGACGACACTCGACATGTAGATGACAACCTAGTTGCGCTAAACGACGAAGTCCTCGGACTGTCGCGAGTACTGGGCGCAATATGCAAGAGTTGGAAACAAAGTCCGCTAACAGCGATAGCCCAAGCTGATCCAGATGGGTCGCTCTGGTCTAGTGTCAAGGCCTCACTTGATGACTGTGGGAGGACTTTGGGGAGACTCGAGAAGAACGTGAATGATATCCAACAAAAGGATAGCTTTTTCGGGCGCCTGAAGGTCACAAGGTCTATCCGATTCAATCTGAAGGCAAAGGATGTTATGGTCTTTCGTCAGCAGATCCAAACCTACAACGGCGCCATGCAAAGCTCCCTACAAATGATAAATGTGTTCGTAATGTCTCCGATCATCTGCATTCATGTACTAACTTGGACTCCCAAGGTGCCTACTCATATATGGACAATCTTCCCAAGACATGGTTATTCGTGGCCTTGACGGTCTCAAGGACCAACTTGGACGGCTCGAGTCCGAAATCGGGACCATGAATGCTCTGCAGGTTCCTGATGCATCCGGCCAAGAGATCCAATTCAACAGAAAAGTTACAGATACTTTACGACGCCTCGCAAGGGCAGCAGAAACCTTTCACTCAAGTGCTAGCACAGTAGCAGGTGGATCAACTGTTTGGGGAGGAAGCGTTTCCGGAGAACCTCTCCATCCTGACCAATACCGCAGTATCGAAGAATGGATCCCTCCTCCTATTGAAGAAGAGTCTCCCGTGGAAACAGTATCGGAGACATCGAGGGTGACGTCGCCGTCTGCCAACTCGTCGATAAACTATACCCTGTCGAAAACCATGAGGGCGACGACGCCATCTACAAATGTGTCGACCAATGTCCCAACAGCCCCTTCTACTATCCTGCCGGATGAGCATCCCGCAAATGAATCCGAGGACTCAGAATTAGATGTGGAAGCGGAACTGGCCAAGAAATTCGAAGAACTCGCATTGAGCAATTTTCGTCGGGAAGATTACTCGAAAGCAGAGCTGTTCCTAAGAAAGCTCGCTGCTCGATATAAAAACGACCAAGAATCGCCGGCAGCCATCGCCTCGATCGATTTGAAGATTGCGTTCGCATGCTGTATGCAGTGGCGATGGGATGAGGCGGAGGCCATCGCATTCCCGTTGACGACGGGGAAAAGTCGCATTGATATCGCGCCTTTCCACCTCCTTCATGCCATCGCATTGCAACGAATGAACGATGGAGGTGATGAGGGGCTCGGAAAAGCAATGAAGCTCTGCAAGAGAGCGCTGGGGGGTAAAAAGAAGCTTCTTGGGAAAAACAGCGAGTCGTTTCGCCAGACTACCGAACTGCTGGGCCGTATTTATGAAGCACAAGGAAACCACATCGAAGCGGAAGCCTGTCGTGAGCTCTACCCGGCCCCGGCTTATGCGGATGACAGCCCGGCTCGACTCGACGCTCGCAATTACTTGACGGAAAACGTAGACTTGCAGGTTAAGTCTCTCCCTCCGCCCGAGAACCCGAAAGGACCGTTATTAGGAGATATTCAAAGTTCCGGAGGATTATCCCCTCAGCGCGTCCCCCTTGAAGGAGAAACGTCGAGTCCATCAGCCCTGTTGCCCTCGAGAGACGAACCTCGTGACACCAATGAGGGCGCTACTACTTTGTTCGATCGGGAACGACTAGCTAGCTCAACCCAGAGTAGAAGCCCCTTCGGCCGCCATCCCCCCGCGCCCCGCGCCCTCTCGCCCCCTGGCCCCCCTTCCGCCCAGCTGTCTCGGACTAGGTGAGATCATATCGAACACATTAGAGCTACCCGAGACCCCAAGGCGAGCATTGATCCAAGCGCAGTGGCGACCAGCGCGGATTGGGTCCAGAGAGCCAATACACCATAACGAATAACGGAGGCTTGTCCTACTCTAGGGTGGCCAGCTCGCTTTTCCTTACAACCAGACTACGGATGATAGGAAGTTAGGAATTCGGCAGCCGCCAACCAGGAATACCCATCCAAAAAGGGCTACGCTTGAGGACTTCATCGTTGTGCAGGGCCTGTCGGTGGTTAAGGCGCCGCCATCGTCAACAAGCCCAGCAGCGACAATATCAAGACGACCTCCGGTTTTAGCGCTTTTTGCTTGCCTACGATGTCTCGGTTTCCTTCTACATCGGGCATTGGAAAGCTCTAAATAAAGGACGAAGCTAGGACGCTGCCATCGTTCCTACTGGATACCCCCATCGCCCGATTCAAGTGAAGCAATAAATTAACATTCATAAGCATCAGTGCATGACAGTCTATTGGCATTTGACAGGCCCGTCATCCGACGTACCTGCGTATCCACGTGTTTCATAGCCTCCCAACTCCCTAATCCCAACGGCCCAGGCCCCAACCCCATGAATTGCAACCTTTTTTTGGCCATGGCTAGACGGAAATTGGCTTCGGCGGCAAGGGTCGATGGCTGACACATCGCGGGGAACTGGGGGTTTGACGGTCTCCCGCTGCATAAATTGCATTCCTCTAAGCGAGTGCAACGAGGTCGAGACAAGCCCCTTCGTGGAATTCGATGCGACTGGGCCACCTCGGTAGGGCTCCCATGTCGGATAATTTCCGTCCCCCGAGCCAGGAACTAGCCACCCGCTACCAATCGGCACCACTGCTCCACACCACGATCCAGGTCACGATCCAATGTCCCTCCATCTCGATATGAACTCTGGGCCTCTCGTCTCTCTTCACCTTGTCGTCGACCAGCCTCACCAATCTTTGTCTGCATCCCCCGCCCTGCGGTTTGTCGGTCATTACCAACACAATCACTTAGAATCGTCGAACTCGTTCGACTTGTCACTCGTTTTCTTCAATTTTTTGAAGTTCCACCGGCTTCGAGCCTTGCACGATCTTTAGTTATATCCGAGGAACCACGCTACAGGCAACCCGCTCTGCTGGAAAACCGCGTATCGCGACGTCCATTATTATTTTTATATCAATTCATATTTACTTGTGAATATCTATACCCAAGATGCGATTCTCCACCGTTTTCGCCCCGTTCATAGCGTTGACTGTCACGGTCTTGGGACCCTTCGCTTTTGCGACCATGCAACCCCTCGACATGCAGAACTCCGGAAACTCCCTCGCGCGCATGGCGTTCGACTTAAAGGACCTTATCGCTACAATCAACGAGTCGCAGAATGGAGGTGCCATGAGTGTACGGACATCCGGACGTCTTGAGTGTATGGATTGGTCCCGCTAACTCGAATTGTCTCGAACTAGGACGTCTTCGACGAATTCGACGACATCTTCGACAGCGTCCTGTCGAACATCTCCCTGCTGACCGGCACCGCTGTCGTCACCGATCCCCTCGACGTACAACTCGTTTACGAGGCATACTCCAACGTGAGTCGTAGTGCTTGAGAAACCATCGGATCCATTCGTTCTGACCCTATTCAGTTCGTCCAAGGCGTCTTCGAGCTCATGGACGGCGTCGCCGACAGCGCCCCCACATTCATCCAACTCGACAAGCAGAACGAGTTCCGTATCCCCGCCGCCGTGCGTGAACTCAGCGGCGTCGTCGATGTAAGTATCCTGATTGGAAACCTAAGTCGCTGCCATCCCTCAAAGCTGACAATTTCCCAGGCATACTTGTTCAACATGATCGGCATCTTCCCGTCGAACAGCAGCTACGCCTACCAGAGCGCCAACCAGAAGTCCCAGGTCGACACGCACCTTCGCCGCGCCGTCCATTCGTACCATCTTGCGACCGCGAGGACACCCACCCCATACTCGAATACCTCAGCGCTTCCGGAGCGCCGACGACATAGGCTGGGGGCGTAATGTCCGACGCTGTAATCCCAAACAGGATCGGTCCCTGTAATTTCTTGGCCATATATTCGGAGGAATCGGCGTTGATCTATACGGTTCGAGAATATAGACACGCCCATTTCGTTGTGCTTTGCTTCTATGTAATTATTAGTTGGGTCACCATTTCGGAGGAGGATATAATGTCCATAAAATTTGGCTCACCTCAGTTCTGCCGCGGCTTGACGATCCCGTCGTGCGTGATGTAGAACACGATAGTGCTGTCGTCGTCCACCGTCGCCAGCAGCACGCGTTTCGTCGTCCTCCATTTGTTCTTCAGGACAGGTTCGCCACTGCTCGTTTCTCGAGCCGAACCACTGCCAGCGTTCGCCGGCTGCCCCTCTTGAGGGAACAGTTCCGTCCCTGCCTGCGGATCGTCTACCTCTGGCGGCTCATGCGATACCTCATCGAACACCGCCGCCATCTGCTTCAAGCTCCACCGCTCCCTCAAATGTGTCGGCAAGATCCACTCGCGCTCCGGCTCCGGCTCCTCATCATCCTCATCCTCATCCGCAGCATCTCCACCGCCGTTTTTCCTCGCCTCCCGCCGCTGATCCCCCAGCTTCACCTGTTCGATCTGCTCGTCGGGATGCACATAGATCCGCCGCGGCGGCAGCCCTGAGATCAGCGGACGCGGGAGCGGCGCAAAGGGAGTGGTCGGGGAGGTGTGGTGGATGGTGATCTGCTCCCATTGGTGCTGGTAGCGGAGGTTATGGGCCACTTGGAGCGCGAGGTGGAGGTATGGATCGGGGGCAGGAGATCGGTCGGCGAGGCGGTAGGATGAGATGAAGGTTTGCAGAGGGCTCGCGGCGGGCGGGGAGGTGGGTTTTGACATGTTGGAATCTAGGTCTTTAGGCGTCCACGGAGGTTCATTGCGGAACAGATCGAGAGGTTGATCGTGCAGTCATAAGCACAAAATTCACGGGCTTCCGCTGGGAAATTTCCAGATGGGATTCAACGCGGGCGATGATTGGCTGAAATTGGAAGTCTGGAGTAGTGAGCCGGCGAATCTGCAGCTAGCTCTTTATGGAATAGTGTAATATTAGCGCACTAATGGTTGCAAGGCTAACCAAATAGGGAAGAATTTTATTCGATAATTACCAGTAACGGCCGTAATATTTGACCATGGTCGCGATTTGGGGGAATGTTGAGCAGTTCGTCATCTTTCCGCCCCCAACTGAACTTCCTAGAGACAGGCCCAGATAGGATCGGCAGGATTCGTGTTCAACGAAATGTATTAATATTGCTTGATTTATATGTAGTGCAGTCGGCAGTGCCATCTTCCACTCCTCATCTCTGCTTCTTCTCCTTACAATCGGGTTTTGGATATCTCATAGGGCCTAGCATCCAAAACCGGTTTATACAGTCGTCAACAAGGGTCTCAAGACCATTGCTGGGGTGATCGCATTCGCGTTCAACTGAACAATCATTGTGCTACTACCTACGTCAATTGCCACTGCCGCAAACTTGGAATCGCTTTCTAGCCGATTGGAGAATTAAGGGCACGTTGAGGACCTCGTCTACGATCAAAATTAAGCCGTCTCGCCAGACCGCCTGGGAAGCATGCCCTTCCATCTCAAAGACAACCACAGTGTTCACTGAACATTCATACGGAGGCTAGGAGCATCGACAAGTCCGTTATAGCGGAGATGACGTCCAACGACGCTTCGCAATCCTCTTCCTCCCGTTCTCCGCCGCAAGATGCTCTTCCCCAGACATCGCACCCCCTACCGCCGACCATGCCTTCCGCTCCCTCGCCCTCGCGGCCTCATTTCCCAGCCCCTGGACGCACCACCACCGCATCATCATCCACATCCAGGACATCTATTGCTACAGCGGGCACCCGATTACGATCCGCATCGCAGAAACTGCTGGACGCCGACGTGCCGCTCGGATTCATGTCGGCGAGCGGCGCCGTCGTATCGAAGGCCCCGACGTTGGCGGATATCCGCACGGGAGGTTTTGGGTTGAATGGATGGACCGGGGAGGGACAGGATCGCTCACCGAGGAGGAGAGGTAGTGGAAGCGGTGGAGTACTGGGGCCGCCGTCAAGAAAGGCGACGGGAGGACTTGAGTCGGAGCCGTTCCCCGTTGTGAAGGAGGAGTCGCATGTGGCCAACCCAGAGAAACCCGCACACAATCATCCCGAGCACGCACAATTCGAGCCACAAGAGGGGAAGAACAAAGACTTTGGCGTTCAGTCCATTACCAAATCCACCACCACCTCCACCGAACCCCCTCCCGGCCTCCCTCGACGAGTCACATACGGCTACGTCCCCCCTCCCCACGTCCCCTGGACGACCAGCACCGCCATCGCCCTAAAAGCCTTCCTCCACTGGTTCATCACCCCCTTCGGCTTCCTCATCACCCTCTACGGCCTCAACATCGTCGCCTGGGGCGGCATGCTCTTCCTCCTCCTCTGCAACGCCGCCCCCGCCATGTGCCACCCCTCCTGCAACGACATCAACTCCCCCCGCCGCATCTGGATCGAAATCGACTCGCAGATCCTGAACGGTCTATTTTGCGTCACCGGCTTCGGCCTGATCCCGTGGCGCTTCCGCGATCTCTACTGGTGGGCCGTGTGGCGGCTGGGGATCCGTGGTGGAGCGCGCGAGAAGCGCATGGGCGGCATCCGCCGGCTGGCGGGCATTCATCGCGGTTGGTATCGATTGGCCGGCAGCGAAAAGCGGCCGTTGACTGCGTCGGCTGCGCCGACCAAGTCAGAACAGGGAGTCGACACGCCGGACGATCTGAACGAGGCATTGCCGATCCCTCCGTCCAAACAGCCGGATGATCCGCTCACCGGCGTACGTGCCACGCCGACCCGTCCGTGGAAGATGGACTTCGTGGTCTTGATGAATGTCGCGAACACGTTCCTGCAAGCGTGCCTCGCAGGGTTCATGTGGGGATTGAACCGGTACGATCGGCCGTCGTGGTCGACAGGATTCTTCGTGGCGTTGGCGTGCATCGCGGCCGCTGCGGGGGGGTTGATGATATTTCATGAGGGTAAGCGAGCAATGTATCTTGATGTTCGAGACAATGGCTGATGGTGAATAGGCAAATGCGTGAAGAAAGTTGAGGGGCTGGCGCCGAAACTTGATCCGAAACCCAAAGATGTCGAGAGGGCCGAAGTCTCGAATGATGAGAAACCCGCCATCGACGACCGGAAGTCGCATGCTACAAGCAGATAGCGATCCTTTTGACTAGTCCAATCCATTTTCAATATTTCTATGAGCCGTTTTTAATGTTGCTTTTGTCTATCCCTTGAGCCTGGTCTACTTTCCGTAGTCCATTAAAGATATAGACCTTACTGCTTGAGCCGCCATTGTACCATTAAGCCTGCACTGGTTCATGACGCTCTCATTCACTCTCGATGTCTTACTAACCAGTATGTCGACCTTCTTCAGCCACTTAAGACAGGCGAACTAATTACTACATCGATGAATTTCGGGTCTAAGGAGGCATATTCACGTCTAAGGCACTATCTCACTGCAGGAAAGCGCATGCATGGCTGCGGCAAGGATGGAGGCCGCCACTGAAATCACTCCACTGCCACCGGATTTGACACCGGCAATTCCTTTCATATCCTTGGGAATATAAATGGACTATTTCATTGAGTTTCTGGACGGGGACAGACTACCACAAAGGCATTGGATCGGAATAGGCACCCTTGGATGGGATTGACGGACGTGAGGGAGCGGGTGGGAGATTTTGTATCTGGAAAAATCCCCACCTTAAGGGTGAAACTCAAGGGCGAAAAGATGGCGTTCTGCCGCTAATATGGACATTTAAATGTCTAACTGCCCGATCAAGTTACCATGGCATTAACAATTAACCATCTAAGAAATCTAGTAAGATGGCGGTCGAGGCCGGTCTACAGACTTGTACTTCGTTGGGCGTGCAGCTTGCTGGTCCTCTCCACATTTATGAATACGCACATGCGAGGCTGTTGGAGGATTGAGAGCTTGGATTGATATAAATCCCAATACATACCTCCAATATCAATTTCGTGAGAATCAAACTCAAGACTTTCCTGTCATTATTCTCAATTCCTAATCGTTGATGTGGAAGCGATCATTCAACGTTTTAAGCCCGTTGGAAATTGACACATTCGCAGTCACATCCCGTGCAATACCGCGATTAAAGTCGCTCTCTTCAGCGACCTTCACCAGGACGACTCCTAATCAGCAAACCAGTACACCCGAACTTTCCTCCTTTAATATCAAGGTCCCCCTTCTGACTCTCTCCTCCCAGCCGACCAACATGTCCGCCCCTCCCAAAGAAGACATCCAAACGATGCACCACCACATCGTGGGCCTCGAAGAGATCCATACCCCCTACCCCACCCCCTCCTTTCCCCACCCGTACACCCAAACCAACCACCACACCACCTCCCCCTCCGAACTCCGCTCCCGCATTGCCGATGCCACCATTCTTATCGCCACCACCGTCAAACTCACCGCCGACATCCTCCGCCCCTCCGTCACCCCGCGCCTCCGCCACATCGCCGTCATGGCCAGCGGCACTGACCACGTCGACCTCACGGCCGCCCAGGCGCGAGGGATCCGCGTCACCAACACGCCCGGCGTGATGATGGAGGCGGTGGCGGAGCACGCGGTGGGGCTGTACTTCGCGGCGCGGCGGCGGATCGTGCGGACGATGGACCTGAGCGTGGGGCGGGCGACTGAGTGGAAGACGCGGGAGAGCGTGGCGGGGCGGATGCACATGGCGGATGGGGGTGCGCCATTGACGTGTCGGGAGGAGGTGGTGGGGGTGGTGGGGTGGGGGAAGATTGGGCGGGAGATTGGGCGGTTGATGAGCGCGTTGGGAATGAGGGTGGTGGTGGCGGGGAGAAAGGGCGCGACCGGGGGGGAGGTGGGGGAGGGGAGGGTGGAGTTTGAGGAAGTGTTGAGGACGTGTACAGTAGTGGTGTTGGTGGTGCCGAGGAAGAAGGAGACGACGGGGTTGATTGGGGAGAGAGAATTGGGGATGATGAGGAAGGAGGCGGTGATTGTGAATGTTGCGAGAGGTGGGATCGTCGATGAGGAGGCCATGGTGAAAGCGTTAAGAGATGGGACCATTAGTGGATACGCTACGGATGTTTTTCGAGTCGAGCCGGCCGACGAAGAGGATACGCCGATCTTGAGCGAAGAGATCATTCGAAACGAGGGGTTGAATATCACGGCCACTCCACATGTTGCCTGGTATGGCGACAGTACGCAAAAGAACCTCAACAGGGTTCTAAAGGAGAACATAGAGAAATGGGTACGCGGGGAGGACCAGAACATCATTGTATAATGCATTCGTAATTAGATATTAGTCAGATAGCTAACCCCATATCAAGCGTTTATTGACATGGATCCAGAAGGTTGCTCTGCAAGAGGTGAAGTATAGGTGACGCAGAGATTAGGACGACTTCCCATGGATGAACACTCTCTCTTCCAGGGGTTTGAACGTCTTCTCCCCAGGTTCGCCCGCCCGTCCACCAAAAACGAGCTGTGCCTTCATCATCCAGTCCGTCGGAATATTCCATTCCTGCTTCGCACGCGCGTCGACGATCGGGTTATAGTGCTGGAGATTGCAACCCAATCCCTCCTGCTCCAATGCGGTCCATAACACGTATTGGTGCATGGCGTTGGTATGCTCGCTCCACTGCGTGAACTTATCCGCGTACATGGCAAACTTCGTCTCGAACTCGTGGATGACGGATGCGTCTTCGAAGAAGAGGATCTGGAAGTGCGTTAGCCCGTGCTTCATTGCTGGATATGAGGGGATGATGTACCGATCCGCATCCGCCTTGGAAGCCGTTCAATCTCGCTTCAGACCCTTTCCATGCCTCGGGAGTTGGCACATGGGGTTTCACGACCTCCTTGACAAGCTCCCAGAATTTCTCATGCTCTTTGCCGAGTAGGACGACTAATCGCGTGCTCTGGGAATTGAAGCTGCTAGGGATGTGGAGAACGGCGTGATGGACGATCTCTTCGATCCGTGAATCGGGGATGGGGGATTTCTTGTTGAGCCCATAGATGGTGCGGCGGGCCTTGACGGCCTCGAGGAACGTGTCCGAGTTACCCATCTTGGTGAAAGTGATCGAGAAAGCTCGAGGACGGGAGAAGATCTTCGGACTCGGAGTGTATGGTACTTTGGGAACTGATGATCGGATAGAGACTCAGAGAATTGAAGGAGATGCCAATGACTTTACAGACAACAGACATCCGGCTCCACTAACCGCAGTATGCCGATATGACATGACAGAAGCAATGGAAATTTAAGAAGCTGGTAGACTACCGGTTGAGAGTCCGATAGACGAGGTCATGCTAAAGTACTAACTTAACTAGTAAACTTACCTTAGCGGAGGGAACAGGGGCATAGCACCAGTGTCGATACCGTGGTAGCACCGTAGTGTCGTTTCCCTGTATAGATCATCCACACGGAGTGGTTTTAGTGTCGTTCGTCACTCGTGTTAGTAGGAGTTACGGAGATCCTGGACATTATGGAGTATATATGCCGCAGTGTCAAGTTTTGACACCATGTCCTCGAAGACCTGTATCGTGCGAAGTTCACGTGCTAGTCGTCGTACGGTGTCAAATTCCTCGTCGTGTCAAGTGGCGGTCCGTGTCAAACGGTCCGCCGTGTCAATCTCTCTTCGGTATCAGGGACGTCCCGTGTCTGCCTCATTCTCCGTATAGAGATCACATGACCTTGAAATTGCTCAATTCACCAGCTGTTACGGTTATTGTCTATATCTAGGCTCCACTATGTAGCCTCCATAGTAATCATCATCTTCTTCGTCTACTACTGTCGCCAATTGCAACACCAGCTAGCTCCTATCCACCGATCCACCTGCCCACGCCGCCAGAATATCCCGTCGTCCATCACCGAATCGATCTAATCCTGCAACCTGTGTCCACCGCCTTGGGTGCGATGTAATGTTGATACTAGAGTCGTCTGGTCGGGCTGCAAGAAGGGAGCGTTGGTTTGAGACTAAGTGATGGGGATAGAACAAGATACCTGCACAGGTATCGATCGGTTCGGGGGAGCAGCGCTGTGATATGGAGCGATCAGCTTGGGAATACTAGAAACGGGTACGGTGCTTACTTGTAGTGATTGTTTCGGTTAACTACCATAGAGCTGTGATGAGGGAGCGATCAGCTTAAGAGATATAATAGAAGATGGGGACACTAACTCGTATGGACTGATTGACAGTAGGAACTATATTCGTGGAACGATCGGTTTAGTTAGTACCGGTATGATAATATGGGGAGGGAATAATTACATGTATCGTACCTCTTGGGAGTTATTAGAGCCATAGCAGTGCCTTCTTAACCCAGATATACTCGTCCGTCTCTTTCGAATTCGATAAGGTGACGAATCTATTATCATCCTTCTTGATTAGAACAAAGTAGAGCTGATCCGTCGATGACAGGGAGGCCAAGGATAAACGGAGCCATTGCCTCGTTTTGACCATCTTCTGAAGGAACTATGCGCACCCGGCGGTAACCTATACCGAGTCGGTCGTCGACGATAGCTGTATCCGGGTTCGCACAGGGACCACCGATAACGAAGAGACGCCGGACGCGATCGAATGTATGGATAAAGATATGGTCGATGCGAATGATAGACCTGCCAGTATCGACCACTCCTCGAGTCCTAATATAGATAAAGTCTCCCAGCTTGAACGTAAAACGCTTCTCTTGCTTGGGGTCAGTGAACGAAAGCTTCTTACACCACTGGAAAGTGCTACCATAAAACTGGACAATGTTAGGCAGGCCGTAGTCTGCGTAAGCGGTGATAAGAGCACGTAGGAAAACTGTATCCATATGCGTCCATCGGGTTGGAAGCCCAAGTTGCTCACGGCAATGCTTCGCCTGGATACAACCGATAGCTGTTGGTCGCTCATGGGTATCGTCGGGGCGGACGCGGCAGTCATCATCGTCGTCGTCTATAGCTCTATCAAGGGCTATTAGCTCAGATCGAGGGAGAATTGAAGTAAATAGTGTCGGGAACTGGCGAAGGAGATCCTGAGTAGCTATAGTCAAGTTGCGGTAGGCCTCAGAATCGCTATAGGCGAAGGCGTTGAGTAGTAATAGTCGAATGGTTTACCGTAAGTCCTCCTGGATAAGGGTTCTCGCTCAACCTTTTGATGGTTCGTCTGGTAGATGACCTTCTTAAAGAAGCGATGCTTGTCCTCGCCGACGAGGACGTTACAGTTGCTCGGCATAGCATACTCTTCTGCGAGTTGAGGATAATGAAGAGCAGTATGCATGTTCGGCTTTTTGATGTCGCTTAGATATAGCACGGCCTTTGCTGCCGATTCCTTAGGGACGTCTACCGTATGCTCGACGCCGGGCCTAGGGCCTTGAGTACGCTGAGATTGGGTCGTCCCGGTTGGCTGAGATTCCCGAGAAAGCGATCGACGACGGCGGGGATTCTCTGTCAACGAATCAGCTGCTTGTTGGAGGAGAGATTGGAGCTGATTGCGGTGTCTTGAAACAATCTCGGTCATTCGTTGACGGTCAGCTGCATCGATGTGATCTCCCATCAGAACACAATTACTCTGCGCGGCGGCTGCGTAGCAGTTGATAATCACCTTAACCGGACTCTCTCCGGTTCTCCTCAACGACGCCAAGAAATATGGCTAGATATGAGTCTCCCGTAACCAACAGCGTAATAGGACTGGGATTACTAGCGACCACCGGGCATGCTCAGACAAGGAGTAGCTCTTCAAGTGGCGAAGTGGGCCTTGGACATGCGGCCAATTCGGGGGGAAGGGGAACGATCGGAGCGTTTCGGCGTAGCTCTGGCAGCCCTTCGTCGTAAGGATCGCATCGAGGAGGAGGCTATGCATCATCCGACTAAGTCCCAGATACTCTGAGTGAGCAGGATCTCCCGGTCTTGACATGATAAGATCGAGGGCAGGGGATATCTTTATAAGGGAAGGGGCAGCCAGGTTGAGACCCCATCTTGTAGCATACCTCTCCCGTGCGGCCTGCGTAATACAGGCGTTCATAACCTCGCGCATCGCGAGGGTTTGATGATGATATCGCCCGTTTCGGAACGTATCGTAGAAGAGGTCTCCGCGGGATTCGTTGTCTATGAAGCAATTGCGACAGCCAAGCTTTGCACGCTGAGACTTCATACCTGCATTTTCCTGCTGCTGTGGCATATCACCAAGGTATGCCATAGTAAACGCACAGAGGAGGACCTTCTCCCCTCCTTGAAGGGTGACTTCTTGCCCTCGGTCAAGCCGTTTCATAAACGGCTCGAGGGCAGAGATAACGTCGTCGAAGTTGCTGCCATGGGGACCAAGCGTAATTGGGAAGACGTTCGCTCGACGAGCTCTCTCCTTAAAGGATAGTCCCGCAGGGATGATATACATCCCCATTAACGTTCGGTACGTTGTCCGGTATAGACCAAAGCCGTCAATGAATATATTTAGGGCGATTGAGACGGTACGCCCGACAGATGATACTCTGTATCAAATCCAGTAAGGTGGTCGCCTCCAAATTCGGCCAACTCTAGCTTGCCACGGAGGGGATTGCTAAGGCAGAGCGGAGTAACAGTCGGTTGATAGATCTCGGAACCCTGATCGTCGTAGATACGCCGGATGAGGAGGCTCGGTCGAATTGTTAAAAGGCGAATACTTTCCCCTTCCCAGATCGATCATCTCCAAAGTTGTAGTCTAGCTGGACGTCTGGGATATAGGAAATGATCTGACACTCGGAGACAAAGTAGTAGAAGTTCCATGAGAGGAGCCCCTCATAATCAAGGACCGGAGGATCTAGCTGTACCGTAATATCGGATTTCAAGAGCACTAGCTCGATCTCAATCACGATATGGCCTGTCTGACCGGATCTGAAATCCCGTCCAACGCCGTAGACCCGGCCAGTATGTAGCTTCTGGTTCTCGGCGCCCTGGGAGCAGTGGCAGGGCGCTTCACCACAAATGAAAGTGACAAAGTCGGATGGAAAAATCGGCATCCCCGACTGGTAATGCGCGAATGCCCCAGACGTCGCGCGAATCGATGATGCCCAGGCGTGAGAATGCCATAGCTCAGAGGGCTCGTCGTGATACTCCGCCATTCCAGTATGGATCTTATCCATCAAATCAGAGCTAGCAATGTTGCAGAAGAGGGAGAAAGGATTGATAAAATAGAGGTCATCCGTAAGCTTATCCAATGCCGCGTGATGCTGCTGCTCCCGGGCAACCTTCTCGGGAACCAGTGGAACTGGCTTCCTTCGGAGGTCCATTAGCGGAAGCTGGCCACGAACCTGACGTTTCAACGTTGAGAGGCCCGTAGGTAGGCTGCGAATTGCCCGAGGTAGATCGTTGCCGGCCATAGTCAGTGCTTCGAGTAAGGCGGTATATTGTGGGCGAGAAATCCCGGCATCGATACACCAGAGTCCGATAGCAAGATGGAAACCAGACTGGAACTCCGTACGGGGGTAGTCAAAGGGAATAGACTTATCCTCGGGGATATCGGTAGCTTTGGGATTTCCCCCTGATGTCGTAACGGGTGAGGGTGCTTCCTCGGTCTCGTTGAAGGATTGAGTCGGGATGCTTTCGTACCTAACAGACTCGACCACGTCATCGTATTGATCGGCTTGTTGGAGCTCCTGGAGGTCAAGATCGATTGGTAGAGTTGCGGTCGTGGTAGGAGTATCGTCCTCCTCGGTATCGAGACGGGATACGATATCGCGTAGGTCAACAACACTCCCGCGTTCATCCGGCTAGTTGATGTCATGAAGCTGGAGGCCACCGATATCGTTGTCGTCACTCCCACTGTCGATATTAGCCCGCTTGCTGCTGCTTTCGACTGGGTTTGGATCCTGGTTGACGGCTGCCATACGGCGGATCCTAGAACGGCGGAATTGTTGGCGGTTCTGCCCCGATATCACGACTCGTGGAGCCATGAAACCGGTATCTGAAGCACCCTGAGCGTAGCAAATCGAGTCAGGGGGGATTAGGGGTTTGAACATAAACGGAGTACTAATCCGAGAGAGAGTCCGGGAGACGATAAGACTTGAGGATAGTGGGTAGAAGGAAAATAGACTGAGTGAGTGCGCTTGAAAACGAGTAGGCGCCTACCCATGTGACTTCGATGGAGGAGTAAGACAGACTCGTATCAACCGTACGGTACGCTTCTATCACCTTGCCTCGATTTCTCGCTCTTCCTCCCTCCCTCTCTCTTCTCCTCCTTCTTTACGCGATAACATCATCACCGTTTGTCCGTTTGTTCCTCTCTGGATCTAGGACATCAAGATCGGTCTCATCGGTTCAAAACCAGCACGGCAGTGCTCAGCTTCAACGCGAATTTCCCCGCAGAAAATGGCCACCCCGAGAGGGGGTCGTGGAAGGCGGCGTAGTACGAGGGGTAGGGATGAAGTCTCTATAGAGGTAGTTAAGGGCAAGAAATTAACTGCTTGGTTCCCTCCCAGTTTTATACTAACCTAGTGGTTATACCTAGGGTCCCCGAGGACGCGGTATTGGACCAAGTGGCCTTAGCGCTTCTACTGGTTCCGGAACTTACACTCCAACTCTCAGCGGTTCTAGGAGAGGTCAGCAGGCTCGAACCGACCCGATGCCGATAGAACCTCTCCTCCGGTTTTTCGGGACTACCGATAGCGGCGATACCGCTGTCGGTAGTCCCCTTCCCGGAAGTGTGGTTCATTCGGTCAGCCTCGACGATGATACCGAGCTTCCTGCGACCCCTGAGTCTCAGGGGTCGGCCGGTACGCCTCCTGTGAAGAGCTTCCTTATCCTGATCTCGAAGGAAACTCGGATGAAGATGCGTTCCCGCCTCATCGATGGTGAGCGACTCGACCACGTCACCCGGGCTTCAGAGGCCGTAAGTGGATTCGTTCCGAAGGAGGAACTCAGCGAGTATATCCGTCGCCTCGACCGCGTCATCCGCTGGAATACCTTCTTGACGCACAGTAACATCAATGCCTATAACATGATCGACTTCGTTACCGACGGAAAGGTTGCTGTAGATGCCTCCGAGTTTTGGATCCTTCGTACAAAGATCCTCGACAATGTCCGCACCTATAAGAACAAGATGCTGGCACGCTTCGAGGTAGGCTTACTCTATTCTACTAGTCTAGATACTAACATTACCGTGAGATCCATATCAAGAGCCTTATCGAGATCGAACCCTGGATCAAGAACATGAACGAGGATGGTCTCCGCAAGCGTCTAGAATCGAAGTTCAACGCCCAGAACTTCCTGTTCGTCTGGTACTACATGAAGGACTACATAGACGTCGACAACTCTGCCCCTCTTGGGAAATGGTTTATGAAGAGTATATTACTTCCTAAAACCTCGCTTTCCCGCGACTTAGACTCACCAGTGTTGCTTCTAGATATGTACGTCAATATGGGCGTGTACGTCAAGTCCTGGATGGACGAGAACGAGAGTAAGGATATCCGGGAGCGGCTTCTTCAAGCCTATGACCTATGGGCCCTCAACGAAGCGTTCGATGACGTCGATAAGGGCGACTTTATGGAGTTGTCTCAGAAGTTCCGCAATGAGCGTAAGAAGAAGAAACGCGACTTTGCCACTATCAACAAAAATGTTCATCGTTATAGGCGATCGTCCTGCGAAACAGTCTCCGCTTCGTTCTCGCCATGATGGAGATTCTGAGCCGGAGCAGGCCGCGAGCCTGACGTCGCGTAGTGGTGAGGACCCATTCGGTGACGACGGCATCAACCGGGCTAGCGGTACGGGAGATGGCGATACCGAGTCCCAGTTTGGTGGGGATGCCACTCAGGACGATGAATACGAGTTCGCTTATCGAACCATTTGACCGCCGACTCATCGCCCCTAAGGTGGGATAGTGCCGCCGAAGGTGAGGTCGTGTGTAAGGTCGGTCGTGGGTGAGGTCGTGGGTTAGGAACCGCCTGTTAACTAAGAAACGTCAGTCAGGTAGTCGAAAGCAGTATACCAAGCAACGCATGTGGATTCCGTGACCGGTTTGATGCTATGGCCTATGGGAGATGCAGATGCAGGGAAATGTGGGGTGGGAAACGGGGGGGGAAATCCCCTGTGGGGGGCCCTGTGGGAGCCCCTCCCCTCCAGATACCGTGTCGACACAGTGTCAGAAACCTTCCCGTGTCAACAGTATTCCCGTGTCGATAATGCACCGTGTCGTAGAACATGAACAGTGTATCTCCTGCGGCATTAGGAGTATCCGTGACGATAGAGTATTAAGATGGGTACGCTTCGCGGACCAATTACGAGAAGATATAGCTACTAAGAAATATATTGGCACTGTATCACCACAGCGGAACCCCCCACATGGAGTCGACACAGTTGCATTCCCCCTGTTCCCTCCGCTAAGGTAGTTACTACTAACTGCTAAGTAACCAAGTTACCAATAACCAAGCCAAAAGTCTGCGCACAGACCCCTTACTTTGACAATCAATAACTTTACCAAAATGAGGTCTTTTGGCACAAAAATAAGTGATAATCGAGGGCCTAATAAGGAGCTATCAGTTGCTCAAAGAGCTGGGGTTGTTCAGGCTGCTGAAGATGGGAAACCAAAGACTGAAATCGCGCGCAACTTTCGCGTCTCTCGAAGCGCGGTGTATGGGACCCTAGAGAGGTGGGAAGAACACCAAACCACCGTATCTTTACCCCGTAAAGGGAGTCCCCATAAGCTATCACGCTCTGGCGAACGGCATATCGTTCAAATCGCGCGTCGATTTCCTGAAATGGAATATGGAGAGCTCCTCGCAGGTATTTCGTACCTCCGCGTTTCTAGGAAGACTATCTACCGAATCCTTAAGAAATATCACCTTACGAAATGGCGAGCGAAGAAGGGACCTTACCTAAAACCCTACCACGTAAAAGGCCGCCTCCGATTTGCCCACGAATTCCTTGAATTCGACTTCTTCAGGACCCACTCTACAGACGAGTGCTCGTATGAGAAGGGGACAGGCGGTAAGCAGGTATGGGTATGGCGCCTGTACCACGAAGCGTATGAGTCGCGAATGGTAGAGCCAAAGACGTCAGGGAAGGTGATTTCGTAGATGATTTGAGGCTTAATTTCGCGTGATGGGCGATCAGATCTGGTGATTATGGACCGCGACGAAACCTCCGCAAGACAGGGCTATTCCGCAAAATCCTACATCGCTGCATTAGAGGAGAGACTCCTCTCTACGTACGAACCCGGAAATGTTGTTATCCAGGATAATGTAAAGATCTATACGGCTAAAATTACCTAAGAATGGCTGGAGACGCACGGTATCTGGGTCACCGATTGGCCGGCCAATTCCCCAGATATTAACCCTATCGAGCATATATGGCATCTATTGAAAACCAAGGTCCTAGAGCTCCACCCTGAATTAAAGCCGATAGGCACCTCAGAGGAGGCACGGGAGGCTATGAATGCGGCGTTAGAGGAGGTATAGTGGGCGATCCCTTAGGAGACGATCCGAGAGCTGATCGACTCAATTCCGCGACGTCTACAGGCGGTAATCAAGGCAAAAGGGTGGCATACGAAATATTAGATATTTCCCAATTAAGAAATCAAAAAAGTAGACTGAATTTGCATTTGTATGTGTTTTGCAGCGTATCTAAAGATACGGTGTATAGCGATTAGATTTGGTGATTTTCGGGGGTGTGTGCAGACATTTGTCTACTTAGTGTACTCTATGATGTTGGTCACTAGAGTAACTATACGGGATAATTAACTTACCCTAGGAGTTCCGCGACGATCAACACAAATATCAAGGCTTGTAAACATTCCTAAGTAAGAGGCGACTAACCTTCACTTACAAGCCGTGATAGTAACTATTGCTTGAAAAAATCATTCATGTCAACGTCTTTATCGAACACTCCCACAGCTGCAGAAGAGTTTCTTTGTGTTGTTACATCCCTGATCCGCAGGTTGACCTTTCCGACAACACTCTCAGGTAATCCTACCAAAGCTCTCGAATCGTCGGACGTTATGATGTTGGAAATATCATGGCCTGTCCGTTTGGAGCGCACTTGTGAGAAAAGAGCAGCAGAAGCCACCTGATCAGCCTCGAAGAGGCGTGACTGTTCTTCAACTTCCTGAATGGCTAGGGTTCGCTGTGCACCACCATCTTCTTCGTCGTCTAGCCCTTCCTGTAGCCCTTGCACACGCTTTTGTGCGTCACCTTGCTGCTTCTTGGTAAGATCTATATGCTCTTGGATCTTGGCCTCGAGAGCCTGCAACTGTGCCTTCAGTTTCTTGCGATCAGTCTCCGACGTTTGTTCGGAGCGGAGTTGAACGATTCTTTCTAGAGAGTCAGCATACATCCGCGGAAGTGATATAAGATAGCTGACCTACAATTGGGTACTTGTGACGGCAAAATGGACCGTAGTCTGGCAAGACTGGACCTGCATTCTGAACGTCCGGAATTTTTCTCTATTCCACACGCCGACTGAAAGGCGATCTCTAAGGGAGAGTTGTGTGCCGCCGGAATGTTTCGTCCATCGCTTTAAATTGTCCGTAAATTTGGCGCATGCCTGGCCGCAGTTGTTCACGGCTTCGACGACACCGGTCTTCTCCAGATCCACTTTGGCTGCGGTATACATTGCTGCGTCTGAAATGATGAGATCCTCCAGGGCGGCCAACGGGCGCTGCACACCCTCTAAGTTTGAAGCAATATCTTGTACTACATCTTTAGCCTCAGCAAGATTGTCAATGAAGTTATGAAGTTGGACGATGCTGGAGATAGCAAACGTCGTAATGCCTAGAGTGCTTGCAGTAATACTAAGAGGATCCATGGGTTCTGGTTCGAGGACGTGAGAATTAATGAATGGAACCCGTATGAAATCAGAAGAATCGTAATAGAAGAACGGAGATGTTTCTCTGATAGATACCTACGGATGGATGGATTTTCGTAAGCATAAAATGGACGAGGCTGTTGAGAAAGGCGAACGGGCTGTATTTCTGTTGGGACTGAAGGCTGCTGTTCAGATGAGGTGATGCTGCACGGCTCCAACAAATCATTGTGCATGGCTGAACGCTGCCGTTAAGCGAGCCAGACGAAGCATTTAATTAGAACCGCTTCGAATTGGGAATAACAGTTTTGTTGCTGGACATCCCATGCTGTCTTGATGCATCACAAATGATAATAGTGCTGATCCTCAAAGCACTAGTTAGCAAAGGCTTGTGTTATTATCGCCACTGTGAAGCCGTATGGCGGGCAGCACTCAACACATCAGCAGCGTGTCCATCGACAACCACTCCCAGGCTGCAGTGGGTACCTTCCAAGCACCAGTGTATATAGGGAACAAAGAAAGCGAGTATTATAGCTGTACACTAGATGACGAGGCTAATCGGTCGTCTAGATCTGAACGATGCGCTCAATTCCCTCCCTATTGCTAAGGACGCGGCGTTCGACACCTATTACCGACATGAGCCGACCTGCCTTCCCAATACCCGCGTCGATCTCCTCAAAGATATATACAACTGGGCAGATGGAGACAATTCGCCGACCATCTTCTGGCTGAGCGGTTTGGCCGGCACCGGCAAGTCCACAATCGCGCGAACGCTGGCTGCTAAGTACTTGGACACCGGCGGTATTGCAGCTAGCTTCTTCTTCTCAAGAAATGGTGGAGAAGGTGGATATTTACGTCATGGTGAAAGATTCGTTACAAGCATTGCAGTGCAGCTGGCCAGCAATGTACCGCCTGCAAAACAGGCCATATGCGGTGCTATTTTTGCGCAGAGTAACATCGCCAGCCGGGCTCTCCGCGAACAATGGCGGCATCTCATTCATAGGCCACTATCGGAGCTACCAGACAGAAACTGCCAGTCTCGATATATCCTTGTCGTTGACGCGCTTGATGAGTGCGAGAACGAGAACGACATCCAGACCATTTTACAACTATTAGCGGAGACTCGGTCCTTAGAGACGGTCCAGCTTCGAGTGTTCCTAACCAGCCGGCGTGAGATTCCGATCCGGAACAGCTTCGTCCAGATCCCCGATGATGTGTACCAGGATGCTATCCTCCACGAAATATCGTCGTCGATTGTCGATCATGATATCCGAATTTTCTTGCGGCACGAGCTCGAACAAATTGCTCGTACGCACGGTCTCCCTGTTAGTTGGCCTGGCGACCAAGTCGTTGATCAACTAGTTGGCAGTTCATGTGGGCTATTCATCTGGGCGGCAACTACATGTCTCTTTATCAACGAAGCCAGAATGTATGCTCCAGATCGCCTATCTATAATCCTCAAGGCCGACTCTGCGGATGACTCGGCAGACGGGTTGTCTTCAGATAGCTCCACGACAGATGATAAGAATGACGATCCCGTAATGGCTCCACAACAGCACCTAGACAAACTCTACATCACAGTTCTCCGGAGTTCTGTCCAGAAATACAAGAAGCCGGAAAGAAAGAAATGTCGCAAGCTACTAGGAACAACCATGGAGACCATTGCTGTCCTATCTTCACCTCTATCTACCCACTCATTAAGCAAACTGCTTGACACTACGCAAGAAGGAATACACCAAATACTGAACGATCTTCATTCGATCGTGGACGTTCCAAAGAATTCGACTCATCCACTGCGTTTACATCATCCATCATTCCGCGACTTCATCCTTAACCCAAAGCGATGTGAGGATTTAAAGTTTAGAATTGACAATAAGCAAGTGCATCGGACCCTTGCCATGCAATGCATACAGCTTATGTCCAAAACTTTTAAACAGGACGACATATGCTGTATAGGCCATCCAGGTACGCTTATAACCCAAGTTAAACACAGCCAAATAGAACAACATCTTCCTCCTGAGATTCAATATGCTTGCCTCCACTGGATCCAACATCTCCAGAGGGGTGGGTCACAGCTTAAAGACACCGACCAAGTACATACGTTTTTGCAGAAGAATCTCCTTCGTTGGCTTGAGGCTCTCGGATGGATGAAGAATGTTTCTAAGGGGATTCATGCCATTGTTTCTTTGGAGTCTATGGCAGCGGTAAGCCAGGGTCAAATAAGATACGAATACTTGGCTAACTTACGCTTAGTCGCATAAATGTCTACGACTATTCGAGTTTGTTCATGATATAAAGCGATTCGTTTTATATAACCGGTCAGCGATCGAGCAAGCTCCTCTCCAGACATATTGTTCTGCACTTATATTTGCGCCAGAGGCGAGTATTGTACGGATACAGTTTAAGGGCAGCATGCCCCAATGGATGCGAAGATTACCAAAGGTAGATTATGATTGGAATGCGTTGCTGCAGACGCTCGAGGGCCATTCGGCGGGGGTCCACGCCGTGGCCTTCTCGCCGGACGGCAAGACGCTGGCGTCGGCATCGAACGACAAGACGGTCAAACTGTGGAACGCCGTGTCGGGCGCACTGCTGCAGACGCTCGAGGGCCATTCGACCGGGGCGATGGCCATGGCTTTCTCACCGGACGGCAAGACGCTGGCGTCGGCATCGTGGAACGGGATGGTCAAGCTGTGGGACGCCAGGTCGGGCGCTCTGCAGCAGACGCTCGAAAGCCACTCGAGCGGAGTCATGGCCATAGCCTTCTCGCAAGACGGCAAGACGCTGGCGTCGGCATACGGGGACGGGATGGCCAAGCTATGGGACGCCGAGTCGGGTGTGCTGCAGCAGACGCTCGAGCGCTATTCAATCCCAGACATAGCTCTGGTCTTCTCATGGGACAGTAAGACGCTAGCGTCAGCATCATGGGACGGGACGGTTAAGCTATGGGACGCCAGGTCAGGCGCGTTGCTGCAGACGCTCGAGGACCATTCGAGCCAGGTTAATACCGTGGCCTTCTCGCGAGACGGCAAGACGCTGGCGTCGGCATATGGGGACGGGACGATCAAGCTGTGGGACGCCGGGTTGGGTACGCTGCAGCAGACGATCGAGGGCCATTCGAGCGGAGTCCCGGCTATAGACTTCTCGCGGAACGGCAAGACGCTGGCGTCGGCATCGGCGGATATGACTATCAAGCTGTGGGACGCCAGGTCGGGGGCGCTGCAGCAGACGCTCGAGGGCCATTCAAGCCTGGTCATGGCCGTGACCTTCTCACGGGACAGTAAGACGCTGGCGTCGGCATCGGTGGATAGGACGATCAAGCTATGGGACACTGGGTCAGGCACACTGCAGCAGACGCTCAAGCGCCATTCGAGCCCGGTTAATACCGTGGCCTTCTCGCGAGACGGCAAGACGCTGGTGTCGGCATACGGGAACGGGACGATCAAGCTGTGGGACGCCGGGTCGGGCGTCGTGCAGCAGACGCTCGAGTGCTATTCGAGCCCGGTTAATACCGTGGCCTTCTCGCGGGACGGCAAGATGCTGGCGTCGGCATACGGGAACGGGACGATCAAGCTGTGGGACGCCGGGTCGGGCGCCGTGCAGCAGACGCTCGAGTGCTATTCGAGCCCGGTTAATACCGTGGCCTTCTCGCGAGACGGCAAGACGCTGGTGTCGGCATACGGGAACGGGACGATCAAGCTATGGGACGCCGGGTCAGGCGCGCTGCAGCAGACGCTCCAGGGCCATTCGAGCGTAGTTAAGGTTATAGCCTTCTCGCCGGACGGCAAGACGCTGGCATCGGCATCGAACGACAAGACGGTCAAACTGTGGAACACCGGGTCGGGCGTGCTGCTGCAGACGCTCGAGGGCCATTCGTTCGGGGTCGTGGCCGTGGCTTTCTCACCGGACGGCAAGACGCTGGCGTCGGCACCGTGGGACAAGACGATCAAGCTATGGGACGTTGGATCGGGCGTGCTACAATTGATACTCGAGGGCCATTCCCACCGGGTTAACGCCGTGGTCTTCTCGCGGGACAGCAAGACGCTGGCGTCTGCATCGGCCGACAGGACGGTTAAACTGTGGGACGTCGGATCGGGCGCAGTGCTACAGACACACGATGTTGGGAATATCTGCTACGATCTCTCTTTCTCCGATAACGGCACTTCTATCCAGACGGACCGTGGATCCTGGCCTATTTTATCGCCTTTCTCTGATGGTACAGGTGTGACCAGTCCACAATATCTATTTTCTATCTTTGTTCATGACCAATGGGTAAGTAGCCATACCGAGCGGATCCTTTGGCTTCCTTCCGAGTATCGGCCAAGCGCGATTGCTGTTTATGAGGGTATTGTTGCTTTCGGTTATATATCTGGAAGAGTTATAACCATGGAACTTGCTTTGTAGTGTTCACCCAAGTTTTCTTGACCTCCTACCTACCTACCTCCTTTGTAAATAGTGTCTGTACCGCGTGAATAGCACGAGTATCAACAGCCAGGGAGTAATATTTGATTAGGAACCCAAAGGCTTTGAATGTCAGCAATGATGATTTTGAGTTGCTTGATTTGAGGGCTGAGTCTGTGGGAGGTGCTTACGAAGAAGTACATTGGTCGATTCTGTGAGCCAACTGTCCGAAGAGCATCTTGATTCTTTACAAAACACGCGCTAGCCAGAGTATCCAAATGGCTGGTGAGATTTTACATTCCGTTTTTGAGATTTCACATACGGCTGGTGAGATGTCTCCCTCCGTATTTGAGATTTCTCCCACGCGCTAGTAATTGTAGAAATTAATCGCTCAACTGGACCTAGTGCGCAATTTCCTTTATTTTCGCCTAAGGGACAACTTCAATTAGTTATCAATGTTCAATCTATTCCTTCTCTCACAGACCTCAGCATGGAGGATATCATCATGGAGGATATCACCCCTCCTCCAGATGGTCTTCACGCGTCTTATGAAGAAGCCTACAATGCTCTCAAAATTCATGGTATGCAGCATGGTTACGGCTTCGTTCTCAAACGGAGCAAACCTTACGGTTCTGATATAAAGACGCGATATTACTATCAATGTGATCGATCCGGAAACTATCAGTCAAGAGCAAGGATTCTAAGCACAAGTACACGCACAATAGGGTGTAATTTTAGGCTTGTCATATTCAAAAACAAAAATGACGACCAGTGGAAGCTAGAGGTGCTACACGAGTATCACAACCACCCCCGATCACTTAACCCTAGTGCGCATAATGTCTATCGCAGGCGTACATCAGCACAGAAAGACATAATTGAATCAATGACACATGCCGGGGTACGGCCGATGCAGATAATGGCTGCTATTCAAAAGGAGGACTCGGAAACGCTAGTCTCTGCCACCGATATCCGCAGCGAGAGGAAGGCAATTAGAGAAAAGCACTTAGATGGGAGGAGTCCGATTGAGACATTACTAGATGACTTATCTACGCCGGAATGGGTCTTTTCTGTTAAGAAGGACGCGGATAATCACGTACAAGGTCTCTTCTTTGCCCACCAGAAGCAGATCGAGCTACTGCTTGCGAATCCCGATATCCTATTAATAGACTGTACGTACCGAACCAAGTACAAGCTCCCGCTGTTGCACATACTCGGCTGTACCAATCTATAGACCTTCTTCTCTGCCGGGTTCTGCTTCCTCCACAGCGAGAAAGAAGTAGATTACCATTGGGCAATCTCAAACTTCCTCCTCAAGACAGGGACACCGCAGCCACGCGTGTATATTAGCGATCAAGAGGATGCGGCGAAACTAGCAGCTCGCACTCTGTTTCCAAGTGTTCTATAACTCCTGTGCGTATGGCATATCAACAAGAATGTGCAGACAAAGGCTCAAAAGACCTGGCGAGACGCTGATGGCGTGACAAAAGAGGAGAAGGGGAGAATCGCTGAGAAACGGGCTCAATTCATGAAACGTTGGAGTCAAGTATGCTCCCCGCTAATGGCCTCTTATAAGTCTTTTATAGAACTAACTAGAGCAGCTTGTCTACGCAAAAGGACTACTTATATGTAAGCTGAAGTGGGACGAGTTACTCAAAGACTATGCTGACCAGCAAGAGCTTTGCCAATACTTACGCAAAATCAATGGCATACACGCACTAAGTGGGCAGCTGCTTGGACGTCTCGGCATCGACATTACAATACAATTACCACTTCTCCTGTTGAAGGAATGCACAAGGTTTTAAAAGACTACCTTATGACTTCAACAGGCGACTTCCTATGTCGGGATTGACGCGTCCGTAGTATCATCGGCAACGCGTTGTAGCCACATCTCCTATGCTGTCCGAATCGCCTCCGCTATGAAGTAGCTGTCAATCTTGGAGGCAGTCTCGTCGTATATGGCGGCGCCGGCAGAGTAGAAAAGGTCCTCTATTGAAAGTGGAACCTTGCGGTGCAGCATCGACTTCCTCAATCCACCTGGGGGAATGTCGGCGCCTCTGAAAACTTTCTCCGTTGTCATAGAGCGCATTTCTGCATGGTTTAAGACAACATAGGCATCCAGCAGCTGGCCGTATCGACGGACCGTCCCCCACATACGGTCAGTCGATGTCCATTCCGAGAGCCGGTGAGGATGTCTTTGTTTGTTCTACCACAGTTTCGAGATGCCTGTGGACCCCCCTGTAGCCTTCACAAATCCTAAACTGGTGAAGAAGATCGAGGACACGCCGTTTAACGCCATTGGAGTGTAGAAAGGCACCAAATATGCGGGGAAACTTGTTGCTTCCTTCCGAGGCTCGAGAATAACAGAAAAATAAACTACAGTACATCTATATCCGTTGACCCTCAAGTCTGGCCGAGCTTTTGCAATCGAGTGATGAATCTCTCTAACCGTTCCCAAAGTGCTTCATTCTCTCCTGAATATTTTGCCCATGTCAAATCATCATATACTTTCCAAAAAGTCTCACTTTGTGATATTTGATCGCGAATTTCGCTTCTAGTGCGTCTGATATGTTTTGCCACTTCAAACGGTAGGCGGTGGTATTGATCCTCTGGTGCCAGAGTAAATCGAGATCTGATCTGATAAATCCGATCAAGGGAAATCTGAATCCGAGAAATGTCGTCCAAAGTAAGCTTTGCTTGCTGAAATGTTTCGTATATGATAGCCTCATTCTCAACCAGTAAAGCGGAGACACATGTAGGTAAAATATGCGGTTCAATCTCGGGAAGGATGCGCTTGTACATTGGCAAGTGGTGTAGCTCTTGAAGTAACATGCACTCAACCTGTAGACCATGGGGTTAGAGCTTACATATCGTTAGGTATATGATCCGCACCTTTTGGCAATACTCAACTGGCCCACAGCTTCCAAGCAGCTGTTTAGATTCCGTCAAATAAAGGTCCCTTTTATTATCTAGTAGCTTCCTCTGCAAATTCGCTCGATATGGTAAAATCCAAACCAAATCATTTGTCGCGTCCTGAAAAGGTTTGAGTGATTCCGCAAATCGCTCCAGCCAAGACCCAGAGGAAGTAAGAGGTAGACCATCTGCCGTCTCGTCGCCCTTGTGAGTGAGACCCTCTCTCGAGGCCGTCAGAGGCATTCCTGCGGCCAATGTTGGGTCATCGACCTGAGACTTACAGGCAGCTTGCACGACTTGGAAGAAAAGGTCGGCTATGCCTCGTTTTTCATCGAGGAAAGTCGATGTCCAGACAAAAAGCAGGAGCTTTTCATAACCTAACGGATATTCGACAGGATGTTTATATTCCTCTTCATATTGAAAGAAGCTTCTCTGTTCCCTTTTGACCCAGTGCCTATCCACGTATCGGAAGCTCTAAGATATACGTTTGGCGACAAGTTGGTATCGGTACCACTCACGGGTGTAAAATTCCAGGTTTTCTGGCCAGTTCAAATGTTTCACAGCGGCACACACTTCAGCTAGCTGTTGCTTGAAATGATCCTCAAGACAGTAGTACAGCAGTTCTGTGGTCCAATTCACGATGTCCCCACGGAAGGTATGAAGGTATCGCGCTGGTGATAATTTGATGTAATCAGTTTCCGTGATTTCTATATGGCTTATTTGTGCAATTGAGGGTCGAACACCTACGTCTCAGACGGGTGCAATAGGAATACACCGCACAGCTAGAGCATTAGAATTAGCATCTGCATAGAATCCACAGTGTGAAAATGGGTTCCCACATACTACGCTTCCATGTAATTATGAATATCCTCTGGCTCCCTGTCCCTGCTCCACATGGCCTTGATGAGCACAGAAAACACAGTCCTCGACTCAACCGCGAGATTTTCTCTATCTAAGCTTAGAAATCAATTTAGAGTGTAATACAGAATAACTTACGCTGGTTCGAGAGCGGATGAGGTATTCTCACAACCTAAATTGTATCAATGTCCAACCTTCAACCACCCCTCTTCACTTCTCCGTCCTCCCCTCCTCACTGTGACTGATCGTCAAACGTTTCCTCCTCCGTATGAATAATCGTCGATTCTGGTTCCTTTGCGAGAGTATTTGTTGGCCCTGCAGCGTATGATCTCACACACTTTGCACCATTTGGGGTTATAAATCGTCGATCAATACGGAGTAAGACATAAAGCCAAACCACCATAATCTCTACGCCGAAATTGACGATGTAAAATGCTGCTTTGTGGTAGTAAGCGGGCAATGGCTGGGTCCGCGGTACTGGGTTTATGTACGACGTTCCTGCATGGTACCACGCACCAAAAGCGAGCAGCGTGGTCGTCGAAAGCAGCACGAAAATCTTCGTCCGAAACCTGCCCGAGCCGAATTTCTCAACTCTGGTCTTCTTCTGCAATACCACCCCGATCAACACTATCGGCAGCGGGAGCGTTGCCACAAACCCTAGGTATGTCGCCGCGTATAGCTGGATGTCGCGAGCGATCCGCTTCGTATTCGGGTTCAGTGTGTAGAACGTCATCACCGTCACGGTGATGGTCATGACGAGCGTGGCCCCAACCAACACGTAGAGGCCGATCAATAAGGCCGAGAAGACGCGATGCCAGCCGAAGTGCGGGTGCTGGGCGCGGATAATATGCCATGCGAAGATGAGATTGATGATGAACAGCAGCAGCACGCCGGCGAGTACTAAGATCTGGGCGGCGATGGCGGTTGAGATGTTGCGTGGCCAGGTGATGCTCACGATGCGGAGGACAAGGGTCGTGATTCTGGCCATGCAGAAGCCTGGGGATTATATTAACAAACAGGAATCGTTCTGATTGTTGCGCTGCAATTGCGTACCAAAGAGGAGGGCGGAGAAGATGAATTTATGGCCTCTTCTTCTATTTTTCTGGAAGATGGTCATGTGTGCGGCGGCACCGGCGACAAACAAGGCACAACAAGGCTAGGAACACAGCTGAGATGGGGATATCAGTGCTGGCCGTGGCTAGTCCCCCTAACATCCATACCTGGGGAAGATAGAGAGGTCCTTGTTGGGCCTGAAGATCCGATGGATTAGCTGGTTGAGGTACGCAAAGAGCATTTGGATGGCCATACCTGAGGATTTAGTTGCTGCAACATCTCTTCCTTAGAGGGAAAAGTTATCAGATTTGTTGCGAAGTCAGGTTCGTGATGAGCTCAAAAGTTGGCTGTTTGTTACTAGGAGCCTTTGGAGGCTTGCGAATATCATGAAGAACGTCTCGTCCCCATGACAGTAGGGCTGAACCATCATATATATATGTACATGATGATACGAACGTCGAATTCGTACGTACAAGTAGAGTAGGTGATACCATTGCATATCTGTGAAATTCTGCTCGCTGAAGCAACTCCAATCGAAATATGGTTGAATGGCATCGGCGTGTCGTAGGGTTTGTCCGGAACAGAGATATCATTCTAATGCCAGACAGCGATCTATTGCCTCCACCGTTTCACTCCGCAAGTTTTGGGTATTACATTTGCTCACTCATAGTCTCATACGTAAGTCTTTGTCATTGACTCGAGCGGAGAGGCATTAAACTTCTTATTACCGTATATCGGCAACTCGGCATCTGGCACACCCGGCGATCACCATGTCGGCCATGCTGTGTCGCCGACAAGTGTTGCTAAATGAACACGTCTCGTCGACTCTCCGTTCATGTCGCTGACGAGCAAATGTGAGGCCCTCGATGATGGACTGGCCATAGGAAAGTAGGTGACTCACCCTCCCAAACTTTAGAGACTGTAAGAGCAGGCCTGTCCTAGGCGCTGGGAGCCAATAGAGGGATTCTGCTGGGGTTCAAAAAGCTCAAAGGGTGGTGAGATTTTCCCACCAGCGCTTGTATGGTGGAAATTAATCGCTCAACTATGCCTAGCGCTCGATCCCCTTCGTCTTCGCCTGGGGATGACTTCAAATTTCAATGTTCAATCTGTTCCTTCTCTTACAAATTACAAACCTCAGCATGGAGGATATCGCCCCTCCTCCAGATCATCTTTACGCGTTCAATGAAGGCGTAGGAACGGGCGCAATTGGACGTAGGGCGGTCGAGAACGGCGGCGCAAGAAATGGCCGGAGCCCATATCGGGCGATACGATACGGGGTAGAATAACTAGATCCCACGGTGAAGCTTCCGGGGACGGCAGGCGAGGTCCGGAGATAACAGGATGAACCCGAAATGAGACATGACTCGTGGTTAATGGCGTTCGCCATCACTTCTTCATCTACTCCACCATTGCAGAACTTCAACCTTCATCAGCAGCAGCAATAGAACTACTCTTCCATCTCGCTCGCAGAAGACTCATTACCAAAGGCGCTTCCTCTGGCTCTCATAGTGGCCACCAGCAGCACACAAGTCCCACAATACTTCCGCCTTTGCAATCCCAGGGGTTGACGCTGATATTGATGTGCCACAGCGCCATCACCTAACGTTATTCTTTAGCAGAGGTCTTATCTCCCTATATCTCACTCTCTGGCCATGAGTTTCCAATTTATCGAGAACGGCAGTACTGATCCAGCCACTCGCAAGTTGATACGCAGTCATGTTATGAAAGGCAAAAACACCAGCAAAAACACCGGCAAGACACGGCTGCGATCGACTCAAAAAGAAGAGGCCGACTTTAACTTCTTTAACGAGATTTCTAGTCCAGGAATTGAGTCGTCAGTAACCAATCGAAGCAACTATAATGTCCCCAAGAAGATGGATGTACTGTCTCCATCTCTGGGAAACAGCTTCTCTGGTGTCGAATTCGCATGGGAGGTGAGACCGTTCATGATAGATCTTATACATCAATGTGGGTACAGAGATAGCCATTTAAAGCTGCTTCTATTTGCTAACGTTTTTAGTCGTACATATCTCCAATCAGGCTGTTTATCCTATCGAATTCTGTAACCCTGTTGATACCAGAAGGCAGCTTTGGTTTCAATGTTTGTTAACTGACGAAGCTTGTAAGTGATCCAAGTTTGTTAGTGACAGACTGCTAATACCGAACAGTCTTTTACAGCGTGCTTGCTATGTCCGAGTTGTGTAAAGACTCGTGGACAGGGAAACAAGACACCTCGCCACGTGCCCTTCAGTATCTGTCGAACACCTATCGCTGTATAGCCCGAAATATACGGCATTATGAGACTGTACCAGACTCTACAGTCGCTGCAGTCATGTCTATGGCCCTCCATGATGATTTTCGAGGACAGCTGAGTCGTAGTAAGGTCCATATAGATGCATTAGAGCACTTAATCGAGCTTCGTGGTGGCATCGCTACGCTGGAACCCAATTTCATTTTCGCCCAAAAGGTCTGCAGGTGAGTCCGTACCTGCTCCAGCTGTTCGTTGTATCTCTGGCTAAATATGGATAGAGCAGATATTGAGTTCGCACTCCACGATGGATCACGGCCACGCTTCTATAGAGACGAGTTTCCTCGGAAGATCTTCACAATGATGTTAGAGCCCTCGAACACGTGGGGTAATTACACTTATCCGGCTGCAGAGAGGTGCCATCGCGATATAGCACATGTCTACGCGGACATCATGGCTGTCTCAGGTCTCCTTAATAGTGACCGTGCCTGCTTCAAACTTGAGCCTGATATATACCAAGAGATTTTAATCTCTGTCTGCTATCGTCTGCTATACTCCTACCCGCTAGCTGGTAAAAGACCAGAAAGCAATAAAGAGTGTGCAATTCAGCTTGGACTACTGGCACTAATGACTACTATGCTTTTCCAGCATGGCAGGTCTCAGCGACTCTCATATAAGCTCCTCGCGATGCTTCTCAGAAACATCTTCCTTAGCCCTACTGGCGAGCTACTGTTAGAGGAAAAGACACGTCTCTGGCTCCTTTTCATTGGTGGTATTTCCGTGTTTGAAATTAAGGATAGAGACTGGCTTGTCCCTCGCATCAAAACTTCTCTCCGTAACCTAGATGTGAGCAGCTGGGATGATGCTCTTACCGAAATCAAAAAATTTCCTTGGATCGATGCATTTCATCACGGGCCAGGTCAAGAGCTATGGAAAGTTGTAATCTGGGAATAAGTTGTGGCTATAAACGTGTTCTCGCTAACTGCGCACGCGCATACATGACCCGCGAACAACTTCCGAACACACAACAATTAGACGCACCCCGAATAGATAGTGTTCAACTTTTTGCGCAGACTTTCCCAAACACGTTGCTGTATTCGCCTGCCCACTACATTCGTCGCCCACGATGCTACGTGGTCTCTGGCAATCCAAATTAGCAGAGTCATAGATATATGACGGGAGATGGATGGCTTACTCTTTGACCTCGCAGGCGGATATGTATTTTCCATTGCTATATTTCCCTGCCACAGCCGCGTAAAGCAGATTCCGGCTACCCACCTCTGCAGATCTTGCCAGCAGTGTTCGCACGATAGCAATAATTAACCACTGTACCCATCCCGCATTTCTACTCAGCTCGGTGTTGCAAAGTCCAGGATTGACGTAGTTGATGGCGACTCCAGTTTCGCGATATGGATGAAGGGATGCGAACTCTCGCATGGCATATAGGAGGAGCAGCTTAGAGATTTCGTACCTGTGTGTTCATCAGCGAGTCGCTCTCTTTATTTGAACACTCACATTCTAACAAACCTCTTTCCTGGCATCGGGCTTTGGCTCACCCCATCAATTAGGTCTCCGTCTATCTTCTCGAGTTCGCCTTTAGCCTGGAATGCTACCTCACTCCCAACTAGTACCAAATGTGGCACGATCCCAAACTTCCTAGCGCTCTCTTGCAATTTTGGAAGTACCAGGACGGCCAAAAGCATCGTGCTCACGACATTCACCGTCAAAGTAGACTCCAGTCCTTCCGCGATTATGCTCTCTGCCATTGCGATACCGGCATTCTCGATGATGGCGTCGACCCGATCAAGTGTTTCCACCTTCTTTACGAACTCTTTGACAGAGTCGTAAGAACTGAGGTCGAGATGCCACACCTCTATAACACCTTTTCGACCTGTTTCAGCCTCAATTTTGGCCTTTGCTGCATCACCTCTGCTGAGAAATCGGACGGCGATGATGACTTTATTTGCGGACAAGGCGATGAGGTGTTTTGCGCATTCGTAGCCGAGACCTTGGTTGGACCCTGTAATCTGCTGGTAGTCAGGGAGATGTGATGCTTGTTGATCAATGGGAAACCAACAATATACGTCCCACCTGTGCAGTCCTGAGTCGTCGGAATGAGAGGAAGCTTTTTATGCTGCTCTCGGACGAAAGTAGTGAAGCTGGCCATTGTAATGGTGGGATTTTATTTTTCTTTAGTTTCGTTTTGTGGTGTAGATGGCGAATGAATTGGTTAATGGTTCCCGCAACTGATGGGTTTTCCGGACACGATAGAAGCAGGTTCTTTATACAGTTTAACTACGGACATAATCTCTACACCGCTCTACTTACGACCTTTAAAGCCGCTTAAACTCCATGTTACATTATAAAGCATATAAAAAGAAATTTGAAGGCTGAGGATTATGGACTGGAACGGGATATAGGAAAATTTGAACTTTGAAAATCACCTTTGATTGTTTTCCACTTTTGGAATCGCGGGGTGGTAATTAGTGCAGATGCAATTCAAGGTTCGGGCCTAGTCGCAACAAGGATTGTTATAGGGACGGTTACGAGGACTCCGATTGGCCCTCATCCATCTTTGCAGAGAACAAGCTGTGATGTGACGGCTACGAAGCACTGCCTCGTACTAAAGCTTATCCCTATTCTTTCCCTTTTTAGGGGATAGATCACCATTGTAAACTATATAAAGTAGCTGCAGGAACAGCCTGTGTCGCAGGCCAAAGGGACCGTGATTACTGATTACTCTGTATTCTAATCTTGCCTTTCTATAGTTATCCCAACAGAAGGAGTTTGATTCAGAGAAGCTTATGGTCCGTTTGTTCAATAGGAATTCTACGAAAATAGGCTGTTCCTGCAGGCCTTTCCAACAATTCCTGCTCTTCAGGATCAAGGCAAATCTTTCTACACTCTTTTGGAATCTAATGGTGTTTTCCCACTGTATCGCTGCACCAATCAACAGATTGAGCGAAACCGCTATTTATCTCACAAAATGCATGGGATAGGATCTGTTAATTCTCATCTCTACAAGGATGATGGGCCAAGCCTCATTCAGCATGTCTTGGCATGTGAAGCCATGCCAAGAGATGGTATGCAAACTTAAGTTACGCCTTGGAGCGTACGAATCAGAACTAAAGGACGGCCCGATCAAACGATGGTCTCCGAACACGGAAGTAGTTACGGCAACGATACAGTTCATCCAGGACACTGGAAGACTAGACCCAGGAACATGACATCCCTCTACACCTTCTCTCCTACACCTTCTCTCCTACACCTTCTCTCCTACACCTTCTCTCCTAGTTATACATTCCCTTCTACTAACTATATGGTCTCAACCCTCCGATCCGACGCTGTGCCCGAGTAAGAGCAGCGTCACTCTAGATCAGAACCTAGAAGAACAGAGGCATCCAGCAAACTGACCATCTTATTCCCTTAGCACACTTATAATACTTCCCTATGTTAGACACAGATATAGAAGTCAGTAGAACGAAGATAGAAAATGGGGCACAAGGCCACAAGGCACCAATGTATGTAATTAGTCAGCCTAGGTAGTTCCCCACATGGGCCTCGCAGAGAGGCCTGACGGGCGTATGAATCTCTCTCTCTCACCATAACACACAGATCCATTCCACCCACTAAAAAACTCGGCACAGTAGCCAAAAAAACAAAAACATACAGCAATAGGAGTTCCCACGTGGTCACCCACCGTAGTACTATTCCATCTCTAACCTGCTTGAGTACGGCAGAGCGGACGGGATGCCCTATATTCAGGTTGATATGGCCGTATGTAGTAGTAATTGAAACTTTTCACAATATCAACCTAGCAATCTGCAAAATTCAACCAAACAAAAACAAAAACATACAGCAATGGGAGTTGCCCTATACTCTCCCAGCGGTATAAACGAGGTTGAAAACAGAGGGTCAATACCGCCGAAAGACGAGGGCCCGTCGAAAATACTCCCTGGTAAGGATCGTAAAGGTGCTCTTTCTCGCACTCCGTCAGAAGTCCTGTTCGCGGTTCTACAGTCTCGCCCTCAGTCCTCAGCCCTGTTCGCAGTTCTGTTCGCAGTTCTTTAGTATTCTCAAGTTCCAGTCCCATCGGTTTCGGAGGTAGTCGACGCTATCAACACTCCAAGAAGCCAAAGTTCTCTACATTTATTCTAAGAAACGTCTTTGATTATGACGCCACGACGCACTATTAAAAAGGGCGAAGCCGGAGAGCAAGAGGCAAAAGAGCTTCTAGCTAGCTTCCAGGGCAAGCCCCTCGACGATACGGTCCCAGTGTCGGACAGAACTATCTACAAGCGCAGCTACGCCATGTGACTCTTCAAGGAGTACGGAACACCTGGACTTATCATGCCTATGACCTACACTCACATCCTCTAGATACGTTTGCGACGTCCTACACCGCGAGCCGGACGATACCTGGGAGCTGGTTATCCCTTTGCAGCTCTTCACCAGTGGAGGTAGCCTCAGCCTAGGATACATGTTGTGCCATTCTCCAGACCTATGTCTCCGACTCTTGGGTCTCTCGGGTTGCGTTGGGAGATCAAGAATCCGACGAAGTCCGACAGGTTAATCGAGTATTAACCGTCCTGACTTTGTGGAGAGCTCTTGTGCAGGAAGGAGACTAAGCAGTTCTTACACCTAAAAGAAGAGAGAATAGGCACGCCGCGAGGCAATGGAGACTCGCTAATCCAAGTGGAAAACTGATTTCAGGACCCGTGTGGGAGATTTCTAATATGAGGTCTGCTCTCTATTTCTACGGAGAAGGATACTAACGTCTCTGTAGTGGATTGTCCACGACCTTCCTTTGCTTACCGGTATCTTTAACGAACTTAAGCGCCGAAAGTGGGCCGCGAATGCTCAGGATATAGTAGTCATTATGCAGGCTCTCCTGAATCGACACCGCGATATCCTCCACTCTACGGCATAACTTAGCGACTTCGCCATGATCATGCTCTATATGGCAATTGGTGGATTCTGGACTGAATGTCCTAGAAACTTGAAATATATAGACGTCAGGATAGGACTCGCCAACGATGGGGGGAAAACGAACGTGTTCGTACGAATCCGAATGGCAGAAAACAAACTGCGAGTAGCTTCCCTGAAGCCTGTGAGCCCTGCGCGCGAGTTCACGCATGGAATTCTCACGGAAAAGCCTCAACCAGTGTTATTGACTTCCCAGAACAATGAGCAAGGACAATCAGAAGAGACAGAATCGGAAAACGAGATGCCCTAGCCGAAAGTCGGCGCCTAGGGCCTAAGGATAGGAAAGTCTATAGTTAACAAGTTGATAAATGAATGGAATTCATTTAACATGGAAGGAACACTTTTACCATCCCCGCATACGTGAACAAGCAACATAAGTACATAACGTCCTTACCCTGATCAATAATGGGTCGCAATCTTATAGACTGATCGAAGAAAGAATTACAAGGCGATTAAAGCTTGACAGGTTTACCTTCCCTGAACCTATCAGGGTATCCGGATTCGAAGAATTATTAAAGAACAAGATCACAGAGTGTGCAATACTGGATTCATTAGATATTAGAGGGTCTCAATCAGCACGAACACCATCGGGGAAGATTTTCCTTTACATTATCCCTAAGATAGTAGGAAAGCATCAGATGATCCTACTGTACTACTAAACCAAAAGTCTGCGCACAGACCCCATTCTCAGCTGAATATCTCTACACCCACCCCTTACTTAGACAACCAATAACTTTACCAAAATGAGGTCTTTTGGCACAAAAATAAGTGGTAATCGAGGGCTAATAAGGAGTTATCGGCCGCTCAAAGAGTTGGGATTTTTCAGGCTGCTGAAGATGGGAAACCAAAGACTGAAATCGCGCGGAACTTTCGCGTCTCTCGAAGCGCGGTGTATGGGACTCTAGAGAGGTGGGAAGAACATCAAACCACCGTATCTTTACCCCGTGAAGGGTGTCCCCATAAGCTATCACGCCCTGACGAACGGCATATCGTCCAAATCACACGTCGATTTCCTAAAATGGAGTATGGAGAGCTCCTCGCAGGTATTTCATACCTCCGCAATTCTAGGAAGACTATCTACCGAACCCTTAAGAAATATCACCTTACGAAATGGCGAGCGAAGAAGAGGCCTTACCTGAAGCCCCACCACGCAAAAGACCGCCTCCGATTTGCCCACGAATTCCTTGAATTCGACTTCTCCCGGACCCACTCCACGGACGAGTGCTCGTATGAGAAGGGGGCGGGCGGTAAGCAGGTATGGGTATGGCGACTGTACCACGAGGCATATGATCCGCAAATGGTAGAGCCTAAGACCTCTGGCAAGGCCATTTCACAGATGATATGGGGCTCAATCTCGCGTGATGGGAGGTCAGGCCTGGTGATCATGGATCGCGACGAAACCTCCGCAAGACAGGGATATTCCGCGAAATCCTACATCGCTACGTTAGAGGAGGGACTTCTCCCTACGTACGAACCCGGGGATGTTGTTATCCAGGATAACGCAAGGATCCATACGGCTAAAATCACCCAAGAATGGCTGGAGACGCACGGCATTTGGGTCATCGATTGGCCGGCCAATTC